GCCTAACAAGCCAATTCACCCCTTTGTTGTGAGCATAAGGCTAAGGGCCCTTTGAGCCCCTTTTCCAGACTGCATACCACTGCGCGCATCCTCAGCCTAGCCCTTGTGGCAGGCTTTTTATGTGGGATCATTTGTGCAGGTCACAAAAGCAGACTTGCCCTTAATTGGGTTAAGTGCTTTGGTGCTTTGTGACACTGGTCTTCTGTCTTCAGTCATGACTTCGTGCTTCGGTGCTACGGCAGATTGGGTAGGTTATTACATAATACATGGCAGATTCTGTTTCATCGAGGAATCGAACCCGTGCACATGTTATGTTGTGAGACGATCGGGTCCTGACGTATCAGATTGCCATGGCTTAACCCCTAAGTCACTTGAGCGAGTGAAGATCAGGTTCGAAACTCGACCAGTATCTTTTCTTTATTACATAATCTATGCTGATGTAATCATGTGATGTTGGAAGGTGGCATGATGTCCCTAGTCACATGTCTAAGTATGACGTCATTTGATTGATTTGACTGATCGTGATCATGGTTGATCTGTGATTTGAGTCGAGATAGACTTTCTGATCGATCATGATCATGAATGATGTCATTGTGTTAGCGCTCATAGCTGCCATAGTGGCGCAGTTTTGGTTGACTTGCCCAGGTCCATGGTGGCACTCATAGCTGCCAAATGATAGGATGCCCTTGGTCAGAGGGCTGTTCCAAAGATTGTGTCTTGTACCTAAAAGGTTGCCTATGTCTTTTTTAGGATTTTTTATATAAAATAGCTGCCATGTTTGCATTATTGTATGCAAGTAGATGTGTTCCCCAACGCTGTTCATACTTGTTGGCAATGGTCTCTCGATTGCCCTTTAAGTTGGCATGCTATGTAGGCAAAAGTTGAAAAATGGAAGGTTTGAAAATGTGATCCTTTGGCGCTGCTTGGATCATCCTTAACTTGCTCACGCTCGTCTTCGGACATGTGATCCTAATTGCTTCACGAATCCTTCTCGACTCTTCGAATAGGACATGCACTCGGTACTCGCTATATATCTTTGAGTGCTGCACTTCTTATGTGCATGTCTTCAGATAAGCTCGTACATACTTGCTGTATCCTACATTACCTCCCCCTTGCCAGGTTCCTCCCGGAACCGACGCGGCATGAGCGAGTTAAAACAAGACTGGGGGACACAAAAGTAAGGGAGGGTGGGTGGGAGAAAAAGCTCTTATAACTTTTGGGGAAAAGGTAGTTTAGGCATTCCATAGCGAATAAATTACTAATTGTTGCGCAATATGTTGTAATTCTGAGACTGCTTCTGGGTAAAAGGGTTCCCAATATCCCATTGTGTGTGCCAAAGTAACTCCCTAAAAATTGGATTATCTATTGTGGACTGCTAAGTAAAGATCTATTTCTGTCAGCAGTTTACAGTCAAGGACTGCCGTGCTCTTGAAGATCTTATATGTGGACAATCACAGTGTCAATTCAGAGTAGCATGTCTTTAGATATCCGGAATATTTTATTTATATATTTATAGGTGACCAATCCTATACAAATGATATATAAATGATAGGTAATAGTTTTAATGTCATTGCGGACGCTGGGGGTCTTATGTAAGCGATAACTCATAGTATTTTCGCATATAAGAAGCAATAACTCGTGGTATTTTTGCAAATATTGCCCATATTGAAATGAATATGGGTGAGGGGACAAAGGTTCCAATATCAAGATAAATGCTGCACTTGTCCTTAGTGAGGGAGCAGCTTATGCAGAAGGTGCCTGCTACCAAGTCTTGAGGTAGGCTGACAGTGGTAGAGATGATGATGGAAGTGTCAAAAAAGGTGCGCCCACACCTGGATTTCTTGGGCTGAAAAGGCACAAGCGAATAACTCTAGGTCTTCTTCGCTTGGCTCAAAAATTAAACAGTTTTGTTTAAGGTGGTCATGTTTAGGACCAAAAAATCACACCAGCAGCAGGAAGCTGGGGGCGTGCATGCAGATTCATCCAAATGTCACAAAGCACAAAGCACTTAAACCAATTAAGGGCAAGTCTGCTTGTGTGACCTGCACAAATAAATCCACAACATAAAAGCCTGCCACAAGGGCTAGGCTGAGGATGGCGCACAGTGGCATACAACCAGCAATCAAGGCAAAGCCCCAATGCATGGCCTTGCACAAAAGGTGAAAGGGGGGAGCTGGCCTGCTGGCCGCATACAATAGTTGAATGAATCTAAGGTCTTCCCTTAGATCCTCATGTGCTTATATACATGTAGTGGTGGACCCTGGGTACTCTAACTATGGTGTACTTACTGGGGTCCTGTCCTGTCTACATGTGAACATATTGCCAAAACCAGTAATGGTTCTGGACTTCGCTATAGCAACTATCTATAAAGGCCGTAGATACGCCAAGGTAATCCTACTTTAGCCAATGAGATAATTGCCTGAAGGTGGTGCCACTATTTGAGTGGCTGAAGTGGTGCCACTTATTGAGTGGCCAATGGGGGTTCTGCCATAGCGCATATTCTAATGCTGGTGCTACTATTTGGCAGCCATGTAGTTGGTGCTGCTATTGAGCAGCAAATTGGGTGCTTGCTAGCTTGATGGTCCAATGAGCATGGATAAGCCTATTGTGGGCCGAAGAGTTCTGTTCTGGGCAAGTGGCCTGGTGTCACGTGACCAACACCTGATAACTTCCGGATAGGGTAAGTGGCCAGTGTCACGTGACTGGGTGGCTGAATCATGGGCGCTTGGTGGTCATGTGGTAGACACAGTTATATCCGCAATGTATGTGGTGGTATTGTGCTGTTTGTCTAAGTATCCACTTTGTGAGACCAATATGAAGGTTGGCGTCCGAATAACCACTTGTGGTTGCCGAATGATGACTTTATTGGTGCAAAAAGAAAGGTGCCACTTAATACTGTGACACAAGGCCCCTGCCAGGCAAAATAGGCATCAGCAGTCGCAGTAAAGTCTTCAGATTTGTTCCTCTCCACCCTCTCCAGCCCTTCTGTTAACTGGCTGATTCACTATGCATCCGCCACATTGAACTCAGACAGCTACTGTGCAAATAATCCAAGACTGTATTTTGCACCTGCCTAGACCACCATCACCGTCAAACCTCCCAGTTTTCCTCTCACCACCTCAGCACGTTCACACACCTCGTGATGTGCGGATGCTGATGTACAGGTACATAGCCTTTGGCAATGATTCGTCTCATGGTGGCCTTACTTCGACGTGAGTATTATTGACCCATCGAAGTAATAACCCACATCGCAAGCTAGACTGGTGACCAGAGCGACATTTCTCATGTGTCAATGGTCGGCATCGTGCTGTACATGCCGATGCTGTGCATATAAATCCTGTGCATTCTCCTTGTGCTTAACATGCCGTATCGCTTGCTCAGTGATCCACACTGTACAGTGCCAGATATACCAGTCCCTTGCTATCTGCGAACTCAACATGCATTTATTCGAGGATGATCAATTGCAGGGACAGGTGCGCTCAATCAGAATGTGATGGCCAATAGAATGTGATTGATAAACAAATTATGACATTATCAGCTCGGCGTGGCCATGGCATTAGCTGATGCGCAACTCGGACACCTTGCCGATTGGAGTAGGTAAGTTGCTTCATTCCTGTCAGAATGCTGTGATGCCGAAGCTCATCCATGTTAACCAGCATTAATGTTTGTATGTTAGGCTTTTTTGTAGCTCTTACTATATAAGGAAGTCATGGATTTGCTTCCGTGAAGCTTTCATGATGAATACTATTGAGTCAGACTTTTCTCCTCACTCCGCCATGCTTGCTCATGATCTGCTCATTTTACAAAGGCCCCGTGATAGCGCTCATGTTTTGCAGGCTCTTAAATTTCTTCGGTTGGCATGCTAGGCCTTCTCATGAACAGGCAGGTCAGCACTCGCTGCCACGACCACCAGAGCAAATTGTCCCTCCTTATCTGAGAGTGTTTGTACCTCCGCCATGGAGCTACACAAGTGGGCCTTATTCATTTCCACCTTATCTAGGACCCCACGACCCTCTTTATCCTTTCCATGTGGGCCAAGCCTCATTCACCCATCATGATTATGGTCTGGCTTCTCAATCTCTCTCTAATGGTCAACACCCCATGTCTATGCATCCAGATAATCAAACTCGGCCATATTCAATGCCGCTACCCTTTGGTACCACCATTCCACCATACGGCCTGCATGCCACAGCTGCGTCGACACCTATATGGCTTCCTGCTGGTTGGTATCCTCTGTCAGTGTTCCTCAGTGTTCCTCATACAACTGAGACAGAGAAGAGAGAGAAAAAGCTGATGAAGAATGAAGTCCAGTCTTCTCATGATGCCAGAGGCTCAGGAGATTCAGTGAATGGGCACGCCAAGAGTGATTTGGTTGATTGTACCGGTATGCCATGAAGTTGATCATGAAAAGTGTCAAAAATCCTCACCACTCGTTCCTTCATACCAGACTGGCCTCAAGGTAAAGTCAGTCATGAGCGCGTGTGACCAAGCAGAGTAAAAGAGCAGTGCGACAAGACATGGAAGGCGACAAAATATGTATGGAGGTCGCAGGGGCTTATACCGCACAATGATACCATGGCCCAATGCCGTGGCTGTTTGGGCGTCATCAAGTGCAAAGGCTGCAGTCAGCTAACGCACCCCAAGACAGATGTCAATGCTTGCTTGGAATAGCTATGCCAACCCTGCACAGGCTGGCAATGCCCTAGTGGAAATAAGATGCTGCAAAAGTGCAATGCCATGACATACCATTATAACATTGAACGGGATGGTGTAGTCTATGGGGTCTGGGAGCATGAAGGGATGCATGAGCATGAGCATCCTTTGGGGGAGTTTCTGTCAAAGAGGGAACAAGAGGCCCTTGATGATCAAGTATGGCGACGCCCTACTGCTACTGCACACTAGCTGCGAACAGGGAATTTCGCGTCAGGCTCCGTGCTGCTAGGACAGTTGTCGCCCATGCTCATCAACCCTTGTGCTGCTTGATACCAAGTGGCAAAGAGTCAAGATCATCAAAATCTCAGGTGAAGTGCAGCGGGAGCCAAGGGTGAAATCTCGATGTTAACAGCCTTCGCCGCATTCTGCAAAAAGTTCGAGAGCAGCGTAGTCGTCGAGTCTAGTTTCTCTGGTCCAACATATATTGTCATCTAGACAGACTTCATGAGACGAGTGGTCAAGGATGCGATTGATGGAACATATGCGCAATCACATAAGCAATGGAGGAAACAAGGTATACCAGGCTTTCAGTTATCATGAGCAATACTCTGTTCCCCTCTTGCCGGGTGATGCTTCATTGGTCAATGTGTTTCTTCAAGATATGCTCAGACGCCTCAAAGCCATCATACCAGATTATAAAATCAAACTTGGCCCCGACGATGTGATACTTGGTGCCAGCGGACTGCTCCTCAATCTCGTTGTACTTCGGAAATATCTCAGATGTGCAGCGTCAGATGATTTGCAGCTTTTCCATCTTATTACACAGGTTATAGAAGAGCTGGCTACATGCAAATATGTCATTCTGCATCTCTCAAGCATACCCGAGCAAGCTCTTTCTGCATGCGATGATGCAATTGACACCACAGCCCCTCTTATATTCGGGCATAGAATTGACTATGGTGCGACAGCGCACCTCAACCCAGGGCTATCCAAAAAACTTCACACTATCGCTAGCTTGGAGGTACAAGCAGAAGGGTCCTTAGCTCATATTCAAACATCTAGTGGGGAAGCGTACATATGGCCTGCTTCTGAGGATCCCGGACTTTCTGAAGGGCCATCCTACATTCTGACAGAAATCACCATCACAGAACGTCCACGCCCACGTCCACGTGTCTGTGCTAAAGCTCAGCAACAGAAACTAATAGTGGGGAGGGAGCCTGATGCTCAACATGTGGAGTTGGAGATGGCTCTGAGAGCAGGTGACAAGCATAGGTGGACTGATTCTGACAAGTCTAATGGGCAGCCTGCAAAGGTCAGGAAAATAAAGGGAAAAACCAATTGATCGACAATCACTGTATCTGTAAACTGTATGTACACAGACACAGTCTTGTCGTGAAGCTATAAAATGCAGGCTGCAGGACACGTGAATGCAAGAATGTGTTTGAGTATGTTCACAATAACTGCAAAGATGTAGATGTGGTGCATGCCTGGTGATGGTGTATCGACCCCCACAAGGGCTGCCGCATGGTGAGAAGTGCCAGCGAAAAAAGCCTTGAATGAGCTGGTGTGTTCATGTCTCCGTGGTGTGCTACAGCAGAATGAGTGCTTGATATATGTGATGGTTCAGGCTCTACACAATTGTAAGTGAGCGTACATGCTGTCCAGTGAGAATACGTGAGCATAAGTGATGATACGTAAGCATAAGTGAACATAAGTGAGCATAAGTGAGCATAAGTGAGTGCAAGTGAGTGTAAGCGAGCGCAAGTGAATATAAGTGACAGTACACGAGAGCATAAGCAAATGGAGTTACCAGCACCCAATCAAAACTGCACTATATGGTAGCATTGCTGGTGAATGTGGACCTCAATGAGATATCGCATGAGACCTGGCATTGGCCGGATGCGTTCATGAAGTGTGATGCCAATCACGAAAAGATTTTAAGAAATACTGACTTGCATTTCAGCAGCGCAGGTGTTGAGGCTGCATCGATAGGCAAGAAGGGCATCCTGGAGCTTGGGTGTGAATCACGCAGCATCCCATGCAGTTAGACAATGTTGACCACCATATGAGTCAAGGTAATAGGTCAGTACAATGTCGGCTTGATGTAATGGAAAGTCCTAATGTGACAGAGCGGAGAACAGCTGGCAATGCACGTAAATGCTGCCTCAAGGCTGTGTGTGTCACACTCGTGATGGGTCTGCTGCTGTGGTGGATGACGAGGAACAGACAGCGAGGCAAGGGAGGGTAGGATGCAGCAAGGAAGCTAGTGGTGTGAGGAGTAGCGAGGTACAATAAGCTACAAGTGAACGAGTGAAGCGTGGGAAAACCCCCAAGTGAACCCAACACATCGGGAGTTTTGTCATTTAATCCGGGAGAAAAGTACAGACAAAATTTGAATTGACCAATGAGATTCGCTACAATAGTACTTTTGTCCCGGATTAAATGACAAAACTCCCGATGTGCAAGTGAGCCCTCTACGCATTTGGTGGCGGCAAGCTACAATAAGTGAACAAAGTGAGCCAAATAAGTAACTTTATATTGCCTCTGCTTGAACGCCACGTGCTCGTGCGCGCTATGAGCGCTTCATGAGCGCTTGCTCTGAAGTTGAACGAGTACTTGCCACGGCGGTAATGTATCATCTGCTCTACTACCGTTCCCCGCTCGTACTTCTTGCGTCCTGACTCACTTCGCGATGAAGTACGGCGTGCCATTTCTCATTTCGACATGGAAACGAAACACCAGTGTCACCATCGCCTGATTCTGCACCATCTTGCAAATCACGTTGATTTTCATTACTCCACACGTACACTGCGATATTAAAAAAACAATTCCGGATTTAGAAGATGAACTGATTGATGCCGACGGAATATGTCGATTAATCCGAGATGGATCTAAAGTGTAAGTCACACATAAACTTCTAATGCTCTCATGAACCCACAACAACATTTACGAAAGGTTTAACATTCCCCGCGTTTACCCTCGTGCCCCCGCTCTTCCACTGCCACACATAGCTTCAAATGGCGCCTCAACGAGTCATCACGGTTCGACTTGAACCTTTGACCAGGTCAGTTGCCCCGATCATGACACCAAAGTATCGACGAGCTCACTCTATCTTGCAATACGGACACACCAGTGGCTCAAGGTCCTGGGATGTCCCTTCGTCTGGGTCCATCTGAGATGCACTTGACGACGTGGGCGAGCGGCCCTTCCTGCAGGCCAACCGGATCATGTGCTTCTCCGATCGCCTGTGTCGCTGCGTCGTCTTGCAATCTGGCGACATGCTCTCGTGGCAGAGTGCACAATAATACTATAGACTCACCCAGGTTAATAAGAGAGAACACATAATGGTGGGTAAGAGCAAAAAAATGGGACACTTACAGGCGTCCTGCCTTCCTTCTGCCACTTATAGACCTTGATCGGCTCTACCCGCTTGACCTTCCCGAGCCGAGAACTATGTGCCTGTCCGACCAGTTGCTTGGGCGACTTTTGAGCCGTGTCGATATGCGACGCTATCGGCAGATTGCGAACGTTACCCTTATCCTTATCGGTCCCGACCTTGGTGCTTCGCACGATCGTCCGCAGGGGCAGCTCTGGCGACGACGGTGGCGATTCGTCCTCCTCCGCTGGCGTTGATTCCTGTGTAGTGCATGCCGCATCCTTCAAATGCGCCGCAGGCGCCGCACAGCCGGTCGTTGACACGAGAGACGCACGAGCCGACGACGCCGCCATCAAAGTAGCATCCCCACTGTCGTCGGCGTTGGAGCATCGAGAGCTCTGCGCCACCGCGCGCGGTGCCACATTGCCCGTCTGCGGCAGGAGAGACGCTACGTTGTGCACGCAAGGCGCGAGGGGTGCCACCGAACGATTGGACGGAACCACCACTCCGTACACCGCCGCCGGGAGTATCGCGACGTTTCCGGATGGTACAAGCGGCATTGCGTGGCGGCAGCCAGAGGCGTTCCGGGCGCCCCACGACGGGACGAGCGGGAGGACTGTCCAAGCTGGCGGCCTTGCGGTTCTGGCCTCGGGTCCGGTGTATGTTGCCACAAGAGCTGGTCCTCGCTGTGGCCCACGGCTCGCCGCCGACATCAGAGACGCAGAGGGCCGCCGGTGTATGTTCTCGCTGAACATATACATCGACTGCTGGCGCTGGATCCGGTCGAGTTCGAGCGAAGAGGGAAGAGCGGCACGGCTGTCGGAAGCCTGCGAAAATGGTTGGAGGTTTGAGCCGTCCAGCCGGGATCCACGGCAAATGCGGATCGTGCGCATGGAAATCGCGCGGGCCTGCTCTATAAGAGAAGAATGTTCCAGCCACCTTGATCGTTGCAGTGTCGGAGGGAACGAATTCAAGGCGTCTTGCGCACGTTCGAGGGCGCTTGCTCGGGTGGCAGGAACATCAGCGATAGTAATTGGTGAAGGAATAATCATGCTCTCCAAAGAGGACCAGCTAGCTGGGAAGTACTCAGGTAGCTGCAAGCGCTCCGCATTCCGTAGATACTCGATGATGTCGCGGAATTGGTCGTCGTTGGGAGTTGAAGGGTAGGACATTTTTGGTAGGTATGCGGTGGAGCGGACGTATGGTGGCCGAAGGGCGACGAGCACCTGGACTAGTGAGTCTTGACCCAGAGCGGTAGGCCGGCGGAGTAGACGACCACAGGGGCTCTTATACAGATTATTTAGCATGGGTGGGCATGCTCCTGTAGAAATTACGGAGTGGCCGAAGTATTCAATGGAGCTCTGGCTTGCCTAGGCTGCGGAAATTAATGGCCCTCCTGTCGTGGCCGAACGTTTTGTGGAGGAAGAACCACTTCGTATCGTGACTATTCAGATGTGGCCGTTCACGGGCCGAGGGCAAATCATCTTCGAGCCTTGACGCTTTAATGGCCTCTACTCCGCGAATCCATGGATCGCCGTGAAGGCCACCTGCTGTGCAAATGATGTAGGCCCTGGCATGAAGCTCGTCCACTGTAATTCTGTGGCCTGTATGGCTAGCGATGCTGGCCACATGAGAACCGGCGAATCCCCATACGATAACTGGTCATATCTGTGGCCCCGGAACTCTCGCCGTCGGAATTTGGCTGCGGCCGAACCTGCGAAGATTATTATAAGCATTTACGTGTACATCTTGAACACGAATCCCCTCGGTGTCCTCCAGATCAGGACATCACCTGTACTCTGTATTCATTGGCTTCGCACAACAACGTTCGGTGTGGCGTTCAAGTCTACATTGTGCCAAAGCTCCATCTTTGACATGGTTCTGCTAGGATTAGGTTTTAGGTCTTCTGCATGTAATGCAGAAGACCCACACGAAGAAATATCAGGACTCCGACACTGAAAAAAGTCTGTCTTCTGGCTGCTTGAGCGATGCGGTGGAACCGAGTGCCTGGTGTCAGGTCCGTTATGACAGACTCATATCGTGCTCGTAGAGTGTCGCTGATTTGAAGACTTGAGACCCAACGATGAAGTCGTAGGATAAGGAGCTCCGATGAGGCCCCGTAACACCGTGGTAGTAGCATCAAATCATTCGCTAGAGTAGTAGAGAACGTCGAGATCCATTGGCATCTTTGGCTACGCTCAACTTGTCAGAACCCCGTGCTAATATGGTAGTGCGCAGCTCATTCATATTCAAGTTTTACTTCAGTAACTCCACCTATTTGTTATAACTGTACTTGAATCTGCTTATGCAGAGCAGATAAGGCTATAATTGATGTTTTGCTCACTTATACCGAGGTGTTCAAGTTAGACAAGTAGGTCCACAGAGCACAGATCACTGATGGATTTTGCGTAATGGCATAGGAGGGATCATATTCAGAGGCACACGTCAGGTTGGACCTGGACAGAGTGTGGATGATTCGCTCTCTATGACGAGAACCTCAGCCCTTTTCGCCATAGTTAGATTTATGATTTTGAAGTGGCGTACTAGAGTCATCCACAAGCGCTATTTGTCAACCACCGGGACGACGCTTTTATATGAACTGCGAGAGCACATCCTATTGAGATCGACGGGGACGAAAGATAAGACAGCCTGGTAATAACATCTGATTTCGTTATGGAGATCATTTCAGTCACCGGTAAGACTCAAGGCATGCCAGGTACATACCACATGTCAACAGTACGCTAGCAGTGCTATGTATTCATGGAGATCTTGAGTGGAAATGTTGAAGGGTCACGGTCTTATTAGATGGCTACAATACTAACTCGATGGGGATGGGTCAGGACAACAGACTATTGAGGATGGGTAACGGTGAGGCAGCCTTCCTAAGCTTCCTGAGGTACTGAAGTGCCATCAATCATCTGCAGACTGCAATGCACAGCTCAGCTTGAACGGCAACATCGAAAAATCATCTACGCACCGTTTACACATGCTCTGCCAAGCGACCCAATACGCGCCCACATTCGACTCCCAGTGTGGGTCGATCGCATCAGACTGGTACCCTCTCTCATCCAGCCAGTCGAAAAACTCGCGCAAATCGTACAAAGTGAGTTCACACCGAAGATCTGCCCCACAGCAGTTGACGCGGAGAGACATAATAAAATGCTTCCGCAGCAGATACGTACTTGGAAGATGGCCATCAGTGCCGTTGGCGATGTAGCAGTGGGTGGGGATCAAGTCCAGAAGCTCGGTTGGCAGGAGGTCAGAGGGATCTTTGAAAAAGACGATACGGTAGTTGTCCTGTTATTAAGAAGAGGTCGTGCACATTGGGTGCTTCGGTACAGGAAATACAGCTATTGAAGACGTACATCGATATCGATCGAGAATGAGTTGTCTTCGAAGAGTCTTGCAAGCTCCGGATGCATGAGTAGACCGTTCCGGACCGACTGAAGTGGCTTGATATCGAGCATACCGTTGGGGCCTGGCATGAGAGGAAATTCCAGATTCAGCGAGTCGTCGCGGTCTTCTCGCTATAATGTGCAGTGGAAGCATCGTACAATCAGAAACCGTAGATCAGTTGGAACGTCGTATGGCTTCATACATAGATGAAAAGAAACTCGAGAGGAGGCACAATCCACGTCGCCTCCAGATCTCCATCTGTTTTTCCTGTAATGATGCATCGTGGATCGCGAGCGCGTACGCCCTTCTCGAAGCCATTGTAGAGTATGTCATCAACCTTTGAGTACTGTGAGTCAGTATCTGAATGCATTACAGACAAGATGTGTAGCACAGTAGCATATTTGCGGCGAAGTACATCATTCACGATGTACAGGAATGATGGAACAGACCGTGTATCAATTGGGGGGTCGACAGGTGTTTTTCCTATCAGAGATCAGTCGATATAATATTTTTACTAGCCAGAAGTGATGGTATGCATCGTACCGGGTTTGAAGATGCCATAGTCACCAGGACTAATTAGATAATCGGATTCCGGAGGTATCTCATCTCCATTGATTTTGACTTCGTACCGGAGAAAGTCTTCATGAGGCCTAACCTCTACCGGATAGAGTCGATAGTCGTGGTTCCACACGCAATACTCAGCGATCAGCGGGAGCCAACGATAGAGAGTACGTGAGGTGACATGTGAGCGACGATGCAGATTTAGAGCTGTGGTAAGGGGCAAGTTTCTTGAGTCACTTGATCTGTTGCCCTAATGTTCATGAACTTTGGAAACGTACCAACTGCCATCCGAGGTATAGAAGTGGACCAGACGAACGTATTCAATCGATTCACATCGACCTTCTTCGAGAGTATGTGCGAGAAGGTTTTTGGTTCAGCCATGTGCAAAAATGAGACGCAGATAGATGGCCCGTAAACGTCTAGACATAGCGCCAAACTTCAAGACATCCATTGAACCAAGTTGCGCATTTTGCCGATCTCCACAGGTGACAGCATAAAGACGAGGGCGACGCGATCAATAAATGGAAATATCACGTTCCTGCAGATCAAACATCCGATGACAAGCTTCAGCTGCGGACTGTCAAAAATGGCTGTTGGTGCGCCATATGTTCCCATTGTACCTCCTGATCAATACCGATTTTGTGTGGACATGATCGATGTACAGTATGTCGTGTGATACAACTCATGGGCTCATCCGTACCACATCGCATCACGTAGAATGATAATCACCTGATTCTGTCCCAAGACCTAGAGAGCTTCCCTCAACTGAACTCCTCCGACACATTATCATGTATTCGCAACTCAAAATGTGACGATTTCTTTTCCAAGCACCTTCCTCTACCTTCCTGCTCCGCAAACGTTTCCTCAACTCACTTCGCACCAATTGCCGCGGGACTAGCGTTCGCAGCGAGTTCCCTACATCAGAGATCAAATACGTCCTCGTAATGGACCGAGAGAACTTAGTCCAAATGATGACGCACGGACAGTCGCTCTGCGATATTAGACATCGCATCTGCGCCATCAGACAGATAGATGTCTTAAAGAGCTAGGAACAATCAAGTCGCCAGCAGGGTATATCTAAGTATTAACCTCGACAGCTTCATCATTCAATAAAGGCGCATGGAGCCTGACAATGTCCTCATGGACACGAAGAAAACAAGCCGACCCTGTCCGAATATCTCCCCACTTCTCTCACTCGTAGGTCACTACGACCTCCGAGGAGCTCACCGTCACGGAAGTCAACACTTGATTGTTCTGCTCGATATCGATGATCGACGCATCTGCCGGGTCGACCGACCCTCCGCTGGACGTTGTCGCAGTCGCGCTCGTAAATGTGACAGTGCCAAAGTCCGCGAAGGGCACGAGCGAGCCGTTCTCCTCATAGTCCTCGACGATCCATTCCGCGTTCTCCTCGCACAGCGCGTACGATGAAGTCAGGTCCTCAGTCACCGTCTGCCCCGTCGACAGGTTCTCGACGACCGCCGTGCCCGACGTCGTGCTGCTCGCCGTTACGGTCACGCGGATCGAGTCGCCCGCGGAGATGGTGATGCCCGAGAAGTCGTATGCGTAATCAGGGTACCACTCATACCAGGCTGTGTGGATAGTGTGGCTGATCAGAAACCACCTGATGGGATCCACGCTATCCACATACCATCGTACGACGTCTCTCCATTGTCAATGGTGAAGTCGACGCCGGTCTGCAGGATGGCGTTATCGCACGTGTAGCCATCAATGCCGACCCATGCAGATGCAGAGTACGAGCCGCCACTGCCGCCACTGGGAGCGCTAGGCGTCGGGACAGTGAAGGTGCCGGTGACCGCCGTGAAATAGCCCTGAAATAAGCAGCATCAACCACACTGTCCATCGGGCTCGAGATATGCAGCACGAACATCGGATTCTTCGTATGCAGCACCAGCCCAGTTGGAGCTGTACAGAACATTGCGCGTATCTGTACTCGGTCTGTTTTCGCCAGCTATGACCGGAGCAATGGGATGCGAGAAGTGTGAGCCTTCGCGACGACGCGCAATCCGGCCAGCCAGGTCAGTGCCCTTGGGGCGAGCGAATACGGCGGTGGCGAAGAGCGCGCCGGTTAAGAGTGAGACAATGAGCATGTTGACAAACGTTCGGAGGATGCGAGGACGCGAGGTAGAAGGGAGTGGTTCGGCCAAGAGACCTGGATGCTACAGCTCTTCCACAAGGCCTTTATATCTATCTATACAAACGCATTCTGATGTTCCTCGAGAACTCTGTTCAGTGTTGGGCCGTATGGCAACCCCTCCTTCTCTATCCTTGGCAGATAGTTGCGTGTAGCTATGGGAATTGATTCTCGAAGCACCCAATAGACAGAGCGCCCTGGACGATCGCGCCCTGAATATGGAACATTTGGGGGGGGGGGAGGGGGTGAGAAGTACTTTTCGGCACCTGCATCTGATAGCGAATACCGATGAGAACAGAATAAGATATGGATCCGAGTATGGCCGGCGCATTGAATTGAATATAGAATACAAGGACACTGTTCGTGGATCGGACTGTCCTGTGAGCGTTCAAACAGCCGAGCACCCGAGGATAGACCGCCGACACCACTGATATATCATCATTGTGACGTTTCATTGTCATGATTAAACAAAGAAGGCAGTTCCCATGTTGGCATCGACGCCTATCCCTTGAGCGGAAGAAGAATTGTGTCCTGAGGTAGAACCGCATAGACTATTAGCGATCCATGCATGCACCAGCGTTGACAGTGCGGCGTTAGTCGACGAGTAGAAGATAGAACACGTACGAGGTGGCTGTAGGAGGGAACAGCCATCACGCCCCATCTGCCAGCTTCACCGCAATGCATCAACTTCCATGTAAAACGGCGATGTCGGATCTAAACTTACCTGCCTTTCCGATCATTCGACGACCCAAGCGTTCGCACAGTCAATATCTCGCAGCAATGTTTAGCAGACCATTCATAGGAACTTTTCCCTTTCCACGTCCAGTGATAGGCGGCAAGGCGAGGCACCAGCCTCCGCGCTCGAGAAATGTATGACGGTCCAGACGCGCTCAATGAGCAGTAAACTGGATCAGCTGGTGTGTAAGGCTTCCTGCGCGAATCATCAGTTATGCCAACATCATGTACTTCAATGTCGCGATCCAGGGCCCTAATACAAATTTTCAGTCAGCATGCGCGATCGTTCCCCTTTCCATTCGATCGAATACAGAAGCCGCGAGTCGGTGTTGATCACGTCCGGGTTGTCCCTCAAAGGTGTCCCACAGACAATGGAAGTAATGCCAAGAATGCACGTTGCTTGTCTTGTTATGCACTCCAGCCAGGATGCGGTGCAGAGTGGATACAGCCCAACGGGAAGCACCACTCACCGGGCTCGTGGAGATGCATGTTCAATTCAGCCGTGTTCTGCATCTACTCCTCGCCAACGTTTGAAGGATGCTGTCCTCACGTGGTCTGGTATGCTGTCTGCCACGGAATACGGGATTGCCCTGATCCGCTGGAAAGTAGTTAAAGACTCAGCCTTCCGCAGCAGGCACACATTTATACAGTTACTCACCAGAAGTCCATCCTTCGGGAAAGTCTGCCCAGTGGCTTAACATGTCCACATTGAGGGCCACTCGCTCTCCAATAATACCGCGTATATCGCTAGAAGTATTACCCGAAAATGATATTTCTGGCCTTGAGATAGGACGGGGAACTTGACTGGCAGCTGTGGGAAACGCAAAGCGAGTGGAACAAGTTGACGAACAGACCAAGGCCTGTCATCGCGTTCGCGAAGATTTCGAGCTGCGTCGAGGCACGCTTGTCGACAGGTCAAAATAATGGCCACTATACAAGCTATCTTAGGCGAATATGTACACGGCAGAGTGGGCGATTGTAGAGAGATATGAGGACACTGTTGCACTTTGCTAAACAATGCGAAGTGAGCTTCCCGGCCCAGCAGCTGGAGTGCAGATTGAGACATCGAGACTGCAAGCTTTGAGGCTTCAGCTTCAGCTTCAAAGAGTGCGCAGAAACTCGAAGGACTTACAGTGCACACGCAATGACTGGAGGGGTGACAATGGTGGACGACATGGACGACAAGGAGGGCGCGTTCTGAGGCGCTCTGCGCTGTGATCCCCGCCGGCGTGACATGAACGTCGAGGCTGTGACTGACTGTGACCACATGGTGCCACCATCATCGATTCATCACTCAGGCCCAGCCGCGGACTCGAACTTGAATTAATCCAGCGATGCCTTTTTCTTCAAAACAGCTTTTTAATCGTATCAAAGTCATTCATTGCTCATCAATGACACTACGCGAGCCCGACTATGTCTCCTGCTAGGCTGATTCTGTTGCTCTAGCAGTAGGGCTACCTGGGAGCGACCATGATTAGGATGAAGAGATGCAGCGTATGGTCAATCTACATCGCACATCCCAACGTGCACTAATGATCTCCAGCAACCGAATGCAATTTGATAATTAAGGTAATCTAATTAGGTTTTGGCTTCCTAGAGCCTACCAAGGCGGCGGCACACTATATACATGCCGTCGGAAGGTTGATTCGCGTGCCAGCGGGCCTTCTGTCAGCTATATCCCTTCCCAGGAATTATGCTGCGCATGGTCACGTTGGACCTTTTTTTTCATCCTTAAATCCACGTCATCGTTCTTCACATCTTGATACTCCATAGGATGAATTCGCTGACAATAGATCTACTTGATTGTCGCAGGTATGACTTTTGCAGCTGATCCACTTTTGTCGACATGCGCAGCATCGTCTCCATCGGGAGGTGCGATCTATTCTTGTTTCTTCATATCATATCTCACTCCTTTGAGTAGGACAAGTTAGAATCGGCATCAACGAGACTCTCGTCGTACCGACTTCCTCCCCTCTCGCTGGGGTCGTCTCTTCTATATGGTGTCTGCATGCACTTCGCTCATCGAAGCTAATTTGTTCACCACTAGTCCTGCCACGTAATCAGCGCTCTCCTTCCGAGATCAATTTCGAAATCCCCCACATGTTGTCCCTGGATGCCGATTGCGCAGTGTCATCACAAGCGGTCAACAAGGACCCATGCTTACAGATGATCTTCAATGAAACGGACCCTGTCAAGGGCGTACAGCCTCCGCTTTAGTTGGTCGATCGGGCGTCTATTGACTCAAATCCAATCATCAATGAGTTGGAAGTCTTGGCACACGGAGGAGGTTAGATTAGCATATGATGTGGCGTCCCAGAGCCTGCCCTATGCGTCTACAGCTGGAACAACTCCGACAATGGACACTGATGTCATTAACGTAGGTTGTTCATGAGATCGCAAAGCGAGAACGAATGTCTTCTATTATGCGTTTTGGAGACTTCTCTAAGCACGTGAAGCGCTGCAATTGAGGGCCGTGTGTTCTTTCGAGTTTTGCAATACGGTATCAAGAGGCCACCTTCCGGATGCAAATCCGCCATCTGCCGTGCTGCGAGAAGGATGAAAGCCGGAGAGACACTCGGGTCTCGTCACCGAGTGCGTAATGACCTGTTCATTGCTACCTTCTGACGTTGGACATGAGCATATGCTCTAGCTAAGACAGCGCAGTCAGTTCTGACTTGTCCAGTGGTCCATGCGTGTATCGTTTCAAGACGCAATCGGTGTAAGCTCCATATCCAAAGCTACCCTCTTCAAAACATTTTAATCATACACTTTCTACCGATGCATACCCTGCCGAACACTTCATTCCCTTGAAGCCACCACCTTGCCATCTCACTCGTATGTGACGACGACCTCGGAGGAGCTCACCGAGACAGAGGTCAACACTTTGTTGTTCTGCTCGATATCGATGAGCGTCGCATCATCGGGACCGACGGTGCTGCCGGAAGCCTCGGTCGCGACAGCGTTAGTGAACGTGACGGTGCCAAAGTCGGCGAAGGCGACGAGCGAATCGCCCTCCTCATAGTCCTCGACGATCCACTCCGCGTTCTCCTCGCACAGCGCGTACGATGAAGTCAGGTCCTCGGTCACCGTTTGTCCCGTCGTCAAGTTCTCGATGACTGCAGTGCCGGATGTCGTGCTGCTCGCGGTGACGGTGGCTTTGATCACGTCTCCAGCGCTGATGCTGATGCCTGAGAAGTCGTAGGCGTAATCCGGGTACCATTCATACCAAGCTGAGACGAGTGCACTCAATACGCAAATCATCGTGACGTGTGTGCACAATTGCAGACGTACCATCAAAAGAGGTAGAGCCAGACTCGTCGACCGTGAAGTCAACACCCGTCTGAAGTATAGCGTTATCGCACGTGTCGCCATCAATGCCGACCCAAGCCGCCGCGGAGTATGAGCCTCCGCTACTGCCACTGGGCACACTGGGAGTAGGGACGGTGAACTCGCCCGTGACGGCGGTGAAGGTACCCTTCAGAATGGCGCAAGTCAATAACTGGTCGAACATACGTTGGAGACTACAAACATACCGAAGACTCTGCATAGGCAGCACCAGCCCAGTTGGAGCTGTACTCCACGTTGGTGACTCCGGTGTCCGCAGAGTGCTCGACGGCTTTCAAGGGCTGCGAGAGGTGGGAACCCGCACGACGACGTGCGATACGACCGGCCAGGCCACTCCCTCTGGGGGCGGCCACAGCGGTGGTGGCCAACAGCACGTAGCTCAGGAGTGTAACTGCAAACATGATCACGACAGGTGGGCGAGAGGTGCGAGGACGCGCGGGTTCAATGGGGCTGAAGGGACCAAGAGGAACCTGCAGAAGTGTATCGTGCCGTGATCGATTTTATACTCCCTGGGAGCGTGTGTACCCACACTGAACAAAGTTCGCCATACGGCCAGCAATTTCGCAAATAATACCTCACAGCTAGGTACCATATGATTCCTTTGTTCCAGAACGGCCACGAACCTCTACGCGAAGTCAGACACCGAACATCGAGGTGTGATTCCATGTGCAGAATTACAGCCCGGAATCATCGAATGGAAGATTGAGAAAACCGGCATTGAGATAGCGCTTATCGGCGGGAGAAACAAGTCTTGATCAAGCTCAACCATGCGAGGGCATCAATGCTTGCACATCGTAAGCACCTTATGAAGCGAATTATCAGTAATTCCGTTGAGAATGAAGAAGATCAGACGAAACTGAATGTATGTCTGTCGCCAGCATCTGATGTGATGATGGGAGGACTTCTTGAATGCATATTGAATGCGTCTCGGGAGATGATACATACGAACCGAGATGAGCCCTACGAAGCCTCTGAGGCAGCCTCGGTGATCGATGTAGCGGTATGGACCAGAAGACACAACGATGCCACCGACATCCACCACATAGTCCAAAGGAGCGGAGGCACATGCAACGTCACGACGATATTCCCAGTGTGTGCGGAATTGACCGACGTCATCTTCGTGATGCTGCGCAGCATGGCCACATGCTTCAGGGCGACACGAGATCCCGTCTCTTCGTAAAGCAGCATGAGCTAGGCACCACCAGAATTGGGTACAAGATGGCGTTCGGGCACAGGACTTTGCTACGCCGCATAGGAAGAAACAGTCTAGGCCGCTGTACCGTTCGAGGATGCTCGAGTGACACAGCGGCAAGGGATACAAAGAACACCTGGTGATTTCGGGCCAAGAGGCCGGTATGCGGGATTACGTGTGCGGAGCCACACGCTCCCATGGATGTGAGAATGCGACTTGACGAGCGCGAGGAGAGTTTATTCATAAAGTGTGGGCGAGGATGATTGTTTAAAAGGATTCGCTCATCAGCAACGACATTAGAGAATAATGAGTACAGCCTTGAGGGCCAGAAGGACCAGGGTAAACGCAATTCTCACGGAAAGGCGAGGCGGCGATGCGAGCCCTGCATTTGATGCTACCTTGAGTAGGAAAATAAAGCCTCTCTAGGCCCAGCGCTGCAGAGATGTGGCTGAAAACACAGCGCTCCACGACTTCAAAATCTGTTCAAGCAAACTTGATCGAAGTTTCCTCGTTGTAACTTAGTCAGAAAAAAGCTTCTGAGAATAGCTAGCAGCATGTAAGGAACTTATGCAGTAGAAAGAGGTCGCGAGCGGAAAGACGTTCGAATTCGCGGCTGGGGGGAGCTCGAGCCTGAAGAGCACGAGTCTTGGTGGCCACACCGCCCATCCACGTGACCTCTTTGTCCCAAGCGCCTTGCTGTGGCGTTGTCGAGCCGCGGAGTCCCTATCCAACTCTGTTTACCCATCTTGCTTGCTGCTAGTGATGCGCACTACGAGTATTCAAAGCTTCACAGATCAATGGAACCTGCTCGGACATTTCAAGTCAAGTCTCCTTCTGCGTTTTGACGGAGTGGATGCCCTCTCGGACCCACTGTCGCGAGCGCGCCGCCGATAGCGGGACAACATTCAGAACAACCATTGCACTTGCTATTGCAGACCATTGTGCTAGGATGTTATCTCGGATAAAGCAAAACGGAAGGTTGGACATCAATTGGAGGCTCACCCCTGAAGAGTCGAGACGCGGGACGCAGTTCAATAGCCCTGCTACTGAGTGAAGTGCGGGATGAGGCCTCGCGCCTTTTTCTCCTGAAGACCACGCCGCTCAAGGTTAACGCTGTGTGAGTGGGTATTGCTCATCCCAGTAGTGGCATAGCTTTCTCCGCAAAACCTGCTGTCAGATGTTCTTTGTAGCGACTCTCCTGACTGAAGCCTTCTCGTTGCTTTGATGTCTCATAATGCGTACCTCAAGCGTGCGGCATCTCAGCATCGCTTCTCGATGTTCCCTACCCTGTCCAGACGTTGCATGCCTGCTCAGTTAGTGAGCTTATATGGGGGAGGGGGTGCCTGCTCACGAGATCCTCGCTGTCCTTTCTATCCTCTCCGCCTGTAACGGCAAAGGCATCCTTTTCCAACCTTCTGTCTCTTTCTCACAGCCCACTAGCATGGCAAAAGGGATTTCGAACGAGAAAATGCCTTGGCACGCATGTAATTCGCGACGTCAACAAGCGGTTCATAATAACGTGTCGCGGAGATTTGACACAAGGCGTGCGCTATTCGTCAAGATTCAGACAGATTTTTCTCTTGTGCGTAACAATATTCTCACGCGCTGGGTGATGCGAAGCCTCATCGGTCATCAAAGAACAGCATAGCAACCATAGGTCCGTCCGAAGGATGCGGCAGCACTGGAGCCTCGCTGCGGCTCGGTGGCCAGACCAAGCTTGTGGCCAACCGCCAAGTTGTCATAGCTGTCAAGTTGCGGAGTGCTTTCCATTTGCTTCCTATCTGCCGCTAGCGACACCTATAAATACGGACAGGCTCTTTCCCAACTAATTTACGCAGCATTGCATTGGCATGAGGCAGAATTTATTCGGGCTTTCGCAATACGGCCGCCGGCGCGAGACGTGATTGCACTTACTCGCTCTGCTGTCAGCTACCCCATAGTTCGTGGTGTATATATCACGTTCCGTTCCAGAAAGTTTACCCGTATAATACCGCGTGCTGCGATATCAGCGCGGTTTCTCGGATTAAGCAAAGCTGGAAATGGGGTTGGGCATTTACAGTCTCCCCTGAAGATCCGGACAGACTGGCAAAAAAAACAATACGTATCTACAACGGCTGGACTGCGCTCCTCCAACTCTGTTGCGGTCAGAATTTGTCGCGACAATGTACACAGATCATGCTGGCTACGACATTCTTTCCTGTGCGCCAAGATCCAGGATCGGAGAGCATGGTCACGTAATGGTCGGTCACAATTGCTTCGACCACTTTGCTGTGGCCTACTTCAAGATCCAGGTACGCGGTCCCACTTTCGATCGAAGGCTAACCCTTATAATGACTATATGGGCGCCCTGTCAGACAGGCTTCTTCGGCGTCTTGGCTCTGACTCGCTGTCGCGTAATGTTCCATTCCTGCGTGCCGAAAATCTGGCTTTTATATCTAGATCGGCCACGTCAACGGTGCAGAAGTCTTTCGCAGTAAAATTTGGCGGTAGGGCCATATCAATATTTTGACGGCGTTGAGAATTATTTTATGCAGATCCGACATTGCTCAGCGCGACCAAATTCTCCGCGGAGCATTGAGACGTCGCAAATGTGAAAATGTATTCTTTGAGGCTTTGTTGATTGCCACGAAGTCCGTGATTTCTCGTCGTCTAGGCTTAAATGTTTGTATTGACCGAGTCTTGGACCTCATGTCATAACGCGTGCCACGTATGGCCCTTCCGCCGATCCCGTCGGTCAATGGGTTCGCGGAGTACGTGCCATTCGACGCATCTATACTCAAACGGAATTTGTCCTCGGAAGAAGAGTCACCATTCTCTCTGGAACGGCGCATCACTGGCTCATTACGGATGCTACGATCGAGGAGCGATGAAGTTGTCGTGACACTGTCAAAGTGTCGGCTAAATTCTTGGGCCACGAAGAATGACTCTGTAAGGCAAGTCAGGGCCCAAACGAACACTTTGGCCACACTCACACTCATTTCAAGAGCGTTCCTAGCCATGTCAAGGCCGCGTATAAGAACCTCTATAATCTCCTCTCCGATGCTGATTCATCTTCGCTCCCTGGCACAAGAAGCCGCAGCCCTTTAACCGTGGCCCATCCGCATTTGCCGCCCCCCTTGCTTCGCGAAATGTTCTATCCTCAGAATCCCTTCGACGATCTGTCCTACGACACGTTCGACCCTCCACGCCCTGTGCAGTGTCAGCAGCCCGCAGCGCAGCCTCTGTCCGCATGCTCCGTCTTCGACAGCATGCCGGATCCTTCATCAAGTGTGATCGCTCTCCACCCCGCAGCCGGATCAAATACCGTCGAATTCTCGGAGGATGTCTGGAATCTCCTCCGTCCGGCGCCCCAGCAATCATATTGGAACGGGTACTCTTCCCTTCGAGAGGCCTCTCCTGCGCTGCCCAAGCTTTCTGGTCCCATCCCTCGTGAATCCCAGTCACTCTTCTACGGCCTCTATTTCATGGTTCCCTCGCAGCCGGCTGAGAGCTATGCCTCCTCATTTGAACTCGACCAGTTCCATCTCGACTACTTCCTGCCTATGCTCGACGAAATCCCGCCACCTCCTATCCATCCCGGTTCCTGTCTTCCCTTCGGCGACAACTCGCTATCAGGCTATTCAACGACGAGCAGCAATCCCCTACAACCTGTATATCGGCAGGAGGCTATGTATCTTCCACAAGCATCGTCTTCGGTCCTCTCCGAAGCGACTAATACGTTCGACCAGGACTTCGTGCCGTTCCCCGACGATTGGACCGCCTGGGGCCTTTATCAAGAGGATCCGCATGCAGTTCACTCGATGTTTCCTCCATTATCCACATGTAATACCTCGCAAGCAGGTCCCTCGCATATGACACCGTACACTGTACAGGCATCATCCATGGCGCAGACTCGAGGGAATCACCCATCGGTTTCGGGACATCTTCCTCCCGCGCCGCTCTTGGGCCCATGGAACCCCTTCAATGAGAAGCTGGACCAAGATCATGCCTCTTCTCTTCTGCCATTGAATCGCACATCTTCAAAGCTGTCGCAGGGAGCAATTATTCCGCCAAACTATCTAATGCCATCGTCCTCGGCTCACTCAAATCATAAACCGCCCCTCTTGCCGTCGAACATCGACGCACTGCCCGTGACGCGCTCGCAAATGGAAGCATATCCCGCACAGGCGTCATCCTCAGTACACATCCGCGAACAGGCGAAGTATCTCCCGCTAGCGATAGCTCACGAGGACTTTGACTATAAATCACGAATAGTACCCCCACAAGACCCAAGAATGTCCATCAGAACGCTGATTGCTCCGGTCTCTGGTATGGCTGGAGAAGGGAAAGAGAATATCATGCCGACGCGGAAGTTGCGGTCCAGAGCTTTCGAATTAACAGACTCGACAAGGTTCTACAAATGGCAGAGGAAAGGACAGGTTCCTGTAAGTCCTTTGCGTTCACATCCTACTCTCTCCTCCTAACTCGTTGTTATATTCTCAGTACCATTGCGAAGTCTGCAATGAGAACATGTCACCAGACACCAAGACTGTGAGACGACATCTCGCAACACTGTCACACCTGCGCAGGGTGGAAGAGAGACAAAACGACTTAGAGGCATCTTCAGGCTCATTTCAGGTAGACTCTGGCAAAGAATCGTCGGAGAATATCAAGCCCCTCTGTTGCGAGCATTGCGGGAAATGGTGAGTCAATCGGCGTAGAGCTCTCGAACGCATAGCTTATCTGGTCATAGGATCAGGTCCAATCGCTGCGACGTGCTGCGTCGTCATTATAGGACATGCGCAGTGTTGAAGAAATCAAAGCAAAGCGCTTGAAGTGCTGAAACATCAGAAGCCTAAGACACACAACTCGCCATAGCTGACCTCAAGCTTTCGTCTCATTCAAATACCCTTTTCCCAGTCTGCATCGATGATCCTCATTCTCTGTATTCAGTTGTCTAGCATCTGCATTATCATGCACACCTGGAAGATTTAACAGTTAGTCCATCTCTTTAGTTCAGAATTTATGTCATGTATATCTTTGCACGCCTGGAGGATAACTTGCATCAATGTATTTGTTCATCGTGACGCTTTGAGTCTTGGGAATCAGATAACGCTACATGTAGTGGAAGATGATCAACAAACTCAAAATTAAATGCCTCAGCAGTATACGGACAACGCAATGGACAAGAGGCTTGCTGAAGTTATTGTTCAGACGGGTCGGGAATCTGACGAGGGGATCATATGCCTCCACAAGCACCGTTTTTGTTCTTTGTCACTGGAAAAGAAAATGCACTATAAAAATAGCGTCGATGACAGGGTATACTACCTGAAATCCTACCGCTACAGCTACAGTATTTCAAGCTATATTTTCTGAAATAACCGATGAGTCCATGTGGTTGGCTCAACTTCGTCGATGTCAATTGGCTGAGTCAAACAAGCTAGGTTCTGCGAATCAATAATCGTCCTGCAGGCGCTTCCAGATCATCACAGTGACCCACAATCATGAGCACGATGAACAGACGTTCCATTGTTACCAATTGGTAGCGGTGACGTTTTATACAGAAAGGCCAGTCATTTATGTCTTATTTCTTTCAAGGTTTGTCCCATTGGCGTAATGAAAGGTACAATTCTTGGACGATACGTTGAAAGAGAGTTATCCCTGTTATAGATAGCGTTCCCGTCATAACAGGATGACAATGCTATCTTTGAAGTCTCGTTTCCGGCGATACGCCAAGAAATGATACGCATTCATTTCTTTTCGTATACTCGGCAGCCACCACACGTCGAAATACATTACTACACATCTCATATCAAACCTTTCCTTTCGCCATCCGGACCCTTGCCAGCAACTTCGCCTTGTCTCCTTTCTTGTTAAAATCGCCTTACTGATAGCTGATCGTGACCGAGGAGGAATCCGTCGACACCGAGGTCAAGACCTCGCCATCCTGCTCGATATTGATAAGCGTCGCGGTCGATGGGCCAACGGTTTCTCCATCGTAGGTCGCTTCTGCATTGGTAAACGTAACGGTGCCGAAGTCAGCAAAGGCGACGAGTGAACCATCCTCCTCATAGTCCTCGACGATCCATTCCGCATTTTCCTCGCACAGAGCATACGAAGAGCTCAGGTCCTGGGTCACCGTCTGTTCCGTCGACAGGTTCTCGATGTACGCAGTGCCCGACGTCGTGCTGCTCGCCGTCACGGTAAGCTGTACAACATCTCCGGCACTGAAACTGATGCCGGAGAAGTCGTAGGAGACTTCAGGATACCACTCATACCAGGCTGTTGGAAGTATCATCAGGACGACGCAATGCTTTAGGGCGAACTGCGGCTGGCGTACCGTTATACGAGACGTCGCCGTTCTCGTCGACCGTGAAGTCGACACCGGTCTGTAGGATGGCATTCTGGCAAGTGTCGCCATCGATTCCGACCCAAGCAGCTGCCGAGTATGTGCCGCCCGAACTGCCACTAGGCACACTGGGAGTGGGGACCGTAAATGTGCCGGTCACGGCTGTGAATGATCCCTGTGCCGAACGGTAGATGAGTCCTCCGCTCAAGAATATGTCGAGCATCCTAATGTACCTCTGATTCAGCGTAAACCGCGCCAGCCCAGTTGGGACTGTACTGTACATCATTGGTGACGTCGCCAACTATCGATTGCTCGATGACTTTAAGAGGTTGCGAACGGTGAGAGCCTGTGGCGCGGCGGGCAATGCGTTCTGCCAGCCTGGTGCCTCTGGGAGCGGCAACAGCGGCTGTAGCCAAGAGCAAATAGCTGAAAAGAGAAGCACCAAACATGACGATGAGGAAAGATGAGGGAAGTATGCAAGGACGCGAAGTGTTCGAATGAGACTTGATGCAGGAGAGGAACCTGACGAGCTAGACGTACCGTGCTCCTCTTTATACTCTCATGATGCATATTGCTCAATCGAAGCAAGAGCCGGCCATCACAGCGCGCCTTTCGGCATGTCATACTTCATCTCTCGGTGCACCATATGCCACATTCCTTCTGGAGAGCGGACGAGGTGCCAAGCGAGGTCAAGGGCACAGCGTTAAATGTGGATACAGGCACGAAGCATGATGTGTTTGCTGTTCACTGAATGCCAGGACTGGAAGCAAAAAGACCCGGTATTTAGATGGTTATTGCCAATAACTGTACAGCACGCACGTTGCATGCTTGGATTGGCAGCAAGAAGACCTGCTCTTTAGATTGTTATTGTCAATGACTGTACAGCATGCATCTTGCTTCTGTCAAACACGATCATTGATGAGCATTAAGAACCGGAAAGACAATAACAGGTGGTCTTAAAATAGTCCTCGGTCGGAATATTTGAACTGAAAATGCATGCGCTGCAGGACGCAAATGGTGGCGCAGGCTTCTGTGTCGTGCATCACATTTTAAATAAGAACTGTCGTTGTCATATATGCACGAGCGAGTGTGTATATACTTGGCAGCCCACAAACAATTAAATTCTGGGACAAAGGAGGGTAGAAACGCCACTCGACGAGTCCACTGAGTGGCTCTCTAATGCAACGTGAATGTTGACAGGATCTGGTCAACGTTCACTGCGGGGAAGCATGGGAAGCTGCAGACACGACGAACTGTGGATGCCGTACGCATCATGCTATATGAAACTGGACAGCATGATTACCTTGACCCAAGTTCCAGGCCGTTCTGTATCACCGCCTACTATCGCGGGTGCAAATGCACTGAATGAAACACTCCTCCCCAAACACGCACCAATTCTGCATGATCCGCTGACAACACTAAGCGTTGAACTGGCAGTGCGACAGCGCGTGAGCCATTAACCGCTTCAATCGCATACGCGCTGAATGACAGTGGAATAGAATCCGAACCACCACGCGCTCGATGAAGCAGCCCCATTCGGTCCAGACGAGGAGGTGCAGAAATACGCGCGCAAAACAACACTCTTCCATTGATGTGAAAACGTGGCATAGGGATTGCAATAGAAGATAGCATCGGAACAAGGAATGAACGATCACATCACATGTATAACAAGCGCTGTGCCATGGACGTTCCCTTGAAAGAAGAAATGCATAGGTGCATTTATGGAATGTGCCTTGTTTCATGGACCCTTCCTCCGCTGGAGACAAAAAAACGTTCGACTTCGGACATCAGCGAATAAATACGTACCGATGCTGAATTCGAGTGCTGAGCGCTGATGACGGACACCAATATAACCAAGGTTGAGGAATCACCGGGACATGCGGGTGACCCGGCGCACAGTGCACTCAAGACGGCTTGATTGCAGCCACATATTCTGACGGCATCTGAGAGTTCATATAACTTGTGCCTGAAATGCAGCCGAGCTTGGTCGAAGGATGGGGAATATTTGAGGTCCAATGCGAGTACTAGGATTGCCGCAGTCATCATCAGCCTCAGACGAAATCCCTGGGCGCCTGTTCCTCAGGGCCACCGTCGCATGGTCACGTGATGTTTGCCGGTCACACTGGGAGACGATCTACTTATAACTTGCTTTACTATAGTATGACAAAATACCTAGTTCCCAACTGCAACATCAATCAGCCTTTTTTGACGCATCATTATCGCCACCAAACCAATTTGTCGCGCAACCTTCCCCTGCATCTTCGAGGTGTCGACTTTGTCTGCACATGCGCTAAGCCTCTTATACTCCTTACACTAGCTCCGAAGAAGATTGCTCGGAAGGTTGAAATCAACGGGTCCGAAAACGCACCCTGCCATTGATGTCACTCACTGTCTCTATCGGCTTTTATGGGCATGGCTTACGAAAGGCTTGATCCACGGCTAATGATTGTTGTCAGATTGCATGGATATTCATGCCGCGATAACATACAAGTTCACAAAAATTGACCACACAGCTGTGGGAGGCTAGAATATCGTATGGGACATGGCCTTTGGTTCTTTCAGAAATGATGTAACGATCTTCCAAATGTGTTTAATAGTGAGACCGGACTCGCAACACAATTATCTGTACTTATAAGAACAATCAGGGCGAAGCATGTACACACTTCACGCCAAACTTCTCATACTTCTACTGTGCATGCACATGTCATCGAGCCAATCGATGCACCAATAACCTGCGGCAAAGCTCCCCTTACTTGATCCCTCCCTTGCTACGCAGCTGCATACGTGTCTTGCCATTTGTTCGCACACGGTGAGCGTCTCATCAGACCGTGCAGAAGCACAGCAGTTGACTCTGAGACAGCACATTCCCTGTATCGCTTTATAGCAAACCACCTAGTAGGACGGAAAAAACAAATACATCCGTACAAGAAAGCAAAAGTCATCATCTCATCAACATCGTAAGTCCACGCGTTTCCGTGCTCCCAAAAAGGTTCTTTTTCTATTATGATGGGAACCTCTCACACGTAGGTGACCGTGACTGACGAAGAATTCGTCGACGCCGAGGTCAAGACCACGCTGTTCTGTTGGATAACGATGAGCGTGGCGTCCGACGGGCCGGTAGTTTCGCCAGAAGCGTAAGTCGCGTAGGCATTCCGGAAGGTAACGATGTCGAAGTCGGCAAAGGCGACGAGCGAATCACCCTCCTCATAGTCCTCGACTATCCACTCCGCATTCTCCTCGCACAGAGCATACGATGAGCTCAGGTCCTGGGTCACCGTCTGTCCCGTCGACAGGTTTTTGATTACCGCAGTACCCGACGTCGTGCTGCTTGCTGTCACGTTGACTTGGACTGAGTCGCCAGCGCTGAAACTTATGCCGGAGAAATCGTGAGCGTAGTCAGGGTACCATTCGTACCAAGCTGGCAAGTGAAATGTCAAATCAGGAAGCCTCCGAGCTCAAGGCCACTCTTGACGCACCATCATACGAGACGCTACCGCCAGAGACGGTGAAGTCAAGGCCAGTCTGCAGGATGGCATTCCCGCACGTGTCACCGTCGATGCCAACCCATGCTGATGCAGAATAGCTGCCGCCGCCACCACCGGGAGCGCTAGGAGTCGGGACGGTGAACGTGCCAGTGACAGCGGTGAATGTACCCTGCGGAGTGAACAAGTCAGTACCTCCGCCAGAATATACACAGGCAATGCTCGACGTACCGAAGGCTCCGCGTAGACCGCACCGGCCCAGTTCCCGCTGTACACCACGTTGGAAACGTCCGTTCCCGTGGAGTGCTCGACGGCTTTCAAGGGCTGCGAGCGGTGCGTGCCCGCAGCGCGGCGTGCAAGACGGCTGGCCAACCCACTACCTCGAGGGGCTGCCAAGGCAGCGGTGGCCAGAAACACGTAACTGAAGAACGCCTTAGTGAACATAGCGACGAGGGCGATGCGAGGACACGGTGGTTCGAAAGGCCTGGTGGAGCGAGAGGAACTTGATTCAAGCATGACAATTCATCTGCAATTTTATACTCATGCGAGTAGACCCCCCCGCCCGAGAAGCCACCCGCCACGATGCTTCGCCACATGCCCCTCCTCTTTCTAGCGAGGACACGGATCGAGCACCACGCGGGTCTTGGCAGCATACCCGACGATGCATATGCTTGCATGCGAGAGGTATGGTGCAATATCACGATCGCATGAGAGGGATGTCACTGAAAATGCCTGGCATTGCGCAGCCGCTATCAATCGTTGATACGAGCACTGCAATAAAAGACGCTTCTGACAAAGAAGGTGGAAGAGGATTGATGCATGCAGCATTGAAGCCACTCCAGTCAGATGCGCTTGAAGACGATCGTTCAGAATACAGGATGAGATCGCATCGCTTAGAGGAACAATCCAGTAAGCTTACTGCAAGTTGCGGTGCCGAAGATGAAGCCCTGATCACATCAGAGCTGCTCAGCTGGTCTCGTTGCAACGCCCGAACTGGTGATTGAGAACAAACCAGCAAGTGCGCTTAGGACTCGGCTGCTACGCTTCTATCTCGGCAACGGCGCTCCCGTGGCCTATGCGAGTCGGTAAGAGATGCGAGACATAAGGCGCGTTAGCCACGGATATGGGCTGCAAGACCATCAAAACTGCCATGGAAACAGGGAAGGCGAAGAGGCAATGAAGAGCCGCCGAATGACCGGATTTGTAGACGCGCCCCGCAAGCTCCTCCCGAGAGCGTGATCGGCAAAGCCATTCTGCGGGTATGTTTGCATGTTTCATTATTAGATTGTGTCATGCGGTGCAACAAGAGGAGATCCATCGCGGTAGTTGGCCTTAGCCGAGATGCCTGTTTACGTTGCTTGTCACTTCTTGAGCCGCGCTCGCATACCATCGATGCGCCATTCGCGAAACCCAGAACGTCGGCAACAATGGGCCTCCATTGGCACGCGACAACTGGTTGCAGTATTGTGCTCTCATGGATGTGGGGATTAGACACGAGGAACTCGCTAGCCGCAGTATTATAGCGATATTAAAATATATCAGCAGTGCGTCTTTCAAAGCGAAAAGATGACGCGCTGCACGTTGACGTCCATTGTATTCAACCGCGTGCAATTTACGAGGGAAGCGCGCGTTCGTTGCATTGACCATTGATCGGTGATTAGCGGTCCAGAGGGTAGCGGCCTACAACTGAGCTCTTCAACTTGCGACATCGGTGGGAGATAAACACTATCTTACATGTGACCTGTCGAACGGAGCAGAAAAGTTGATCCGGCGCGCGTATGTGTTTCTTTGCCGCCGGCAAACCGACGTGCGGAGAACGCTGAAAGGCTTGACTGAGCACTAAATTGGGAATGCATGCGACCATCCTCACTGGTTCGAGAGCATCTTGTGAACAAGCTCAGAAATAGCCGGCCCAGGCTAGTGCGGTAAGCTGATGCAGGGTCCATAACGGCAGGTGTCTTGTAATCTTGAAAAGCGATAACGGTTCCTTGAAAAGGCGCAGAGCTGGAGGCTGTCTCCGATGCTTATGAGAGGCGAACGTAAATTGCTTCTGCGGAGCGGGGCTTGAACACTGAAGCTACTAGGAAAAGCTACAGTACGCCGAAGCGACCTTGAGGAGAGCACTTGGTCTCCGGCCCTGGGATGGAGAACTGTATTGGGGCGGGCAAACGAGGTCCGAAGGCCGACCATGGAAGACCGTTCGTTGATCATTGCAGGAGTCATCGGAGAAATGCAGCATCGTATGTATGTAATGTTGATCATCGATCTAAAAAAGCCCCTGTTTGAGCCGGTACGCGCTTGACCTCGTCTTGCAGGTTGGCGTAGATCGTACACATCATTCTATGATAGATTCTCTGGCAAGAAGTCTCTCCTGGCCTCGGCTACGGTCCATGTGCTTGGTGAACCCATGATGCTGAACGAACGATCTCGACCCAGAAATTGTCAAGACCATGCGGGTCGTAACAGCATCGCGAAGGTGTTCGGTGATCGTGAGCGGTCCTGCCAGCGTTATGTCTTTCTCAGGGGCATCCATATCTGTGGAGCGACAACTGGCCAGAGGACCGACAAATCCGTGCTGACCCGATGACAAATGACGGGCATCACAGAAGCCCAACCCACCCGAGCACATCGGGAGGGTGGACCTAGGAGAGGAGGGGGGGACATTACCGTTCGAAGATCAGATGGTTCTATTTTGGTCACTTCGTATTTATAAACAATGGGACTGCTTCACCGTACTGCTTTTTATTCTTCAAATTGCATTATTTCCGAGGTGCTAAGGGCAGTCAAACAAGAGCGGCTTACCTTTCAGCCGTACTTGAGTTCCTTGCGTAGACATTACCGTTTGCCACCAAGTACACATACAAGCCCGTTTGGACGAGCGCCTACTGGCCGAGTCGTCCTGCATTCCGTAAATTGGGCGACCGTGAGCATCTTATCGAGACCCGGAACCATGCTCTGTGAATGTGCATCGGAAATCTTCGAGGGACCACCGAACATCTCATGCTGATCTGATCGTGCCCGAAGCCAGTCATCCCGAGACAAGTGGCGTGCTGACAATTCGAGCTTCAGGTAATCCCGTTCATGATCATTTGATACTCGTATTCATCGAAGTATCTTGTCGTACTACAGGGGGTTCCCTTGCAATGTTCCAAATACGCAGAGTGACGCATACAAGCGGGACTTTCCCGAAGTTCGTCTTCACGCAATTGCGTCCAAGCTCCGTGCGTCGCCGTCGGATCGCTGTCTTTCGCCCTGATCGCGCTCGATATGTCCGCCCCTTTCAGTCCCAAGTCTCCGACGAAGGTGTGTTGCGCAAGTTCTGAGATGAGACCGCAGGAGCAAGAGGTTCTTGGGCCTGTTCATGTTCTGTCCAGGCGAAACGGGGGAATCTCCAGGTGAGGTGTCAATCAAGATGAGAGCAGCACCGCAGGCAGCACATATAAACGGGTGCTTCGCACGCACGAGACATCGGGTGAGGCTTCGAGAGCATGACCGACGGTAAGGAAGCTTACGAGGGAGTACTTGCCGACCGCGAGCTCACTTAACGTCCAAGTGATGCAGAGATTGCCGGTTGAGATTTTTTTGACCATCTGGCTCGCCGTCTCGATAGCACAAGCAAAGTCGATATGCGGATTGCAGACTACTCCAGCTGTCCAGCGTCGCGAGAGTCCTGAAGACTGTTAGCGCTGCTGCCGTTGTAGTGTCCGAATCGATCCAAATACACGAACCAGTATCAAACCGAACTGACCTCTTATTGAAGATGATGTCACCAGCCAATCTTGAGTACTGTAACCACCAACAGTTCACCGCGGCATGCATCACCTCAAAGCTTTCGCCTCTCGTCTCGGGGAGAAAGCAAGCTCGACCCCGCAGGGGCCCCTCGCTCCTGAGCCCAATGTCCAAACCTACTGGCGGGCCGACTTTTCCTCCCTCGACGCCGTCGCGCGCGAGTGGGAGTATGAAACAGGTGCTCACGGCTGGGGCAACCAAGAGCTTCAGAACTACACCCCTCCAGGGCATAATACCCTCGTCACTCCCGCAGGGGAGCTCGTCATTCTCGCTCGTGCACGCGCCTTCCGCCCGCCCGAGCCGCCACCGGGGCAGTACACGAGCGCGAGGCTCACGAGCCGGCAGACGTTCGCGCGCGCGAGGGGCTATGTGCACGCGGTGCTCGCCGTACCGTGTGCGCAGGGAGTGTGGCCTGCTTTCTGGGCGATGCCGTTCAACGTAAAGTGGCCCGACGACGGCGAAGTGGACATCATGGAGACGTGGAACGGCAAGGGCTCAAACGGATCGTGCCTTCACTGGGGCCAATACAATGGCGCGGATAACCAGAAGCACCGCGTGCGGGATACCCAGATGCCCAACATGGATGCCTTCCACGAGTATGGTTTCTCATGGGATGAGTCTGGCCACTGCGTCTGGTTCATTGACGGGCGGCCCGTCATGCGTGCGCAGGCGCCAAAGACGATCAGGCCGTTCGCCGAGTTTCAGGTAAGCAGGAGCCTCAGTGTGCATAAGACTGGTCTAATGGGAGATATAGGTCAAACTCAATGTCGCTATGGGAGGAAATGTGACCGGAGGGAGGACACCGGCGGATGGAGAGTACAGGATGACAGTGAGCTCTGTGGAGATGCAGGACCGCCCGCCAGGCGGGTGGGAGACGCTTTCACACATCTGGAGCAGCATTCCGGAGGGTAATACGATGTGAGTGGTGAGCGAGGGCCGTTTCAATCGGTATGTTATTTGATATCCATTCAGCGTACTTCACTTGTGTAGGATAAGACATGTCTTGCTTGAAATTCCAAATTATCTGCATCTGGCGTCCTGAATGTTACCTTAAGGAAGAATACAGCGGCCTCATGAAGCATGAATAGCCCTGTCAAACTTGGACGATCGATGCCGGAATGTCCATTGAACGGACGGTATTGTTCGTAGGCGAAGGTAAGGCATCGCGAACTGATACGCATGGTGTCGTCAGTAGTCCTTGATTACTGCTATCCAACACCAAATATTAACAGTACAATGCAGGCAAGTCGCATCAGGGAACGCGTCCTAGTAAATACCGAAACGTGGGACAAAAGATGTCCCGTTGGATGTTCTTGCCTTACATTTCATTCTGCCCTGCAGAACTCTGTTCGCTTTTGCGCATATCTCATTTTTCGGCGGACGTTACTTAATTTGATTAATTTGATGACTTTTCGCAGAAACTGATCGGAATCATTCTGTTTCAATTGGTGGATTGTACGGTGCACGATCCAAATTGTAGATGTGTCATGGACTTGGGTATATTTCTTTTCGAGCGGAAGTGGAGGCTGAGATCTACGTATCACATAGAACATGATGTGCGGCCAGCAGAGTTCAACACCACTGTGGCCACCGTAGACTAGACGCCCATAAAACGTTCTACATGTGATCGTGGCAATAACCTTCCGCTTTCACGCGTTCGATTGATTTCTGGCGAAATTGCACCGATCGCGACCGCGCTGCAAACCGCTCTTGATTGCCCTCTGTGCCCGTGAAAAGTGCACTGGCAGAATTCAACACAGTCTCCGTGGGATCTAGTGTTCTTGATTCCCTTTTGGCTGAAAATTCGAGGCTCAATGTCCACTTCTCTCGGAAAGCGGAAGGAGAGAGATGGGGAAGAGAAAGTTGCCCACGGGTACGGCTTGATGCTCATGAAATGTGCTGAATTAATTGTATGATGCATAGTTCAACGGTCTTCGTATCGAATTTGCCGTATACTGCAACCTCGACCGACCTTAAAACTCTATTCTCTGATCTCGCACCAGTACGATCTGCCTTTGTCGTTCTGGAACCTGGCTCGGGTATCTCGAAAGGTGTGGGTTACGTCTCCTTTGCCATCAGGGAAGACGCGCAACAGGCTGTCGAAAAGATCTCGGAGGAGGGGATTGAGCTTAATGGACGGAAACTGAGAGTGCAATGGGCGGAGTCCAAGGTTCTTACTCGTGAAGTCTGAGGTGTTCGTTTTGATAGCTCACGCGTCACTCTTAGAACAAGGATAAGCAAGCAAAAGAGCCGGCTGTGAAAGCAGAAGCCAAGACGCCTCGTTCTCGTCCGCAGCCGAGCGCAAACCCTCACGATCCTCTGGCCATTCGTACCGTAGTCATATCCGGTCTGCCCGCCGGAATCGATTCCAAGGTACTATGGAAGAAAATACGCAAACTTGAAGGGGCGGAGAAGGTCGAATGGCCGACTGTGGAGGAGGACCATAGCATTGGTACGTCGCGAATTATTCTCTCCTCGGTTTTACAACTAACCGCTCTATAGCGCACGCCCTGTTTCTGACTCCCGCAGCAGCATCAGAAGCTGTCGAGAAGCTTCATGCACACGTCTATAAAGGCTCATTGTTATCAGCCACGCTGAAGAAACGTCTGGACGGGCTTGCAAAGAATTCCAAAAAGCCTCAGAACGCATCCGATGCCAGTACAACAAAGGGTCCAGCACCCAATCATGCTAGCCGGCTCATCGTTCGCAATCTTCCGTTTGATGTTACCGAGCAGGACCTGCGTTCAATGTTCCTCCCGTACGGTCCGATACATTCCACCACCATCCCGACGGTATCGACTGAGGCGAAGCAGGAGGATGGCAGCACGGAGGCGAAGCCTCGTGGGAAGGGTTTCGCGTTCGTCTGGATGCTGAGTCGCCAGGACGCGGAACGTGCGCTCGAAGGGTGCAATGGCATGACTGTGCAGGCTGGCATGGCGGAGCGGTTGGTCTCGGCCAAGCAGAAGCGGAAAAAGCTGCGCCGCGAGGAGGAGAAGATGATGAAGGCCGCTGCTGCTGTCTCAGGTGGCGATGTAGAGGAGTCTCATGGAGAGGGGGATGAGGGACGGCATGGGAAGTCGAGGGTGATTGCTGTGGATTGGGCATTGAGCAAGGACAAGTGGGAGCAGGAGAAAGCAAAACTGGAGCAGGAGAGTCAGGAGAAGGCGGATGTAAAGATGGCAGATGCGGACAGCGGGTTGGATGAGGAGGAGGAGGAGGAGGAGGAGGAGGAGGAGGAGAGCGACGACGGTAGTGTTGACGGCGATGAACACGAGCCCATTGGCGTCCGTGATGACGATTCTGTTGATAGTGAAGACGAAGGCGAGGATAGCGAAAGCGACGGCAGTCCCGAGGATATGGATGAACCTGGGGAAGAGCCGACAAAACCTACATTACCAACCACAGAGACGGAAACGACGCTTTTTGTCCGAAATGTGCCGTTCGAGGGTACCGAGGATGAGCTTAGGATCCTGTGTGTTACCTGTATCATTATTCAGTCGTATGCTCATGATCACTTTCAGATTCCGTGCTTTTGGGCCACTGCGATATGCGCGTATTACCATGGATCACGAGACGGGCCGGTCAAGGGGTACCGGCTTTGTGTGTTTCTGGAACAAAGCCGATGCAGACAAGGCCATCGAGCAAAGCGGGATATTACGCGCCGAGACGCTCGGCGAAAAGAACATTGCCGTGAGTCCAATAGCTACGCCGCAACAGTTCGAGAACCACGGTACTGATAAGATGATAGCTCCAGCCGAAAAAGAACCCTTTCAAGCTCCCATCTCTCCTCACGCCTGACCCATCCTCCTCAATGGCACAAAATCTCATCCTGCATGGACGTACGCTAGATGTAATACGTGCTGTGACCAGAAATGAGGCCGGGAAGCTGAAAGAGGCAGGCGAAAAGCAACGCGAGAAAGCTGACAAGCGGAATCTGTACCTGTTGCGCGAAGGCAGTAAGTGCTCTCCCGTTAACGTTTCCGTCCCTGCTCTGAAAGGTTTACGGTAGTCATTCTGCCCAATACTCCTGCTGCCGAGTCGATGAGTGCCGCGGAGGTTGAAAAGCGAACACAGTCGTACAACGCTCGTCGTGTATTACTGCGCTCGAACCCATCGCTGTATATCTCGCGGACCCGACTCAGCGTCCGACAAATTCCCCTATTCGTTACGGAGCGAATGCTGAAGAGGCTCGCTATCCACGCCATGCGCACCTTCGAGAAGGACGTGAAGGAGGGTATCCTCCAGCCGCTCAGCGAAGACGAACTCGCTGAGCCTGTGCCACAAGACGATGTTGACGGTGAGGACGTTGTCAAGGAAGAAGGCAACGAATCGGCGAAGAAGAAGAATGACGTAAAACGGCAGAAGAGCGGGCGTCACACTGGCGTCAAGCAGGTGAAGATCATCCGGCAGGCCGACCGAGTAGATCCCATCACGGGCAAAGGCCGCAGCAAGGGTTATGGCTTCGTCGAGATGACGTCCCATGCGGATGCGTTGCGCGTCCTGCGGTGGGCGAATAACAACGCAGCCGTGGGCGCGCTATTCGCGGAATGGTGGAAGACTGAGGTAGAGGACCTGGTGAAGGTTGAGAAGAAGAAGTCGGAGAGGGACGAGGCGCGGGTTAAGCGGCTGAAGGAGGAGCTGGAGCGCGATGCGCATATGAAGAGCAAGAGCACGCTTATTGTGGAATTCTCGATTGAGAACGTGCAAGTCGTGCAAAGGCGAGCGGCGCAACAGCGGGAAAATCAACAAGTAAGCGGCCTGCGTTGTTCATGGGATAATATCAGCTCATTATATCATAGAAACCGGGCGAGGTCAAGAAGTCTTATAGCAGGACTAGCGTGAAGACGGAGGAGGTGAAGTCTGAGTTGTCAGACGAACGGACGGCGAAGAAGCGGAGGCTCTCAGAAGCTTCATCGTCTTCAACTTCTCCGGAAAAGCAAAAGTCGCAGGGTGCAACCAAGAAGCTGGCAGAAGCTGGAGAGCTAAAGTTCGGTCAGAAGATGGGATCCATGATTGGCAGGAAACGGAAGGAGCGGAAGGCGAAAAAGCGAGGAGTTTGAGCAGAATGAGCTGCCGATATCGTTATTTTTCTTCTACTGTTTATGACATCGAAAGGTTCAAGGGGAATAGTAGAAGCCTTAGCGAGACGGACGTGTCTGAGAAGGAGAATGAAGGCGGCAGTCATGTTACCCATCATGATGCAGGACGAACTGGATGACTTGTGACGAGGTTTGTCGTATATTTACTTTGTAATTTCCTTTGAATTGATGTGTACACTTCTCATCTTCGATGATCAGAAGGGCATTTTATGATATGCACTACAGTGACTACTCGTGCGGACTGGCCGCCAAGGTGATTCCAGCATGTTGTACTAGCCGGCGAAAATCACCTGTAAGCTCATGGTCGCTTATGGACGACTGTTCTGCTACGGGATCGGGATCTATGCTGAGGAGACTCGCATCTATCGCTTCAGCTTCAAGTTTGAGCACGCTTCGGCAGCCGCCTCTCCCCGCTTTCAAGCATCCGACAGACTGACCGCTTCCCGTGGCACTTCACTTATCCTCCTTATGGCATGACATTTCTCGGGCTGATTAGTTTAGCGAGCGTGCCGCAGATGCTGATCTAGAGAAGGCCGAGAATATCTATTCCAAAGGCGCTGAAATGAAGCATTGAGTAGATTGACTATCACTGAGTTGTCGTTCGTTAACATCCTCCGCCCTTTTCCCCCGTTCATGACGGTCGTGTTCCCGCTATACCCGATAGCATCTAAGCAACAGGCTACTCAGAATGAGAGGAGAGATGGTTTTCAAAGGTTGCTCGACTTCATAGTAATACTACCTGGACACAGCACGGTTTTACACCATGTCGATTATATTCCGTGGTGATGTTCTGAAGGTTATTCTTGCTTATGACGACGAACATGCATGGTAAAATGCACTTTGATCAATATATGTCCCACCTGAAGGTCATCTAGGTGAAAGAGACAGAACGCAGTGAGAGTTCGCGCAATAGTACAGAAATGACAGCCATGCCTATCGAAAGCTACTTAACTAGTGCGCAGTGTGCGCACAGCAGTAAACGTCAGCGGACCGACCGAATGACCCTCAGGATGGAATCTAATAACCAATCGTTGGATCGCAACTCGATACTTCCATAGAAATGACCAGTCACAAATACGGGGACCTTACTTAGAGCTTGCACCTCTCCGCAATCGCAAAAAGTTCAAGTTGACGGCTTGATCGCCATATGTGCTATCCCACAGCCTCGAAAACAAACGTTTCTCCCGAGCTGCCTGCTGCTCAGCTACCGCATCAACCTCAACGGCTGTTCTAGCGAATCAGAGCACATTACAGAGCTGCAACGGCCAGGTCTTGCACCAGTGAAGTTTCTCAGGCCGAACACAATACGCATCAGAGAGAATTGCAGTGTTCGCCACAATTGGTGAATAGCCCCAGTCCAGCTAGCGCAACAGCACAGCGCACGGAGATATCAGGTCGGGTAACATCGCGGTGACGTTGTTGAAGAAAATGTTCGAGATCAAGAGCGAATTGTGGTTCCGAGACGAGAGCGGCCTGCGGGACCTGGGACAAGATGGTCGTGTTTGGTTCGGAACCCGAATGCACATGCCGTCAGCCGCCGCGTCCTCAGCTTAGCCCACGACGACCACAACCCACGACGCTGCGACGCTGTGCTGCGACGCAACTCATTCCATTCTTCACTGTTTAATACGGTGAGCAGTTCTTCACAATGTGAAGGTATATCGCTGACTTCTAGCTCGCCACCAGACTTACGCTTAGCCATGTTAGTGTGTTATCGCTGTGCTCCATTCACTTTCTGACCGTTCTTCGTTCGTCGCGAACATGCAGGTCTGAACCATACGACCCATACCTTCCGCGAGGAGGTTCCTCGACGAACCCCTCCGCCCCACCTGCGGGCAACTCAAAGACTGCTGCGATCCAGCAGCAGATCGATGACACCGTCGGCATCATGCGTGAAAACATAACCAAGGTTGCCGAGCGAGGAGAGCGGCTGGACCAGCTCCAGGACAAGACTGGTGCGTAACGTTTCCGTTTTTTCTCCTCTGCAGGAAGGCTCTCTGGGTAGGTGGACGACGGTGGGAACGAGCGAGGCGGTGCATACTCCCCGAAGGCCCGATATGTCACAAAAGGGCCTTTGCTGGTACTGCTGGGGCTTGCACGGAGAAGCATGAAACATAGGCCGAAACATAGGCCGATGCTCATATACGCTCTGGATTGCCCATTGCTCAATATGCGACACATGGCATCGTATATTGGGGTCAGAGCAAGTGTGCGACATATTGTGATTGCTGCGCACTACGCTTCCATCCATTGGGCGTTTCCTCGCCTCGTCTCAGTTTTTTGGGACTGAGTATAGCGGTTTGAGCGCGGGCGACTGTTTAGACATGCCCATGCGCCCCGCTTGGCCGCCGCGATGTGTTGGTTCCACATTCGTCATTCTGTGTGATCTCGATGGTCCCGTACTGATATACCCTTGTCACCTCAAAGATAACCTGGCAGTCTCGGCGCAAGGCTTCCGTCGCGGCGCCAACCGTGTTCGCAAGGTGTGTCTTCAGACGCCTGGTCCTGCTTCGACATCGCTCATATTCCCACGTTCTCCGCCCCTTACTCAAGAACATGTGGTGGAAAGACATGAAGATGCGCATCATCATTGGTGTCGCCATCGCGATTATCATTATCATCGTTGTCGTTTCCGTCGTGAAAGCGACGCACCATTGATCGCACCTATGACTGCTATGCTTGACCTTTGGACCCTTTATTCCTCCGCCCGCTGTCGTCCCTGCCGCACCCGCTCGAGCTCTCCCCTTTAGGTTTCGCAGGCCCATAGGGGTGCTGTTGTATGATACATGTCCTTATCTATGCCCGTACTATACATTCCCGCTGTTTTCCTTCGTGTTCTCTTCCTTTTTGCGGAGGCCTCGTGTTGGTATGGTTCGAAATGAAGCGGACATTCCCCTGTGCCCGTTGCGTGTGCAAATAGATTGCAGGGGATCGTCGCTGTCGGGAACTCGGGCCCATCGGCAATGAGACAACAGAGCTGAGCGCTGAGCGCTGAGCGCTTACACCCCGTTCGATCTGCGCTCCGTTTTTGCCCTGTTTTGTGACCGCCTTTTTTGACCACAAATTCTTTCCAAACCCGGTAATTTGGATATAAAGAGATGCTGAAGACACGGTCACGTGGGTGACGCGCACAGATCAGCGCTAAGCACGCCCCGGCGCGAGAGGATGCCCACCGATGTGCCATGACGCGTAGCTTTCGGCATCTGGGCAGCTCTGTCTGAATCTCACATAACTCTTTTCTACAGCTACTTAAGTCGACTCGTTGGAAATATCCACCAAAGACCCGAAGAGGAGGTGCTATGTGGAGTAACAGTTCCGACAGACCTTTGTCCACATGTTGACAGCTGCAGATATCAAATCGGTAGATCATTGAAGCTTTGAAGGACCTTTGTGCAGTATGCATGCTCGGAACATGTGATCATAATCCAGCAAAGAAAGTACTGATTCTCATCCCAGCAAAGGCATTGCAACTAAGCAGAACAAGTTAGCCTTTCCCATCCAATAAATAGTTATGGACAGGCTCGCAAAGAGTAATTTCACTTTTTCTTGGCATTAATACACACTGAACTGCTTAAACAGTGAGCGTGATAGGCTACGCCGAAAGCCTTAAGGTCAAATCATAATGCGTCAGTCAACTCTTAACGTTTATCTGACAGTGGTGGTACTTGAAAAGCGTACATATCAAACCTTCTGCTGATATTGAGGGCCATGCCTATCATTGTAGTGAAGCAATCCAGTTATGTACAAATTGCTGCTCGCGATCCTGCATCATTGACACCTAACATCCCGACTGACGAAAGGGGAAGGTGTGACATGATGCCATGTGACAACTGGCCACAGCTGGCCACCGGCTAGCGGGTCACATGTGTCGCACCTCCATCCTGCACCACCATTTCATCCTTCAATTCCTGCATATCCTTCCGCTCTTTTATTTCTTACATGTTAAAGCTATGAACGGACATCGACATTCGACGTCTGTATCTCAGAATCACAAGGCCCAGCTCGCAAACGCCTACAATGAGCTTGGTAAGGAACTCTCGTCGCCAAAGATTAGAGTGGTCGGTAATTACACGTTGGGCAAGGTTATTGGAGAGGGTACGCGTTATTTACGCTCTCATGCAATCTTCATTTGACATTCATCTCTAACTGCTCAGGGACGTACGGGAAAGTACGCCTCGGAGTGCATCGTTTAACGGGCACTCGCGTTGCAATCAAGCAAATCCCGAAAGCCATGACTTCTTCTCTCACTCGCGAAATTCATCATCATCGTCAGCTGCACCATCCACACATCACACAGCTGTATGAAGTTATCGCGACTGAGTCTTATATATGGCTCGTCACTGAGCTGTGTTCGGGTGGGGAGCTGTTTGACTACCTCGTGGAGAAGGCGCGGCTCGACGAGAGCGAGACGCGCATTATCTTCGGACAACTTTGCCTCGCTGTTGCCTATGTGCACTCCAAAGGCATTGTGCATCGCGATCTCAAGCTCGAGAATGTGCTGCTTGACGAGCACTGCCGTGTCAAGCTCGGCGACTTCGGCTTTACTCGAGAGTTTGAGCGTGGTATGTTACTGGAAACATTCTGTGGTACGACCGGGTACGCGTCTCCCGAAATGCTGCTCGCGAAGAAGTATCTGGGCCCAGGCAAGCACACATCTGTTCTACAGCAGCCCACGGAGTGATTGATGATCAGTTCAGAGGTCGACGTCTGGTCTCTCGGGGTCATTCTCTATACGCTTCTGACCGGTATGCTCCCCTTTGACGACGATGATGAGGATATCATGAAGCAGAAGGTCATTGAGGGCGAGTTCGAGGACCCTGAGTGGCTCTCGGAAGGTAAGCGTGCGGTCTCGCACGTCTGCTTATGCTAATAATGCACAGAGGTTCGGGACCTCCTCAAGTCTATTCTCCAGACTGATCCAGAGAAACGACCAACGATTGCACAAATCCTTGCGCACCCTTGGTTCACTACAGCGCCTGCCTTTGCTCCTCGCCCCATAGCCTCCCAGAGCAGTCTCTCCTTAACGTCACAGCCCGAATCGCCGTCGCCCCTGCAGGTCACAGTAGTTGATGAGCCTCAATCATCGATTTCGGGCGCCTCCGACACCACGTACCATTCTACCGTCTCCCACTTTCCGGCGTCTGCGCCGATGACCCCTCAGATCGAATCCTCGCAGTCATCAGAGATTCCGCAGCGCACGGAGCAGACTCCGGTGCGGCCCGCATTCCCCCGCCAGGGCTCGGGCACCAAAGCCGCTCCAGCGTATCCGACGCGCACTCCCGTGCGCACGAAGCGACGGTCGGTGTCTTCGGCGCTCTCGGAGAACGGGCCGACGTTCGACAAGGCTGCGGGATCGTCGGCGCCGCCCGACTTTGCGTCGCTGCTCAACACACCGGCGCCGCTGATCTTTTCCACTTCGCTCGAACGCGACCTGTTAAACGCGATGGCTGCGCTCGGCCTGGACACAGGCCAGATCGTGCACTCGGTGCTTAGCGATGCGTGCGACGCGACAGGCGCGCTGTGGTGGTTGCTGAAGCGCAAGACGGAGAAGAGGATATTGGAGGAGGACACGAAGAAGAGCGAGGACGAGGAGACGGAGGTATCGGTAAGGAAGCAGCTAGCAGAATACAGGAAGAGGGAGGAGAAGAAGAGAGATCACAGGCCAACACCCATCGAGCACTTGTCTCCCCACGTTACCGATCACGGACTGCCTCCAATAGCGCAGGCGCATTCTGCTCCTGAACTGCATCTTGTTCCCGCCACGCCGGTTGGAGCGAGCATGGTACGTTCTGCCACCCCACCGCGAGCTAAGTCACCCAATAGCGCGCTATTGTCGCCGTCATCGTCTGCAGCAGAGATATCGCTCCGGTCGCATCCGTCTACTCCAGGTGGAAGCCTCAAGGACAAGGACAAGGACAGTGGGTCGAAGGGGCGCAAGGGCCGATCGGGGAGTGTGAGCATCATGCAGAGGGCGACGACCGCGTTGGAAGCTGCTGGGCTGGTGAGGAAGAAGTCTGCTGAGGTAGTGAAGGCAGAAAAGGACAAAGAAAGGGAGAAGGATGCAAATTCTGATAGACGCGTGGGCAGTGGGACGGGAGATGAGTCGCGAACGTCTCACGGCAGTGGATCGAGTAAGGTCGTCAAGAGTCCGCCATTGAAGGCAAAGGATTTGGGATTGCCGATTACACCGCCATCATCCAGCGCTGATTTGTCGCAAACCGGCTCTCCTTGGGTCATCGCGGGCGCGAAACCCTCTCCCCCTCCACCAAGCACCGACTCGCCTCGGGATACCCTCTCCGCGCTTCCCGATATTTCGCGAAACAAGAGCTTTAATGGGAGTCGTAATCGGGCAAGCCTGCTCTCTGCGTTCCGGATGTGGTTCAAGGAGGATCCGAAGGGAAAGCGTAAGGAAGATCCGTCCCTCACGCCACAAGCGTATACGCAACTACCCAGCACACCAAGCCCAAGCCCGGTAAATGGACGCGGACGGGGCACAATGAAGCGACGTGTTAGCGCGAACCATGGGCGGTATACACCTGCTCGCCAGACTGGAACTCGCTCAAAGCGCGCGTCGATATCCTCTCGCCGCTCGAGTAGCGTCAACTCACACAGATCCTCCGTTCAGTCTGCACAGGTCCAAATGTACGAGTCACCCACAGGGTACGGTCCCGAATCCAGTACATCTGTGTCTCGCAGGCGGAGTGACGCGAGCCGACGCTCATTCGGAAGTCACACCCCAAACTCGGAGCGTGAGGACTTTGTCTCGCGCCCGTCATCGATACATAGCTTCACGAATCAAGTCCACCGTAAGAGCCCGTCAGCCAGTTCTGCAGGTTCTATGCATCCTGCACGGACAGCTTCGCCACTGCCCAGATATCACAACCGCGGCGGCTCGGCATCGTCGACGAGGGTTGTGCGGCAATTCCCACCGCCACCGCATCTCGCACATCTGAGGTCGAACTCGACATCGTCTGCTCAGTCCCGAGGGTCCTCGCGTCCAGGGTCGCTGTATGAGTTCTCGGAGAGCGACAGTCGCAGGAACAGCTCTCCGCATAAACCTTACCCTCGCCGACCGGTAGAGGAGATGACGCCCCGTCGGAGCACGTTCGTAGCCCACAAGCGTCAGACTCCCTTCTCGAATCCAAACGGCAGTAACAGCTACTTGAATTCCTTCGGGCGATCCAGCTGGAAGAAATCGTGGGGTTTGGAGCCGCCTGGCTGGCAGAATCGCTCGGCATATTCTGCAATTGAGGTCTTGGCGATATCTCCGCCAGCGGACAGTCAGCAGGGCATCAGGGATGTTTTCTCTGGGCGGCAGTCACTGAACATGGGCGACGAGTCGGACTGGGTTGACGAAGACGACGACTCGCCGGCATATGCAGGCGGTCTCGGTCAGACACCCATAGCTACAGCTCATAGTGGCTCCAGCTTCTCTCATTCAATGGACGTCCCTGCTCTCTCTCCAGTTCCGAAGGGATTAATCAATTGGACTGGCGGGGGAAAGAGAGCCGTTGGGTCGTCAACCCCCGCACAGGTCAGTGTGCTAGGAAGAGGAGCAAGAAGTAAGGCAGGCCGGTCCCCTGTCGATCGTAGTTCTCCCCTTCCTAGCGAGAACACCTTTGAAAACACAGATCCGCGCTGTGGAAGGAGACAGCTCCCGACTGGTCGGTCTGGGCCTGCCTTCCGCGGTCATGCCATTCAAGAAGAGGATGAGGGCGAGGAAGAGGAGACCTAAAACTCTAGTTGCTGCTAAACTTTGCTTTCTCACGGACCCTCTCTTGCATTCGGTATTAAAATGCTATTCGTACCTTAGCTCACCTCCACTGGTTGTATTTTTATGGATCTTCGCATAGATTCGGACTATTCGCATTCTGCGTCGGGCGCTTTCCTCTCGTTCTCCGCTTTCATCGCTTCGCTATACCCTCATTCGACGCTGGCGCCACCTGCTGGTTTCTACATCGCTCTAATCGCGTATGGCATTCCTATGGATCCTGTAACACTATGGAAGATCATATAATCTTTGGCACGTACAAGGGCACGTAAGTCATCGGGAAAATGGCGATCTGCGCGAGCTGTGTTTCCTTATCACAAATCTTGCACCGCTCAAGACCTGTCAAGTGAGTTGAGGTTCTTCCTGTATTCTTCTAAGTCAGCTCTCCGTTTGACCTGCTTCATGCTGCACTTTAGGTGTAGAGAATGATCACCTTCGATGTTCGACTCTTATCTCGTCATATGCAGGTCTGTAGCAGATCTGATATTCATAAACGATCCAACTAAGTGCTGATCCCTGTTGAATTCTTCTCCATGACACAAAGCGTTTCCCAAAGTGCTCGCAACATCTTATTGGCTGTCGCATCGTACTATATCAGGTCTTCGAGCCATCTTTTGCTGATACATGTGTACATATGCAGGAAACCAGATGAGAAGATTCTTGGTTGCCCCAGCAATCCACCTGTGATCACCTTTCATTCGGTCGATACTATCGTCGTCATAGGATCAATTGCTGACTAGGTTGTTCGGTTAAAAAGTGGCTCTATCGATACGTTGTGGCATGCCTTGCCTGTGCAGTTCCCATGTCCAACGGAGCCGAAGATGCATCATGCTCGTACAACCGACCGCATCAGAGGCAGTCCGATGTGGGTCATAAATTGTCAAGAGTGATGCGGACAAATAAGCTATTGAGTTTGCCGCCCCACGTATGATGAAGCCCAATTTGTTTTATCATCTACGTTCAGCGAAGACAACAACATTGATCGTCTGTTTGATACTACGTCCTGGCGGCGACTGGCGCATTCGTCGCCGAATCGAGTGCATGGTGTTCGAACTCACGACATATATACAAAATGAAATCGCGATGCTTGCTGTTGGGCTAAAGCACCTTAACCGTTGCCAAAATATGATGTCAAGAGATAATTATGAAGACATCACTGCGCATGAACATACTGCCCCCCTCTTTGGCAGAAAATAAGTTTGAAGTGTTTATACATTGCACACATCAATGTTATCTGGAAATAGCAGTGGAGGAAGAGAAAGATGGCCTGAGGAGCATGGACAGACTGGACACATTTTGTTTGGATATACACGGAACATATCATAAATGGGAATGTGGACCGATAGGTTCAGTGTTGAGCAACTCCCAAAGGCCACTAAGCGCCCGAGCATTTGGTGCCGAGTCGAGGCTGCGCGACGCTCGGAGGCAGTGTTTCGCTTCGGCAAATGAGATACATTTTCGAAGAGGAGTAAAGTCAATATTCGGCGCAGAAAGCACAGGGAGTGTCTACACACTGCACGGATTATCCTGACGCGTCGTCTGGACGAGCAAACCACGGATGCTGTAGCACTTCCTCCGCGCTCGCTCGACGCTCCGGCTCGATCTTGAGCATGGAGCGAAGGAGTGCGAAGATTTCCTCAAGTTCTGCCCGCGTGTGTGTCTCTCCGCCTCCTGTCATGCGATCTTCTAATCGGCGTGCCCATCCAGCATCAGCAGCCTCGGGCGAGATATCTATTCAATTTCAGTCAATCAGCCAGCGCACTCGCACCCAGAGCAAAGCCCCAATTACAAACACACCTAAGGTCCTGAGCCATTCGTGCGACTCCCAATAGCTCTGCCATCCCAGCGGCACCTCGCCGCATAGCGTCGCCATCGCACCTAACAGTGCATCATCTGGATTTGCGAAGCGGAACAGGCGCCCTCCAAAGACCAATTCGTAAATCTAAACATGCCGAATCAGCGGATGCGGTTCGGGGATAGTAACAGTGTCAATTAGCTCACCGTACATGCAAACGACCAGATATCGCTCGCTCGCGTGGGCGAGGGGCGAACCGACCGGACGACACGTTCGAACATGAGCTCCGGCGCACATACCGCAGCCGGCGTAGACGACGGGCGTGTCTCCTCGTCGACTGCGATCGCTGTTACGCACTGTAAGCACTACCCCACCTCTATGTTCTGAGATGCGTAGGTACTGACCATTTCCCAAATCCATAATCACCGCGCAGAAGGGTGTGTCCGCGAATACGGGATCCTTACTCGCCAGGTAGTCAAAGATCGAAATCGAGGGCAACAGATACGGCGGGAGTGCCGCAGGGTGTGTCGGAGCTGCGGTCGGGAGGACGACAATGCATTCTGGGTTGCCAAAGTAGTTCAGGATCGAGCGCGGGGGATGTCCGTCGAGCGTGGGCAGGGCAATGCCGATGTTCCCTGAGTGGAGATCTAGGTAGTCGCATCAGCAGTGGGCCGTTAGCCTAATCTCACGCAGCGACTCCACAGACCTCCATGCACGATCCCATGCCGATGCAGCGCCGCGAGCCCACACGCAATCTGACGACAGAGCATCCGAGCATGCTTACGCCCCCGAATCGGGTTCACAACGTCAAAGACGTTCGCGAGCACATCGTGCACGAGTACCGTGTGCACGCCATTCGGGCCGTGCAGCGAGAAGCTGTCGCGCAGCCGTAGCACGTTTTGCATCTCGTCGCTGGCAGAAATGCGGTTGTATATATCGAGTTCGTGCCACGCATCGGCCTCGGCGGCGCAGATCTTGAGCGCGACATAATGTTGCCTGCGGTGTATGGTGGATGAGATGGAAATGCAGAGGGCAGACTTGACTCACGTCGGGGCATGGAGCACCTCGGCCAGCCATACTGTCGCAAACGCACCGCGGCCGAGCTTGTGCAGGACGTGGTATTGTTTTGCGGGACTCGAGTCTGAACTGCTCAGAGGAGGAAACACGACGTCGCCGAGGCGAATGGGATGAAAGCCCCCAGCGGTGTATCGTCGGATATCTTCGGCGTCTTCATCTGCATCCCAGTACACAGAGAGCTGCGTCGTGGATGTATTCATACAGTCGACTATCTCAGTGGAACATATTGGACTAGGTTAAGCATAACTGGACTGGAATAGACTAGACTGGACATAAACAAACTAAATTTGATATAATTATTATATTTACCCGGTATTATTTAGGCATAATATTAGAACGTGCCAGCTGGAGACCTTATTGTCATCAAGGTCGCACAGGCTTTCTTAGAACGTCTTGGACGGCTTACCACTGCACTGGTGGCGATACTTACAAGCGTTTCTGCTTCAAATTGAGAGGATCGAAGCATCTTCACGAGTCGTTCCTGAGCCAGACGGGTATTCGTGTTCGTGTCTTGGAACGAAGAGTGAGGAAGGCCTATATTCGGCGCCGATCCTATACAGGGATCCGGAGTGTCTACGGATCATCCTGACGCATCGTTTGCACGCGCAAACCACGGATGTTGTAGCACTTCCTCCGCGCTCACTCGACGCTCCGACTCGATCTTGAGCATGGAGCGAAGGAGCGCGAAGAATTCCTCAATTTCTGCTCGCGTGTGCGTCTCCCCGGGTCCTTTCGTGAAATCTTCTAGCTGGCGTGCCCAATCAGCATCAGCAGCCTCGCGCGAGATATCTATGCAATTTCAGTCGGTCAGCCAGTCAGCGCAGGCACACCGAGAGCAAAGGCCCCAATTATAAACGTACGCGTACTCCTGAGCCGCTCCCGCGACTCCCAATAGCTCTTCCATCCCGACAGCACCTCACCGCACAGCGTCGCCATCTCACGCAACAGCTCATCATTCGGAAATGCGAGGTAGAACAGCGGAAGTCCAAAGACCAATTCGTACATCTAAACGTGCCGCGTCAGCGGATGTGGTCCGGGAACAGTAACGGCGTCACTTAGCGCACCGTACATGCAAACGACCAGATATCGCTCGCTCGCGTGGGCGAGGGGTGGACCGACCGGACGACACGTTCGAACATGAGCTCCGGCGCACATACCGCAGCCGCTGTACACGACGGGCGCGTCTCCTCGTCGACTGCGATCGCTGTTATGCACCGTAAGCACTATCCTCACCTCTATGCCCTGAGATGGGTGAGTACTGACCATTTCCCAAATCCATAATCACCGCGCAGAGGGGCGTGTCCGCGAACGCGGGATCCTTGCTTGCCAGGAAGTCAATGACCAAAATCGGGGCGACCAGATACGGCGGGAGTGCCTCGGGGTTCGCCTGAGGAGCGGTCGGGAGGACGATAGTGCATTCTGGCTCGCCAAAGTAGTCCAAGATCGAGTATGGGGAATGTTCGTCGAGAGTGGGCAGGGCAATGCCGACGTTCCCTGAGTGGAGATCTAGGTAGCCGCGTCAGCAGTGTGCCAATGGCCTAATCCCAAGAAGCGACTTCACTCACCTCCATGCACGATCCCATGCCGATGCAGCGCCGTGAGCCCACACGCGATCTGGCGACAGAGCATCCGAGCGTGCTTACGCCCCCCAGGCGCGTTCACAGCGTCAAGGAGGTTCCCGAGCACATCGTGCACAAGGACCGTGTGCACACCATTGGGGCCCTGCAGCGAGAAGCTGTAGCGCAGCCGTAGCACATTCTGCATCTCGTCGCCGGCCGGGATGCGGTTGTACGTATCGAGCTCGTGCCGTGAATCGGCCTCGGCGGCGCAGATCTTGAGCGCGACATAACGTTGCCTATGGTGTGCGTGGTGAATGAGATGGAGATGGAGAATGGCAGACTTGACTCACGACGGTGCATGGAGTGCCTCGGCCAGCCATACTGTCGCAAACGCGCCGTGGCCGAGCTTGTGTAGGATGCGGTATTGTCGTGCGGGACTCAAGTCTGAGTTGCTCAGAGGAGGAGACAGGACATCGCCGAGGCGAATGGGATGAAACCCCCCAGCTGTGTATCGTCGGATGTCTTCCACATTATCATCTGCATTCCAGTACAAGGAGAGCTGCGTCGTGGCTGCCGAAAAGCAGGCGTTCATAGCGCAGGATGTATACACACCTAGTGCCGGCTGGTGAAAGAATGTTAGCGCTACCTGTGTGGCTTTGGCCAAGCCCCTCCATGAGTGGAAAATATCTTAAGTCTGCATATGGAGATACATAGCCTGAAGCGGAGAATAATTAACTTATATTACAGTATTTAATAAATGTACTTCCCAAAGTAAGACATTGAACAAATTTTAGCCCATAAATTTGTTCACTGCATAAGCTGAAGCCACCGCAAGCCGAGCCTCTCGCTTAAGGCTTACGTAATGAGGCAGCGCCAATAGCCAAATATCCTTTGGAAAACCCCGCCAGACCCGGGGCTAACCACCCCAGTGGCGCTCTTCGAGACCATATGTATTCATACATCGCCTGCGTCTGTACTGTGCATTCTCACCGTGCCGCGATGACTTCATACTTGTACAACAAACTGCTCAAGCCAGGTCCCCCTGCCCCAGCACCCCACGATGCTCATTTAGCGCCGCCTCCACCTTCACCTGAATATTTGGGCTGGACAGCTTGCTCTTGTTCTTCTTCTTCAGGAGCCAACTATCATATCCTCCCACGAGTGCGCTGTTCTTCGCATAGATGTGCACACAGCTGTCGTTCTCCCTTGGGTTGAGGGCCCATGCGCTGGCAGTACTGAGGCGGCCTGTGATGTGCACGCGCTCGTTCGGGCTATTCGAGGATGGATGAAGGTATCCCCTGTCAGCCATCAAGGTCGAAGTCAGTGCAGTATATAGGAAATTAGTCATGGTGCTGCACTCACATCACCAATATAACTGCCACAGGGTATGATGCAGTTGAACTCGGGAGCTTTCCTTCAATGTCCTGTGTGAGCCCGAGATCATGTATCAGAAACGCACGAGATCTCAAATAACGTACACCAGTGTTTCTATTGAACACAATGAACCAATCCTTGATAACGAGCAAAGTGGGCTTGAGGTCCTTTTCCCGGACGCCGTGGGGGTACACTACGAGCAGCGTCGCTGCCGTGCCGTCAATCATTGCATTGATGGTCGCTGAAGCCGCCTCAATCATTCGCGTTCATAGCTAAAGGGTCTAGGACCCAGGATGCACCAGCACAAGGTTTTATATCACTACACCAGCGGACCGTGGAATTTAGCAGGAACTCCGACTGTTGGTCTCCCCCATGCCAGTGATTGGCCTGCAGTGACGTAGCGACATAGCAGACTTACTGTCAACTATGAAGCGGATTTCATGCCAACCCTCGCTAGCCTCAGGCTCTACGACGTCTCTGCCCCAGCCTTTCACAGACAAAATGAATATCTTACGCACATCCCGATTACTCTGGGATGATGTCTTCTGTAAGCTGTATATACAAGCCCTGGTGCGGACAGGTATGCTCGTCTTTCCTGCCAGCTTCACTTACGATGACTTCGACCTATCAGTGTGCATTCACCGCTATGGGATGCAAGTCAACACAGATGGACATTGCATACAGACTATGCGACGGATCTGAAGTCAGGAAGCAGTGCAGCCCTCATCGACAACTTCATATACGACCTCATGTTGCGCATGCTTTCCCCTGGCGATCTTAGCACAAGTTGTTAAGACTCCAGTGTCGACATCTTACATTGTACTTGGGCTTCTCGCTGCCAGTCTCACCCATATATCGCTGATGTCAGTTTATTGGCCCTCCGTAGGATGCTGCTAGTGGTGCTGGGCCGGTGGACTTGACTACGCAACTCATTGACACCTGCCTGCTTTGTTCTGATGAAGGACGCGAGATAGATTCATCGTGTGGAAGGATGTAGACGAAGAATCAGAATACGGCCGTTTTGTTCCGCGATTTTATGTCAGGAGCGACGTTGCCGAGAGTCAGAAAGCAAGCATTCTCAACATCGTGTCCTCTCAGATCTTCGATGCAGCTGTCAAGTGAGCTCAGAGAGGAGCTTATCTTCAGAGGCTTTATTACTGAGATGTTGGATGGGAAGTCAGACTCCTGAATTTAAGTCTTGTATCAAGAGTGCGTGCCCAATTTTCACCATGGTGCAACATTCTAAGCAGCCATTCTCTGATTACAAATAGTCAGAATGTATATCCACCTTTGGCTGTCATCTTAAACGGTGATGATTGCAATGATTGTACTTTGTAGGTTGCACAGAAGAGTGTGGCGTGGGCTTTGCATCTGACGCTTACCATGTTTATTCTGTTCCATTACGCAAAGCAAGACTGGGCTCTAGATCGAGAGATGTTTTATAAAGATGCGAAAGTGATGATGGATAAGGAGCTGGTTGTTCTGGGAATCTGTTACGGTGGATCTACTTTCATCACATGTGCATGTTATGCAGTCCTGGAGCAACAGGCCAGTGGCCGCTACAGGTGGCACTTCCATAACATACCTATTGAACATCATAACTTGACGTCGCCATCTAGATCTCCTCTCGCTAAGACTTCGTATTCTCAGTGTCGTGTATACGTCAGCTAGCCGAAAATGCATTCATAACAACAAACTCCGACTCTTAAGAAGGCGACCTCATGTTGAACGATCCATATGTCCCAATGGACTTGTTTCCACAGCACCATGGCTAGGAACAGCGGAAGTACACCACCAGCTGACCCAGGCCTCTTGCGCTTGCACTATCACATCCGAGTAAGTCGACTCTGCATCCGAACGCCACACAGGACCTTCCCAGACGCAGCTGAATTGCACGTCAAATGCTGACCTGGTCTCGTCTGAAGAGGTCTCTGCTATGTCTGAGTGCTCATCAGGTTCCTGATCCGACGAGTCGATTTCCGTCGACGGATTAGGTGTATGGTCTTCTGATAAAGCCTCGTCTACTGAAGCATGGTCGGAAGGTCTCTCGATTGGGAAGTCAATCAGTGACGATGAGCTGGATGCGGTCTCCTCATTTTCCGATGCAGCAGACCAGTTTGAAGGCCTCTCAATTGAAGACTCCATTGATGATGATGGGATAGAGCTGTACTTTTGTGATGCGGCCCCATCTGTGTGTGCATCATCAGATCGCTTCTCAACCCAAGAAGCGGCTACTTGCGATGAGTGTGACTCCTCCGCATCTGAGGGATACAATTCTTCATCAACAAGCGAAGAAACCGGAGACGACCATGAAGCAGAACTTGTATACGAAGGATTTGGGGTCCCGAACACAAGACCTGGATTAACCAAGTTCGTTAACTTGCATAAAGCTCTCCGGTGAGCATACAACGTACGCGAGGACCATATTGTACGGTATTTCCAGCAGCGATAGTAAGCGGAAAGCGTGATGTTGGATTGTCAGCGTTGAAAGCCCCACGCGATATCTGCTTCTCACAAATTTCTGTGTATTTTGAGGATGTCCTTCTATGAGTGGCAGTGTCTCGAAGACCAAAGATAACAATCAGTACGAGGTTGCATGGGCCTCCGCTCTATATGGAATGTGCACGACAAGATGAAGTGACTCGGTAAGCATAGAACAACTTCTTTGACCGTATTGTCATCGAGATCGCACAGGCTTTCTTAGAACATTGACTTTGGTATAGACGACTTACCGCTGGTGGCGATACTGACAAGTGTTTCTGCCTCAAATTGAGAGAATTGAAGCATCTTCATGAGTCATTTCTGAGCCAGACAGGACTTCGCATTGATGCTCGCTGCCAGATGCCATTGCAAGTGTTCATGTTCACGTCTGGGAACGAAGAGTGAGGAAGGCCAATATTCAACGTCATCGCCGATCCTATACATGAGATACAGGGATTCAGAGTGTCTTCACGCTGCACGGATCATCCTGACACATGGTTTGCACGTGCAAACCACGGATGCTGTAGCACTTCCTCCACACTCACTCGACGCTCCGGCTCGATCTGTAGCATGGAGCGAAGAAGCGCGAAAAATTCCTCAACTTCTGCCTGCGTGTGCGTCTCTCTGGCATCTCTCACGCAATCTTTTAGTCGGCGTGCCCATTCAGCATCAGTAGCCTTGCACGAGATATCTATTCAATTTCAGTCAATCAGCCAGCACACCCACACCCAGAGCAAGGCTCCAATTACAAACGCACCTAAGCTCCCGAGCCATTCGTGCGACTCCCAATAGCTCTGCCATCCCAGCGGCACCTCACCGCACAGCGTCGCCATCGCACCCAACAGCGCATCATCTGGGGATGCGAAGTGGAACAGGCGCGATCCAAACACCAATTCGTACATCTAGACATGCCGCGTCAGCGGATGTGGTTCGGGGACAGTAACAGTGTCAATTAGCTCACCGTACATGCAAACGACCAGATATCGCTCGCTCGCGTGGGCGAGGGGCGGACCGACCGGACGACACGTTCGAACATCAGCTCCGGCGCACATACTGCAGCCGGTGTAGACGACGGGCGCGTCTCCTCGTCGACTGCGATCGCTGTTACACACTGTAAACACCACTTCACCTCTATATCCTGAAATGAATAGGTACTAACCATTTCCCAAATCCATAATCACCGCACGGAAGGGCGTGTCCGCGAATACAGGATCCTTCCTCACCAGGTAGTGAAAGATCGAAATCGGGTGCACCAGATACGGCGGGAGTGCCTCGGGGTGCGTCGGAGGCGCGGTCGGGAGGACGATAGTGCACTCTGGGTTGCCAAAGTGGTCCATGATAGACTGCGGGGGGTGTTCATCGAGCGTGGGCAGGGCAATGCTGACGTTCCCTGAGTGGAGATCTAGGTGGTGGCGTCAGCAGTCTGCCGTTTGCCTAATCCCAAGAAGCGAAGTCACAGACCTCCATGCACGATCCCATGCCGATGCAGCGCCGCGAGCCCACACGCAATCTGGCAACAGAGCATCCGAGCATGCTTACGCGCCCCAGGCGCGTCCACAGCGTTCAAGAGGTTCCCGAGTACATCGTGCACGAGTACCGTGTGCACGCCATTCGGGCCGTGCAGCGAGAAGCTGTCGCGCAGCCGCAGCACGTTCTGCATCTCGTCGCCAGACGGGATGCGGTTGTATATATCGAGTTCGTGCCACGCATCGGCCTCGGCGGCGCAGATCTTGAGCACGACATAACGTTGCCTGCGGTGTATGGTGGATGAGATGGAAATATAGAAAGCAGACTCGACTCACGACGGTACGTGGAGCACCTCGGCCAACCATACTGTCGCAAACGCGCCGTCGCCAAGCTTGTGCAGGATGCGGTACTGTCCTGCGGGACTGGATTCTGAGCTGCTCAGAGGAGGAGATACGACATCGCCGAGGCGAATGGGATGAAAGCCCCCAGCGGTGTATCGTCGGATATCTTCGACGTTGTCATCTGCGTTCCAGTACACAGAGAGCTGCGTCGTGGCTGCCGAGCAGGCCTTGTTAACGCAGGATATATTCATACAATGTCGACTATCTCACTGGACATATTGGACTAGCTTAAGTATAACTGGACTGGGATAGATAGACTGGACATAAATAAACTAGATCTGATATAATTATTCTGTAATATTTAGGCATGATATCAGAATTGTGCCACTTCAACACTCCGGTGTGGTCGACTTACTGCCAACATAGACTTTGACCGTACACGTATTGTCATCAAGATCGCACAGGCTTTATCAGAACATTGACTTCAGCCTTAGACGGCTTACCGGTGGTGGCGAAACTGACGAGCTTTTCTGCCTCAAATTGAGAGGACCGAAGTGTCTTCATGAATCGTTGCTTAGCTAGACAGGACTCTCCAACTACCCATCAATTGATCCATATCATCCCACTTGTGAACATTGCCTCAATACTTATGCCAAACGCACGCTATGTTCTCTCCGTCGACTGTCCTGTCAAGTGGACGGCCGCGCAAGGGCGATCTGTATCCAATGACTACCCTTTCGCGGATATCCAAGCCTCTACATCTGCCGAATTTGTTCAGCGGAGATATCTGGACTTCTTATGGTTACCTGAAGTACGTGCAATCCTCTTGTATGTTCTAGTCTATGATACACCCCGCGGTGTATGTCCGGGAGCGATCCACTTTCTCAGACGCGCGAGCGCACGAGGCGGGATGCATCCCTCCGGAATTCACGTGTCCCTAACCTACCTGTCTCCAGTCTATCTCGCCTCTGCGATGTCTTATCCCGACACTTCTCCGAGCAGCGGATCAAACACCGTCAACCAGCGAGAAACATCCCCTCCATGGTCTCCTCCAGCCAATCTTGCTCACTCCGCGCTTGGCCTCTCAGAAATACCACTCACGGATCAGCCAGATTCTCGAGGACGACAGTGGTACTGGAGATGTAGAAGAGAACATGATATGGTTCGCACTTAAATACGAGAAGGCCGACGAGGAGGAAGCTGCGGCGGCCCAAGGCGACTTTGATGCGGATGATCGGTGGAAACACGAATGGCTAGCTCGTATGGAGCGAAGGGAGTGAGTCCATTGTGGAATCTCTTCGTTACCCATGCTGAGACCGGTCTTAGAGTACAGATTCAGATCCTCCTCCACTTCCTTCTATTGTCTTTGCCTGGTGCTCCGAAACCTCCTGTCGAGCTCACAGCAACAGAGCTTTCCCCACATTTATCATCGCCGAAGAAGCGAAAGCGAAAGCGTTCTGCATCTCCTCCACCCCGTATACTCTCTCTAGAAGAGTGTCTCGAGTTGTTCATGGACAAGATGTCCATGTGGCAGCTCATGACGTCGCTGGAGACGGATGATGACAAGAGAAACGTCCAGCACTCCGTGAACACGAAAGGCAAGAAGAAATCTCTTGATGAAAGGGACTGGATGCAAGCGTTCTGCGAGGACGTCATCGAGAAACAGTACGTGGGCAGGACCTGTCTCGTTCCATTGGATCGGCTCATCTAGACGTCAATCAGGTTTAAGGACAAGCTACCAGAGCTCTGCGCGCTATTCCGTTCGAAAGTTTTCCCGAGCTCCCCATTCACGGACGACTCTGACTCGCAGATGCTCTCCCCGCCTGGCTCACCGCGACGACATTACAGACGTCTCAAGCGCCCTAGCGATTCTTCCAGCTTGTCACGCGCTTCGTCCGTGCGCACCAGCGTTTCACAAACCAGACCGTCCCAGGAGCCACAGAACACACGCTTGCGCTCGCTCTCGGTGTCATTGGAAGAGGAAGGGGCGCGCTCACGATCTGCCAGCATCGGCGCGAACACGATGCAGAAGCGCGTGCTCAATCGCGAGGTGAGCATGACGACCACGTTCAAAGCCAAGGCCGAGGCGAAGGACAAGAAAGACGCGCGGGCGTCGGCCGCTGCGAAAGCCAAGGTAATAGAAGAGCGCAAGAAACTTGCGCGCGCGGAGAGCCAGTGTGCGAAGACAAGGGAGCAGGACAAGGGCGTTATGCTGGTTGCTGCGACGCCTGTCAAGCCGAAGGCTGCGAAGAGACGTGCCTTGCCTAGAGAGCCATCGCAGGGAAGCGATGGTCGAACGGTGCCCCAGTTGCCGAGTTGTGACTTTGGGACCCCTGCTGATGTTGGCTCAGAGGAGGAAGATTGGGTCTTGCCCAGCTCACCAGATGTCCTTTTGCTTGGTTAAGATCGCTGGGCTCGGCAAGCCGGGAACGTGACGTTTCAGATGCGCATACGTGGACGTTTCTCTACTGGCTTATGGCTCCATATGCCAAACGATGCCGTTAAAGCATGTGTATTTAGTAGTAGCAGCGGCATTAATGTGAGGTTGTAAGTGGCTAACCAAGCATACTAGAAGACACTTGATCGCTTGATTCTTTGAGCTGCCAGCTTGAAGAATGTCTGCGATTCACCTTAAGCTTGTCACACGCGTTTGCGGGTATTTCGCGCTTCCTTTGCAAGCATTTCTAGCCAGAGCAATTCGGAAAGAAAAGTAGTGGCCGCGCAGGGCCGCGCTTGGAATCCGTTTTGGTCACGTGATCGTGGTATTTAGATGGTATTGTGAACCTGTTTGTGTTTGTGGGCGGCCATGAAGCTTGACTGCAGCCTCCAGCGTCTGCACAGGACCTCGCATTGTCGAGTGGAACATGGACATCTTCTCGAGGATCAATCGGTGGGTAACGATGTGCAGTTGTGCGATTGACATCTAATTCCTTCGTGACTGGTACAGGCAACCGTCTATACCGACTGGCTAACTCCGAGTCACAGTAATAGTTGAGCACTAGCGTTACACAGCATGCATAGCAATATTTTCCCACTGAAGAAACCGTGAAAATATAGTAAAAGAATATAAAGCCCTGCCTTGGAAAAATGCTAAGAGATATTATGTACTATTTTCCATATTTGGGTAGTATATGCCCATATATAGCAATCTAATGATGGAGGAAGCTTCAATTTCTTCACCATTTTTCCAAATCGAAGCTTAATATGTTTTCAGAGTTTCTCTACTGTTTTCCAATGGAAAAATGTTGCTATGCACGCTGTGTTATATTTTTTGGCGACGTTCGAGTCGGACCCTCGAGGAAAGACACAGCACCTGTGGTGTCCGACAACGACTGAGGTGAGTGCTGCTCTCGGCTGATTCCATTCAAAATCTGCGGAAGATGCGCTCGTCCGTGTGCAGAGCCAGCGTCATCCTAGGACCACTCCCAGTGGCACAGGATGATGCTTGTTATATTTTTCCGACGCGATCGAGTGGCGTGCATCCGCATCTTACGGATAGGATTCACGGATCGACGCTATTACCAGGCCCGATGCTGACCGTTCTGAAAATTTTCTGAAACAACGGTGTCCGCGCGTGGGCAGTAGGTGCGACTAGTGCGGTCAAAGCCGTCCTAAGCATCGATGAGGGGCATGGCGCCAGTAGACCCTGGTCGCCAAGCGCTTTGGCCGGTCGCTCCTTTTTGGTACAACTAGGACAACAGTATATAAGGAGTCATCGTCACCCGAACCGTCTCCATACCACTTCCACATCTCCCTCATCCCTTGATAAGTGATCAGCGTTGCTTAACGTCCATTCGCTCTATAGTATGTCTGCGGGAAACTCATCTCAACAAGATGCTCAATATGAAGCTTGCCACCGGGTGCTGGGCATAAACCAGCTTGTGGACCACATCGTTGGCTCTATCGGCGATGATTATGACGATCACATAGGAACAATGTATAACTTTGCCCTTACCAACAAGACTCTGGCCGACAACACTTTTCGCCACTTGTGGTCGAAGAAGCAAGGCATCATCGATTACATCAAGCTGCTTCCCGACGATATGTGGAGCGAAGCAGACTCTCTGACTGGTGATGGCAAACAGATTGTGCGTATTCCAGTAACGCTGAACGACGTGAGACCTGATCGCTAATGATTGGGATACTCCTCTTTAGGTGCTTCTTCAGGTTGATTTCGAGCGTGCAACACGGCTCCGGGGCTATGCACACCATTTAACAGAGTTCATCTGGGATGTGAATGAAGACTTCCTTTCGAATCCATCGATTTATCGTTTCTTTGACAACATGCCTGAGGGCTTCGTCCTGTTCCCGAAGCTGCGTACCGTCCACTGGCAACATTGCCACCCTCGTTCACTCGTCCTCCTCCCTGGCGTCCTGGGTCCATCCGTGATAGAGCTATATGTCTCCAACTACATTCCTGCATGCGCATGTCACTTCGAGTGCATACCCAAGCGATCCCCCAATCTGCTGCTGCTGGAGATCAGCGGATTCACCGAAGATGATCCCTTGCCCGATGCCATCCTAGACGGCCTGAACCTCAGGACCTTCGAGACAAATTGCCAGATCTCTCCACAGGCCATCCTCGCGCTATCCGCTATGTCTCGTCTAGAGGATATCAGCCTCTCGATCAACGATGATGATGAGTTTGAAGACCTCGAGTTTCCGTCCGACGTGCCATGCTTCCCATCTCTACAGTCGATCAACGTCGACGCACTCTACCTGAACGACTCCTGTGTGGCACTGATAAAGTCCATCAGCTCGTCGACGCTCGAAGATATCCGCGTTGTTACAGCGTACTCCGTCGAGACACACATGGTCTCAGCCCTCGCGCAAGCCGCGTCGGCCCACCGGCTGCGCGGCTTCGCTCTCATCGCGCGCGATGATGTAGATGACCTAGACATGCCTGATTCCGCGTACGAGGTCACTCTCAACACCCTGTCGCCACTCCTGCAGATCTCATCAGTGATAGTTCTCCACCTCGAAATCGCGTCTCTGGCGCTCACGCCCGAACTATTTCACACATTTGGCCGTGCCTTTCCAGTATTGGACGAGCTAGTGCTGTACGTGTTTCCGACACAGTGGCCGACGCTGGATGCCTTGAAGATCATCGCGGACGCGTTCCGTATTCTCAGGAGAGTTGTCATACCGCTCAGCGTGCGCGACATTCCCCCCATCCCCAATGACTGGAAATCTTCTTCGATAGTGTACATGATGGAGATAACATCGGGGCCCGTGCCCAACCAAACGGCCCTCGCTGAATATTTGCAGACTGTGTTCCCTCGCCTACAAACCCCTCGGCATACCATTATGGACGAGTTCATCCACTGATCATGGATAGCGATCATGATCAGCACAATGATTAGTCTCCGTGGTCACAGAGTAGACTTAAATTTGGATTTTATCTGTACATACCTCTTTATTTTCTTTGTTGAACGAGCGTTTTCGTTAATTTATCGGGATGCACGCGATTACTGTGCTAAAGAATAGAATAGCTGCTATATCTTGCTTGCTGTGGTGCTCGTGTTGTGACTGCTCGCGTCAACGAGTTTTAGGAGCCACACACTGTTCCTTTGGAGTAAAGGCGAGGCTTCTCCAGATGAAGTGACTCGGTTTAGTATAACGAGCTCTGCATGTGCAATGCGGCATGATAGGGTATGTTGATATACGAACGTCCTTCCAGGCGCTCTACCTGTGTATCCACTCTAGGCCTAATCCAAGTCATAATGAAACCAAGGCGGCAAGCCCAAACCGCATGCACACCATATGATTCGGTACTCTCCTGTACGAGGACACTTGACAAGCCTCCCGAAATGCGTACGCAAGGCGTGAAGTGAGCAAGTGAACGGCACTGCGAGGCGGCTATTTTGTGAAGGTGCAGATGATCTTGGCTCAGAGATGGGGTAAGATGATAGAGATAATAAGGGAGAGGGAGAGCAAAAGCACAATGAATGGATCCCTGTACCAGTGTGATAGCAAGTCAGCGGTTGCGTTCGACTCAAGACCGACATCTTTTCCTTCCTCTCGAAACCGGCCCTCGAGAGTAGATGGAAAAAGAATGAGCAAAAGAAAGACCACGTACACTCGAAGTTTTGGTGAATGGTTATGGCGTGTCCGTTCTACTTCCTGCAGCTCCTCACTGAGTTTGCGGCGTTCAGCCTCGAGATTCTGGTACCGTGCATCAGCGGCTGCTCTTTCTAGGCGCATATGCTCCTCCATATCGCGGCATGTCCGTTGCAGATCAGCGAGAGCTTGCCTCTCCTTCGCACATCTGCTCAGCAGATGTGTATATTGGTAGAGAAGTAAGTGTGCAGAGCGGAGATCCGCATGCTAAAAACGCAGCAATCAGCGTTACGTTAGGGAGGAGATTGTCTCTCATACCTCGTCAGGCCCTTGTGTCGTTAGCCATTGATGTATATCCTCGAATACCTGGCTTACCTCGGAAGCCAGTGCGCTTGCAGCTACCATACGCGTAAAATCTCTTAAGCTATTGCTGTGCATATGAAGAGCACTCACTGATTGTCACGTTTGAGAGCGCAGGGGTCGCCGACCGATCATCCTCACTGACATACAGTCGGCGAACTTGATCTGGATCGAAGTCTCTCCGGCAGAGAGGGCAGCGCTGTGGGATCAGCAGTTCAAGACAGCTAAGATCACAACAGCGGGAACGGAACATAGACATATCAGATCCCCTGGCATTTACATTCCGGCTAATTACACACCTCAGACAGAACGTGTGCCCACAGGAGATTAAGTGGGGGTCCCGTTCATTATCGTACGTCTCCATGCAGACGTCGCAAGCCGAGGAGGGTTGCAGCACCAGCATGATGGAAGACGATCAGAGCAGCGGGCGAATCAGACGTTTGGTCCGCCTGGCACGCTCCGGTCGCCTGGCCTCTATCGGATGTGCGGCTAGGCAAAGAGGCACGGAGGCATGATATATATATGTGTGTAGACATTGTGAACATGAGGCGCCTAGACATCGTGACCTCCATTCTTCAGTCTTCGCAGCGCTACCGACCGTGTGGGCGGTCTTCCCGAAGGATGATATGGCCTATCTATGATACACCTTGGCCGAGCTGCTCCAGCAGGCTTCGCTTCTGGTGGTCAATGCCACTGGCAGCTGATAGTCGTTTCGATCCCTCCTCGAATGCTCAGCCCCAAGCCATGCAGTGCCTGTTGGCACTGATGATCCCCCGCCTTGCGAGCCCTCGCATAGGCTGTGAAGGCCATCGACGGCCTCGCCGGCGCACAGACTACTTTCGTCACCAACCAGGCCTCTATACAGGTTGCTCTGGGGAATTTCGCTACCTCTTTGCAAGGTGCGGCGCCCGCTTCGGGCACCTCGGGCACCAGCCCCTCGGGTGTAATCCGCTTCAATGATCCACGCACCTTCAACGGTACGCCCGCAACCGTAGAACCCACCATTACTGATCTGTAAAACACCGTGCATCTCGCTCGCTGCCAGCTCGTGTCAGGCTATGACAAGACTTAGATGATAGCTTTCTCCCCCCACCCCCCAGACGGGGTGAACCTCAGGGTGTTCGAGACACATTGCCAGGTCTCTCCACAGGCCTTCCTCGCACTATCTGTTGTCTGTCTGGAGGATATCAGCCTCACGATCAACGATGATGATGAGTTTGAAGACCTCGAGTTTCCCTCCGACGTGCCGTGCTTCCCATCCCTACAGTCGATCAACGTTGACGCGCTCTCCCGGAACGACTTCTGTGTGGCACTGGTAAAGTCCATCAGCTCGTCGACGCGCGAAAATATCCGCGTTCTGGTACGCCGTTGAGACACACATGGTCTCAGCCCTTGCGCAAGCTGCGGCGGCCCACCAGTCGCGCGGCTTCGCTCTCATCGCGCGCGATGACGTAGATGAGCACGACATGGCTGATTCCGCGTACGAGGCCGTCTCCGTAATCATAGAGTAGAGTTAAATTCGACTACTACGTTTCCATACCTCCGTATTTTCTTGAGTATTTGTGAACGAGCGTTTTCGTTATGTTATCGGATGCACGCGGTTTCTGTGCTAAAGGATAGAAGAGCTGCTGTATCTCGCGAACCGCATTCCCGCACAGTTACGCCTTATTCCAGCGGCATGGCGGTCATGTTCTGTAGATCTGGCTGCTCGCGTCGACGAGTTCTAGGAGCCACGCATTGCAGGCATGTCAATCGGATGGCAGCATCCTCTTCGACACTGTTCCCGAGCCTAACGCGAACCGCACGCTGCGTAGAAGATGATATGCGTGGAGCTGGTGCCACTGGAGTAAAGGTGAGGCTTCTCCAGGCACATGAGGGTTGCTGCGATTGTGCCACGCATGCAGCGCGGGAAATCGGTCAGTACGTGGCATAGCGTTTAGAGTAATTTACACACCTGAAGCGCTGCTGAACCCACGATGACGCTTCCCATCGGCGCTGCGTACGATTCGCAAAGACCTGTTGCGTTCCACACGCCGTCCGCATGTTGCATATGGGACGACTCACAGAGATCGCATTGACGTTCACCAGACTCTCAAACATGGCAAACCAGCAACCGCATTGCACAAAGCATGGGTAATATGACTCTGTTTAGTATAACGAGCTCTGCATGTGCAATGCAGCATGATAGGGTATGTTGATATACGAACGTCCTTCCAGGCGCCCTACCTGGATATCCAATTAAGGCCTAATCCAAGTCATCATGAACCAAGGCGGCAAGCCCAAACCGCATGCACACCATATGATTCGGTACCCTCCTGTACGAGTACACACAGGACACTTGACAAGCCTTCCGGAACGCGTATGCAAGGCGTGAAGCGAGCGAGCGAACAGCACTGCGAGGCGGCTATTTTGTGAAGGCGCGAATGATCTTGGCGGAAATATGGAGGAAGAAGATAGAGGCAATAAAGGAGAGGGAGAGCACGAGCACGATGAATGGATCCCTGTACGTGTGTGATAGCAAGTCAGCGGTGCGCTCAACTCATGACCGACATGTTTCCCTTCCTCTCGAAACTGGCCCTCGAGGATAGATGGAAGAGGAATGAGCAAAGGGGAAACCACGCACACTCGGAGTCCCGGTGAATCGTCAGTGTACAGCTTGAGCATGGTGTTTGACGACCCTCCTGCCCCCGCTGCGCGACTCGAGTTCGGCCTTGCGGCTTGTGAGCCTGCCGCTCGCCGTCTACGATCCAATGAATACGTTGCGAATCAAAGCATTGAAGCCAGAGCATGATTAAAGTCAAGCATGCAACAAAGTATGAGCTACGTCCTCGAAGCAAAAGCGTGTCAACGCACCGGATCTGCGCACCAGGAGGTTTCGCGACCCCGCTAGAGCTTGGGCGACCTGCACCGTTTGCACGAGTAGGTTCTGAATCAGACTAAGTAATGGCCATGAGCTTCACAAATCGAAATGCAAGCGCATTCGGAACATACCATGACCGATGGTGGAATGGAGTCAATTAAATGCGCTGGCGACATTCGCAGCTGGGACTCCACGTATTCCACACGTAATGGGCCAATGTCACGCGTGACCACGAGTCCAGGAAACTGTGACTGCCATAGTGACGTGACTTCCCCATAAGGAAGCGACAGTGTTGTTTGACCGTACAAGACTGACGGCCAACTGCACACAGCATTCTGTGCAATTTTATCTTCATTACGGAGGAAACTCATTGTTGTGTGCCAGTCTGCCAGAGCAGTGATAGAACCACTACAGCCGAATCCATGCATCACGTGGTCAACTCCCGACACGGCGGCAACTGACAAGCGCCGGGGAGCGCAGCTGAGCTTCCTGGTCTTTCCAATCACTTCCCAGAAAACCTCGAAGAGATCTCAACATGTCTTTAGTAGGTCGTTTCAGTGAAATTTATGTACTATTGTCTCACCATGATCAGATTCATGCTCTCGTAGCTCATGGCTCCACAGTACTCGCTGAGCATAAGAGTGGTCCAAGGGATTTCTCGCAAGGTAAAAGGCTCTCGATGCTGGAATTCTGACAATCTTTAACAACGAGAGCAGCGACGCAGACAATCCTCTCGAAGATACCTCCAAATAACAGCAAGCTGACCTATGTTTGGGAGCAATACCTGTTCCATTATGTCTCTGAAGGAGGATTCACCTATCTGGTGATGGCCGATGACTCTGCTGGACGGTATGTCTTCTACGGTCATTTACAGTACACGGCATATCTAATTGAAGTGAACCAGACGGATGCCGTTTACATTCCTTGCTGAACTCCAGCAAAAGTTCACCTCCCTCCCCTCCGCCTCCTCATCCGATTCCTTCGCCACCGCGCCTGCCTACTCCCTGCAAGGCACTTTCGGACCCACCATCGCCCAGCTCATGCAGCAGTACAACACGGCACCACCCGCCGACGAGCTCGCCCGCGCACAGTCGGAACTCGCCCAGGTCAAGGATATCATGGTGCAGAACGTCGAGCAGATCCTGTCGCGTGGAGAGCGCATCGAGCTTCTGGTGGACAAGACGGACAACATGGCAAGTCAGGCGACTGCGTTCAGGCGGGGCGCGCGGACGGTCAGGAGGAAGATGTGGTGGAAGAACAAGAAGGTGGTCGGATTGAGCGTTGTGGTCGCACTGGTACGTGCATGCTGCCACTGTCCGTCTTTCGTTCGTTTGCCACTCACATCGTACTCCCCAGGTCTTCACGTGGATTCTTGCAGCACAGGTCTGTGGGGCCGGATTGAGTCAATGCAGGTCGAGCGGCTCGACACCCTGATCCCGTAGCGTACCTCGGCATTCAATGGATCTTTCCTCTCCTCGTCCGTAGATTATCGGATATCTGCTGTTGTATAATAGGATATGTTCTTTATTTTGTGCTCATCAACAATGCCTCTGGTTGAGCAACAAATCAATGGTGCATATTGCGACCACGAGTGATTCAAATGCCACAGAACTTAAAGTTGACCATCATCACCTCCACGTAGTAGACTGCATCGCCACGTTCACCGCTGACCTTTCCGTGTGCCCCTGTATTGCAAAACATCCACACTCCTTCAGTGCTTCGGAATTGTCTGCCTTGTTTCTCAAAAATCTCATTTGTTCACGACATTTCCCTTCGCCGACTGTTGAACGTTGAGATCTCACATCCTGCAGCTGGCATTTCTCTTTCACCTTCAACCCCTACCGCATTTCTGAGCTCCAAGATGTCACCGACGGCTCAATACTCCATCATCGTGCCCGCCTATAAAGAGGCGGGCAACCTTCGCCCACTCGTCACCCGCATCTTCGCCGCCCTGAACCGCGTCGACTCGCCCGTGTCAGGACAGCTCGTCGAGGTGATCATCGTCGACGACAACTCGCGCGACGGCTCGGTCGAGGTCGTCCAGGCGCTGCAGCAGGAAGGTTACAACGTGCGCATCATCGTGCGCACGACCGAGCGCGGCCTCAGCAGTGCCGTCGTGCGCGGATTCCAGGAGGCGCAGGGAGACAACCTGCTATGCATGGATGCGGATTTGCAGGTGAGTGTGGGTATTGGTGACTAGCTGTGCGGTGTGCATCCGTGGATGCATGGGGTGCACGCCGGGCAGTGGTCGGTATGCGCAGTTGCTGAACTATCGTCGCCAGCACCCACCAGAATTTGTGCCGCAGATGCTTGCTGCGCTCTCACCTATGAGACAGTTCGTATTAGGTACACGATACGGTGGAAACGCTGGTGCCGTGGACGAGGGCTGGCCCTTGTACCGCCGTGTCATCTCTGGCGGGGCACGCATGCTCGCGCTGCCATTGACATCCGCAAGCGACCCCATGTCCGGATTCTTCGGTATACGCAAAGAAGCGGTACGTGCTACGTCGTGGCTCCGTTCATTCTTCCACTCACAAATGCCCGCCAGTTCCTCAAGGCTCGCAGTCTCAACTCGCAGGGCTTCAAAATCGCGCTCGACCTGCTCGTCAAGGCGCAGATCCCATCGCACGCGATCGCCGAAGTGCCTTTCTCATTCGGCTTGCGCACTGCTGGCGAGAGCAAGCTCACTGGCAAGGTCATGGTGCGCTATCTCGAGCAGCTGCTTGAACTCTATTGGTACAAGTATCACGGCCTCTTCGGCTTCGTCGTCTTCTTGTTCTTCGTATTGTGCGTGCTGCTCTACATATGGTATTATAATGGCGCCAGCATGGAGATGAAGAAGGGAACAGTCATGACGGCGCGGTCGGGGGAACACATTAAGGGTCGATGGTCATGAGGTGTCGAGTGTTTGTATTGAGTGATATGTACGTTGTCATAATACTGTCTCATAATATCCTCGCTGGAAGTTTTGAATCACTCAGTCGTCGCTGCTGCATCCCCGAGACGTGAGTTCGGTCTTACCATTCACCCTCGGAAAACAAGGTAAAATCGCGACCAGGAAATTCTATCTGGCAAAGAACCTCATATTACACTGGAAAAGGTTCCATACTGCCGTAGGAGGGATACGATCACACGGTTTGTGTGGACAGGTCTGTGCACCACAGTAGCCTGCCGCGCGACATAGGGTGTACATCGCTTCTATTCCTTCTTGTATTCGATGCGTCATGCTGACATCCCAGATTGCTTGGATTCTCCTCATCGAAAGAGCGAGACACGTCTCCTCAACCACATCGGCGGAGAAATCGGCTCTTCCTTTGGGTCGAATAACGTCAGCAGCTAGTGGAACCCCTTAGCTAGAGCCAGCCCATTGAATTTGTCAGCTTCGTTGGCTAGTGTGAGTTCAGTGGTACGATCCCCGTCTCTTCGAAGGCTTCCTGCGGTCACATCATAGACACGTTGTATTAATGACCGCGAGTAGGTGCCTGAGGATATGCGTATAGGCTCGTCTTATCTCACAGAGAGAAGGTTCGTTCTGCAGAAGCGAATCATGAATGATGTAACGCTACGTTCATTATTGGTGCCAGTTAGCTTGATCGCCGTGAAAGTACGGAGACATGAATAGAATTTGGGATGGATGACCAGGACCGCCATAGGAATACGTTGTGGCTGCCTTCGTTGGACTGTGGAATATAGTTTCTGGGTGTACAGTGGGACATGACCGAAAACAGCTAGCTGACGGAAGTTGCATATCACCGAATCCAAGGAAATGGGTTCGCAGATTATGGGCGCCTCATGAGAAATGAAATGATGAATCTCAGCACGATGGGCTGGTCGACATGGTATAAACGAATGTTAGTACATCAAAGATAGATACATCATGACAAGATGGTTCGAGAGCATTCGCTCGCGACAGAGAATGAGATGTAGGGCATTTGCAATAGGATATGCCGATCTACCTTCACCACGATGCGAGTCCCATCCCGTGGGGCCTCTGGCGGAGATTACACATCCAGCTCATGAGACCCTAGTGGGTTCCTGAGTAGCCCACAAGCTGCGTGTCAGACCAGATGCTGCCGCGTGAGACGCTCCCGTCTTAAAGCTTTCGGTAGATATTTTACGAGATTGCGAAGGTCTCAGAGGCTGAGACGAGCTCTGTGAGGGTGGTAAGATGTCACGATCCCTTGGTAGGGGCATCTGAGACGAGGGTTGGGAGGCAGCCTGAGGAGCGGTCGGGGACGCATTCGTGCTTGTAGAAGATGAACGAGCTCGCTGAGCAGCCTTGGCAGCCTCGCTGGCCCATTGCACCGTACTCGGGCGATGCAAGGTACTCGAACGAGACAGCGATTTAACTGTCGAAGTGGGATTTTCGACCTCGGAGGAGTCCTGCTTAGCAAGGCTCGAGTCGATGGCTCTGTCAGAAGAGGGAGAAGGATCATTGAGCAAGTCACGCAGCTGAGCGCACGCCCGCTCGCGCCGCTCCTCCTGCTCACGAGAGTTGACCATAGACCCAACGGATGGTCTGTGAGCGTCAAGAGGTCTAGAAATGACCGGCTCCTGGCGTTCGCGCATGGAAACATTAAGGATAGACGAGCTCGGAGAGCACGAGCAGCTCCCCATGTGGACATCGAGAATGCTGCGGGTGAGAGACTGAGACATAGGGTCGTCGAGTCGGCTGAGAAGGGAGGAGCTGCTCGGTGCACGATGGATGCTATGTTTCATTGGAATCGGTGGAGTCGATCCGAAGACATAAGAACCTGTCATCATCCTCTCCCCCGCTTTATCTTTGTCGTCATTTTGATCATCCGATCGCTCCTTCAGAGGGGGGAAGACGGGTGTCGGCAGCGATGGGATGGGTAACGTCGGCGGAACCGGCGACAAGCGGAACACATCCTCTTTATTCCCGACCTGGACCTTAATCATGTTCGTAGAATCTTTTTGACGTTCATCAGCGTCTGGGAGCAGTTCGAGGCTCGAAATGTTCCGGTCAGCAGCGTAGAAGTATCGTGTTTCCAGAAGGCGAGGTGGAGTGGGGAGGGGGTTGTGGCGTGTCCGTTTTAGTTCCTGCAGCTCCTCACTGAGTTTGCGGCATTCAGCCAGACAAGCCTCATACTGCGTTCAGCAAGCAATATTAGTATCTTAACCCGGCACACAACGATCATGCTTACTTTCCTAATAAGACTAGGTCAATCACTCGTGATGATCCAACAGTGTCGAACTCTTACCCGCTCCATTCCTTGTCCATCTCGTCGTGCCGCTCTCGCAAGCTCTTCTCTGCTGCCTGCGCAGCTGCTTGTTCTTCAGCCCTTGATCGCTCGAGATCCTGGTACCGTGCATCAGCGGCTTCTCTTTCTAGGCGTATTTGCTCCTCTATATCGTGGCATGTCCGTTGCAGATCAGCGAGAGCTTGCCTCTCCTTCGCGCACTTGCTCTGCAGGTGCGTATATTGATAGAGAAGTAAGTGTGCAGAGCGGAGATCTGCGTGCTGAAATCGCAGCAATCAGCATTACGTTAGGGAGGAGATTGTCTCTCATACCTCGTCAGGCCCTTGTGTCATGAGCCATTGATGTACGTCCTCGAGTACCTGGCTAACCTCCGAAGCCAGTGCGCCTTCACGTACTATACGCGTAATTCTCTTCAGCCATTGCTGCGCATGTGAAGAGGACTCGTTGATTGTCACGTTTGAGGGCGCAGGGTTCGCCGAACGACCATCCTTACTGACATGCAGGCGGCGAACTTCACCTGGATCGAAGTCTCTCCGGCAGAGAGGGCAGCATCGTCGGGTCAGCAGGTGCAGACACCTAAGATCACAACGGCGGGAACATGGACATGTCAGATCATCTGGCGTTCACATTCCAGCTAATTGCACACCTCAGACAGAACGTGTGCCCGCAGGATATTGAGTGTGGGTCCCGTTCATTATTGTACGTCTCCAGACAGACATCGCAAGTCGAAGAGGGGTGCAGCACCAGCATGACGGAAGACGGGATCAGAGCAGCGGGCGAATTAGACGTTTGGTCCTCCTGGCATAATAAGCTGAAACGCTCCGGTCGCCTGGCCTCTGTCGCGTGTGCGGCTAGACGAAGAGGCAAGGAGGCATGATATATGTGTCGACATTGTGAACATGAGGCGCCTGGAGATCGAAACCTCCAGTCTTCGCAGCGCTACCGACCGTGTGGGCGGTCTTCTCGAAGGATGATATGGCCCTATCTATGGTACACCTTGGCCGAGCTGCTGGCTTCGCTTCTGGTGGACAGTGCCGGCGAGATTCGAACACACTATTCCGAGTGGAGTCACAATTGGAACATTGCGTTCGGATCATGCCAATCTTTGAACATACAACGTATCACGAGGGGTACAACACAAGAGTTTTGGTTTTCGGAGCTTCCAGGAGGTCCACGGTAGCCACCCCCACGAAACGAGCGTATGGCGGGAAGCAGCTGATCGGCATCCGATTTGGGCGTCATGAGCCTCATGTTAGCAGCATGTTCCGTGATGGTGGGATATGACAAAAGGACCTCAGCGTTCCCAGGAGGCCATCCAGTAGAGGGCATAGTAAGCGGGTCCTCAGCATGGTAAGAGCAGAATGAGCTGCTAGTAGAATGGTAAAATGGCAATATTTCGAAATCAAAATAGATTTACGTTGGCAGATTGGCGATGTTGATACCACTCAACAGTGAAAACTGGTCGTTCTATGTAGCCAGGTAGATGCTCGAAGGATGGGAAATGAAGCCCTTGCACATGGTCAAGGCCTAGGGAAGATGTGCCTCCATCGCCGATCAGGGTTACGGAAGCTATTCTGTGCGCGTTCGCATGGGGTTGAACCAGACTGCATGTAGTAGGCGAGACCGAACACGAAGATTGAAGAATGCCAATAGAGTAAAGAATCCTGAGACGCGCTGATCTGAAGCACTTGAGGGATGACGCGTATTGACCGCTTCGCCAAAGGTCTCTGGGAACGTACAAGGCATCTGCAGAGTGGGAAGGCTATTGTCTCCACCTTGACATTGGCAGTCTAGGCCATGAGCGAACCATCCGATGGAAAGCAATAAGACGAGATGGGCCACATCCAGGCATCAGGAACGTCTTTCTATTGCATGTCAAGCTATTGACAGTCCGTTGAGAGAGTTTCTCGGCGAACCGGTGGGCATATTCATTCTACAGGGTTCCTGGGACCCACTACCGTTGCTACCTCGATTCCTAAGAACTGCCGAGGAGAAGATGAAAGTAGATGTGGCCATAATGTCAGCAGGCGTTATTCACCCCGGTTTCCAATGAGACGTGTCAGCCTAACCAGGCGATGAATTATGCTGTGCGTGGGGTTAAAGAAGCCTTCTCGATCCCCGACAGCACCGCTCAGTAGGCCCACGAAGCCTATCCAAGGAAACGACGATCCGCCAGCATAGATCGAGTATGCTCGGCCTTATATTGATCCTTGATAGGAAAATTGGCGCACTGAAAGCTTCACGGACCTTGCATTCAAAACTTTTAGACATTCGACGATTTTGAGTTGCCTCGGTTCGAGTGGATCGATATTGGCTGTCCCAGGTCGGGCCGAATTTTGTCGGCATTGAATAGCGCAAGGTGCTTAAAGGCAGCGGCCAGACGCAGATATTGCTCACCGGAGTGAACTATAACTGCTTCCGTTGCGAATTGAAATGTACGACGGGGCTTCCACATTTTGTCCAAGCCATTAGCTACACGGCAGGCGTTTGCATTTTCGTGGAACAGTATTTTGAATGAATCGGCAAGCTAGCAGTTGTCGCATAGACCAGAGTGGCGGTCGAAGAGGGAGACCGTGACAGACCGTGACATCGCTGCGCTGTGAGGCTGTGACGAACGAATGAATGGTGGTTGTCACGAGCGCTTTCATGAGCACCCTCGAGTCCCCCTCATCCAGACTCGTCTTCCTCCTCGCAAACAGCACTACTCCTTTCTCTGAATTGTTTTCTGCTTCAACATCCAGCGCTTCTATTAAAAAAGCTGAATGCCTGTGAAGCTGTATCATGTCCGGCACACACCAGCTCGAAGGGCTGTGAAACTAACCTCGGGTCTGATATTCCTGTCTCGTCCAGCTATGACTACTAAATTGACGCTTTCTTGATCATACGCACTCTGAAGCTGAGCGTCGAGTACTCAAACGTACTTGCACGGTTCTCATGATCAAAGCTGCAGAGCATTTCTACTTGGTTATCTCTCGCACTTCTGGGAAATTCGGTGACTAGCTAGAGCACCACATCTCCCTGCGTATGCCGTTTTCCTAGTTGATCTTGGCTTCGCTACAGGCGACAAGGCATATGTTCCTACCGAATCTCCTGCCAGCACTAGGCCGGTACGTGAAGTGCTAACTGATGATCTGGAAACGCTGCTGCAATTCCTCGACTCGGAATTATGCTGAGCCGAAGACCTTACGCCTTGCGAGGGCGGTTGTGTCGCATGACCATCGAACCATCGATAATAGGGCGAATCAATGGGACCTATATACACCGTCGTTCTGGATCTCATATCGAGTTTCTAACTCCTACGCTTTCTACATAGACAGACTCCGGGATGAAAGATGGCGGACTTAGCGGGCAAGCCGAATGTTGGATACTGCCGACCCTCAGACCCTTACAGACACTCAGGTTGTATGCAGCTTCATTCAAGCCATCATGCATCAGTATTCGCGGTCTAGGATGATCCGAACCATCTGATCAAGAGTCCGCACTGTTGGATTCGGTCCAAGCGTTCCGGAGTCCTCATGTTTTTGATGTCCAGCCCTCCGGCCCTTCTTTTGACTGTTCAATAGATACTCGGCCTCTCTTTCACTCGAGCGCATGCAGAGACAGAATACAATGTAGGCTGCTTATACAAAAATACATCATGCGTCTAGAGGAACTGCCTTTTAGATGAAAACCTGACATATGGCATGTGGAAGAGCTCGATGTGCTGCGACCATTCATGACGATCAGAATGATCAGTGTGGTTGGCAACATTGTTGATGAAGCTTCCGATGATGAATGCCATGGTTATGTTTGAGAACAACCTATCAGTTGCCCTGCTATTCTACATGAATGAACCTCTTATTTTCGTGAAACGTATATCTGAAGAGACACATCCTGAATGGGCGAACAATTAATTGAAACCTGCCTTTTATGGTGTCCGTGATCCTACATCCACCCCGTGCCTCGTGGCTGCCTCGAAGTTCCCACCCTCGCCCATGACCCTCTGCAAGTTGTCATGCTTGTAGTCCATCCATCGTCGACATGCGACGTCTGCCTCGACGGGTATAACTGGACCACTCCCGCTAACGCTCCCCATGCCATTGCGTGTGGCCATGTCTTCTGCTTGCAGTGCGTCTGAGGTCTATGCTCCTGGCATGCAGATTCTCACAAGCAGTGTAGATGTCTGCACTCACTCAATCCCAGTAATTGTCCTCTATGTCGCAAAGCTTTCCAGCCGGATCGCATCAAGAAACTCCATGTCGATCGAATCTATCCGGGCCAAGATCAAGACGTGACAAGCGAGGAAACCGAGCTGCTCCAACGCGTCGCTCTTTACTTTGGAGAGAATACATCAGTGGAAGATGTGAATGCTGTGATTGACGAGGTCAACGCATGGCTTGGTGCACGGCCAGATAACGATGGCGCGGTGAGTAGGAGCTCATGCCTTGGCAATGGTCTCGTCCTGCTACTACGACGCGGTAAGAGCTTCCAATAAATTCGCGAGTGACGATTTCGTCGAGTGTAATTTTCATTCGTGATCGTCGCGAATCCAGGGGAAACGTCGTGATCCGTAGTTGTTCATGAAGTCCTACGCGACTTTGGCAAGGGATATGGCGTTTATATTTTTATGTCCGTCCGGTGTGTATGGGATCATACCCGCTCCGGACGCTTTTCTTGACCTGCACTGTATTCGTTCCTCGGAATTAGCGACTGATTCTCGTCGTTTCAGCACAGGAGTCTACGCTCAGCAGCCGATGGACTCCGCGACTATTGGGATTTGCAACGACAATTATCGTATGAGAAGGAGGAACATCGTGAAACGAAACAAAGTTACAGGCAGAGGTTGCAATTGAAGGACGACGATCTTAAAAAGGCCCATTTAGTCGAACAGAACCTCCTGGAGCAGATGGAGAATGCGGAAAAGGAATGGAAGATGTGAGTGGTCTTGTTTGTCTATCGAATGAGACAGCGTAATTATGCAGCTGCTTGCCCTAGGAAGGTATGCTTTCGCGCCTTGGAGCACAAGGCCTTGCTGACCGTGCATTAGCTTACGCGAGCCAACGCGGAGATCGCGCTCCTACGGAGCGAACAAGTGCGGAGCCATGATCGTCGCAAGCTAGAAAGACCCGAGGTGCAAGTACCACGTCTGGACCTATCGCGCTCGGAAGGCGCCTCGAATGCCCTCCCTCAACTTCCACGGACTGCCAGTCCTGAACGCATCCCATCTGTGATGCGATCTAACACCTCATCAAGTCGACGCTCGTCGCGCAGAACAGAGCCCACTCCTGGACCTTCTGGATCAGCCAACACCATTCGATCACAGACACGACGCCTGAGCTCACCAGGGCCGTTTCCCGGGCCGTCTTCCATCCTGCAAGAGGGTGACGATGAGTCACGGAGAGACAGGTCTCTCCTACCACCTTTGATCGTTCCAGGCGCTCGTCCGCACGAAAAAATCGTTCCCCCGCGCCCGGATGGCTGGTTCGGATCGTTCAAAAGCCCAAGCGCTACTATCAACTCGCGCTCGACGCGCTTGTCCAACGCGACTCCGCCGTCCGCAAGTGCTGGGGCAGGCCCCTCTTCAGTGTCTCCTACAGCGTATGGCTGGCAATATGGAGCCGCATCTGATGGCCGCTATGGATACTACACGGCGCCGTGGCCGCAACCCTCGAGAGCGGTGTCCGCTGTGGACAACGCCGGTGCGCCTTCTAGTTCGTTGAGCAACCCTCCGCGTCCGCTTGCATACCCGACGTATGCAAGCACTTCGTATACAGCACAGCAACCTATAGCAGGTCCGTCGGGCACAAATCGGTCAGACTCAAGCGGCAGCCATACTGTCCGCAATGCGCCAGCGATGCCCAGAAGGACGCCAAGCGGACGTTCTCGGCGCGAAGACACCATCTCTTCGTCTAGGACGCCACGCGGAGACGCCGTTGAGACTTCTCAACCGCACGAAGAGCCCCTATCCAGCGCAACTCTCAATAGCATGACTCTCCTCAATCCTCCACCAAACCCCCAGATGGGAGACCAGCCGCCTGAAGTGAACGAACGCCGAGATTTGCTTGATTTACTGCGTGACAGCTCCCCAGCGCCGTCTCCTGCGTCAACCTGGGGAACGATCAACTCCTCGGATCTTCCATCGCGCAACTCTGCAAGCTCAGACCTAAGTGTTGGAGACCTTGGCTTGATCGGCTTGCCAAACGACAGCGCGTCCAGTTTGAGTGTCGGCGACCTAGGCTTGGTGGGCTTACCGAGCGGATCCCGCGAGCTTCTCACTGACAGTGAGGATGATGAACCTGCTGTGATCCCACCACCGAATCTAGGCGAGGATGATGATCTGCAAACGACGACTCCCACGTCTAGACCGTTTGCTCGTTCAGCTGGAAGCGAGACGTCTCTTCTGCGACCGCAAATGGGGAATCACGACCGAAGCGCCGGCTTAGGGTTCAACGCAGGCATCGACCACAGTGCGTCACACGAGATAATCAGCGGACCACAAGACCTGCGCTTCGTGAGCGACTCGCTCCTGCAATTTGCGAATGAAGACAGCACGAGCCGTGGCGGTCGGGCAAGTCAGGCAGACCATCGCAGCAGACGCTCTTCCCACTCCAACGCAGATGATGCTCCGGACACCATCGTGGGCGCGAGGACGGGTCTCGCTTTGTACAGTTCTCGTCCACAATCAAGGCCCGATGAGTACGGGGCGTCATCGTCGCAGTCACGACCTGCCTTCTATAGAGGCTCCAGTACGCCATCTTCCCATCGCTTCGATCGCGGAAGCATGAGCGACTCGGAGCATGTGTACGCTTTTTCTCAAGGGTCGTCGACGAGCGGAGCCGGATACGTTCGTGACCAGTCGAGGACCAGCGAGCGCCGACGTCACACGACTATGGCAGACAATGTTGCATCCTCACCTCACAGCCACTGGATTCCTGAGACTGCCATACCCCAGTCGCCAACCGTGTTCCGCTCCGCTCACGATATTGCGCCGCCGTGGAGTGCGGTGTACCAGCCAGTCGTGTCTCTTATGACCAGCCGAAGCACTGCATATCAACCGGTTAGTGATGCCATGCGTTCGCAGAATATGAGTTATCGCCCAGTCGCCCCTCCCTTCTCCGGCACCAATTCCGCGTATCGACTTGCTGGAGATGTCATCCAGCCAGCAAGTGTCCTCCAACATGCTATACCACCATCTCCGCCGAACCAAACAAGCGCATCTATATGGGCACATTACGCTCCACCTACCCCATCTATCCGTGGATCCACTTCTCGGCGGACATCGACCAGCTCACGCGTGTCGGACCGCCAGATCCCACAGGCACGCTATGGGTCTCCTCCGAACAGCGTGTTGTTTGGCGCTGCCCCTGAAGCTCCGACGATCTCCACCTCTGATGGCTTTGTGCCTTCCCTGGGCCAGAGCTCCCTCTTGCTGTCCTTCCCCGCTGCGTCGTCCACTTCGTCGGCCGCTGTGACGGGCAGAGGGGAGAACTCCGCGATACATGCTCCTGCTCCTCGATCTGCTGGTAGCCAGCACAACAGTCTGTTTGCGTTCTTGGGTCCGAGGCAGCAACGATAGAGCACAACTGGCTTCTGCCTCCGGAACATATAACGTTTAGGAAGAGATGATGAATCTGATGACTTGATTTAGGATCGCATGTCAAGTACGACTAACTATCTAAAAGTGCTGATCGCACGACATTTCAAGGATTTTTATGTCTGTCTTTCGGGCTCGCTGTAGATACCTTGTATCAATACCCTCTATTCTTGAAGAATTATTATCTAGTATGTAGTTCGTTCCCAAGTCGATAGTTCAGGACAAGACGAGAAACTTACGTCGAGTAGGCATATTGCGAGAGTCAGAAGTGTGCTCCGTGTTTTTTAAGCTGCTGCAGAATATCGACAAGTTCGCCATTATGCAGATCGCTTGTGTTCTCCACGTCAACGAGATATTTGGCAAGAGCATCTGTTGCCTCAGCACGCGCAGATAAGAGGGGTCGCATTAGCCTGCGAAACGACGGCGTAGGAGGGCGAGGTTCATTCTGGTTGGCAGGGCGACTACCGTTGCAAAAATCGTTGTCGATGCTGTGGCCGTTTCCGTTAGGCTGACCAGTCGAGGTCGGAGGGGAACGACGCTTGAGGAATGGATTCACAGGAGGAAGAGGAGGTTTGGCATATTGCTGCAGCTCGTCCGGTGTGAGGTCCGCTGTGCGGGGAGACAGAAGACCGATGAGGAGCTTCAATGAGGCGACCAGCCGCTTGAATCTGAGGGATGCGATGGTTAGTTCTAGCGTGGCAACCAACGAGTCAGGCTTGCGCTCACTGTCTATAATTTGCTGTGCGGCATGGAAAGGATATGTATGAGGTGTCGGATATGTGGGGAATGAAGACTCACTTCCGACAAGTCTATTGTGCCATTTCGAGAGGAGCCAAGCAACGCCACAGATGCTGACCAAGGACTGAATGCCGCTCTTAAGGGGGCCGCCCGGACACAACAGCCATACTGCGGCTCGCCGCAGGACTTGCGCGACAGGATCCTTGATGCCGTTGCTTTCATTGCTAAAAGCGACAGACATCGGCAATCGCTGCAAGACCCGCACTAAGAGGCTTCCAGCGACGCCATACGAGATACCAGCACCGATCATCCCGAATACCGCTTTGAACTGAGCATGTGTCTCCTCCTCATAAGGGCTAGACAGGACGCGCATGCCGAGGTGAGCAAGCAAGTATGCGGGAATGTGCACGAGGAACACCGGCAAGAATAACAGGAAGCGGAAGCGGAGGAACGTGCCTGCCAGCTCTCGAGAGAACGTGAGGAGTGCTTCGCCTGTGGAGGGCGCCCGAGGCGAGAGCGAATCCGGGAGGACGGCTGAAAGCGAGCTGTGCGACAAGGAAGTGAAGTTCAAGAAGGAGTAGTACCGCAGAAGAGTTCGCTTCACTCTTCGGAGAGAAGCAGGCCCGTCTGAGACAGAGAATAGTTTGATCAATCTACGCGAGGCCTCTAAGAAGATCTGATAATCATCGAAGACACATCGACTTACTGCTGGCTGATTTGAGCAAAATTTGCCATCGGAATGTTCCGCTCGTCCTTCCACAGGATATCCCGCGCCATCCTTGCGGCATGGACGGTGTCCCTGTATTCAGCGAAACTCAGATGCACGCGAGCAGAAACAAAAGTTGATCCCGGAACATGACACCCACCAATCCGGCGCATTGATTGTGAGCGCCACCATCCTTCTCGCGATCTCCTTCGTAAGCTTGCGGACTGCTTCCCTTGTGTCTGCGTCTGAGGGCGAGTCGGGCCCGGCCTCCGGGAGGTACCGTTCTGCAAAAGAGACCACATCGATGGGAGTTCCCCATCTGCACGACCGCATCGATTGCAATCAGGAATAGAGATGACAGAGATGATAAACGTAGATTGAGGTATACCTAACAGACATCTGACATTCAAACCGAGATTGAAGCCGTAAGCAAAGTTGTAGGTGCAGAGAGCGGTTCGACGGGTACTCACTCGACTCAGGTACCGAGACTTATCCGTATGCACGATCCCTACCGGAATAACCATCAATCTGCCATAACCATCGTCTGCACGTCGACTTTGATCGTGGCTTCTCCGCCATCGCATATACTCCAGTGCAGCCCAAGCCGCGCCGTCCTTCACCTGGGCGATGTGGGGCTCCGTGTAGCTCGTACCCTCTGGAAACACACCGATCGCCTCGCCACGGTCCAGTGCAAGAAATGTCTGTCGAAATAACGCTTGCTTCGAATCAGAAGCGCTAGCTGAGGAGTTTGCTTCGGTACCGATGTCGCTGGAACGAGTGCTGTTCGGGTTTCGATGGACAGGGATGTTCCCAGATAATACGAGAATAGCTCTTGCGATGGGATTCTTGAACAGCGAAGCCTTCGCCCAGAAGCGAAGCAATCGACACCTAGGTATCGTCGAAGCTTCAAGGTGTTTGGTCAACGAAAGCGATGTGAGAAGCTAACGAAAACTTACCAAGAGTAGCGATGTCAAGAATTTCATTGTGATGACATGAAACGCTAAGTATCGTCATCATCATCTTGGACCAACAACATTGTGAGGTGAGCACCAGTCTCAACGTACACAATGATAGGTCCGTCACTTGGGACGTTCTCCTCACCAACAACCTGTATTTCAGAGTAGAAGGAGAGTGCCCAGTGCGATAGCTTTCGTAGAACCCGGTAGACAAGCTGAATCTCCATTTCTGCTCGCAGCTTCAGGAGGCGTATGTCGAGGCTGATAGCGAAAGGTCGAGTTGAACATTGCGTACACGCGGCGCATCACGCGCCGTGACAGGAACCTGTCAATGGTTTCAAGATGGAAATTTGCTGGCCATAAGTGAGGATGCATTTGCTGTCCCTTGGAGAACGAGTTCAATAAACTGGAACTCAAGAAAACACGCGAAGAATAACCAGCGTAACGTTCAGACAGGAAGCATCAATGTCACCATGAGGCTCTTGACGAAGAATGTTGTGGTGGCGCATTGATGAATCTTGACATCACGTGCATGTGACTTTACGCGTGGCGGGCCTCATATTCTCTACTAGAGGCAAGAACAAATCAAATTCATTAATTAGCGGAACTACTTTCATCACATGTGCACATTCAAATGCAGCTGTGGAGTAGGCTTGCGGCCGCTGTAAGTGGCGCTTCCATACGTACATGTTGAATAGTGCGGCTTTACAACGCCATATGTTCTCCACTAAGACTCCATGTTCTCAGCGCCGCGTTAATTTTAGAGCAGCATGTGCACAATTTGAAAAGGGCGGTGTGTATACATAGCAACTTGCAATCGATAGCAGTGTATGGACCTACGGTGACGCATCACAGTTACAAGCTCCAAGTCACGAAAGAACGAACAGCTCATAGCGAGGGATCAGCATATCACATTGTGCTCGTTTCCAAAGCATCATGGCTAGGAATGGCCGAAGACTGCTGCCAGCTGGCCCAGGTTTCATTCGCTTGCGCTATCACATCAGAGTAGGTTGAGTCTCCATCCGAAGCCACTCAGATTCTTCGCGCTAGGATCCGGCCCCACATGACGAATTGGATGCACTATCTTCGGAAGGAGCCTCTTCTGCGTTTGAAAAGTCGCAAGGTCACTCGATTGAGGAGTCGACCACCGACGACGAGCTGGATGAAGTCATCTGACGTTTTGACGCTGTATCATCTGCATCCGAATGCAACGAAAGAAGCGGCTGCTCGTGATGCAACCTCGTCTGAGCAAGTCTCCTCTGCACGTGAACGGTGTGGGTCTTTGTCAATAGACGAATCGAGCGGCGAGAACCGTGGGGTAGGACTCGTGTACGAAAAACCTGGGGCCCTGAACACAAGTCCTTAGTTAATTGAGTTCGCGAACTTGCGTAACGTTCTTATGAGCATACAACGTACGTCATGGCCACACCGTGCGTTCCAGGAGTGATGTCAAACGGAAAGCGTGATGTGTGATCGTCAGCATTGCAAGCTCTGCTTTCCACGAACTCCTGTGTGTTTTAGGATTCCCTTCTTGATTCAGAGTCATATACGGTTCCGATGAGGATCGCCCAGTCAGAAAGGTCTTTAGAATTGTGCAGACCGTAGATCCCTTGGACGTCAGAATATTTGAAGCCTTTAAATCGCGAGAGGAGCCATGTTGCCGCGACATACGCACAGAGCACAAGTGCGGCGTTGACGTTACTGATAGGAAGAGAATGAGTGAGCGCGAGGGGAATCTCGTGGACGGACCAACGAGCATATATTGGAAGGCAAATACTGTGTTCGTCGTAGTCGTGTATTGCATATTTGCATCCATTAGTGCCAGGTTTTCTTTAGGTGATGCAACTCGAAAGTCGGGGATTATTGAGCTTTCAGATGATTGGATTGACCTGCGAATGTACGTCCCCGGTACACCATCCAAGACATTTGTTACAGCGCAGTCTGCGACAGTCTTGCCGTCCCGATACTACAGCTGGGATTGGATCATTTGATTAAGAGACATCTAGCTCCGTCGTTTCATCGAGCTTCCGTATGAGAATCGTTTTGTGGCATCCTTTCGAAAAACAAAAGGTAGGAAGCATTTCAAAGGGGACTGCAGGAGCAAAATCCAGGCCATTAAGAACAGAGTAACTTCCAGTAGTATGCGATCCAGACGCGATCGCATGGTCTTCCCGTGAAGTAGGCCACCTTCACTGGCTGCTTCAATCCTATCCGCTTCCATCGAAGGTTCTTTCAAGAGGCCTCAAGATCCTATTCAAGGGATGCAGAAACACGCATACTAACCACAACTGAGGAGCCTGCAAGCTCTTCCTTCCCTGTTCGAACTCGTCCAAGAAACGAAAATTGCGCTCACGCAACCGGTATGGTTTGGAATCCAATAAAGCGCGATGTTTCCAGATTTGAGAAGGTCCGTAAGCTGCTAGGTCTTTGTGCATAAGTTGTTCAGCATCGTTGACCGAAAGTTCGTCGGGTTCCGAAATGGCGCCACTTATCAGTGCAGGAACGGACTGAGTCGAGGCGGAAAAGGACTTCTGGTCTCTCTGGAATCCTACGAAGTGTATCAGATTTGTAACAGTAGCCCATGCGGATGGATCTGTAAAGTCCTAGTCATCCGTCAGTATCGTGCTGTGTATGTAGTGGATCAAGAGTTGGAGTCCAGATAGGCGCTCGCGATTACCTGCTCAAATTGTCTTGCCAGCCACTGCGCGAACGTTCGCTATACACTTTGCGTTCACTTGTCAATTGCACAAGCTACTAGGCGCGTGTATGAATCTTTCAAAAGCAATTTCCTAGTACTGAACTATGTAAGTGGGCATACCCCATCCAAACGTAATTTCTGGAGGAGCCTCGCGACCGTGGCATTGAACGGTGAACCTCTCGGGAGCATCGGCTTTCATCCAACGTGGTGTGACGTTATGAGCTGGTCCTCGTACAGACTGTCTTCAGAGCACTCTCGCACCTCGAAATAAGCCTAAGTCATCACATGAACATGTATTCACATCATTCGTAGTATCGTACTGCGTATCGTAAACCATTCTAATCGTAAGATCCGTAAACCGTCGTCAAAAAAGGAAACAACAAATTGCTACAGAGTTGGCCACTTGGGCTAGACGAGTGTCCCAGAGAACCACGAGGTAGTGAAGTAAGAGGCCACAAGAAGGTAGGTGAAAGAGAAGCGAAGATCAGAACGATATAAACAGTGAACTAAAGGGGGAGTAAGTATCAATCCAGACAGACAAGCGTGGAGCAGACAACGTGTCTCTGGGTGCAATCCGTGAACGAAGCAGAAATAGGCCAAGGCGAGATAACAGCAGGAGACAGTATGAGGTATAGTAAGGTATCCGACACGGCGAACCATTTATGATCCGCGTCTATGGATTCCACATGATGAGCAAGCTCCGCTCCTGCGGTCAGGACGAAGGCGAGGAGATTGAAGGCTTGCATCGACGTGGAAGAACGGAAGCAGCGGCCTCACTAGAGGATACGACGTTGGGGGAAGCAGGCTTAGACTGCTGCTTCCCCGACGCCGCGTTCCCAGCTGGGTACCAAAACTGCATAAGCTGCAGACGGCGCGCGTCACGTTCGCGCTGCTTCTCTTTTTCGTTCTCGTCCGAGCCTGCGCTCGTCGAGCGTGTCATTTTGGGCGGCAGGCTCGAAAGCTGCCTGGAGGGTATACGATGGACAGCCTGGGTGCCCGAGGATAGAGTACGGGTATGGGTGGGTATCGCTGAGGCCGGCCGCGTCGCAGGGGCCATAGATCGGTAGCCAGGAATGGTCGAGGCGGAGCGTGCATGGGCTGAGGCTGCGCTGATGCGGGGAAGAGAGAGGGAAGATTGGACGGAGGACGCGAAGGAAGCGCGCGTCGGGGATGTCGGGGACGTGGGAGACGTAGCGCCTGATCGTGGGTTCATGAAAGAAGCGGTGGACGGAGGGCGAGGAGTTGGACTAGTGGTAGATTCGCCCGCCTTGAGCTTGAGGCGTATTAATTCTGCGCGCAAGGTCTGAATCTCTTGTACTTTTGTTGCACATTGTGTGCGCTATGGGCAGCGGTCAGCATGCCGGTCTGCGGAATTCGCGGAGAAACGTACCGTTCTGCGTATCTCCGACGTCAGTAGTGAATCAAAACGGATGATCATCGGAGACCTACCTGCGTAGCTCTTCCTCTGCCTCTTCTTTTGCTTTATCAACCTGGGCGAGCTTGTTTCTAAGGTCACTTTCTACCGCTTTCGCCATGTCCGTCGCCTGCTTGTGCGCCACGTGATTCACGAGAATCGCATGGAGTAGTGCAGCGCTCAATTGTAGAGCGGCCTTCTGCGGATCATGGACGGTCAGGAACCTTCAGACATATTACGAGGAATGCTCACTTGGTCATCGTGGGACTTGACGTCAGAAGAGCCTGAGAGCCAGTCTTTCAGCTCCTGATGCAGATTTTCGACTTCTTCGACAGAGCACTTCTTCGCCGCTACCTTGGCGACCTTGTACTCCAGCCGCCGAGCTTCGGCCCTGCTATCCTTGAGGCTGGATGGCGTTAACAATAGCACATCGTCATCACTGTCAAGGGCGACGTCTGGAGCATCGGCGGTGGCTCTAGCAGGAGTCGAACGGCCGCTGTTGCTGAACTCCACACGGACCAAACGAATGGTGTCGCTAGTGAAGGGCACGCGACAGAAAGGACAGGAAGGCGTAACGCGTGTAGGTGTTTTTTTGAGGATGTTGTTGCAGCAATTAAGGCATAGGACATGTCCTGGATAGCGTGTAAGGGACGATCCACAAGACTGTTCGACCTGAATGAAGAGTTTTTATGCTCGCACTCACCGCATGGCATAGAATGAGGATAGTTATGCGAGCCATACTCCTCTGCGCAAACGTCGCAGAAGGAGCCAGGCTTAAGGGAAATCATAGTGACGCCCCTTTCTACGTCGACGAACCTGATGGAGATGAGGGTGGAACATTGGCATGAGCGGGATCAAAATGTGAGTCAGGGATTTAAGTAGGCGCGAGAGGCCTGGATGCCCAGAAAGGGATTCAAATCAAGAATCGTCGGCGTTAATGCCCTCCCGCACAGCTCATGCCCTTTGCCACTGAGCCTCAAACATGAGGCGTTCCACTTACCTCTAGAAACTGCGGTGTGGTTTCTTGCGCCTGCGCAGATCAATCCTGGTCCCAGGGCAGTCGGGCCACTTGAGTCAGTTCCAGAGTCTTAAGCGCGCAAGCATGAAAATTTTCCTGTCACTGTACTGGTTCTCATGCTCAGGTTGCGGATGCAATAAGCATCGCATCAGGTACCTGGTCTGGAAACCAATCTTCTCTGCAGATCCGTTAAGCAATGTATTGCTGGTGAAGGAGTTTTGTTCAGCGCCATATTTACACTCCGAAAGAGTAGAAAATTCGTCTGAATTTACTTACAAAACTGAACCACCGTATCTCCGCGGTTCACAAATAAGGCATGATGTTGGAAATACGATGGAAAGGTATGTTTCAGAGATCTTTATCAAAGTCAGAGGGCATGGCGAGAATTATTGACACTAAGACTCGATAAGTACTTGTGCACTCTGTCAGACTCCGACCGAACAGAGCGCCTTGACAGTCGAACTCCGCTGCGACATCCTTCGCGCTCATTTTGAGGTCCGATCGGCTGAGTGTACTTACTCCGGTATCACCATGCTCGCCTCCACCTTCTGAATCGTGCAAAGTTCTTCATGTGGCCCATCAAAGATCATATTGTGAAAGTTCGGACCTTCTGGCCTTGTTTCGACCATAGATGTGCTCCTTCGTGGGTCAATTGCAAGTAGTAGAAACTGCGATTTGCTCTTCAAGTAATACTGCTTCTTTGCTCCTTTCAAGCTTGATTCTGAGTTCCGAGGAGGCGCAGCAGGCTCAAGGTTCTTGACATGCCACTTTAAGCAAGGACTTGCGCCAATATGCAAAGTTCTTGATCATCAGCTTGTCCAGCTGACTTCTCAACTGTTCATACCGAGGTCTCCATGATCTCCAAGCTGTTGTGGCGCCTCTATCCAGACCCTGCTGACCTCTCCACCCATACAACCCGACGCGCATCTAACGGTCATACTTGGCTCTGACAACTGGATACATCGCATTCTTCATTACTACGCGGATACGCATTCTTGATCGGCATTGCTGCTCCAGCTCATCGTTCTTGTTTATATTCATTGGATGGGAGCTGCATGCCAGTCAGACGCTTAGATCGATCTGCTACCCGGCGTTCATGAACGAAATTTATGTGATCTCCCCGGATGCCATGCTCAGTGTTCCGTATCCGAGTTGATCGGCCAATCTCTTCATGCAACACATCTGTATGCGTCCTACCTATTGCTCATCGAGTTACAGACCGCTCTGCGTCCTCAACTTCATAACCCACTCATGCCGTGACGTTCTCAATCAACCTATCCGCTCTCTGGGCACAGTGCGGCCGACCATGGACTGCCCGGCTTTGCGGAATAATTGAGTCGCCTAGCGTTAGGAGAGCCCCCTGCAGTGCCAATTCTCGACGGATCTCGAAAGACACACAACACGGTGCAGGCACGGTGCTGCCAAGTTCCGCTACAGTGGCTCACGTGAACCTGTTCCGCGCTCGAGGCGATGACCCCAGTGAATGGTGATGCAACACGCGCATGGAACGTTTCAAGTCTGCGACGGGCGACCACATGCGTTACAGGCCGCAAGACGCCTTCGAATCCGCCATGAAGCAGTGTTGGCAAACTTCGGCGGTCTCTGAGAGAAGCACAGCGTTATCGATCCGGCCATCGACGATCATCAGTAACGGAACATCCCTCTCGGAGTCGGAGGTCTTGACTGCTGGTGCATGTTCGCCACAAATGGACGTGGCTAGAATCGCGGGAAGATGCCATCCAAGGAGTCGTGTTGTGGCTATGAATGTGTCTTCTCAGATTCATATGACCTTCTTTTAACGGATCTCAGGGACTGATAGATTGACACTGCAACATGCCGAATTGGTAAGTTCCATCATGTCGTCCAGCCGGGAGAACCGCACGGGAAGAAGTTTGGTTGCGTCTTCGACTCCCTCTCCATGCCAACTCGGTGCAATAGTAACTCGGTGCGCGGAGCTCATTCTGCCAGAGGGTATGTCCTTATCACCCTTTCATCAATAGGTCTACGCAGCTCTTACGTCGTAATGCATTGCTCCAATCTAGCAATATGTCATCAAAACTCCTTGATACTCCAACAACTCGTGAGTCCCACTAACACGCTTGAAGGGAATTCCGCGCGATATATTTACCTCAAACTCCATTGATGACTTTAGTACTGAAACTTGCTGTCATCGGCATAAGCCTTGGTAATGGCATGTGTCTCTCAGCGCGAGCTGGTCGGTGGAGCACTTACTAGAGATATATTGATAGCACGCAGTCATCGTATGGGCGCTTTTTGCTGACGGGCGACAGAGACGATGACCGAGTCCCCCGTGGCTGGGCATGATGAGGAACGGTGCCAAAAATCGGTTCTTATTGTACCTGGCTGTAACGTGAAGGGCCCACATCACCGTCATTGCAACGTATTACGTGTATTGACCATTTTATCCGGTCTGATTTAATATTGACCATACACTCACAGCCGTCATCATCTCACTGGATATAACTCGTCGATTGCTGCTGCTCTATCAGCGGATAAAATTAATTCATTTCGGTAAGGATGGTACATAAATATCTGGTGAACAGTGAACACAAATGATGGACAGGAAGGACGTCATCATCTCGACGTCTCATGATCAGTCATGATGAGGGCAAATATATCGCATTGCCTCAAACCCTAGGACTTCCTATGAGCAACGAGAACCGATGATTTTATCGGACCTCACTGCCGAGGACCGCGTCACCTGAGCTGTTCGTTCATAGAGGTAAGGCTGTGAGCGGCTGTGGCTGTGGGCGCGTAGTGTGCGACTTGAAGAGGACGCCACAACCTGGATAAAACACTCTCGGATCACATTGCCCTTCTGCCGCGAAGTCTGACTCTGAGTACAGGCTGTCCTGCCGACTAGACAAGATTTCGGCGCGAAGACGAAGCACAGTTGGTAAGAGGACAAGCATTGTGGTTTCCCCGCGGGGAAGTCAGAAGCCATCCTATGCGAAAATACGGATACAGTAGACGCGCGGAAGCGCATGGCCTTCAGCGTTGGATGGCAACAATCTATTCTATCGGATGCCTCCTGACGTCGAATGAAGTAGCCTGGGTAATCAGTGAATCCCTGAAGCAGTTCCTGTGAGAACGCTGGCAGACGGTTCACGAAACAACATGCGTTTCCGTGGCGATTCCTGAATATTTCGTGGACGGCATATAACATGGACTGCATACCGTAGAATGGAGTATGACGAGACGTAGATCATTCAGGCAACAAATGTTCATTATATAAATATGACCTTAACACAGCAGGATAGGTCTTCGTGTAAGAAACAAGGCGATTTGAGTTTGAGAAAGTCATCGACATACCGACGAGCGCAGTCAGACTATTAAGACGAATATTCAGACAGAGCACGATGCCAGCGAATGCATTGCCCGAGGAAGGGTGTCCGGCTACGGCACGGCATCGGTGTCATCGATGCGCTACGGCAGATTCAAAATATCTCACCAAGGCTATATCAGACATGTTGTCCGATTTCATTTCCATCGTCGTCTGCATGTCGATCTCGAAGGACTGTGCAGTATACAATCGTTCGGTGCTCCGGAAGTTTCTGATGATCAGGTAGCATACCTGAGGGCAAACGAGGCCGTGCATGACCACACTGTCACGGTCCATACGAGGTGGAGGCATGGTAACCAAACCGCCAGTTTCATTCATCTTTCTCAGATGATCTCTCGCATTGAGTGAGGCGAGCAAGGAGTTCAAAAGCACTGCCAATGTTCAGCCACGTGATTGAGCGCACCTCGGAATGATACGTACACTTTGGCAGCACGAAGTATACAGCAATAAATGCGAACTTCTTGTTCTGCGGAAGAAGGGTGTACTATTGACCGGAATTAGTGTTGGTATATTGTGATAAGAACAATCAGAACTCACCAGAAGCAGACAAAGCAGGGCACATAAACTATATTCTGTGTTTGACAGGCCCAGGAACGTGCAGGAAACAAGCGTACCTGCTGAGTACACCAGTATTGATGCTGTATAGCATCAACGTATTGACCACGGAATTGGTCCTGCAGAGAGATGAACGTGCAGCTCATGCCGTGTGCAAGAAACTAACCTGGCTAGACTGCCGCGTTGGCGATGTAGCAGAATGCAGAGAAATGCGGTTATGAGGACATCCGCCGTGACACCGGAAATGAAGTAAGGATATAGGAAATACTTCGAGAACGAAAAGGGACAGGTGAGCACCAAGTCTGAAATAGCAGCAACAATTAGCGAGCACTCCACTTACCGATAGCGCCTTTGGTTTCAAGAAATAGTTGTTTGCACGAGACCTCATGTACAGTCTTCAATTGACTACAACAGCCAAAGAACGAGATGGACATACCCCCAGACGGAGAATGCTGCGGCCGCGTATCCCGAGTGCACCATTAATAATGAAACGAGGTCATGGAGCTGATACTCTGCACATACCCCAACCGCTGGCTGGGGTAATCGCTTGAGATCAGTCCTACTGCTGGCCCGTGGAAAGCATGATTGAAAGACGTACCGAGGGTTATGAAAGAAACGAAGGCCTGGAACAAGTTTAGAGGAAGCGCATGCATCGGATAAGGCACGTACAACTGTGCTTGTCATCAACAGTTTTCGTTCGCTGACTAAGAACATTTTCCAGTCACATGGAGTTTACTCGCCAATTCATTCCACTTACGCATCCATATTCTGCAACAGAACATCCTGAGGGAGAAATTGATGGTCAAGCATGACTCCACATTACCATGACCGGGAATAGATACTCACCCTCTCACGATCGCATCGCTGAGACTCTGGAGATTATGCTGTCAGCCGTATCTGACGTGCATATGAAAAGGGTCGCTCACAGATACGAAGACATGAGACTGAATATAATGATGAGCGAACGGGACGAAATTATAATGTCTTTCTTACTGCAATGCACCTGTTGCGATGCACAGAAATCAGCACAGGAGACCGTGACATAACTCGAAATGGTTACCATAATGGTGTCATAAGTGCAGCGGCATTCATGTAGTCCGTAATTGTGTAGCTGTATGATGCATGAATGATGAAAGCAAGGTGTAACCCGTCGAGTACCCTAGTGCCTCGACGTTGGTTAAGATGAATGGAAGTCTCGCTCTCGAAGTGTCTGACCATAGAAAGAAGACCTACGTGGTTGCGAATAGCCTCGTTAATCCTGTATAGGTTGTAAAGCGTGGAAACGAACGACGTACTAGCCATCTGATATAGTATGGGTCATGGGAGGGTCGCTTGTAGTAGACGAATGCCTGGAGGTTGGTTACGCCATAGAGTCTATGCTGCGGGGTCATCACAGTCAGGCCATCAAGGGGTCTCAGAAAGCACTTGCATGGATGCCGCAATTGTCCCTGAGGGTCTCTATCAGTGCAATGCGCCAATATCGCAGGCTTGAACTGAACGTACCAAGGTATGCTGCTCCGAGAGTGGCATTGCGCGGGAAGAGCTGGCTCTCTTCAGTCATGGACAATTGCGCCGCCATTTCAGTACGACCTCCACGGGGAAGACAACTCACATTATATCCCATGGCGCAATCTGCTTATGTATACGGTGCGAGCAAAGTCGCTGGGAATGCACAGTCAGCAACAGTCCTGTGGCCATCTCCCGAAAGTGCCGTTCGCACGTTCAAACGCATCCAGCCTCGGCGGATGTACATTCCAGCTGTGTCGCCTCAATTCCACGGGCAGGATGCCCCGATATCACTGACAAGAACACCGAATATGGGCTTTTCAAGCACCTACCACAGACAGCGGCGCTGACGGCGTTCAATAACATGCTACCGTCAATCTGTCAACCAACGAATCATGATTTCGGGGCGCTGCACGTCTTGTGATCATCAAGAAGAGCTATTTCCATTCCATAGAGGATGCCCTCATCCCATATGCACCAGAATGCACAGCGTACCATATGAGATGCATGTTCTGTTGTGACACTTGGTCCCTCTTTGAAGCCAAACTGTGGACACACGATAGACAGAATTAGGTTGATGATCTGGTATCTGAACATCTGCAAAGAAATGGTGAGACTACGAATTGGCAATGTACGTTACTTCCAGTGGGAAAATCCGTGAACGATGTCATCGGGCTTCGCTTACGCACAGCGTAGCGTCCGATGATCGACATCTCGGTTGCATCTGCCAAGAGTGCTGGTTCATCGCAGCGAGCGATACCATTACCCGAACAATGTTTAATTCGGGCAGCTCGGAGACAAAACACGGTCTTGCTCACCGAATGTAATCTGACGAGTGGCAACTGTCAGCTTTTTGATAATCGTAAGAAAGGCAATTCATACATCTTCCATAGAGTATGTGGTGCATGAGATCAAATAAAATCCAGCCACGGCTCGCGTCCTGATTCTAGAACAGACCTATTGTCAGTCCGTGTGTTGACATATACGAGTTGAGGCAATTACGATAAGCTATGAGAGACTTATGAACTGCATTGATAGCAAGTGGTCTTGAACCTAACTATCGAAAACGTGTGTGAAGTAGACATTAAAAATAGCTATATGACAGCCTCTCACCGTGTACCACGGCGCTGACACCATCAAGTCACGACCGCCGTCAATTTCAGTGCAGATTGAGTAATTAAAGTGACCCCCAAGTTCCGAAATTTCTCCTGTAACGGGTGAAACAGCTTTCATGATTGACAATACAATTCTAGTGGAGAAGAGGGGGTCGATCAATCACCGGAGATGTGATTGACAAATACTGTGCAGGCATGATGGCCTGGGAAACATGCGATTAATCTCAGGAGTTTACTCCAGTGGGAGCAGGGAGGTCCAAAACGGTAACAGAAGGCACAAATATCTTGGAGACGTTATGTCATTCATTAGGGATGCCAGCATGCTGCAGTCCTGTGAAGCAGGAAGCTATGCCAGATGAAGCGAGAAATTATGAAAGAGTTCATGCCTTGGTAACAAGCAGAACAACAGCATGTCGACAAGACGGAGGAGCGATGAGAACTACCAGCCAATGTTCGCTTTGAGTGGAAAACCCCGCAGAAACACTGAGGCAATGATTCCGAGACCCGTAGCAGCATAGAACGAGAAAAGCGGTTCTAACGCAGTAGACATGTGCAGAGATCGAAAGTGCAACAACGAAAGACCGCATCTCGGAGGACCTTCACACTTACTTAAATGCTTACGGTGCTATCATCAGCAGCAAAATGTAGAAGCTCAGTGATACGTGAGGCCTTGTACATCGAGAGATTCGCATGCGCATGCATCATAAGTTCACGCTCACCTCTTCCGCTGTATCATCAATGACAATCATTTGGAGCGGTATTGTCTTCGTCCATGGTAAAATAAGCGATGCAGGCTGTTCAGACGCTCAACGTCAACAACGGTTGAGACCTTCGGAGATCGCCGAGTCGCCACTCTAACAGTACCCTATCCGACGAGCCGCCGGCTGTGGCGTTTGTGACCTACTTATTCGTATGTCGTACAGAGTATAGAGAACAGCTTGTTTGCGGTGCAAATTATAGAAGCATCATGCAAGTTTCGACCTTCTGTGACATGCATGGTCGTTGAAGTGGCTTCTCAACAAAGTCTTGACGTATTCTGCAAGGCTTGAATATTGTACGACACGAGCCTGTAGGTTCTCGCACGACGTATTGCTAGCAAGCAGCACAGTGCAGCAGAGATGCTCGTATCCGCGGTGATACATTCGGCGAGGCTGTAATCGCAATGAATCGCACAACACAAAGATCCGTAGCATATCTGCTCTGTAGGCAGGAATAAGCATCAATACAGTTTTCGAAGCCACAATTCGTATTATACATAGAAACCGGAATGGATAGCCTCCCAACATCTGACCTCCGGCATAAACGAAACAAGTTATAGTCATAGCAAAACGGGACATTATCGAAACGACGGTTGAAACTTGAAAGTATCTTCCTTTTCCCCATGACATACGGTGTTGTCTTTGGAACTTTAAGTGTACGCTCTACTGTACAATTAGCACCAGTACTGACAGCGATGAATTGAATTCAATAGTGCGGACCTTTCCAGGATTGAATCCGTCTTTATCTCGGTCGTGGCATGCACGTGAATCCTCGAAACCTAAGCACGGTAAATACACAACACTATGAAGATCAATATGCCTTACGTCGTATATATCTGCATCTCTGTCGCCTTCTGATCCGCTGACGGTCGCGGCAGTGCCTGGAGTATGCGACAACGGTATCGTCACGACCTCTCCCGTCATTGCCTGACGCAGGCTTTGTCTTGCGTTCAAAGTCGCCAATAGCGAATTGAGAAACACTGGAATACCAAGAAATCAGTGCCATGGATGAGAATCCGACAAAAGATTGTAAGAAGACTCACGTTTAGTCAGCACAAAGTAGAATCCCATGAATATAAAATTAGTTGGAGATGCCGCATACTTACGGACAGAACATCAACTGATAAGACAAAGAGTTAAATCGAACACTGATTTACTGTTATGAGACACCCAAGCTCGCACATGCTGCATCGTCATTCAGCTCACGATGCTATGCAAGACATTGATCATACCTGGTAAAGAGGCCCGTATTGATGCTGTACAGCATCAGAGTACGTATAACCGAATTGTTCCTGAGTAAGTATGTCAGCATTGCTGTGGTCGGGTAGGAAATATATCCGACGAACCTCTGGAACCTTGTACGACGCATGGCCAATTGATAACAAAGCGCACCAGCGATAAATACATCCGCAACAACACATGCTGCGAGGCCGACATAAATTACCCACTACGGAATGCGTTAAGCACATGGCGAGATCCGGGAGTGAAACGAGCTTACAGGGATCTTTGACAACTCAAAGTACGTATCCACGGTGTACCTGTTCGATCAAATCATACAGTCGATGAATGGGGAGCGACGTTCGGTGAAGCCTACAATTTTACGCTGAATACTGTTATCCACGCATAAATGTTTTCTGTCATTATTTAAATTCTGTGAGACTCACCAAGGCTCATGACTAACGCGTAAAAGGGTCTCATATGAGCAGACATACAGAAACAAAAGGTATTCCGGTCCAGCTCACCAAAGGCGAGAAGCGAACTAGCGATCTGATCTTCATCATTAACAAGCATGAATCCGAGTCAGATGGTGACTTACAATGATAGTGATCACGGCCCAGTTCATGGCGGTTCTGGAGCTGACTTGAAAAGGCTGTGAGTGAAGGCTTCAAGTCTACGAGGAATGCAATCTCACGTCTCCATACACGATGGCAGAATATGCTGTAGCGGGAAGGAGCGATCAGGCCGTTGTTAACATCACAAAGACTTGTATGTTACCCTCTTATTATCACGTCACTAAAGCCCTAGAAACGGAGGAATATATCATATGAAATGAGTAGGATCTGAGTACACTCACGGTTGCAACAACTTGAGCCTAATTAGTGCGAGAAATTGAGCATGAACACGACGAATGTCAACAGACGATACGAACCATCAGGCCCCTGTCCACGATAATTCAATGTTTGCAAAAAGAAGAGTCCGACGGCCACTCACCAGGTCGGCGTGATCATCGCCAATACATTCCCAAAATCACGGACCGCATAAACGTACACCGCATACGTGATGAATGCTAAGTGAAGGCCGTCTAGAATCCTAGGTCGCGGCATAATAGGTGTCACTTCGCCAAACTGTAGTGGTGACAATAATCTCACCAGAGACAAAAGACCTGAAAGTACAAACCTGTCAGTTTCGTAAGCGTATTCTGCCACTGGACATACAAGATGCTTCAGAATCCATGAATCTCCCTCGTTCCGCTTATAGTAGATGAACGTTTGCACACTGGTAACACCGTAGAATCTGTATGATGTAAGTCTCCAGTACATTGGCCAGCAATGGTGGCAATCTTACATGGCCACAACGATGTTTCCTATGCAATGAGTTAATGATATCGTTTATCCGTGAGATGAGACGATATCATACCTATGAAGATTGCTCCAAGGGTGTTGCCAACGTCAAAATGAAAGGTGCTGTCAGCCATCGCCGAGCTGGGGGATTATGCTAAGAAGCTACCGAGTCCGTCCTTCCGCTATATAGCCCGAACCTATGTCTACAAAGTTGACCACACACCGAGAAGTCAAGACATATCAAGACGAGTAGAGTTTGCATGAAAACACTTGTCGATGATGCATCATGCATCGTCTGGTTCCAATGATGCATTATTTGTAAAGAAATATGGGCGGCCATCAGCAAAATGAAACAGGGGCCGTCTGGCATCTTATTCTGGACAGCCCCGTGTACTTCGTGTATGAATGATGTCTTTCGGAGATAAAGCCTCAAGCAAGCAATACCGAAGTCTTGACTAGGCGTGATTTCCTACTACAGAGATGTCCGCGTCGGCATTTAGGGTGCGTTGTATTCCGATGCTCACGCACGTTGCAATGTCTTGTCCATGATAAGTGTTATCGTGAACAGGGCACAAGACACGGATTCTTTATGCCTAGAACAATAGAACATCAGCTGTAATCGGCGATACATAAGCAAGACCGATCCTTCGTTGAATTAGTGACAGAAAGAAGGACAAGAGAACCTATATGCGGTGCACCGGCACAGGCATGGAGTACGCATGCGGTAACGTAGTCGCAGTGTCTCGCGCCCAACGTCCACGGATTGTGGCTTTCGGATGTACGATAGATGGAAATCATCCGCCAAATCTGTGGTATGTTCGACAGTGGTGGAAGGCGCATTACACAACCAAGCTACTGCCAAACGCCCGGAGGGCCCGCATCTGCCGCACAGCCACATGAACTGACAATGCCAGTCACCATCCATGATGAGTACATTAAGCGAGCTTCTATTTGTATATCGAAGGGAATATGAAGTAGGGGTTTCGACGATAAAAAGCCACATTGATTTTTATTGAGAGCAGAAGCGAATGTTGTGCGGAAAGAATGATACCACTTCTCCCGTCTGACGTGTTGTATCAAACATCATGATAGATGGAAGTGATCTTCAAGCCTGCTGTATATCAACATCAGCCAGGTATCACATTCGTTTAATTAGAATGATACCTGTAACATTCTAGCCCTAGAAACGAGACGCGATTGGTCCAGAGTTGTGATATGCTCTTGATGAAGCAACTCTTGTGGTAAAGTCTAGGCTTGGGAAGCTATATGCTGATAGCAAGGAAGCAGGCGTAGGAATGGACACAGCTCGAATACATGTGAAGCTCGGTCCCGTTGCTCACCGGAGCAAACTTGCGGAACCGGGTGGAAGATAGCCATCCGACGTACCAAGCGGAGCGTGCCAGAACGTATGCGTAACAGCTGTATCCGACACAGCAAGCTGCTCGAGGTCCTCTTTTCCGATTTACGTGCAGCGTGCCCAGAGCATACGGCGAAGCGCCATACTGTGGATAGCAAGAGCGAGCGAGAAAATCAAGACAATCCGAATAAAAATTCCAATGATGTGCTCAGATAACAAGACATAAAGCACACGTACACACCTGGACGCAGCGCTTTTTCGTGCCTGCGTTCATGCGCCCCGCAGGTTATTCCCTACAGTCATACTGACAGGTCGCAAACAAAGCGCTCGTTTTCTACAGCATAAAGTGATGTATATCCGTCTCCGGTTTAGATGATTTGAGCAAGATACTGCAATAGTCCATCGACAAGTTCATTGTACGCAGTGACACAGCCGTATGAGGCTGAGAGCAATAGAGGCATTTTCTATATCTATGTCGTGCAGTGCAGAGGAGCCAGCATAGCATTGAGAGGGCGCCGGAAGGAGTCGAAAAAAGCGACTGTCTAGATCGGTCAGACTAGTGAGAGACAAGGACGGACTAGATGCCACGTTTATCGCCTTGGATTGCCTGTGTGACCCTCAGGAACAAGTAGAAGAGTATTCAATCCCTCTGCAACGAAGGATTGAACATGACATCTATTAGCCAGATGATCGTTGATACCGTCAAGTTACGTTCATTCGCGAGATAAAGCAGGCCTGTGCGGGAAGAGGTATGTACCTTTCGTTTCAATATTAATACAATCAACATCGAGTCCTTCAATCAACATCGAGTCCAATTCAATGGTACGATATAGAAATCCTAGACCATGCACCGCTAGACAAATATTTGCTTCAGCAGCAAACTGCGTCAATGTAATGGCACTGCAGGGTCACGTCACCTTACTCTAAGCTGGAATGTTTTACGGTTGCATCTCAGCAGTCCACAGGCTGGCATTCAGAAAAATAACTGGTCCCAGCGACATACGATGTTCACCCTTTCCTATAGTTACTTTCTCAATAGCGTAACGGAAAGAGGGATGAGACGGTTTAGCGCCCGCTCACGGTCATACCCATAACGCGTCACTAGTCACGCTCGAAAGCCGACGTTGTGTTGATCGTCCTCCACCTCCTCTTCAAGTCCCTTCAAGACACCCAACACCCCACAGACATGGTATGTACGCCGCAATGGATCCCTAGCAGCCTGCGTTGCTGCGTCTCAGGCCGTTTCGCGGTGTAGAATGATGGATTGGCCGGCTCACACACGGATGTGGTCTACAGGCCCCCAAGAAGGTCAAGGCGCCCAAGGAGGAGAGTGCTGTCTCGCTCGGCCCACAGGTTGCTGAAGGCGAGCTCGTGTTCGGCGTTGCCCACATCTACGCGTCGTTCAACGACACTTTCGTCCATGTCACCGATCTCTCCGGCCGTGAGACCATCTCGCGTGTCACTGGTGCGTCAATCAATGGCGTTGTCGTGTATGGCATGCTAGGTTCACACAATGTAACGGCCATCTTATAGGCGGTATGAAGGTCAAGGCCGACCGTGACGAATCTTCGCCGTATGCTGCCATGTTGGCCGCGCAGGATGCAGCTACGCGGTGCCGCGAGATCGGCATCACTGCATTGCACGTCAAGCTCCGTGCCACTGGCGGTACTGGCACCAAGACTCCTGGCCCTGGTGCGCAGAGCGCCCTCCGTGCGCTCGCTCGTGCTGGCATGCGCATCGGCCGCATTGAGGACGTGACCCCCATCCCCACCGACTCCACTAGGCGCAAGGTGAGCTTTCTCCCATTTGAGGTTTTTATGGAAGGTCGTTGACATGTTCCTGTGTTCTAGGGTGGTCGCCGTGGTCGCCGTCTCTGATCGTTCAGATCAGTGCAAAAATTACAATCATCGTCATGTATATCTTACATTGTCAATGATCAATGGTCGCCGCTCGCACGCATCAGGTTCTTTGGCTTGCGCAAAGACCTGCCCCGTGGCGAGCTCTTTGTGTCTCTATCTGGATGCGTGATCATCTTGTGATGCTAGCTGTGGTCTGTTCACCAATAGCTCGATATGTCGACTGTTTGTTCTGCTACAGGAAGTACTGATAAGTCGAGTCAAGAGGTGATCGTTGCAACCTCCTCAAAGTATCGAATGGCGCCTGAGCAGCTCTGTAATTTTGCTCTACTGTTATGCGAGCTAAGTAATTTATCGACGCATCATGCATTCAGGCCTCAGGTCGAGCGCGCCTATTCGTCACAGCGGTTGTCGTCGATTGAGGGGAGGATTTGCTAATCAGCGAATGCTCATCACGTATGTTTCCTCTTATGATGAACAAGAATGCATCAAAACTGCTGAACAACCGCGCAACACTCATTGAAGATTCAGGGTAAACCCAGTTCTCGAGTCTGCGTTTCGGAAGTCACCACCGCTGATTACTGGTCGCGATGTGCTGAGAATGTCCTTGGTCGCTGTGGTGGCGAGGTGTTCCCTGGTGCACGCAGAGCTCTGTGTGCTGTATGTCCCAAACGGTGAAAAGGGTGGTTGCTGTTTGTACAATGAGCTGACGGCCTGAGTCACAGTGAGTACTATTTGAGTCACAATGCCAGTCACTCAGCGGCTGAGCGTCACCATATTAGTGATAGACGCCCAAGAGATGGTGGCGGTTGCTGGGATAGCTCTCGCAAAATTATTGTAACTCCCCACACTCTGCAGCCAGTGCTGTGCATGCTTGTGCGACATTTTTCAGCACGGATAAAACAGGAAAGCCGTGTCTTTTCCGCAGGGGCTTAGGTAAATATTTTTGGCAGCCACGATGCAGCTCTCCTTGTACTGGGATGCAGATGATGACGTGGAAGATATCCGACGATACACCACTGGGGGCTTTCATCCCATTCGCCTTGGCGATGTCGTGTTTCCTCCTCTGGTTAATTCAGACTCGAGTCCCGCGCGACAATACCGCATCCTGCACAAGCTCGGCCACAGCTCGTTTGCGACAGTATGGCTGGCCGAGGCACTCCATGCACCGTCGTGAGTCAAGTCTGCCCTCTGCATTTACATCTCATTCACCGCGCACACCGCAGTCAACGTTATGTCGCCTTCAAGATCTGCGCCGCCGAGGCCGATCCTCGACACGAGCTTGATATCTTCAGCCGCATCCCGGTCGGCGACGAGACGCAGAACGTGCTGCGGCTGCGCGACAATTTCTCGCTGCACGGCCCCAATGGCGTGTACACGGTACTCGTGCGCGATGTGCTCGGGAACCTCTTCAATGTGGCGCAATCGTCTCAGGGGCGTAAGCATGCTCGGATGCTCTGTCGCCAGATCGCGTGTGGGCTCGCGGCGCTGCATCGGCATGGGATCGTGCATGGAGGTCTGCGGAGTCGCTGATTGGGATTCGGCCAACGGCACACTGCTGACGCGACTACCTAGATCTCCACTCAGGGAATGTCGGCATTGCCCTGCCCACGCTCGACGAACACTCGCCGGGCTCGATCCTGGACTACTTTGGCAACCCAGAGTGCACTGTCATCCTCCCAACCGCACCTCCAGCGCACCTCGAGGCTCTCCCGCCGTATCTGGTACCCCCGATTTCGGTCATTGACTACCTGCGGAGTCAGGATCCCGCATTCGCGGACACGCCTCTCCGCGCGGTGATTATGGATTTGGGAAATGGTCAGTACCTGCTCATCTCAGAACATGGAGGTGAGACAGCGCTTACTGTGAGTAACAGCGATCGCGGTCGACGAGCAGACGCGCCCGTCGTGTACACCAGCGGCGGTATCTGCGCCCGAGCTCATGTTCGAACGTGTTGTCCGGTCGGTCGACCCCTTCCCCACGCGAGCGAGCGATATTTGGTCGCTTGCATGTACAGTGCGCTAACTGACACTATTATCGATCCTCGACCGCATCCGCTGACGTGGCATGTTTAGATGTACGAAGTGGTCTTTGGACTCCCGCTGTTCCACCTCGCATTTCCGAATGATGGGCTGTTGGGTGCGATGGCGACGCTGTGCGGCGAGGTGCCGCTGGGATGGCAGAGCTATTGGGAGTCGCAGGAGTGGCTCAGGAACATGGGTGCGTTTATAATTGGGACCTTTGCTCTGGCTGTGCCTGCGCTGGCCGACTGACTGAAATTCTATAGATATCTCGCCCGAGGCTGCTGATGCTAAATGGGCACGCCGGCTAGCACATTTCACGAAAGTAGCCGGAGGGAAACACACGCAGGCCGAAGTTGAGGAATTTTTCACACTCCTTCGCTCCATGCTCAAGATCGAGCCGGAGCGTCGAGTGAGCGCGGAGGACGTGCTACAGCATCCGTGGTTTGCTCGTGCAAACGATGCATCAAGATGATCCGTGCAGCGTGTAGACACTCACTGTGTTTCATGTATAGGATCGGCGCCGAATATCGACTTTCCTCCCTTCGAAAATGTTTGTCTCGCTTCCACCAATGCTCGGGCGCTTAGTGACCGACGAGTTGCTTTGTGACCATCATGACCACTTAGGTGTCTAAGCGTCCTCTGATGCCCAACACGATAGACTGTCATGGTCCCATATGCCCCGGAAAACTACAATAAGCAGTCATCGTCATACAAACGCCTTTTAGGAAAGAACTCACTCTGGCACCGCAGACGTGGCGCCCAATTGTAACGCTGATGTTCGAGATAAATCTTGTTCGAACGCCTCGAGCTCCGCCGGTCACACAATGCCCAAAGCAAAGGTGTACTACATCCAATCCCAATATCTAGTCATGTTCTAAGAGAGCGTTTTAGTCACCTTCAAGCGGCCTCATCTTTTTAAACGGCAGGTACGACTCATTGCTAGTCTTCGCTGCTCCCATGGAATTCATATAATGAGAGCGGCGAAGAAGGCGCGACGTCTTCCAGTAGTATAATCTAGTCCAGCAGAACCATTGGTGAGAAGACGCAAAATGTAGTAGTACAAGGAGGCAGGCTAAATAATGCACGACAGAATAATATCGCCTGCGAAGCCTTCTTCCTATATAAATACGGAGATGACTACACTTTTGTCCATGCACAATTCGGCTGGGCACCGAACAGCACGCACACATGCGCGGAAATAGAGCGGGGGGTGGAACTTGAAAGCGAACAGCGGTCCATCGCATCATGGTCACGACAGCAACTCAGGTCCATAACGCAACCCGGCTCATGTAGGTTTGGCTTCAGTCTTGTTCCCCGCTTTGTTACAAGTGAGAACATAGATCCACGCATCCCATATGTGGTCAAACGGTATTGTTTCCGCTCTCGCCCGGCGACCGAATTCGGTGAGCGGAGATGTCTGCTGGATAATGCCCATGTCCACATACGCCGCTGATAAGAAGACCTTCAGGAATCCCGAATCCATCGACAGGTTATGTGGAAGAGAGAACTGTATGCTGTCCGAACCAGAGGCACCATAGCCGATGGGGAACTTCGATGGTTCGCCATTTTTAGCCCGGGGCAGTGGCGCTAACATGGTGGCGGACGGCGGTATATACCACACCTGATGAAGTGTCAGACACAGCCACTCGTTTGGCCACCAGAAAGGGCTCACCTGGATGCTATAATCGCTCGGGTCGAAATAAAACACGTACGGGTAGAGATCGTGTTTCGACCTATTGACCAACGTAACCCCATAAAATGTGCTCATGTCAGTTATTAATGCTTCCTTAACGTCCGCTATCTCATACGATGTCCCTTTGTTACACACCACAGGGTCTTCTTTCACGTCAAGGAAGTCTGGTCCTGCAGGCAGATAGAGAGCAATGTGGCCATCCTCCTCTTTCCGCTCCAACTGATGCAGCTGGATCTCCACTTCAGTATGAATCGGCCGAGACTTGTTCAACCGATAAAGATGATGGTTGTAGTACGCAATAGCGTCAAGAGTCTCCGAGAGCCGCGGGTGGTCGCGTCGAATTTCGATGATGCTGTTGGGAAGCCTCTGCGTGAGTGGGTCGCGCCTCTCCAACTGCCAATTTCCGCGCTCATGGCAATGGATGGTAAGGTCGCTGGGCACGGATGGGGCAGTGCTTGCATACAACGTCCCCGCAGGCCAGTGGAAGCGCACGTTCATCTTGCATATATTCCAGTCAAGCACAATCACGCGCATTCCAGCTCTGGCTTCGAATTGGATACTAGCATCCTCGGGTGCGATGACGGAACGCAACGAATGGACGTGTGTCGCGACCAGGATGGTCTTATCAATCTGCTTCGGCTTGAAGGCTGATGCGCGCTGCGGGCTTTGCAAGAGAAACTGGGTCCCTTCCACCACCCCATGGATGGCGCCAGCTGCGACATACGACATGCCGTCTTCCGTGTATATCTTGAATGTTCGCGACTGATCGAGCACAGCGGTTGCATTGAATAAGATCCTATCTTTGTTCGTACCCTCGCATTGCGGATTCTGGAAGATGAGATTCGGCAACATCTCCATCAGGCGCACATAGCTCGTATGCAGAAGAGAACACTCTCTCAATGCCTTCACCAGAGCTGTCGTGAAGGCACCGCACGGTTCTGCCTCGGCGGAGGCCTCGAGTGCCAGCTCGCTCGAACGGCATGCTGCGAGCATGACGTGAGATGCCATCGCTTTATATTGGAATCCCAAAGGCACGGCGGTGGTTGCTGCGCGAGCATTCAGGCCCCAAGTCCAGATATCCTTGTCCAAGTCTGCGGGAGGGGGCGACGCCGAGACTTTCGTCGGGATGGTGCGTGCTCGCATGTTATTTCTTGACATTCCTCCAGAGTGGCAGGAATCGAATATTGCAGTCTGATGTACAATGAGCAAGCAGCATGATCCGGGGCGTGGAAAACACGCACGATATTATCACCCTTTTGGTGTGCCAAACGTCGCATTAATGCGCTGAACGTGCGGTCTGGGATGCCGCACACAACGTTCCCTGTGACATCCTCGGTGCTTTCGTCGTGAGGACATATGGTCTCGATCATATTCCCGTCTGGCACGAGCCATTCACGTGGTGATTCAACTCGACTGCCATGTCCAGCATAGTAGAAGACGATAGCGTCTCCGTTCTGGATCTCTGGATTTTCCAGCAGATGGCTCTGGAATGCTGCTAGGATCGCCTCGCGCGTAGCTTCTTCGTTGCGAAGGAATTTGATGTGAGCTGGCGGCACCCCGAGGTTTCCGGTGAGGTAGCCTATGATGTTCTTGGCGTCGTTCTCGCAACCTGCTAGGTCCTCTATCCTGTCCGACCTGTATCTGTCGATGGCAATGACCAGCGCGAACATGTGAGACCTGATGTCGGTAAGTCGGCCATTGCCAGTGACCGCATCATTATCGGGCTCTCCTCCTTCCAATGCCACCTCGGTTGACGATGGAGGCGCGACGACCGGCCTGTCAAACGATATGATCTAAACTAGGATGATACTTGACTAGTATGAGTAACATTTACTCACTGTTTCTCAAAAACACTGCCATCGGAGGCGCTGACAACAGGAACTGCATCATATAAATGAATTGGTTACAGCTAGTACGAGACACGAGACATGAAACGTACGATGTAATTCCTCTGTCGTGCCGTGGCTGGACGATGAACAATTAAAAGCGGTTTTGGCATTAAAGACAAAGGCTCCTTTACACTAGAAAGTTGTCTGCGAGCGGAGAAGACGGTCCAGGATTTAGAAGTGGCGGTCTAAGATCATCCAGCGGCTTCGGCTCGAATTGTGATTCTGCGTCGGGCGGTGGTACCCACTGAGGAGGAAAATCTTTGGGGGGAAGACCAGATGTTCTTCGCTTGAATTTGCTGACAAACCATTCACGTAGAGTGCGATGACTCTGTGATCCAGCTTCTCGTCGTTCAGTGAGGCGGAATAATCGCTTGAGATAGGACATTAAGCGAAGTAGAAGCTGAGGAGCATGGAAGTGTCTACGGTCTAGCACTGAGCAGGCGTATGCCAGAGGATAGGGGCATTTTGAACGCAACCGAGGCTGTCACTTCGTTTAAATGAATGTGACGAGTCGCACGTTTCAATTCCCTTGCCGGGCTGTCCGTTTCCCATAAGTATTGTCGTAAGAGGAACAGAACACCCACGGAAAAGCTGGTATCACATATGCATGGCAGTCCCTCCCGGTTCCGGCGTGTCCAAACTGAAAACCAATCTGTAGCAATGTTGAATTTATATATTCATCCCGGTTGGGAAAAATCGGTACCGGGTGGCATCTTCAAAGAACATATATCAGCTGGCGATAGTAGTACGCGGTGAAATCGAAACCTCGTCAACGGCACTCACATACTAGTGGTGTTTTGATGTTGTAGCACTTGACAGAAAGAGGAGGGGAATTGCGGAGATATATCGTCTAGAATTTTCTTGCACTCATTTAAGAGCATCGGAAAGGATCCAAAGTGCGTGTGTACTTATCCAGAGGAGAGCGGAGCCTACTTTACGGGTCTTGTCAAGCTTGATGATGGCCGTGGTTCGCGTTTTTCGGCTTCTGACTCGCTCAGAAAAATGAGTCTTTGTGGCGGAAACACTCTTGCTACAAAGATTTCAGATTCCGAAATGTGTCAACATGCGGAAGCGTCGTGACGAAGGTTTACTAGGCAATCTGATCTACAGCTTAGAGGTCAATGAATTTCCCTACTCTTCACCTATGAACAGCTGACCTATGATAGTAATAAATCAATATGTTTACCATAATCAGTTTTACCCCGACATGAGGGGCGAAAACTGATGCGAAATACTGTTGTACGTGTGAGGATCTGCCAACAGCTTTGAGTACTCTGCCAAAGACATACTGACTTCGCAAAAGCCGGGATTGTTACGACGCAAGGCGCAATGACCTTGAAAGTCCATTTTTGATGCCCAGGCTTGCGTGAATTGTCGCTAATCGTGTTGGTTGAACGTTTATTAGTGTTCAAGGGACCGGTCATTAAGTTGTATACACTGAATCATAGCAATCAAAGTGCATGGCTCTCTGGTTTAGCGGCAACTGTGACACCTGGGGGATCGGAAAGCCGGGCATTTATATGCCAACGCAAGGATATCGAAGGTGCAGTACAAATGCCTCTTCGCAACATAAACGAGAAGTGGCCCTCAAAGTTTGCGCGAGACATTCTCCAAGTCCAAGACGGGATGAGATTTTTTGATATGTGTTCAGCGCTACGTAGCACGAATTAAGGCATGCGATTAAAAGCCCTGCATGTGGCTGGGATAGTGGATTTACGTGGGGGGTTAGGTGGCTAGACGCGTCCCAAGCCGCCGACGCGGTCACGTGGTCGTGTCTACACATCCGCTCCCCTGTCTCTCGATACGATGAAATACGAGGACTGTTGGAAGTCATACGGACTTTATGTCCAGTGGGACACGGACTTAGACATTCCGCGCGCATTCGCTTATGTAATCACATAGCCACAAGCGCGCTCAATCTTTTCCTACTACCTCAGCACTCGCATTATACATCGAGGCTGAGGTGAGTACCTACTGGACTCCTTTACTTAGTCTTTACTGATATACTGTAGTCACTCGCTTTCCTATGTGTCTACAGGTATTTATATAGCACTCGCTTTATTCATTCGAGGCTGAGTCACTCTTTACTTCCGTGTCCTACAGGTATTTTATATAGCACTCGCTTTATTCATTCGAGGCTGAGTCACTCTTTACTTCCGTGTCCTACAGCCCTCGTAAATTTTCACCTCGGGCAATAGGTTATGAGCCCCGCGGCTACACACTAACCTGTCCATTCATTCAAGCTTCCACTGTGCTCACACTCCTTAATTCTTCTCTCTTCGACCAGCACCCACACCAGCACCTCCTGCACCACAGTCTACACCTTCTCACTCTACACCCTCTCACGCCATGTCCAAATCCGTCAAACTCTCTCTCAGCTCAAACCGCCTCTACGATATACCATTCCTCGAGGATGATGGAGCAAACTACCAGCAATGGAAGTTCCGTCTCGAGACGGTGCTACGCATCAGGAAACTCTGGAACATCACCCAGGGTAAGGAAGCTCGACCCGCAGATTCCGAATCTGACAAGCAGGCCGAATGGGATGACAAGGATCAAGACGCAAAGGTGCAGATCACGCTCATGCTCAAAGACATGCCTCTGAGCGGCATCATGTACGAGAAGACGGCGAAGTTTGTATGGGACAAACTCGCCGCGCGGTATGAGGGGAAGGGGAAACAGACGATAGCGCACCTCATTGGTGAGCTATTTTGTGGTACGCTCTCTGATGAGACCAGTATGGAGGCACAGCTCGACGGCATGGTCCAAAAGGCCAACACTCTGGCCACACTCGGACAGCCGCTCGAAGACTCGCTGATCGCGGTCGCCATGGTCATATCACTCCCCCCGTCCTATTCAGTACTTCGCACCATCCTCATGTCGACGAGCGACAAGCTCACCATGGAGACGGTCACAAACCAGGTCCTTACCGAAGAGCGCGAACGCCTCAAGGAGGGATCGCAGCACGCGCTTGCCGCCAAGCTGTCAGGTATGCCATCAACATCGAAGTCGAATGGGAAGCAGCCGAAATCCGGCAAGAAGTGTGGCTATTGCCACAAGCTGAACCACACGGAGGAGGAGTGCCGAAAGAAGAAGAGAGACGAGGAGAAGCAGGAGGAGGAAGAGGGTAGCGATGACAGTGAAGACCTTGCGGCGAAGGTCACGTCCACCCGGGGTACCACAGTGTCCCCCGTCCTCCGACTGTTCATGGCCCACGCGCTCACGCAGCACAGCCTACCCACCGACCATTGGATTCTCGACTCAGGCGCAACGGCATCCATGAGCTCACGCCGTGACTGGTTCTTTCAATTCACGAACCTTACCTCACCGAAGCGCATTTGGCTCGGAGATGGACGGTGCATTCATGCAGAAGGTATCGGTCAAATCTACATCGATTTAGCCACCGAAGACGGACGTACAAGCCTGACGCTGCTACAAGATGTCTACTACGTACCGCAGCTCCAAGGCAACCTCCTCTCCACCTCGCGACTCACCGAACGAGGTCAGACCCTCACGTTCCGCGGCGACGCCTGCAAAATCACCTGCAACGGCGAGACAACGGGCCTAGCGCACAAGACGGACGGTCTCTACGTCCTCGAGTCGATCCCACGCGCTCCCATGTGAGCGTTCGTAGTGCACGCGGACTCCTCCATGGATCCCGATGAGTTTTCACTTGAAGCGCTGGCAGCGAAGACGATGACGCACAAGGCGAACGTCGTAAAGTGGCACCACAAGACCTGCCACATGGGTACCGAACTCACCCTACAAACAGTCTATCAAGGCGCGGTCAGCAACACGAACACTGTGAGCAACGCGACTCACGACGTGAAGACCGGTAAGCCCATCCAGACGGGCATCAAGCCCTCGGCCACACACATCCGCACGCACGGGTGTACGGCCCATGATGTCAGACTCGACCTCAAGTTGGTCAAGCGCGTCACCCTCGGGCATGGTCAAAATGCGAAGGCACACGCTGCCTCTCACCGAACGAGTGGGCGCACACACGATGCACAAAACGCCACCTCCGACGAGGGCGTCCGTACACAGCAGACATGCACAGTGATCGACGCTGAACTTCAACACGAAGTGCAGGGCAAACCGCCGAACTCACCTGCCGGCACTCCTCACAGCCCTCGCGAACGACGAGCGGCTCGTATCGCGATCGTAGCCGCCGAACACGACCCAACGCCGCCATCACTCGACGCACTTAGTAGCACATCCACCGGCGATAGCGACAACGACAGCAGCAATGACAACGACGACGAGGGCACCACAGTACCCTCGCCCAGCCATCACGCCGCGTTGCCACGCCAGACTGCGTCAAACCGCTCGCCTCCTTCTCCGCCTCAGTGCGAAAACAAGAAGGAGCACTTACCTGCCATCTCAGAGGCTACAGCATCCCTTTCTCGCACTTGGACTCAACGCGCAGCCCCTCCTGCTCCCGCTCCAAAGGCTGCAAAGAGCCATGTCTGTCAATCTGCATGCACGCGTCCAGCGCCGATTCGCGATGACGATCCGTGGTCCTCTGTCAGTGCATACAAGCCCAAGACAGTTCCAGGAGGCCTCGGAGCCAAGACGAAGCGGGAAGTAGAGACTCCAGAAGTCCAGCAGAGAACCAGAAGCGAAGGGAAACAGCCAGAGAGAGGAGGGAAGAACGCGCGTCAAGTGGGCGCAGCCGAACGCGACAAGATTCGCGTGGGCGCTACGGGTCACTCAGTTGACGAAGAACCTTGGAGAATCAACGTCAGACGCGGATCAACGGATATTAGCGACAACGGAAGAACTTATCCCGTTCGTCAAGGCCACACTCAACGACGAGTACGACCATCCACGCACCGCAAACGGGCACGATCCAGGTGAAGTCACACGGCGCAGACAGCGTACAGCAGCCCAGGGTTCTATCCGCCCAGACAGACTCAAGAAACCCTACGTCACAGGCACTTACCATCCAGTCCGTGCAAGCCACAGTATGTTCCGAAGACCGTCGGTCACGCACAGCACAAGCAGCATGAAGGATTCAATTAGTGTTCTAAAAGTAGGTCCGCATTCCCACTGAGTGGGCGTGTTGGAAGTCCTACGGACTTGTATGTTCAGTAGGACGCGGACTTAGTAGTTTCAGCGCGCGTTCGCTTACATAATCACGTAGCTATGTCGCGCCTGAGCGCTTTTGTCACCTCAGCACTCGCTTTATTCATTCGAGGCTGAGGTGAGCACTATGGACTCTATATCTATGTTTTTTACTCACATATTGTAGTCACTCTTTACTTCCGTGTCCTACAGGTATTTTATATAGCACTCGCTTTATTCATTCGAGGCTGAGTCACTCTTTACTTCCGTGTCCTACAGCCCTCGTAAATTTTCACCTCGGACAATAAGGACTTACTTTGATTTTATATGTAAGCCTTACTATTTAATGAGCAGCGTGGCTAGAACGCTTAGGCGAATTCTCGCTTTTGGCGTTTACGACCGATTCGAAAAGGCCAGATCAGCGGTGCGGCTACAAACACGTGCGTGGTGGCCTCAAAACTCTCAGAGAGCTAATCAGCGCCGTCACACTAGGACACCAGATCGTGAATCCGCGCTAACTTCAAGCATATTCAATGCCGAGCAGAGATTATCCATTGCTAGTGCAAGAGCATCATCGCAAAGTCACAGATCTGAGTGTATTATCATATGATCATCAAGTGGCTAGCATCTTTGCGCTGAATATACAGTAGGCAATTTACGCAGTGCTATCCGAATTCTTCCTCCGACAAGTCAGCATATAGGTCCATGCATCCCATATACCTTCAAAAGGTAGCGCCTTCATTATTGCTCCTCATGCACCTCCATGGATAGACTCCTGATTGAGGTTCTCCAAGTTTACATATTTGTTGCAGACGAAGATCTTGAGGTATCCCGATTTCTGATCTTCCCCGTCCGGTAATGAAAACTGGATGCTATTAGCACCGAAGGCACCATAACCAATGGTTAGCTTCTTGCTCTTTCCATCCGCACCTCGTCGCTGCAGCGGCGCCGCTGTGTACACACTTTGGGGTGTGTACCAAGACTGGTGGTGTGCATCAGTGGTTATATAGAAGGAAGCTAGGAACAACACATTCCTGGACGCTGTAATCATTGGGGTCGAAATAAAACACGTATGGATAGAGATCGTGCTCCGTATTGTTCACCAAAGTCAGTCCATGATATGATTCGAAATCGCTGATGATGACCTCCTTGACTTCTTTGAGCTCGTATGACGGACTGGCTTTTAGGTCGCCAGAGAAAACGTGACAGCCTTCCCTGAAATAGTCTTTCCCATTTGGTAGCAACATTCCAGCCTGGCTCCTCAACTGGTGCAGTTGCACCTGTACTCCACTTTCAGCTGGGGGAGACGACGATCTGCTACGTCGATATAGGTGCTGATTGAAGATAGCGGCTGCATTTAGAACGTACGACAGATATTCTGTCGTCTGGGTAAATTCGGGGGGCATGTCCTTGAGATCTATTGTCTGGTTCGGTAGTGCATTCGTGAGAGGATCAAACCTCTCAAGCTGCCAGAGTCCCAGCGTGCAATGCACTACCATATCGTGGGGACAAGCTGAAGAGTCGCTGCTTCCTAGCCAGTGGAGCTGCACAATCATGCTAGGTCGGATTGATAGAGAAACCTTCATGTCTGGGGAAAAGAGACGATCAAAGACGTCTCGGTTCTTCGATATCACCTTGCATTTATGGGCTTCGACTTCATCGATGACGAGAATCAAATCGTCTTCTGTCGGTATGAAATCGAGGGATCCAGACAAAAGGGCAATGACGAGTTCCGATCCCTGCGCGATATCATGGGCACTCCCGACTTCAACATATATGCTGCTCCCATCCTTGAATACTTTAAATCCTGTGCTTTTTCTGATGAGAGCAGCAGCATTGAATATGAATCATTCCTTGTTAGTGCCATCGCAGTGCAGCTGCTGGTGGCCGACCGCCTTGGGCATAACTTGAATCCTTTCCATCAACTCAGAATACGTCATTTTTGTGATGTCGCACTCCTGCAGCACTTTTACCAGAGCAGTAGTGAAAACACTGTGGGATACTTCGGAATGCGGAATCTCGTATGCCCCTTGGTCCTGTTGGCAGGCTGCGAGGAGGACGTAAGACGACATCGTGCTGTAGTAGAACCCCTCGGGAACCGCGTTTTCAGTGGCACGACTATTGACGTTGTCATTCCGTATCCTCTTGTCTAGCATAGACAGAAGTGGAGATGGAGAGATTTCGGGTGGAAATGATCGTAAGGTAGAACCTGCGCGCGCCATACCTCCCGAATGACAAGAGTCGAAGATAGCTGTCTGCACCATCGTTCAATCAAGTTGAGTATGGACATGACAGCATACGAAACAAATTGAACACACAATGTTGTCACCCTTCTTCAAAGCCAACTCACACATCAGGGCACTGAAGGTGTAATCGGGTATTCCGTAAATCGTGTGTCCTCCGGTTTTGCCCTGGTCATGAGGAACAATGATTTCCACGAAGTTCTGCTTGAATGACCATTGAGGCGGCGCGACCACACGACTGCCATGTCCAGCATAGAAGAAAATGATGGCATCGCCTGCCCATATGGCATTGTTCTCTATGAGATGCTCTTTGAAAGCTGACAAGATGGATTCGCGCGTCGCTTCGTGATTGACGAGGTACTTGATATGCGTTTGCGCCACATGAAGGGTCGTTTCCAAGAACTCTTTGAAGTTGTTACCATCGTTCATGCAGCCTGTGAGAGGCGGTATCACATGATTTTTGTACTTGTCGATTGCAACAAGCAACGTGAATATCCGCGGTGCCAGGTAGTCTGTAGTAGCGTCCGAATGGTGGTCTATGCGTGGTTATCAGGTTGTGCCCAAATGGTTTGAACAGCAGATGCCTCCTCTGCCTGAGCACCGCTGGGTAGCGATGCGAGATTCTGATTGATGACTGGCGAAAACATGCCCTGCATTCCATGTTCTTCGGGAGAAACAGGAAAAGGAGGAGAGTCGACCTCAGTTGGCTGATGGTGCGGAGAGTCGTTCATCCCGGCATGATTCTCTGAATGTGCAGTTATGGTCTAAAGAACTTGCGTCTCCGTTGCATGAGGGTTAGTTTGCGATGTGGAAGTCTGGTCGAACGGAGAAACAACGATCTCCATCGTATCATCTGCGAGCGGGCCTGAGATGGGATTAGCGATAGAAGCGATGTGATCATTTGCATTGCCATCTCCGATGACTTGAGTATCGAAAGTATAGTCCTCTTCAGTTGGCCGATCTTCTCCAGGAGCATTTTCAACTTGGAAGGTTGGGCTATGATCTACGACTTTGGTTTTTACCGACGCAAACTATTAAGTCATGTTTGATTAAGCATTGATAATCGTTATCAACTCACATTTGCATCAGAAGCAGACAAAGCATTGCGGGGAAAAGGCTCCATCAGGAACCTCATTGGAACAGAATCAATTCCAAAACTCACGGGCTTTACTTCTGTTCCTCTGGAAGTTAGGTCTCTCGCTCAGCATGTGCACAAGACTAAGGCTACTTACTTCTTGAGTTTTTTTTTTCAAGAAACCACCAAATTGCTTCAACTTCAGCACTTTCTGCTGTCCTTGTCCTGGCCCTGTGTTCTCGTGCCTCATCGAATGATTCTAGTAGAGAGATGTGTCCTGAGATCGGAGAGTTGGAATTTGTGCGTTTCACGGGAAGTAAGTTGGCGGTAGTCTGACAGGTAATTATACACAGCCGAGTGTGACATCCTCGAGGTTGCAGCACGATGAATGAGGGCACGGAGGAAAAGGGAAAGGCAGAAAACGGCGTCTTGCAGCTTCTTCAAAGACTAGTAGTCCAATCTGTTGGATATGCAATGGCCGTGTCCTCAATTTGACGTGTTGAACCCAGGGTCCTCTTTCTGAAGGTATACTAAATGCAATGCAAATCATAAACTCAGTGGACCGGGACGTGACAGCAAACAGTGCCATAGCATGATCAAGACACCTAGATGTGACAATCATGCAAATGAAATCGATCGGATGGAAGAAGCATGTACAGCCCAGTGAACCACCATGCTGCGTTGCTTACGATATGGTGTGCCAGCTAATCCATTCTAGTCTCGTCTCTTGCATTGCCGTGCACCGCATCTGCCTGCCTTGCAGTTGTGATATGCACATAGAACGCCCCAGTGCTGTATAAAGGCCACATTCGCATGTACCTGACCACACGAAAGCACCAGAAGACGACCAGAGACGCGCGAAACGAACTGTATCACTAGCGGTGACTGAACATTCTCGAATACAGCCATCTTCATCAGAGAAAAATTGATCGCACAGCCGAGCACAGCTGCTTGGCACTGAAATTCTGAGAACTAGTCGAATTTTGATGATATATGTAAGGGCACGCAAGCACAGAGCTCAAATTTGAAACCTGACTAATACATATTTGTGCACAAATGCTGTCTCAAATCTAAGCTTTAAGCACAAAGCACACCATATGTGGTATCTTTATGGTTACACGGAGCGTTCACACAACATCAGGAAGATGCCCGCCACCGACATCGTACGACATCGGCAACGTCGTATCAGTAGCCATGTCGCCACTTTCCCTATATATCGTATGCTGTCATCTCCCGCAGGTACAACAGCATATAACAGTGCACGCTATCGTCTCCTGTGAATGTGACAGCGTACGACAGAGCACGGCACAAAGTAAATGTCGTAATATATATTACTGCGTTGTGTGGCGACGATGGGGATACCCATCCAATGTAGGCAATATATTTCGTCGCATGCAGTTCAATATCACAGATGTCGTGCACAGTATTGTAGTCGCATTGCAGGTATATTGATGTAGCGACAACATGTAAGCTACCATATTGACTTAGCCCCCTTCATTGGCCATCCCAGCTCTCCTGACCGTTGGGCTGGCCATCACCAAGTTCACCGCCATTGTCAGATTCGTCGGTCTCGCTAAGATTTCCATCCTTGTGCTTGAACTCCTCGATTGCATTCTTGATGGCATCCGGGGCAAGCGTACGGGTTTCTTGTGTTTCGGTGCGAATAACTTTCGCATTAATGCTGAGGACCCCCCATAGTCAGCTATGAGATGGAGAGCACATTTGACAGCTTACCATCCATCTTCGAAGACACGGTGACATATTTTCTTCATGATTTCTAGATCGCTGGATGCAGTGTTGTAACTTTTGATCGCACTCAGATGGTGTTCGAAACGATGTTTGTAGGCTTCTATGGTGAACGTCACATCTTCGCGTGTGCCGCTGACCCATTCGTCGATAGCGCATTCGATCTGCAATCTGACGTCAGGAAAAATACGCTCTTTGGAGTTTAATGCTTACGGCCATCAAAACAGTGGCGAACGCTATGAAAGGGAACGGGCAGTATACTTCCTGTAGGACAATCCCGTCATCGCGCTTGTCCTTGAACCACACCTTGTTGATGATCATCTGAATCACACGATTTTGATAAAGGCCTTTGTGCAACTCGGCTGCATCCCCGAGTTTCTGACAAATAGCTAGTTAGTCGAAAAGTCTTCCTCATCACGTTGACGCAGCTTGTACTTCGATGAAGATGGATTACGAGCAGGGAGCATACCGTCATTCTCCACACCTGCAGTGCATTCATCACGATGGCGTGGACTCAATGATGGTGAACAGGCCAGGCGACATGGGCTGATGATGTGTTGCGAGTTTCTGGCTCGGGAGTTGCCAAGAACGTTGACAGACGTCATCATGAACTTGAGCAAACATCAGCTAAATAGGAGTCTTCTGATAGCTATACTTACCTCTGCATCTTTGCGGCTCAGTTGCATGGTCCCAGTTGACTGCAACGTGCCTTCAAATGATATGTATGATCCCTGAATGTTTATGCAAAGCCTGAACTTACCTGTGGCTGCACGCTCGGCACGCAAATTTGAAGACCTCTGAGGCGGCCAGGTCTCGTCAGACTTATCTGTTCATGTAAGGCCTATCAGCCCCTATAAAATGAGCAATCAGCTTCATGGTGACTCACCGACATACTGCGCCCTTTCGGTTGAACGCCGCACCCGAGTACTGGGAGTGCGAGGCTCAGCAGCTAGCTTCGAAGGCAGAGAAGGCATCTGATAAGAGAGCGCGAGCGACTGAAGACAACGCGCCCTGACCGGATGCGTTATATACAGTTTTTCGGTTGAGTTTGAACATGTTTGTCAGTTTCAATGAAAGGGGGGACAAATAAATCACACCACCATGCCGCTGCATCATGGCAGATTGGGGTAGCGAGTCAGGATTTGAAACGAGACTAGCCAGAATCAGCGCTCACTGTCACCCCAGTTTTCTAGAACAGGGGATGGCCTGCAACTTCCTATATGCGTTCTCATGCTGGCCGGCTGCTCCTGTGCCAATCCTGTGGAAAAGCATTCAAGTCTGAAGTGAACCTAAGTCAGCATGTGGGCAAGACGATACCATGCGCTGCGCACTATGATCAGCAGTCTACGCAAACCGCCATAATGCAGCAAGATTTTAACCTTTCAGAAAGCGACAAGGATGTCATCACAGACTTACCCGACTATCTATCCTCATGCTCACCTCGATCTCTGACGCCGTTCAATGGCAACTGTTCAGCCAAGCAGCCAAGAGCCGCTGTTGAAGAAGTTGAAGCCGATGACTCTTGTACGTCTTCAAAACACGAATATGTTCGATTTCCTGGACGCGTTGTGACAAGCCTTGGCCATGGAGTGACAGTTTTCGAGGAGCATCTGGCTGAGCAAGTAGCTTCGCTGCAAGAACCATGGGCACCTTTTGCTGGCCTTGAAGAGTGGGAGTTGGCAAAGTGGTTGATGAAGAGGACGACACAGACAGGGGTTGACGAGTTTTTGAAGCTTAACATTGTCAGTACGATTTTTGCCATAGACACAAATTTTAAACCCACTAAACATGCACCATAGACACGTGCACGCATGAAGCCGAGCTTTCTGAATAGAAAGGCATTGATCAGGAAGGTAGATGCATTACCTGTCGGTCCAGAGTGGTGATGCGAGCTTGTAGAGGTTCAGGGAGATTGCTTGGGTGCTGGAAAGCACAGCACGATGACCGAAGAGGTCGAAGTCTGGGCTCAAGATCCCGTTGACTGCATTAAAGAGCTAATCGGAAATACGACATTTCAGGAACATATGAGCTACGCACCTGTGCACCTCACTCGCAACGGTGTGCGAAAGTACTCCGAGATGTGTAGCGAAGAATGGTGGTGGGATATGCAGGTAGGTTTCTCGTCAGATTAATTCCCGGCAGCTCATCAGCTGAGATGTTGGACTTTCAGAAGCGTCTTCCTGCGGGGGCAGTTGTGGCTCCCGTGATCCTAGCTTCTGATAAGATGCAGCTGTCAGTATTCGGCGGCGACAAGACAGCATGGCCGGTTTATCTTACCATTGGCAATATCGACAAAGCTACACGACGTTAGCCATCAGCGCATGCTACGACACTATTGGGCTACATACCGGTTGCCAAGCTCGAATGTTTTGAGGAGAAGACTAGGTCCGCTGCGCAATATCACTTGTTCCATCATTGCATGTCGATCCTGTTGAAGGGCATGGAGAAGGCGGGAAGGGAGGGAGTGCAGACGCTGTGTGCAGATGGTCATATTTGTACCATTTTCCCCGTCCTGGCAGCATATGTCACAGATTATCCCGAGCAGTGTTTGATAGCCTGCTGCAAGGAAAATCGCTGCCCACGCTGTGTTGTTGATCCGAAAGCACACGGTGAACTGAACATATGCGCTCTCTGAAGTCATGCGGTCACAGCAAACGTGCTGTGCAGTATGGGTCAGAACGACGAAGACGATCCACGTGTTGAAAGTGAAGGCCTGCGGCCAGTGTACTCACCTTTTTGGGCTGATCTGCCACATACCGACATCTTTGCATGCTTTTCGCCCGATATCTTGCACCAGTTACACAAAGGGGTCTTCAAAGACCATTTCTTGGCCTGGTGCACAGCTCTGCTGGGAAAAAAAGAGCTTGACCGCCGCTTTCAGGTGATGTCTGGGCATGCTCACCTGCGCCATTTCAAAGACGGTATCTCCGGAGTATCGCAATGGACCGGGAAGGAACAAAAGGAGATGGAGAAGATTTTCGTGGGATTGATGGCGGGCGCAATCGGCAAGCGCGCTGTACGAGCTGCGCGAGCATTCATCGACTTCGTCTACTATGCGCAATATCAGTCGCATACTGAACATTCCCTTGCTCGCATGAAGCGAGCCTTCAAAGACATGCATGAAAATAAAGATGTTTTCGTGGAAGCAAATGTACGGAAACATTTCAACATACCGAAATTCCATGCTCTTGTGCACTACGTTGACGCGATAAGGTCACTTGGGAGTCTGGACGGCTTCAACACTGAAGCATCAGAACGTCTTCACATCGATTATGCGAAGAAGGCTTACCGAGCAACGAACAGAAGAGACTATGTTGTCCAAATGACGACATGGTTGCAGCGACAGGAGGTGATTGTGAGGCAGAATGCATACCTGCACTGGGTCGAGGAGATGAAGAATGGCCGACAGAGTCACATGCAGATCACCGAGATAGATGACATTGAGGATTGGGACAAGAATGGGGATGAGGAAGACGACGACAACGAGGACAACGAGAATGGTGATGCGCAATCGGGTGCTGAGGAAGAATATTGTGCGCTTCGCCAGCTTGTGAACTCTAACGTGACATGTGCCTATCAGCTCACGAAACAACCAACATTCCTCCGAGTATCCATGGAAGATATCTCAAGTCATTTTGGAGCACGGGATTTCGCTCGAGCACTTGAGCTGTACCTGATAAAAAGTTATCCAGGAGGCACAAGCATAAGGGTGAATCAACACGACCGTTTCGACATCTATGGTTCGATATGTCTACTCCTACCTGCAAGCGCGCATGTCTCGAATGAGAAACACATTGACAAGGTACGAGCAACACCTGCAATGCCCCACCAAGGCCATCGCAAGCACGTCCCAGCGCACTTTGACACTGCTCTCATAATCCGTGACTGCGAGGCATACTCCAAACATGGAGGATTGTCCGGTAAGTGTGATTAGAGAGGTGTATCACAGTATCATCAGATGTGTAACTCACCTTCTTGCAGGTCTGCAGGCAGCACAGGTCCGGGTGATCTTCAGAATGCCTCAGCATTTGGCACGCACAAATGATGTACTCGCCTATGTTCAGTGGTTCCGACCTTTTCGGGCGAAGCACGCAGAGTCGGGTTACTACGTCACCGAACATTCAACACGAAATAATCGGCGTCACAGCGCTATCGTGAACGTAGATAGTATCCTACGATCATGCCATCTCATACCGGAATTTGGAGGTGACCCTGTGAATCCTACTTGGACACCGTCAGACGTGCTTGACAAACCAATCACATACCATCTTAATTCACACATCGACTTCTTCATGTTCGAATTTTGTGAGGGGACGGAGGGATTGAGATAGCCCAGTGCATTTGAATGATATTACATGTTTTTACTAGTAGTATACATTGTACTATAGCGATGGCGGGATGATAACTGTAGCATCCCATCGTACCATTGCATTTCCCGTGGTCAACATTGATCAACAGTGCGTTCGCGTCGCGCGCTGTTGACTGCTGTTGACGCTGTTGTACGACAGAGCCTGGCGGGGTACAACAGCCCGGCGAGCGTCTTCCTGATGAAATCTAACAGCGAGTAGTTTTGCAGAGCTCGCGAACGACGAACACGTCCCTACCGGCGCAGCACGAAAAGATAATCGACAGAAGATTGTACTTCCTATTTCTAGACGACACGCTTCTCATGATAGCGGTGGCAGGCAGCAGTGGACCGCATGAGGTTTCTTCATCCACCGTATCCCATCATTTCCCATGCATCATTGTCGATGTGACTTTCAAATGTGGCCCATTGATGTTGATAACAATGCGATTCCAACGCAGCATCCATGTTTGAGTCGCCTTGATGGCCGGTTTGTAGATGTGGCCAGAAACACGCATCGAGCGACACAAGCTGACGGTTGCATCATGCTTAGATGCCACACAGCCTACGCAGTGCCGAAACAACGTTGCAACAAAATTTCAATGCTTGCGTGAAAGGTGGCCGTATCGGCAAGGCATGCGAGACGCGAGCATGCTTTGCCACGACCTTCGAACCCTGCGATGGTGATGCGCGCGTCGATCTACAAGATAGCGTACTTTGATGCGCAAAGATTGTTCGCTACAGAACTCTGTATAACACATAACCTATGAACGTACACGCGAACGGAAAGAGCACATATCAACAAGAGGCTCGCGCACATGTACCGATTCCAGGTTATTCGCTAGGCATTACTACACTACGCCTTGCTTAGTAGTACAAGTCAGCACATAGGTCCATTCATCCCATACTTCGAGCATAATTTGCATTTCTGCCAAACGCGAGTTTCTCTTGAAAGGGGTATCCTGCATCAGGAGCTCCATGTTCACGTTCGCGGTGGACGCGAAGATCTTCAAGAAGCCCGAGTCCCTGTCTGTCCCATCCGGCAAAGAAAATCGGATGCTGTCAGTGCCCGAGGAGCCATACCCGATGGGCAGCTCCGAACATTCGTATTTGTCATCCTTTACCTTTCGTCGTGGCAACGGCGCGGTGGACGTACTCGTGGATGGAGGGGTATACCACACCTGATGATGTGCGTCAACACTTGCATATCGGCGGCCGGAAAAACCACGCACCTGTATGCTGTAATCGCTGGGATCAAAGTACAACACATACGGATAGAGATCGTAATCGGTGTTGTTGACCAAGGTCAGTCCATAGAATGGTGAGAAATCGGTCAGGATGGCCTCCTTGACATTTTCGAGCTTGTACGACGCGCTTGGCTTTAGATCAATGCAGCGCGAGTGCTCAGGTGAGAGGTAGTTATCCCCGAAAGGCGAATATATGACTGGATAACGCTCAGTTTTCTCCAACTTCTGCAGCCGCACTTCAAGTCCATTGCCAGACTGTGACAATTGTGAATTGCCGTGCCGGTAAAGGTGATGATTGAAGACAGCGATTGCATCCAACGCACGTGTCATATCGTCTAACTTCCTGGGACTTTCCGCGGGTTCGAGCTCGACGATGATGATCCGGTTCGGTAGCATGGTCGTGAGAGGGTCGAACCTCTCAAGCTGCCAGACGTCCCCGCCTTTGAGGCACTTCACCGCCAGATCGATACGGATATCTGACTCTGGGGACTCGTCGCTATCCGGCCGCCACAATTGCATCTTCATATTTTGTGCGAAACTCGCGACTGGCAGCGAAGCTTTCAAAGTCAGTCCCAGAGCCAAGAGACGCTCAAAGACGTCGGGCTTCAATGGCGTGACCTGGCAACGGAAAGATTCAACTTTATCAACTTCACAGACAAGGGAGGTCATGTCGTGTCCTTCGGGGATCAGGTCGGAGTATCCAGGAGGCAAGAGAATAGTGAGTTTGTCTCCTTTTGTTACACCATGGATGCTTCCCGCATTGATATAAATGATTCCGTTGCTGCCCTTGCTCACTTTCAGCCCATCGCTTTGATCTATCACATGGGCGGCAGCATTGAACACGATGCGACTCTTGTAGCGGCCTTCGCACTGCGGTCTCTGATACTCCTGCACTTTCGGTACGACTTGCTCTATCAAGCCCTCATACGTCGTCTTCGTAATGTCGCATTCCGTCAACGCCTGTAATAGTGCGACAGAGAAGCGGCCGTGAGGAATGCCGACAGTGGTCTCGTATGCTGCTTTATCTTGCTCACAAGCCGCAAGAAGAACGTGCGACGACCTCGCCTTGTAGAAGAACCCTTCTGCAAGCACAGGGTGCGCTTGGCGGCCTGTATGGTCTTCCCATATATCTCGGTCCAGCGTGGGCGGGAGAGGGGATGGCGAAACGCCAGGCTGCAGTGCGCGTGGAACAGCACTCGCTGTGCGTGTTATGCCACCCGAATGGCAGGAGTCAAAGATAGCCGTCTACGACGTTCGATCAGGACCTAGAAAGTAAAACAAGCAAAGGAACGCACAATGTTGTCGCCCTTTTCCGACGCCAGCCTTCGCATGAGTGCGTCGAGGGCGTAATCGGGTATTCCGTAGACTGTCTCGTCCCCGTATATTCCCTCGTCATAAGGGACAATGGTCTCCACTTGATTGTGTTCGGACACCCAGCCATCCGGTGCCTTCACGCGACTACCGTGTCCCGCATAGTGGAAGATGATGCTGTCGCCTTTCTGCACCGCATCGTTCTTTATAAGATGCTGCTCGAACGCAGATAGGATGGCCTCGCGAGTGGCCTTCTCGTTGACGAGATGTACGATATGCGCGGGTGGTACGTGGAATGTGTCTATCAAGAACGCTTTGAAGGCCCGTCCATCGTTCATGCAACCCGCAAGTCGTCCAATGCGAGGGTTTTTGTATTCGTCAATCGAAACGATGAGCACAAATATCTCGGCAGGCCTGCTGTGTGAAGCAGCGTCGGCAGAATTGTCCGGCCCTTCGTAGACGACGGGTTGTGCGCTCAGGCTCTGGAGGCTAGATACCTCTTCTGTTGTAGGATCGCTGGCTAGCGACTCGGAGGCATTTTCGATACACGGGTTCGCCATGCACATCAGATCCTGCACATGGGAAGTCGACAGAGGAGGGATGACAGGGGTAATTTGAGCATCATCTTGATCGACGGCTATGGCTAATTCAGGCTGGATATGATCATCTTTGGTCGGGCGATCAGTTGAAAAAGTCGCCGCAGTCCCAATAGCTGGAAGAAGGCCGGTGACGTCCCTGCTGAAGCCAGATGTAGAGCATTTACACGCCATTGCTCATCAATCAATGTGTTGGAGACCTGATGAAATGGTTCTCACCTGGAGACCTTCCACGGTCCTCCCTGCGGCATTTCCAAACTCTTGCGTTTCGTCGGAATGGTAGGCATGACTTGTGATATTTGGTGTCGCGGTGAAGGGTCAAGGGGTTGAGGTTCGCGGTCTTGATATCCGTTAGAGAGAACCTGCAGTCCTCAAAGCAGTGCCCTACACAGCTCCTTGAGGGCTTCATCAAGACACAAAGGTGGAATGGTGGGATATTGGCAAATTGAAATGCTGTGTCAGCGCCTATCCGGTTCGCTTCGCATAGGCCCGTTCGCATTCGCGCTGCTTAACTTAAATGATGTCAAATCGAGTAGACATCATTTTCACCTGTAAGTTTCGCGAACTTCGCCGTTACGCCTCAAACGGTCGATGACTGCGGTACCTACATGCCACAGCACAGCATTCAGTTATTGCAGTACTAAGATTAGGCAGAATTTCGAACCCGACCTTGTTTCCTGCACCGCAGTATCCACAGCTACGAAAAGGAAGCCAAGTGGCTCTGCGTCAGCTGGTGGACTATTCCCCGGAGATGCGCACCACTAGAGAAGCTATGAGGGGCTGTATCCGCAACTTCACTAACAATTGTACATGTGCAGAGCGACCACACACACGAACAAACGCGTGTACGCCGTTGTGCTTCCAGGCGGGTGCAACGACGAGCCACAGGCGCTGTTCGAGAGTCACGTGGTGCACCGTAGAAGAGGGCGCTTCCCTCGCCATGGCTAGAGTTGTTCTTCGCATGGATTTCTCGAGATCAACTACCATTGTACACTGCACCGAACTTGAAAACCTAGAGTCCCTGTGCACACTGCCACAAATCCCAATATCGGCATTGTTCAGCGCACAGCCTCGAATAGCGTACCGTCGAGCACAGGCTGTCGCCACCCGGCATCCAGATCGTCGCAGAGGATACATCAAACCACCGCCATCCTGTCCTGCACGCTTTTTCTTCGAGATCGCTACTAGTACCATAGAAGCTCGCACAGCCGGTTCCGAGCACCACCATTGGTATATTGAGGATGTGGTCAGAAGCACGCACCAGATAACACAGAACGATGGACTGTGGGTCTTCGCTGGGCCTGTATCCTTGTCAAGACTGGCGAAACGCGTGAGATTGTGCAGTCAGTGGCGTGCCTCCAGTGTTGATGAGATTTATGCAGTAGAACCGCCGACGCACAAACTCCGAAGACAAGTTGGTGAGACTCTGGCCGTAATGAGTTCTTGTTGACTGAGCAGCAAAGCCTGAAGTTCGAACCCGCGGTGTCTGCAACACAGCGTATGATGCTGTCCATTACAAGCCAAAAGCCAAAGGTCTTCCATAACGGACAACTCGTAGCTGTACACGTTCATTACGCGCGCATCTGCGCTCGCGCTTATCGGAAATGCCTACCGCGTCCGTTATCCACCTACAGCCCCGTACCCACACTCCGGAAATGAGACCACGCCCAACACCGGCCAGTCAGTGTCAGTGGAGCAGCGACGCTCCCCCAGCCACCTTAGTGCCCCTCCATGCCCAGACTCGCACTTAGTCAGTGGCGAGCTCGTACTTGATCTTCGCGATCGCCCCGGCGGGATTGAGGCCCTTCGGGCACGTCCGCGTGCAGTTGAAGATTGTGTGGCAGCGATACAGGCTCATCTCGTTCTGCAGCTTCTCCATGCGTTGTGTCTTGTATGTGTCCTGTGCACACGGCCCGCAAGATCAGCACATGCCTCCCGACAAGTCTAGACGAGGAGCATACCCGAGAATCAGCCATCCAGCGATATGCAGCCATGAGCGTTGCGGGACCCAGATACTCGTCTTGGTTCCACCAGTAGCTCGGGCAAGATGTTGAGCAGCACGCGCACAAAATACACTCGTACATTCTACCCAGGAAAGGGGTAGTAAATATCACGTGAAAGATGCGATCGACATGAGAAGGAGACCTACCCGTCGAGCTTTAAACGGTCCTCCTGCGATTGGATATGCTCGTGGTGTTCAGGTGGGTTGTCGTTCTTGAGGAAGGGCTCGATCGACTTGTATTGCTTGTAGAAGAGCGTGAGGTCCGGGACTAAGTCCTTCACGATGTACACTACGAGGATGACTATGAAGTCCACATCTAATGCAAGACGAGACTTATTCACTCACTGTGTGGGAGAGGGTAGATCTTGGTGTCCTTGCTGGTGTTGCGGTCGATTCTACAGAGGCAGGCGAGCGTGTTTTGGCCATTGATGTTCATGGCGCACGAGCCGCAGATACCTTCGCGGCACGAGCGGCGGAAGGTGAGCGTGGGGTCAAGCTCGTTCTTAATCTTGATGAGCGCATCGAGAATCTTGAACCGAACGTCAGTCACGCGAGACGAGGAGTTTTGATCGGAGGGCGCTCACCATAGGACCGCACTGGTTGAGATCAATGTCATATGTCTGCAGTGTCGGTTTCTTCGCTGGCTCGTCTGGGTTCTGCGCGCACACGACGCCGCATATCAACTCGTCGTCGCTGCCTCTCTGGTGATCACGAACTCACCCAGCGGTAGATCTTGAACTCCTTCTTCAGCACCGGCTTCTGAGTGGGAACAGCTTGTGCGCGCGCCGCCGAAGACACAAACGTCCTCGCGGACGTCTTGAGGAGTTGTGGACGCAGAATAGTGGATCGTGCGACGAGAGACTGCATGGCGAGGACGAGGAGAACGAGGAGGTAGAGGAGGTACGAGGAGGAGATGGTGCAGGTCGTCACTTGCTGAGCGGACATGTTCGGCCGTTCCCGGCGTTCCGTCAATGTCCGCACCAATCATCGTCGAATAGTTTGATTGTCCCGATCTGGATCTCCCCCAGTTTCTTGTTCACGTGACCGTGTAGTGGGGGTGGCGCTGCAAAGCCGAAATTGTATCGACTCTCGTCCGAACAGAGTTCATGTTGAAGAAATCGCTATCGTTCTCCGTCCTCAGAAATTGGCTCTAAACATTATTCTATGGATCAACCACAAAGGCGTACATTGCCTGCTATCCTATGTGGGCTTGGGCGCATCGGTGCACTGCGTAAATCTGTCAAAGTTATCATCGTTGCAAGTAAAGATTTTTCACTATTTCAAGACCCTCAGTGCACCTCAATTTCTTCTCGGCCGTAAGTATCCTGGACCACCGTCGAAGTGCCAAACTAGCACTAATACCGCAATGGCCGTCACAGTCGCCATCTCATACCGCCACACGGCATGATGTGAGCGTGAATGATCCTGAAACCATGGCAGAGACGGCGACGGCTTGTTCAATATTATCGATGGCACGATGTACAGCCGGCAACACCGGTGCCATGTCGCTGATGATGAAACGCATCTCCTGCTGATGGTGGTGTTACGCTTTACTCCGGCGATAGATGTCATTCTGTCTGGTCGACCATCAACTCAATGTCATTAGTCTGCTCCGAATTCTCCGAACATGTACAAGCGGATGATAGCTCCGAAACTATACAACAAATCTACTGCATGTCGACCATCTCAGACAGCGCCATCGGACTTGTTCCAGGTGCCTTGGTCATACGAGCTCTTCATGACGGGCGTCGCCTGGGCGTCGTACGTCGTGCGAGGTGCGGGGTACGGGTTGACGGACACTGCGTCCTTGCTCGCGTAGTCCGCCTCCATCTCGCTCTCTTCGTTCAGCTGGCCAACGTAGTCGAAGACGATAGCGCAGCCGGCTTTCAATAGCAGAACCCATCAGCCAATCCGCGTCGCAATATGATAGACAGACAGATACATACCGATCTGGAACAGCCACACAAGGACGAGGACGATGACGATGACGATGCGGACAACGTTAAAGCCTTTCTGGCAGACCCAGTGCTCGACCTTCTCGGCGGTATCGGTTTCGGTCGTGTCGCACACATGCTTATCGGTGTGGAACAGCCGCCAGCACCACCAGATGCCGATTCCGATGGTGATAGCTGTGTTGATGGTGAGGCTGATACCGTAGCCCTTGACGAACGGGCGGACGGCGCCAATGGAACCAATCAGTCTGAGGAGTTGATCGGGTCAGTTGAGATGAAACAGGTTTTCACAGAGAGCACAGAACACATACCCCATGATCGAGAACAGGAGCATGAAGGTATACGCGAGGGAGAAGATCACCAATCCAGCGACCTCGTCCTTGGAGATATCAAGCTCTCCTGTCGCTAAATGTGTACGTCAGCACTATGCTTACACATACGAAAATACTTTACTCACCATGCCTGTGCACCTCAATCCATCCCAGCACACAGAAAGCAGTGCTGTAGGCAACGCCAAGGAGGGCAGAGCAAAAGACACCGAATCTGACCGGCAGACAGCAGCAGAACTTGCGGGAGCGAACGTAGCCCATTGTTTCGTGAGAGGTCGTGTACGTGAATTAGTCAACGAACGGTCGTGTGGGATACGATAGGTCTAGTGGGGTCGTGACAACTGCAACAAAGGCAGCGAAAAATGCAGAGAGACCAAAGAAAAAGGGAGATGATGGTCGAAGGTGAGGCGCAGCCTAAAGTTTCATGGCCGAACTGGCAGGGTTTATATACGCTACTAGCACCATCGGAAACAGTGTTTCAAGTGCTGTTTGATCTCTGATGGATGGAGTGATGGCTGTGTGTTACCAGTGTCGCATCAGCGACGTCGCCTCCTGCACTGCACCGGCTATCCGTGGACGCTGAGGGCTCTGATGAGCAGCGCAGGAGCTCTGCTCCGCAGCCTTTGTAGTAGCTTGCGACACGGATGCAGAACTATCAAGACTCACCAAGCGCTAGTTTGCAGTTCCCATCAGATCAATGGTATGCGATGCGCCGAGTGCGTATCATCACTCACGTGGCCGTGTCGTTGCTGTTCATTCGTGCGTTTGCACAGCAGTTCCTTAGAAACTGATTGTTTAACCCCGAGCGATCAAGGTCGAGACGATGTCGTTTGAACTGAATGAGATACCATCTCAGCTGATGATGACAGTCTCTAGTAGCCAACGACTTGGTCCAGCTCATGCGTTGCGGCCCTGCCGTGTCAATATGCCACGACATTCGTGAATTGCCCTCGTCTCAGCAACTTGATCACTGAATGCTCCACGACACACCTCGTGCTATGCGTCAGACTTCAAAACACAGGTCTTTGTACGAACCTTTGCAAATACTTTGGCAGACATCATCAGATTGGCTCGAATTTTGATGGAATTTCTGCACGGCTTTGCAGCGTTCCTGGAGATCCACAACAGCCAAATGCCTATAGCACAATCGCCTGGTCCCATAGCAAAGAATCACTCTCACTCAGGCCCACCAATCCTGAAGGACTGGGCTCTCCAGGATGCTTTGATCCATTCCATGAACACATCCCCCAGCCAGCACCATCCGAGGATTTGGCACTTGCCTACGGAATGTTCCTCCACTATGACTGCCCTCACTGTGCAGTCGCCTGCCCAGGCGGACTCATCCCATGGGTACTGCCTCCCGATGAAAACCATGAAGGTAGATCGTTGATCAAGAAGATCAGCGGGACTGTCCGAGATCGCCCAGATGGTCCCATCCGTGGCCAACACATACGAAGGTCCATCATCCGCAACGTGCAGATTGTCGAAATCGGGCGTGAACTCGCGGCCACCACATACAAATGCCGCACTGATGGCATAACTGGAAAAATGGAGGAATCCAGCATCGTCGATGGTCGTCGGACTAGGCATTTCCACCAGCCACCACTGTGCGTCGCCAAAGTTATTCATCATGGCAGCCACCTCCCGCCATCGACCGTCCGGCAGCGTGTAGCCAATCTGTACGAGGTCATTCACGACAGACGTCTCTGGAACTCTCGGGAACGCCGAGAGTTTCCTGCTCGGGGGAAGAAAGAACGAGGTGCCGAGCCAGTTAGGCGCGCAGCCCTTCTGCAGCGTCGCCTGTGCAACGGCACGCGACGCGAGGAGGCGATCGTCCTCTCCATATGCGTGCGTGTCCAACGTGACATCGAAGAGGCCCATGATGCTGTAGACCATGTCGACGGGGCGGGATGACGTCCGCATCAGCGCACTACGCCATATCGCCTGCTCCTTCGCGGCGCCCTTCAACTTCATCGCACCCCACAGAGCGACCAGCTGCACCCGTGCGCTCGCAGACGCCTCAAGATCGCCTTCCGTGCTGCGAATGATCGCAGGGCGATAGCCAGAGTAGCCTTTCAGCGGGATGGAGCTCGCAAGGATATCCGCGAGAGGTGCCATGCTGTAGCGGAATGACCCATCTGGAAAGACTTCTTGCGCCGTCTCTCCCGACCAACGGTATCGCGAGTCCCACCTGTCGTACACGACGTAGGTGCGCGCAGGCGCGATCGCCTCTTGGAGAGTCCATGCACGTGTGATCCAACCCGTCTCCTCGTTGAGCCCGACGATGCGCTGAATGCCACCAGGGAGGACGAAACATATCGCGCAATGTTTGTACACAGCGTGCATGTTGCGAATCTGCAACTTCTTATCATGACGGTCGTCCTGTATGATGCACAGACGGTCGATCCAGAGATACTGGTAGCCCATCTCCCTGACCGCCTGGCAAAGGACAAATATGATAGAGATGCCGATAGGGTCGGAGTCCTCCGAGGCGCCCTTCACGTTGAAGCCACCCCAGGATCCCTTGGAGTCGCGTGGCAGAGGATTTCCCAACCACACATACGAGAGGGCAGCGTAGGAGAGTGCCGAATGAGGTGGGAAGTCCTCAAACTCATGAACGGTAAGTTTTCGCGTCCATATCGGGTTGTCATTTACGAATGTCGAACAGTCGATCAGGCGGAATCGCCCAGGAGTAGCCTTTCCCATCGAAGTGATATCTATAATCTGATTCCTCAGCTTCAACAAAGGTATCTCGAATATGCAAGTTGGAGATAGCTCTGTTTTGGCGGAGGAATCTTGCATCGTCTGTTGCGAATTGCTGGCTGTAGCCCGGGCCTAACATCAACCTTTCGTTAGCACGTCGGAGACATCTTCAGGGACTGTCTTACTGAGGCGCTCTCGGGAATCGGTGACGCCTCTCGGCGCTGCCGATCTAGCTGAAGAGCTGCTGTGCGACTCTTTCCAGATTTGAGTCGCTTAGCCGCCTCTTCCTGTGCCTCACGCAGCAACCCGCCCCTCCATACATTATCGTGTTGCTTCACGAACTGCTGCGCGCGGTTTATGGCAAATGCCCATTCCTCTTCGTCTATATGAGCTGTCTGAACGCCGTCCTCGTCGTCCCCAACATGAGGTTTGCCGACATGCTCCAAGATGCGCTGAGAAAACAAAACCGATAAGGTCGATACGTATGTCGTAAATTAACCTCTGGCAATTGGATGGTAGCAGTCGGGCTCACCGTGACTGAATCCTGATCAGACCCTTCAGACATGTAGCTTTAGTTTGTGATAGCTATGGTGAAAAGGAGGACATATCTCTCGAAACACGCTGATATATGTGTAGACCCGTGACCGCGGCAACGTAGCCTTGGCTACTAAGACCCTTGTCTTGAGCCATTGTTACGTATGGGCGTTCATGAGAGAAGATCGGAAGCGTTCCTAGGAGCAGGACAGCATCAGCGTATCCGCCGACAGGATCGGCGGAGATCAAGAGTCATATCTTGAGAATATCGAGCCTATCGAGGCCACGAGCGCGTACCTAGCCCCATGCTTAGAATGCGAATGCGGAGCTTACTATGTCTGTACGTCAGTCGAATGTTAGCGAGCATGGGCACAGACAGACCGCCCTCTGAATAGTATTGATATGGAATATGCATACCTGGGCAGTGCCATCAATGTCAGCACACTCGGGAAATCTGGGCTCGAAGTTCGGCAAGAGTAGTCTATCATGATGTGGTACGTCGTACAGGTGCAAGAATGTGAACCGTAGGTAGCATGGAGTGAACCATATGAACAAAGGGTTGGCATGGAACAGAAAACAAGTCATAGCACGCAAAGCGATTGGCGGTACACCGAGAGGATGAGGGAAAGTGGCACATAGAGTAGGCAATGCAAGTTCCGATCAGAAGCTGCAGTAGAAGAAAGCAACGCCCTCATCAATCGTTAGCTAGCAGTTCAACCGGCTCCAAGTCCCCTCGCACACCCACACATAATCCACGACGGCCAAGAACTCCAAGCTCCGAAGACTATAACATCGCGCAAGAAGAAAAACGCTGATGCGGTTGTCCATGCCACAGCGAGGCGGCCGTAGCTCATGAGTGGAGAACTACAAAACCTGCGGTATAGTCTCCTATGGAAAATGATTGGATAGCTCCCAAAGACGAACGGAGAAGACCGATGTGGACGATATGCTGTCGAACACCATGCTGCAGATACGCATAAGTCATGAGAGAGCAAGTGGGCGGCTAACTAGCACAGGACGTGGGAATCAACCTTGTCTGCGAAGCATTGGGAATGGAAGTGAGAGGGTAATGTCACAATGGTGATACACGAACAAGAAGAGGACAGGGGAAGAAAATACACTGGGTGTTCCTTGTTGTGATATGTGGTGCAATGAGATGCAGTAGAAGGGAGGCATGAGCGGATGACGACACGCGGCGCCGGGGACGAGCGGATATCGAAGAAAAGAGACGGTATTTAGGACTGCTAGAGCTCGGAGCCGGTGGATATCGGTCATATGAAGGCAAGGAGGAAACCTGCACGATGATTCAAAGGTTCTGAATCTGAACAATCAAGAATTGTTTCTCGTCCTGGTGGGAGGAAAGGTTATCACTGCCCGTCCATTATCTGAAGCATATATATGCGAGGCGTACCGTGAATTGCTCGTCTGCGCATCGTCAAAATATGAATGTCAGCCAAACAAATAACGCTTGCAGACGTAATCATATTTCTTCGAACGCACCCTCTTTATCATTGTGGAAATTTCGCAAGTATGCCAATAATTTCTCCTTGTTCCGACGTAATATGTTCTCTATTTGTGGAGGCTTCTTGGGATTGGCCACAAATACCTGCAAGCACAAGCACAAGACTTAGTTCGACAGTGCCCATGTCAACTGCGGCGATATGTCACTAGCCTTGAAGACGTGGAAAGCCTCAAACTGGATATTCTTGCTCTTGTCACGCAGAAGGTTCATCATAGTCTTCAAATTGGCCTCACTCGCGATGTACCGTGTCATGACAGCGAAGTTAGCTCGATCGAGGAGGATCTCGCCCAATAGCTTGAGCGATTGACGCTTCGTAACGTAATTATTGGACATTATCAGCTGCGAGAACGATGCGAAGAACTGCGTATTATTAGCATCAAGTCAATGGTTAAGGTTATGCCACGCACTCGATCGTAATTCTTGTCCAAGAACTCTGCGACCATGGTCTTGTGCCTAGTCAAAGTCTCCTTCAAGTTCGTGAAGGCATCACAGGAAACGCCAAAGGTGGTCGTCTCAATATAATGTGGGAACATGTAGAACCTGCGCCTCGATCAGCCTCGCCCGCCCGCTCGCCACGAGAACGGACACTCACTGTTCCGAATGCAGCAAGATCCTCGCGAGCGGCTCGTGACGAAGCATCTCACGGAGGATCATGCCGGTGTTCAGCGCAATCTCCTCGTTCTTGTACCCATCGAACGCAGCGAAGAGGACGGCGTTATTCTTGCTGACATGCTCGACCGTCGGATAGCGCGTGCCGATCTGGCGCCGGAGGAGATTGTTGAAGATCTGCACAACGTCCTTTCGCGCCTCAAATTCGAGCTTGTGGATGTTGAGCAGCAGATGGTACAGAAGGTCAGTGGAATATGTTTCCTGCGCGAGCTGAGCCACAAGCTCAGGCAGCGGGTCTGTAAGTCGGTGAGTATCACTCCTGCATGCAGCGTGGGTGAGATTGCTTACCGCCATCGCCATACAGTATTGCCTTGATCTGTTGAAGATTCTTGGCCACTTCTTCGTTGGCCTGTGGTCAAGATTGTGATCATATCATACGTGGGCGGAACATAGCCACGCACCTTCCGCCTCGTCTCTCCGCCCGGTGGTCCTGCATCGAGCTTCGGAAGCGCATCTCGCAGACCTCTCACGAGCTCCGGAGGTGTTCGTGGCTTGGACTTAAAGAAATTCATCGTGAAGGTGGAAAGTTGAGTAAGGATCCACGCGAGACACAGGCACGAGCTCGGGGGGAGACTGCGTCAAGATATTGCCAGCAGGGACGTATCAGTGCTAACAGAATGTTCACAAACGAGTGGCAGACGCAGAGCAGCTATACCGGAACGAGGTTGTTGGCGAGATGGAGGGGAAAGTCGGCGAGGACGAGCTCGAAGCGGCTCAGGCTCGCTTTCGGCCTGAGTGAACAAGACGATCACGTGATCCAGCAATGTGGGCGTCTATTGGCAGCATGGCTTCTGGTCCTGCCAGTACTCTACGTCTCTCTCTCACATAATTTCATATCGTGAACAGATTAATTCGATTCTTTTCTGTGCCGCTAAACTTTGGGCCAGAGTGCAGAAATTTTGGCAAACTCAGTCTGTCTGTCGCTAAACTCGAGGCTCACACATGGTTGCAACTGATTCACCGGATGAAATCGTCCTTCGCGACGAGTGGTGTGTTGGCGACAATGTGCTCTGCAGACTCTGTTCGCGAAATGCTTGAAGGTGTTTCTCTTTCTGTCCTTCACACGAAGTCGGCAGTCCAGGAGCACATATTTGCGGATCACCCGGGTTGTCTAAATGTAGGAAAGGCCGAAGTAGAGATCTACACGTTGTCAACACTGCTTTGTGATATGCGCGCTCCATAAAAGTGCGCTGACCGAGATTTCTAGAGTCGAAAGACCTCCGCCATTGTGAAATGGATTGTGCTCAACCACCAGGCGACACGACCGAGAACAAAACACAGGACGCACTTCAAGTAAGCCTCTAACGGTTCTCGACATCGACATCGTTCATTTTCTCATCGAACCACGTTGCCTGTCTAGGAGATTACCCGATACTTCGAGCCAGATCCAGAGTATGAGTTTGATGCCGTATTCGAACGCAATCGAGCGGTGAACTTCGTCAGGGAGTATGATCTCAGATGGCGTGGTCCCAACGGAATCTTTCAGGAGGCCATTACAGAAGCTGAGCGACGGAGGCGAACGGGTGCCAGCGACAGAGCAGCAGCGAAGATTGCCCGAGATGACCAAAAAGCGTCAGAGGCAGCGCGTTTTGGCGTGCAGAGACATTGGTTGCCGTATACGCTCAGGAAGAAGAAAGAGGCCATGCAAGCCAAACGCACCGGCCAGGCAGGTGAGTCCCATACCTTCTATTTGCTAAAGCGACTGCCAATCGTAGCAATGCCGTGCTTTCTCGTCAGAAGACGATGCTCGGTCTCGACCGTCTACTTGCATATATGAGATTCCGTTCTCCGAGTTGATAGACAACATCATCGATATCAACGGGAAGGGCAAAGCTACGCCAGGCAAGTTTCGCCTCGTTGATTGCGAATCCCTCTCCGAAGACACTCCATACTGGGATTATAAGCTTTCCATCCATGAGTTTCCTGCATTTCCGCCGGTTGAAGACGTCCCATATATTGCTATTTCATATGTCTGGCGAGGGAATCCTGTCAGCCCCGATGACCCTGACTCACGATATCCCGGATTTAACGTCAAGGGCGCTCAAGACGACTCCGACCTTGTTGGGATAGGATTGCTGACATTCATCGCGCGCTGTTCTTGGAAGATGGGATATAGGTACCTGTGGCTGGACAGGTTGTGTATTATCCAAGACAATCGCGAAGACAAGCGCACGCAAATACAGAACATGTACGCTATCTACCGCCATTGTGGCGCCTGTCTGGTTCTTCCCGGTGGCATTCAGCGTACCGTGCCCTTGCATGAAGAAACGTCCTGGATAACCCGTGCTTGGACACTGCAGGAGGCCGTTGCACCTAAAGAGACCTACGTGCTCTACGACAGTTTCCAATCCGCAGCGAGGGAAGGACATAAGTACTCCGGAGCACGAGTGCAGTCGACAATAAAAGACATCAACAGGATGGACGACCACGCCATCGTCCCTCTGGAGGACCTCCTTGTCGACTCCATCCAGATCGGCCGCTCTTCAACATATCGGCCGGCCATCATCCGCGACGCCGCTGGCGGCTTCGAAGCCTCGGAGGATGCACGAGTGCAGATGGTCGCTCTCCTCGGTGCGATGCGGCTGAAGGGCGCCGCCAAGGAGCAAGCAATCTGGCGGAGTGCTCTCATGCGTACATCCTCGCGCCCGGTTGACATGGTCTTCAGCATCATGGGTCTGTTCGATGTCACTTTGGATACGCATGCATACGGCAAGAATGACCGGCTGGCTGCATGGCGCGCCCTCGCGCAGGAAATTCTGAAGAGCGGCCGTCCGCCGAGCTGGCTCGGGACGTCATTCTTTCTCCCATTCGGCCAGGAACCGTCTACATTCCCCAGGGAGCCGGAGGCGCTGGAGGTGCGGGACGTAGTCCAAATAGGGTATCATCTAGGCGGAAAGCGCTGGAAAGAGGTGGCAGTGATGATGAACAACTTCTCGGATTCTCGCTGGTGGCTGGAAGACATGCCTTGTCCTGCCAGTATGGACGGCTCTGGAAACTTCACGTTCTCCAGCCACGCGGTCCCCGCGTTGTTCATTACGGCTGGCAGAGACTTCGTACGAGAGTTCGACAACATGCACTTGGATCTTACGGACGATGGTGCATGCGTCGACGCCGTGTACATTGTGGCCACGGACGGGTCTGTCTGGAAGGTCCAGAGTACCGCAGATGACGTGCGTGCTGGCTTCCGCACGTTTATCGTCTACATCGGAAGACAGCTCCCGTGGTCAGACGCCGAATGGGCAGGCGACTGCACTATTCGTGTATTGGTGATCGAGGAACACGCTTCAGGCCGTTATCGCATGCGAGCGTGGTGCTGGCTGGGAGACGTCTTTCTCGATTGGATCAAGCATCGGTGGGCTATGCATACTTTCACCATTGGGACACCAGAATGACCGGGAGTCTCGAGGGTTCGGGCTGTCCTATTTTAATCCTTACTCCTGCTCAATGTGAGGTGATGCAACTACGCACGAAGATGCAACTACACACGAATCAGAAGGACATTTAGAATCCATATTACTTTGATAGGCCCCTGTAATTTTTTCCGGCCTATCCTTGGAAGAAATCACGGATCGTGCGCGTGGAAGACGTGTGCAAGAGTCAGAACCGATATGTGGGCAAGAAATGCTGCTTGGGCACGGCGTGTTGAACTATTCAGGGTCTCAAAACTTCATTGTTCACAGAAGACTGTTGCGATCTCTTGACCTGTCCTCAAGGTAAATGTGAACCTCGGATCGTGCAACTGTATCATTCTGCTCTGGCGCGATAGCGCCTACCAATCGTCTGTCGGCCCTCTCCTTTTTTCTTTGAAAGGTTAATGGGGGTCTCTGTGCATGCATTGGGCCTCACCGTGGGCATTGTGATCTGTACCTTCACGAATAAATCATGGTAATCTTCAAGCTTCAAGGCTCACAAGGAGAGACGAGGAGTTGACAGATGACGCAGCAGCATACGGGGTGTTGAGCACGTGATACGTAAGGTTGCAAAGATTCGGAAGCAGATTCTGAGGTCCGACGGCAGATCCCGGTTGTGGCCACAACTCCCATCAACGAGATCGACGACGCCATCAAAAATGATTGTTCCCGACCAGGATACGCGAGCACAGCAAGGAAATGCGAATTGATCAATCACCGCTTCCCGACGTCCCTCGTGGCGTTTCACTCGGCAAAGCTCTCCGCACTGTTTCGGAGTCTAGGCTGCTGATCCGCTCCTGATGCGCTGATGGACAGTCTATGAAGATGCTCACAACGTGCAGCATATTTTTTTTGACTGCTCAAGCACACCTTCGCTATAGGCCGCCTTGAACTATATAGCTCCGTTCACTCGAAGACGCTATATAGGTCGACGCAACGAATATGGCATGTTAAGCCGCGCCGTTTTGCATTGTTGCAAAGACTTGATCACACCATGTAATGGTCCCAGAATGCTGATGCCGAGAACGTCGATATCACGTTTCATAATCGCTGATGCGTTATCTCCGCGCTTCAAGTAATTTCGACTTCCCGAATCCAAGACTGGCGCTCGCCACGAACACTGCCCTGCGATGGCTTGTTTCAGCTTCCATGAGTATAACAGGGAGTCGGTGAGCATCCAATCCTCATTCAAAGCATACCCAGTTACTCACACCACACGCGACTTGTCCTCTCTCGACCGTCTAGTCAAATCCCTATTTATCCACCATCACCAACATAATGCGTCTATTCCACGTCCTTGTCTTCCTTACCGCCCTCGTCACTTCCACGCTGGCATTCAGGGATCTCACTGGGCACGACATCTGGAATTCTCTCAACCGGGCGTACCGCCGTACCTACGGCGAAGACTCGGTAGGTTTCCTAGAACCCCGATGACAATAATTCACGGTCTGACTTCCACCTCTCTCAAGCACCTCGCTGCGCGAGCCCAAGTGAACTGCAAGAACGACGGCAAGCTGCGTCGGCCCACCAAATACGAAGCCCAAGGGTACGCCAACCCATTCACCTCATATGATGGTCGTGTGCTGACGGCCGCGCGATAGTTGCGTGCCCGACAGCTCGAGAGGCTTCTTGTCCGCGCACAACTGCGCTAGCAAGGGCGGATCGGCGTACCTTTGCCACACGGATGCCGGCACGGTGTGCATTTCTGGTGTGAGCAAGCTTCGCGCGAGCAACATGGAGAACGGGGAGTGCTTCGTATGAGGGTTTGAATGCGCATGCTTGGGCTCTGTACCTCTCAGGAGCCTGAGATGGGTGCGATCGACGGGCTTGTATGAGGTGGGCTCTCGAGGAGAAGGGAGTCATATCGCTGATAGGGCGGAAGTGACGCGGTTGTGGTATGACTTATGGCGGGCACAGTTGATGATTCTATTTATTGAATAAAGATATCAGGAAAGTGTGAAGCACTGTACTGAGCAGGGTCTCTGGATTCCTTGAAGGAGCAGCCAATGGGAGGTTGAAAGCTCCTGGAGGAGACCAGGTAGTAGGGTTTCATGATCAAGTCCGTCCAGCGTGAACCGACATACAGGTGCTTCTCATTTCTCCCCACGCAGCCGGAACCAGCCTCCGTTTGGCTGAGCGTTGTTACGTTTGATTTTGAGCTGAGACATCAGTGAAGGTTGCATCGACGGATCTATGAGGACCCCGAGCTGCCGGGGACAGAAATGCGCGATCATCTTAGATCGGGACGGCGATGTGGATCCTGGGTCGAGTGAAACAAGATTTCGGATAGATGTGATTATAGGAAGTAGCGAGGCATTGGCATTGAATATCTATTGCCGACTCAAGTTGCATTCTAAAGATATTTTCTTTTTCCTTTACTTCCATGTTCATCTTGTGGCAGTTCGTCTCACTAACAACGAGGATACGTAATAATTACGAGGGCCAAGGCCGTAACTCCCGGTGAGTCTTATGGCGCTTTGATCTGCGGTATATTGCGCACCGTACCAGTGCTCTTGGCTGCTGCTGATAATTACAGGAAGGTACCTGCCGTTGACTGTCCAACTTCCTAGCAAAATCGACCTGCGTCCGTCTGAGTTGGCCTGAGCTCGTGTCGATGCGACTCACACATACGTGCAGCAGCACACATGATACCTTCTGCCCCGGTCTGACAGCTTTCTCGAGTTCCTTCCCCTCTGCCAAGTCGAAGGATGTAAACCCAGAAGAAAGTCATAAGACCATTGTGGACACCTTTCTGCTCTTCAGATAGGCGATTTTGACGGTTTTGAATGGCTCAAGAAATACCCAGGCTGCATCTGCGAATTTACATGGGACAAGGAAGACGGTGTCATCATTTCACATTTGGCTTTGGTTCTCACATCACTGCGATATCTTTGCCACATTGTTGAATAGCACGGAACAGCCCAGGTGAGCTCACTTACTGTATTCTACGCTGTACACTACGACGCCCATCCACCGTCCGCCAACAGTGACCGTTCCTATTCCAAGCGCACCTTTTCCCAGCTCTTTCCCCTGCATATGGCGTCCCATCGGATGCGTATCGGGTGATTTTCTTGATCCGTCGAGATGCACAACAAGCTCATATCGCAGACAGGACCACGGAACTGGCTTGGAATCCACAGCAAAAGTTCGCCCTCTGACGTACGGATCCATCCGTCCTCGGGGACGCTTTTCGGAACTCTCTCCGGGCCCAAGAGCTCGCAGTTGTACACCGATTGTTCGTCCTCCCAGAAAAAAGATCCAGCATCCCATATTCGAATCGCGTTGTCGCGTCCTCCAGAGACGATGTGCTTTCCGTCACGGGTGATTGCAACACAATTGATCGCATCGGTATGACCCTTCAATGGAATGCCCACCAGCTTTCCTGTATATGTGTCCCATGCGCGTATGTATGCATCCCAAGAAGCTGAAAGGATAAATCGACCATCGGGCGAAAAAGCAACAGACTGAACCATTCGTTCATGCATCAAAGGCTCCAGAAGCGCTTTCCCAGTTTGAACATCCCAAACCCTCACGGTTTTATCCCAACCTCCTGACGCAAGTCTAGAGCCATCCGGTGAAAAGGCCAGCGCTTCTGGTGGTTCCGTATGTCCGCTAAAAGGCTCTCCTATTGGCGCCCCGGTGTCCGCGTCCCATACACGGACGGTTTTATCGCCTACTGATGCCAAACGCGAGCCATCGGGGGAACATACGACCATTTTGACGCCTGCAGAATGACCAGTCAAAGGCTCTCCGATTGGAAGACCACTTTCTGGATCCCATATTCGCAAGAGCGAGTCCTCCGACCCCACTGCGAGCCTCTTCCCATCGGGAGTCCATACCCCCGCACTGACCCACGTTGAGTGTCTGAACTCGCGCATGAGCGTGCCGTTCTCCACATCCCAAATCCTCATTGTCCCATCTTGGGCACCGGAAGCCAGCCGCGATCCGTCAGGTGAAAACTGCACGAAGAACACTATGGTGTCGTGGCCCATCGACGTGCTATTGAGTAACTTCCCGGATCGCGACCACAAGTAAATGGAGTTATCCCATCCTCCGGAGGCGATTCGAGAACCGTCGGGGGAGATCGCGACAGAAAAAACATGGTGACTATGCCCACGAAGTGCTGCTTTGCTCAGAGCGGCGGGGATATCCCAGACTGTAAGGTCTCTTGCGCCCGAAGCCACAACGCCTCTGGTCCCGTCCGACGAAAGCGCGAAGGAGCAAGCGAAGCCGAGCTTGGTCCCCTTCAGAGTAGCACCAAGTGATTGACCACTTTTCGCATCCCAGACGCGAATCGTCGAGTCGCCCGATCCAGACAAAATGTATGCACCATCGTTGGTGTAGACTAAAGACCGGACATACCACCTGTGGCCTCTCAAAGGTTCTCCTACTGAAGCACCTGTACGAACATCCCACAATCTAATGGTCTGATCTTCCGATCCTGAGGCCAGCGTGCTCCCATCAGGAGAGAAAGCTAGAGTGAAGACATAACCGGCGTGACCTTTCAATGCCTCACCAACGCGCTCGCACTTTTCCACATCCCATAGACAGACTGTCTTGTCTTCGGATGCAGAAGCGACGCGCAAGCCGTCAGGCGAGAATGCGACGAATGTGATCATTGCTGTATGTCCGGCCATCGGGCGTGCTATCGTCGTTCCGGATTTCATGTCCCAGACTCGAACGGTTCCATCATAAGACCCTGACACAAGGCGTGTTCCGTCTCGAGAGAACGCTAATCCGGATGCAAAGTAGGCATGTCCCATGAGTGGCTCGCGAGCAGCAGTCCGACCGTCTATATCCCAGATGCGGATGAAGGGCTCGTGGGTAGAGGATGAAGCGATCAGGTTGGCCACAGGAGAAAATGCAAGTGACATGATAACACCAACGTGTCCGACTAATGGTTCGCCGGCAGGTGCGCCAGTCTGCATATCCCAAATTCGGATGATCGAGTCCTCGCCGCCAGACGCGAAATAGTTTCCGTCTGACGATACTGACACATTGAAGACCTTGGCGGGGCAGACGATGTGGTGCAGCATCAGCGAACGTTGTTGGATGGATTTCGTCAATACTTGTCCATGAGCGAACTCTGATTGCCACGCTTTCCAAAGGCATGAACTGGTAGAGAGCCATGGAAGAGTCGAAATGTATAGCTGTGGAGTACTTAGGGATATGCTCTGGTGGAACTGATCCACGATCCATCGGAGTTCAGACGCTGCATCTATCATTACACTGCCATTATTTAGAATCTGGTACACCAAAGTGAGAATAAATCAGGGCAGGAGAAGGTCGGAACAACGGACCTGTGGTTCGGATTGTATCCTAATGAGGATGGAACGAGCAGCAGATAGCCTCCTTTTGATACTCATGACCTCCAGCCAATAGAGAGCCTGGGAAGTGCACAACAAGTTCTGTGCCATGCCTGGGAGCTTCTCAGCAACCGAACCTTCGATGCAGCTTGTCGTATCGTTATGACCCAAATCGGACCGGATGATGTGGTCCAGCCAATAAACTGAGCTGTAAATGAGCTCTGGGGAAATGCATGTAGAGGCACGCTCTTCGAGACCGTTGATCTCGCTATTGGGTAGATAGGACGTTTCGATGTTGCAAATATTGAAGCGCAGTCCCGACCTGCTGACCTTCTTGTACTGGCGCCTCAAGTTGCGAGTACCAGATTGCATGATCTCGAAACAGCCGGTCGCCATGATTGTATTGAGAGCCCTCTCTTCCGTCCAGAAGGCTTGTCCACACCGGTCCTTGCTCGACGAGAAGTCGAGAAACGACGTATGATACACACGGACACCGCTGATGCTCACAATGAGGACCGGTGACATCTTTTTGAGGATCGTGTCAAACTCTGTTTGCAGCACATGCACGGACGGTGGAAGGAATGCATGCAGGGCCTCGGCGGGAAGCGGCTCATTGACCGACGTCACGAGAATGAGCCCGATGATAAGGCGAATGACGTCTCTGGCAGTGGATGATGAACCAGACGCATTCTCGAGTACCGTCCGGTAGATGTCATCGAGAGCCGATTCGGATTCGGCTGCCTTCTCCGCCACCAGCACGCTGTCCAAGACTTCGAGTTTCCCAACGTCGGTCCTGATGATGAACTCGACGACCGTCCGGATCCAAATGAAGAGACCCTGTGACTTGTCGACGAGAGTTCTGATCTGCGCATCTTCTATGTATGGCTGGAGTTCTGCCAATGGCTCATTCGGCAAGAATTGAGAGCGAAGATAAGCACTGATATCGTCTCGCGCGTCATCCTGGAAGAGATCGTGCTCCTCCGTCATTTCGGCTAGCCCGGAAAGACCATTTCGAATACCTGGGAGGTCACGGCTCGTCACGACAAATAGAACCCATGGCGCACTCTGTACGATCTTTGCCAAATACTGCGAGGCCTTGTCATTCGAATTTAATTCATCGAGAGCATCGACCACAAAAATCACCGGCGTGAAGCTGGACTTCGTTTTTGTTAGGGGCTGAAGGAGGATTCGATCGACCTGAGTATCAAGATCCATATTGACGAAAATATCGGGCTCTCTGAGCGCCTGAAGCAGGGCTTCCTTGAATTCGGCGTTCGCCTGCGCGAGGTAGAACGCAAGCGACCAAAACAGGCGAATGCAGTTCCTTCGTTCGTCTTGATCTCGCTTGCAGAAAAAGGATCCCGCGAGCCTTGCTCGGAGATTCTGACAGACTGAAGACGCGACCGTACTCTTTCCGCAACCGGCAACTCCGTGCAGCCAAAAGAGTCGGGACAGTGTCTGCCGCTGGAGAACCCATAAGTTGATCGTGTCTAGAACGGACTTGCGCGTGCCTTCGAGACAGGCCACCTTGCCATGGAACAGGCTGCCATTCGGTGGAAGCAACGTATCGAGCAGCAGCTTGTTCTCCTTCTCTTCATCGTGTTTCCTGGCAGCTTTCACATCGTTATGCATCGCGGCTACACCAACCTGCATAGCTGACACGCCGTTCTTCACATCTCCGACATCATCCTGGATCTTGACGATACCGCTTTGAACCTCGACAAGGAATGCTTGCGTGATGGCTTGCTTGTGTTGAAGAAGATCCCGTTCCAGCTCCGCAACTGCATCTCGCCGAGGCGACAACCACTCTTTGACGACAAGAACTTCGAGAACGTTAACAACTCATCTTCGTCATGAAAGCAAAACTCTCACTGGACTTCGGTCTGGAGTAACAGTAAATAAGTTCCTCAGTTGCGCGGATTATGAGTTCGATAAGCCTATCCAAAGCTTTTTGGGCGTGTTTGGAATTGAAGCTCTTTTTGGCCGCTCTCGCAGACTCCATGTCATCCACTAGCTCCAATGTGATTTTAGAGAGCTTCCGAAATGAGGCTGGTATGTCGGTGACTCTCTATCGCAATCGTCAGAATGATCGCTTCAAGAGACGAGAGGACGTACCTCAAGAGCAAACTGTACAATGCAAGCCACTGCACCCGCAGCGGCATTGATCTTTTACAAGTAAATCACAAGGCAAAGTAAAATTACGAGTTAGCTCACCTCTCCTGCGGCTTCGCCCAATTGCGCGAACAAACATAACCAGTCGGAACTGATTTCAAGAATATCCATCATTTTCTCTTTGGACTTCATAGCACGCATCGCCTTCCCAAGGCGCAAGTCGGCCACGTTGGTCGCCTAATAAGATGGTCAGTCTGAGTGCGACTCCAGCTTAACACCACCGGGACCTACCGGCACAATCGAACCGAACTTGACCTCCACCCGCATACCGTAGTCTGTTATGGAACGTTACAATCGCTCATTTCAATGCGTGAGGAACTCACCAGAAGGCATCTCAACCTCATACCATCCCTTCGACTTGTCGCTCACGATCAATGTTGCCTCGGATGTTCTGTTGGATCTCTGCGGCCTATCCCTCCGAATGACCTGAAGTGTTGCTTGCGTAGAAGCGGCGTTGACAAATCTGAGGAAATTACATCAGCTAAAGAGTAGTACGCACCAATCATATCCCTTACGTATCGCAATCGACTACAGCATCGCTTGACTTCTCCGCGGTCTCAAAGACTTCCTGAGCACCCGATTGATGCTTGATTATGACACGAAACTTTGATGCTCGGCGGTAGTCTGAGATTTTGACCTCTTTAAGCTCGATGTAACTGGTAGCAGTTTGAGTAAGCCTTCAGGGCAAGAAGGCGAAGATCCACTCACCGTGTCTCGACCACTTCCGAGTAAGACATGGGGGCATGGTATTGTGTGAGCCAAAGATTGATACCTCTCTTTATACCACAACCTCCGTTAGCTGATTGATGGCGTTCGACGGTGGCAGCGTGGCAGTGTCATCGAGCGCACAGCAACGGTTCCCACTGCACTTATTCTTCTGCTGATACACACATAATTTCGTCCTCGGGAAGCACAATCTCAGGGCCATCGGATAGAGTCGATAGAGTCCAAGTCGGAAAAGACGCATGGCAGTATGGTTGCCGAGGAGGATCAGGTTTATTGCCAAGCCTCAAGTTGAAGGTCGCAAGATTACTCAGCGTCAGTTCGTAACGCCCCGGTACCTTGTACTTGAGACGCTGGAACTGAATAGCGCCAATCTCGAGTGACATAGCGGGCCCCTGCGCTCATCGCCCGCGCCATCGGGTGCAGTGACGGAGGCGATGATGCATACTTGATTATGTACTGAGCAAATGTTCATCAATAATTCAGCATTAGCAGAATTTTTGAAGAATGATTAACCTCTCACTCCAAGACATGTCATCCTTTGGATAGTTGGGCTTGTCGTTGTCAATGTCAAGTCGACCTCTTTGTCACTGTTGCATCTGATAGTAGCATAAAGATTACCTTAGAGGCTAAGATGCCGGAATTGTTCGCTCTTCTCAGTAGTCGTGCAAGCAACGCTGTGCTGGCTGAAATAGCCATATCCTCTGCTGCAAGTACGGTTGCCCAGGAGGATCAGATCAAGTTCCCAAGTCGCAAGTCTTTCAGCTCAGGGCCCGACTCAACCGAGCGATCGGCAACGGCCCAGCGTCTGCAATAAACGGTCGTCTTCCCTGGTCCAGTGCGAGCTGACAGCGGCAAATGAGGACATCACGAGGACAGCGCATCACAAGTAGCTGTAGAGTAGATTTATTCACGTTCGAGGGTCGATAGTCGGTGAGTCCTGCACCATGGACCGGGACATAGACCTCCACTTTTATGAGAGTGCACGGAAAGATCGTTCGAGTATTAATTGGCACCTGCTGTCACTGCCTCATCGAGTGACTGGGCGGCTGCGGACGTTCGCAATAAGGGAAATTTGACAGACATCTGTTGAGACCCAGTTCAAATGGACTCTTGACAACAACTGCATGAATGTACTCGCCTGCTCATTTACGCATGGAACTGATAGAAGGTGGATAAAGTCGCACTAACTAGGTCCCGATGCTGCATGCATGCCCGTCGATTGCGATAATCACAGTGTGAAAGGGATGAGATCTTGTCGGGTTCAGACGAATCAGTCACTTACAATCCCGCATCATGCAACGTAAGTTCAGACTGTACGCTGTGTTTGGCTGCACATTACGGTAATTAATCTTGCTAGTGATTCTGCCTGTAATATGATGTTCTTGCGGGAATGCGACATGACTATTGGGGACCTCTTAAGACAGCAAGCGTTAACGATAAAGCCGTACCCAACTTCAGCTTGCGTTCGTTCATTATATAGCCGCACGGAGAATCTGGACCAATGGTCGAGCACCCTTGCAACTTTGCCCATGTTTTGAGCCGCAGCGTGCACAATTTTCTGCGATTGGCAACGAAATCGGGGCCATGTTTGGAGCATAGAGATGTAATGAGCAAAAACATCGAACAAGGTGCTGACAAAGTTCAAAAAACTAACCCTTAGGATACAACTGTTGATATAGTCACCTTGAACTACAAGCGGGCGATTTTGAAGACTGAATGCCAGTGGCGCATTGAAAACAAGACGAACACGTCGGATCCTTATACTAGTACCTGTCATCTGCAATGTATCGACTTGAATCCATTGAAAAAGATCGGTTGTCTAAGAGCACCGAGTGGTTGTTTCTCGCAGATTTGATGCGTCGATCACGGATACGCAGTAGAATAGTATGTTGAGATACTAACCTACGTAACTCGAATTTCCTGTAGTTGCGAAGTAATGGTGGGCGCAAAAAATGTCACAAGGATAGCGTCGAGAGAAGACATCAATAGGCAATGGATGCGCCAGCTCCTACGAGAAATATTGGGAGTCGATGATCCTTTTTGTGATCGCAAAAAAGAAAGCGTTACTCACGTGATCATAATTTGAACGTTACGGTAGGACCCTGGGGTAGCCACTATACAGCCCATCTAGCTTAGCGCGGCACCTTCCGCTAAACGTTCGCGTGAATGATAAAACTGTGCAATCCTATCAACACATGCTACTAAGTAGCATGCTCGCAGCCTCCGTACGATGGTATTATGGCCCGATGTAGCCGCCGGAACGTAGATTCGACTAAACTCATCTATCTCACGGCAGACATGTTGCGATTTATAAATGTGGAAAATAGTGTGGGAATGTTGGCTGATGTCTTACATTTGTGGCAAAGGTTTGCCAATGTAGCATTTAATCAGCAAATGGTGCACATCCGCAGCCAAAGTGAAACATTTTAGACATGAAATGCCATTCTTGCAAACATTTGTCACATGTGTAAGAAATCAGTCGACATTCACACACAATTTCCCACATTGATAAATCGCATCATGTCTGCCGTGTCTTATGTGGCCATCAATGACATAGAAGCTTTTGGGCCGTCGCCTGATCCCGATCCCCCTGAATGACCCCTCCTGTGTCTCCACTGCTTTCGGCTCAGACCACTCATACCCTGTCACCTCCTCCCATCTACTTATGTCTACCCCAGTCACTCAATTATTGCCCGTCAATCCGACAGCCTGCGAACAGGTATTGGGAATCACAGAACTGGCACAGGAAATCATAGCTTCGCTTCATGACGACCCCCGTTGTCTGCGCAATTTGGCACTCACCAACAAAGAACAGTCTGAAAATGCGCTTCGCCAATTGTGGTCGAAGAAGCGCGGTTTGAAGGACTTTTTCCAGTTCCTCCCCTCTGCCGAGTCGACGGATATAAGCCCAGAAAATAATCACAGCACTATTGTGGGTTCATATTTGCCAGATAATGGGATGCTGATTGAAAAGATACCCTTCCTGATCTTCAGACACGCGATTTTGACAGTTTTGAACGGCTCAAGAAATACACGGGCTATGTCCGCGAGTTCACATGGGGCTCGGAAGATGACTCTCGATCAACTACCTCCGACTCTGTCGATCACCTATTTGAGGCGATACCTAGTCACCAAAACCTATTCCCGAACCTACGCGCCTTACGTTGGACCTCGAAATCCTCTGAAACCCAAGCTATATTTAGTCGCCTTCTCGGTCCTTCGGTGGTGGATGTGCAAATTCTCAAATGTCCGCTTAAGGATGTCAGCCAGTACATCAATATTATGAAGCAAAAGGCGCCTGTTCTCCAACGGTTGTACGTGGAGCTGTTCGTTCATAATACAAAATATGAAGTCCTTCTGGAATCAAAGCCGCAAGTGATGTCCGAGGATGATGTCTTGTTCCCTCATCTGCAGGTCCTCCACTGGACCTCGATTCCAGCTGACTGTCTCGGAATCTTCCATCGCCTTGTCGGACCGTCGCTGGTGGACTTGCATATTTTCAGTTGTTTGTCTGCGGATGCCACGGAATATGCCAAGCTAATTAGCCAAAGGGCACCCGGTCTTCAGCGGTTGGAGATGGAGATATATTCCGACAGCGATTCGAAGCATCTTCTAAAGGTGAAGCGGAAACCGAAGCCGAAGCCGCAGACGATGTTCCAAGATCAAGTCCTCTTCCCGGACTTACGTGTCCTTCGTTGGACTTCGCAATGCTCCGATTCTCCAAAACTCTTTCGTCAGCTCCTCGGACCGTCGGTGGTGGACCTACATATCCTCAATTCTTCGCTTGCGAATGCCAGGGAGTACGTCAAGATAATCAGGCAAAGGACGCATGGTCTGCAGCGGTTGGAAGTAAATTTGGATCACAACGACCATTTGGAGCCGCTTCCGGAGCTGGAGCTGGACGGGATGGATATCAACAAGTTAAAAACCAACTGCACGCTATCCGAGGAGGCATTCTTCTCATTGGCTACCATGACCCATCTTACCAGTCTCGAGCTCGCCGTTCCCGAGGAAGGTTACGCAGAGGTTCCCAAGGAAGGTGATGAAGATACTCCCCAGGAAGTTTTCGAAGAAGTTCCTGAGGAAGATCACAAAGACGTTCCCGAGGAAGTTTACGAAGAAGTTCCACACACGTCCTGCTTCCCCGCGCTGCGATCTCTCAGGCTAGAGACGGAAGAGCTCGGGAAGCACTGTACAGCTCTCGTCAAGAAGATGAGCTCTAGCAACCTTGACAGTATCTCCGTCGACGTCAAAAATGATGTCACGACAGACATGCTCGAGTCCTTCGTCCGCGAGCTTGTCAACTATCCACTGCGCGAATTCAGTCTCGCCTGCACCGCTTCCAACATAAGACATGATCATGATGACGGCTTGGACATTGCCGAGGCGACTCTGCACGCTCTGCAGCCACTACTGCAGCACCGCGCGATGACGTTGCTGGCCATCAGCATAAACAACCTGAGAATCACCTCGCACCTCCTCTCTGCGCTGGACAGCGCCTATCCCGCACTGAAGATGCTGCTCTTGCACACCGATAGTTCGCACTCGCCGGAAGTCGACATCTTGTCCACCCTCGCCGACAGCTTCCCCTCTCTCAAGGAGGCTGACATTTCTGTCACCGATACGTGGAAGCTCCTCACCCTTCCTCGGGACTGGCAGTCCCACTCTAAGCTCTCGACGCTTCGTGTTGTCAACACAATTTGGTATTGGGTGTCTGACTCGAAGGTTCTTGCTTACCTCAAAGCTCTTTTCCCTCGTGCGTACATAGGTCTTTCATAGTCATCTAGATGAGGCGGGGCCAATGCATTCCAATCTCTTGCATGCTGCGCGCTGTGCTCTGCGGTCGCTCTATCTGCATCGATGAAGTACCTCTTCATTCGCCGTCGTCTGACTATGCATATGCATACGACTGAGGAGCTGATGTAAATATGTATATAACAGAGTATTCATGGCGATGGCTAAAGGATTGGATGAACGAAAAGGTGTGTTTACTTACGGGATCCATAGTAAGCTAAGGGTATCTATCTGGCGGCTCATCAACAGCGACCACGACAGTGCGGCAAAAAGAGCATCACTTACTCAGAACGAATCGTTACGCAATGAGGCCTGCAAGTAGTATATGCCGGTCAACTAATATTCGTGGACATCCTTCTCTTCAGAGAATCGGAATTGTCCCAGGTGTATCCTTACGGTAACCATGGCCCACGCACTTCATCACGCTGCAACATCGCCCCTGCTTCCTTCGGCGTCGCCTTGTGACGCTTAATCATGTTCGAACAGAAACGCTACTCCTCCGGGCTTTCGATCTCGATCGGCCGCCTCATTGAATGAATTCGGAGACAAAGCTGCAATATCGTGCTTCCCACTTTACTGGCATCTTTATTCAATAAATAGAGATTATAATCATCAAATGTGCCCACCATAAATCATACCGTAACTGCTCTGCCCTATTAACGACATGGCCTTCTCCTCGAGAGCCCACCTCTATACAAGCCCATCGACTGCACCCATCTCAGACTCCTGAGACGTACAGAGCCAGCCAAGAATGCACATCAAACCCTCATACGAAGCACTCCCCGTTCTCCATGTTGCTCGCACGGAGCTTGCTCGCTCCAGAAATGCACATCGTGCCCGCGTCCGTGTGGTAAAGGTACGCAGAGCCGCCCTTGTTAGCGCAGTTATGCGCGGACAGGAAGCCTCTCGAGCTGTCGGGCACGCAGCTATCGTGCCGTCAGCACACGACCATCATAGAATGAGGTGATGGGGTAAGCGTACCCTTGGGCTTCGTATTTCGTGGGCCGGCGCAGCTTGCCGTCGTTCTTGCAGTTCACTTGGGCTCGTGCAGCGAGGTGCTTGAAAAAGGTAGAAGTCAGACCGTGGTTTATCGTTATCGGGGCTCAGGAGACCTACCGAGTCTTCGCCGTAGGTACGGCGGTACGCTCGATTGAGAGAATTCCAGATGTCATGTCCATTAAGATCCCGGAAGGCCACGGTGGAAGTGACGAGAGCGGTCAGAAAGACGAGGACGTGGAATAGACGCATTATGTTGGCGGTGGGTGAAAGGTATCAAATTAGACGGTCGAGGAAGGACAAGTCGCGTGTCGCGTGAATAACTGGATATGCTTTGGATGAGGATTGGATGCTCACCAAACTCTCTTTTATACTCGTGGAAGCTGAAACAACTCACCGCAAGGCAGTGTTCATGGCGAGCACCAGTCTTGGATTCGGGAAGTCAAGATTACTTGGAGCGCGGGATAAGCCACCACAAATCGTGAAACGTGATATCGACGTGCTCGGCATCAGTATTTCGAGACCATTGTACTCTGTGATCCGAAAGTCTTTGCAGCAATACAAAGCGGCGCCGCTGTTCATGTTGCATCCACCTAGATATAGCGTTTTCGAGCTAGATAGTTCAAACATACAACGAAGGTGAATTGTAGCAGCCAGAAAAATACGCCGCACGTTGTGAACATCTTCATAGACTGTCCATCAGCGCATCAGGAGCACAGCCAAGACTCCAACGCCGAGTCAAATACCACGAGGTACGTCGGGAAGCTGCACTTTAGGCGATGATGGATAAGTTGGCGTTTCCTTGCTGTGCCCACGTATTCTGAACCGGAACAATGATTTTTGATCGCGTCGTCGATCTCGTTGATGTGGCCACAAGCGGCATTTGCCGTCGGACCTCAAACTCTGCGGAAGGTTGTCTGCACACCTATCACGTGCTCAACGCCTCGTATGCCGCTACGTCATCTGTCAACTCCTTGTCGCGGCAGTAACGCTATTGTTTTAGGTGTTAGGCTTCTCGTCCTTATCTCTGGAGCCTCGTTTGTTATCCACTACTTTTAAGAACGCAGTTTCCTATCTCAGGATTTCCTCATGTGCATTGCTCGTTCCCTCCGGCTCTTGCTGAAATCCCAAATCACGCCGGCAAAACGATGCGGCCAATATTAGGTGTCCCTGCATTTTGATTGGCTGCAGTCATCGCCGTGGACCGTCGACGTCATCAACTTGAAATCATGCATCCAACTCTCTCCACCTCTCCTCAATATTCAATGATGATCACGGGTTGTCACGCATATTTATGAATAGACATGACAGCATGACGGTTCGATGCATACGAATACATCTAAAGGGTTTCCTCTCTCTCGTCCTATAAAGTCTCCGCGATCCGTTCTCGATGATGCAGACTCAACTTTCTCGCTCTCTCACCCGCACCGCTCGCCTGCGCCTGCCGCTTTCCTCCACGCTCACACCATCTTCGCCACTCGCGTTTCCGCTCGTACATCGTCGCAACATGTCGCAGAAGACGCTCTTCCAGTCTGTCAAGGAGGATCATGAAGAGGTCGATGTCCTTTTCTCTTATACGAGCTTTCACCGTGCTCATTGGATGAGTCTTTTCGTCGCAGATGTATCTCTACCATGACGAATTCAAGCGAGCTCGGGAGTCCGGCGATGTCGACGCACAGGCACGTTGGGCCCATCAGCTTACTTGGGAGGTTGCCCGACACGCCGTCGGCGAGGAGATTGTCGTGTACCCGCTCATGGAGAAGCACCTCGGCGACACTGGACGCAAGCTTGCAGACCACGATCGTGCAGAACACCAGGTGCGTGCGCTTGGCGACGATTCCATGTCTCCTATTTCACTGCCTGCTAACACCTTTGGCCCTCCAGCACGTCAAGGAGTCGCTATACCGCCTGGAATCCATGTCGCCGGGCTCATCCGAGTATGCGGAGACGATCGAGCTGATTATGGCGTTGCTGCACCCCCATAACGATGACGAAGAGATCAAGGACCTGCCCCTCCTTGAGCGCGCAATCGGTTCAGATGCCAGCGCAGAAGCTGCAGTCTCCTTCAAGCGCACGAAAAAGCTCGTGCCCACCAGGTAATGCATCGATTCCTTTGCGTTTCGCAATCATCCTGACCTTGTTGCCAGAGCACACCCGTCCGCACCGAACCAGCCACCGTATGAGACGTTCGCCGGCTTCCTCGCTGCGCCGATTGACAAGATCAAGGATTGGTTCGCCACGTGGCCGACTGAGGATGAGATGAAGGAGGCGAAGGAGGAGCTGAAGGGATGTGATCATGATGCGGCTGCTGGACGCCGGGCAGTCGCGGCGGGCACAGTGCCATAATTCGCAATGTGATGCGGATTTTACACAAGCGATGACCCAAATATAATGGCAGCTGCACTTTACATGTAACTGAACGCGAACGGCGAAGCGCATATATACGCCACATTTTCATATCATACTGTGGCTGGCCGAGCCATGGTGGCGTTTCGAAGACATATGGTCAGTATGGTTTGGTCGGGTCAGGCTTTGGCATTCACGCGAGACGACCTTGAGCGAGGGGGAGGAAGCGGATCCAGCTGGCTGCAGCTTCTCACTTTCTTCTCCGCAAATCGCAGTTGAAGTTCATATCTGCATGCCCTGAAGCCGTCATGTATTGAGTTGCTTGCCTGATATTGCTTATCACATCAATTCATACATTATCGTGCAAAATTGCCATAAATGAAAACGTGGAGTGGAAATATTGAGCAAAGTTGTCCCTCCAGGGTCCCCACTCCTTTCTGCTCGTGTGCTCGTCTCCTGTCACCAATCCTCCACTTGGGGGTGTCGGCGCTGCGTCCGCACGCCCGGGTCCGAATGACCGCGAGGATGTTCGCCCAGGGGAGAATGGATAACTCAGCTCATTTACGGTAGCAGGAAAGATACAAAAATTCAGATCATGTAGGACGGAAGGGCGGAGTAGTTTACAATTACATAACAGTCGACGTACAACGGTTGGCATCAGCAAAACTAAGCCAGGAACCCCCAATCACAACAGGAAACGATTTCTGCATTTCTTGCGGACTAACCAGCTTACAGGCAATGACATCTGTCACCTCGAGTACGTGTGAGACCACGAACTCATACAATGTAGTGGAACAACAACTATCACATACTACTATGATGTATGAAGAAGAGAATGTACCACAGCATCCACATTACGATTGACATGTTTCAGACTCATGCCATGCACTTCGATGAATTTAGTAATGGTGACTAGTTCTAGTTGAGTGTGCCAATGTTTCCACCCATCCTTATGCACCACGTCAACGTTCTTGATGCGAGTGTATCGTGTGAGTATCAGCGGAAAACGGAGCGGAAATGCACGCTAACCCACACGCCATAATTGGAGCATTGCAGACCAACCCCCTCAGACAATAGAGACACACTGTCGAACGCGACAGACATACGGGCGATACGTCGGCCTTTCGCACCAAAAAAACAGTTGCAGGCGTCGCCTCGTGACAAACGGCCACACAATGAACAGCGAGAGACAGACAACATCAACAAAGTCAAACAGTCACAATAGCAGTCGACAGCAGCCGCTTATGAACACAGTCGCGGACGTCAACAACAGAGGGACAGCGCTGGACAGCGACAGGAGAACAGGGATCAATCGCCACAAGCGCGCTCGAGCGAAACATTCGGGGCACTCATGCAGCCACAGGCGTGGGAAACGAGCAACGAGGGTCATGATAATGTAAGCACACGCTCTGCAATAGCTCGCTATAACCCGAATGACTAGGGTCATTCGGAATTCCTAGCTATGTCTGCTCCAGGTGCTCAATCATTACCCGTCAATTGGACGGCCTGCGAACGGTTTCTGGGAATCACAGAACTGGTACAGGAAATCATAACTTCACTTCACGACGAACCCAGCTCTCTGCGCAGTTTGGCACTCACCAACAAAGTACTATCCGAAAACGCGCTCCGCCAACTATGGTCGAAGAAGCGCGGTCTGATGGACATTATTGAGCTCCTCCCCTCTATGGTGGGTGCATTTATGCCAAAGAATGGGACGCTGACTGAAGAGACATCTCCCCGCTATTCAGAGACGCAATCATTCTGACAGTTTTGAACCATTCAAGAAATACACAGGCTATGTCCGCGATTTCACGTGGGGCGAGAAAGACGACCGTCGAGTATCGGCCTCCCTCCATCGTCTGTTTGAGGCGATACCCATTCATGGAACCTTATTCCCGAACCTACGCGTCCTACGTTGGACCTCGAGCTTCTTCCCTTTTCCCCATTCCTATGGTTTATTCAGTCTCCTTCTCGCTCCGTCGCTGGTGGATGTGCAAATTCGTAAATGCTCGCTTAAGGACGTCGGAGAGTGCATTGATCTTATCAAGCGAAGTGCACCTGGTCTGCAACGGTTGGAGGTGGAAGTAAGGTACGGTGGTCATCCGATACTTCAAACCCTTGGAAAACCGGAGGCGCAAGCGGTGTCCCAGGATGATATCTTCTTCCCGCATTTGCATGTCCTCCGCTACACCTCGAATCCAGCCGACTGTCAGGGAATCTTCCGTCACCTTGTCGCACCATCGCTGGTGGACTTGCGTATCCTCGATTGTTCGTCTGAGGATGCCAGGGAGTATCTCCAGCTAATCAGCCAAAGGGCACCTGGTCTTCAGCGGTTGGAGATGCAAGTGTATTCCAACAGCGGCTCGAGTCCTCTTACAGGGATGAAGCCAAAGGCGATGCTCCAAGATAAAGTCTTGTTCCCAGATTTACGTGTCCTTCGCTGGAATTCGCAATCCTCCGATCGTCAAGAAATGTTTCGTCAGCTTCTCGGACCGTCAATGCTGGATCTACATATATTCATTTCTTCGTTTGAGGATACCGCGGAGTATGTCAAGACAATCAGGCGGAGGGTGCATAGCCTTCAGCGGTTGGAAATAGATTTGGGAGGCGATTACTTTTCGGACTTTTTTCCGGATCTGAAGCTGGAGCTGGACGGGATGGACATCAACGAATTCAAAACCAAGTTCACCCTATCCGAGGAGACATTCTTCTCATTGGCTAGTATGAAACATCTTACGAGCCTCAAGCTCTACGTTCCGACGGAAGGTTACGAAGTTATCGACACGTCGTGCTTTCCCTCCTTGCGATCCATCAGCCTACGGACGGAAGAGTTTGGTGCGCATTGCATAGCTCTCGTCAAGATGGTCAGCTCTGGGAGTCTCGAGGATGTTTCCATCAGCGTCCAAGGCGATGTCGCAACAGACATGTTCGAGTCTTTCGTCCACGAGCTCGAGAACCATCCACTGCGCAAATTCGCTCTCAACGGCGCTTTCCTCATAGAACATGATGACCGCTTGGACATTGGTGAAGCGATTCTGCATGCTCTGCAGCCATTACTACAGCAACGAACAATGACCTCGCTGGCCATTGATATAAACGACTTGAGAATCACCTCGCATCTCCTCTCCGCGCTCGGCGGCGCCTATCCCGCACTGGAGACGCTGCTCTTGCACACTGATTTTTCGCACTGGGCGACAGTCGGAGCGTTGTTTACCATCGCCGACAGCTTCCCCGCTCTCAAGAGGGTCGACATTCATGTCAGCAAGGCGTCGAACCTTCCCATTCTGCCTTCGAACTGGCAGTCCCCTTCCAAGCTGCTTCATATTGATGGCATAAACCGGTCTTCGGCGTCTGAGGAGGTTCTTGCCTACCTCAAAGCTCTTTTCCCTCGTGCGGACGTTGATAAATATTGTGGTTAGAATGTGACTGTCCTCGAGCAAATACTCGCCTGGTTATGCACTCCAATCTCTCGTATTGCTACATGCTACGCTCTATTGTCATTCTATTCGCGTCGATGAAAGCCCTTTCATTCGTCGTTGTGTGAATAAGACGTATGCGTCCGACTGATGAGTCGATGAGTCCTGCGTCCCCACTCCTTTCTGCTCAGGAAACTCACTCCTACAGCATGGTCGAAGTTCCTTTTTCCATGGAAACCTAGAAGAAATACCATTAATGCATATATCAAGTCGGGCCGTGGAAAAACTGTGAGATATCATTATGTTTCTGATTGCTATATCGAACTAAACAAGTAGCGAAAAGTGGCAGCCGTCCTTTCTTGATGTGGGAAAAGTGAACAGTCTTTTCACAGTCTTTCTAAGGCGGGACGTGGTATTTCTCTACAGTGTTTCTACCCCATGCAGAAATATTCTGTGCACGCTATGCACGCGATCGCCACACCCAAGTGTGACAAACGCGCGACAGTCATTCCGGCACCTCATGAACGGTGAGTCCACTACTCGTAGCGGCCATGCCGGCGCTGGCTTTACTGTCTTGTGAGTTCTGGATTTTCTTTCCACTGTTGCTCATCATCCGTGATGACTGTTAATGCCGGTATTGAAGCATCATCGGTGTAGACGACCACGTCAGCACTCGGCTTCGTTAGATGTCGGCTGTTGCAATCGCTGAAGAGCACGGGCTCCGACGGTGGCGAATCGACGATGCAGATGAAGCACAATAAATTCTCTGCCCTCGCCTCACTCTTTCGCTACCTCTTTACCTGAAGTCTGAACACACCCGACGTTGGACGGACTGTGAAATGGCTCCTGTTAGAAACGGACGCGTTCTATTCGACGAGATCCTACCGGTACGTGGCAGTCGCACCTGTATTTATCGTGAGAGGTGGTCCGACCATGACCCCGGCGCAGGCTACCCAGATCCAGCCAGGACGACAGTCTATGATCACTCCCAGACAATCGACCTTGAGAAAGAACCCTTGGAGGGCGGTTTCCTCGTCAAGACTTTTGTACTCTCCGTCGACCGTATATGAGAAGCAGGATGTGTGATTCCAACATCAAAAGCTATTCGGTGCGTATGCGTTGTCCAATTTGATTCTTGCTCGGCTGATGGACGGGCGTACATCTGCGTAGCCTGCGTATCTCATCGGGCAGCCGTGAGTAGTTTCGTGTGCGTAGGGCTTTCTGAGTATGTTGACGTTGCTGTGCGCAGGTTGGACTCGTTCGGCGTCGGTGTCGTGTTACGCTCTGAGAACCCATCTGTCAAGCTAGGCGACCACCTCCACATTTTTTACCGTACGTATTCAAAATGCGGTCACAATTTGCACATCCTGCCCTGACATTTCCCCTTCGTATTTTATTGTTGCCGCCCCAATAGCTTTCCAAGAGTATTTAGTTGCAAAGGACGCGAACGCCTTCTACGTGCTGAAGAAGAAGGAGAAGTTTCCGTGGTCCGTATACGTTGGCGTCTTGGGGATGCCAGGTCCGTTCATTCCTTTGGGGGTCTCCTTCTTAAGCTAAACGAATGCCGACGTTTAAGTCAAACCGCGCATCACGGATGGAAGGAATTTGCTCACGCGAAGAAGGTAAGCTATTGCACCGATTCTTACAAATATTCAGCAATTGACGTGATATGATCGTGGCCAGGGAGACGTTGTGTTCATCAGTTCCGGAGGAGGTATGTAGACCAGGCAGATGATGCGCATTGGCGAGTCTGATCATTGCTTACCTTCATAGGTCCCGTCGGAGCGCGAGCTTCATTCGCACGAACAGAAGCATTCGTAAGAGCACTCGTCAGTGCCGCTTATTTTTCACGATACCGTGATTCAGCTTGCGAAAGCTGAGGGGCTGAAAGTCATTGCATCCGCTGGATTCGAGGACAAGATCGACTTCATTCGTTCGCTCGGCGCAGATGTCGCTTTCAACTACAGGACGACGAAGGTGCTAGATGTGCTCCACAAAGCGTTGAAACCTGTTAACCGGCGATATACAGCTACTGGGACAGTGTGGGTGGTGAGACGCTCGAGACGGCACTTGAAGCTGCTGCCATTAGTGCTCGCTTCATTGTATGTCCGTCTTGCAAGCTCCTCTTCCATCGCTGAACCGTGCGATGTTTAGGAATGCGGTATGATCTCGGCTTATAACGGCAGCGAGCCTTACTTCGTGAAGAACCTCGTCAACATCATCGCCAAGCAGCTGCGCATCTCCGGATTCATCGTCACGTCCCTAGAGGATAAATGGCGCGCGGACTTTTACAAGGAGTTTCCTCCTAAAGTTGCCAGCGGCGAGATCAAATACAAGGAAGATATAAACAAGGGCCTCAAGTCGGCTGGTCAGGCGATCCTGGATGTGATGACGGGGAAGAACAAGGGAAACAAGGTTGTCTTGGTGGCCGAGGAGTGAGTGCCTGTTGGTTGGCAAGTGACTCAGGTCGCAGTGTAACTGTGTAATGGATGGATGGATGGGTGGAATGGAGTTAGCAATATAGTGCGTTACAAAGTGTAGCTTTTAGTACGAGTCAGTGATCACCTTTGGATCCGAAGGGTTCAGGATGAGTGGCGCATATATTGAGGTGGGCCAAGTACTCAGTACATACTATTACTTCAGTCTGTAATAGATCATCGATCAATGGTGTAGTCACTGTGCGGATATAAGCCTGTTACGATCCTTGACACAACTGTTGGTAGAGAGCAGATTTATTATTTCCAACCACTTCTTTGCAACAAATCCTTTTGCAAATGAAATAAAAACGTCTTGAACACGCGAATGCGATATTTTAGACGCGCGCGCTTGATGATGGTCACCGGTCACCGCTTAGACGACTGCTCAATTTTATCCGCCTGCTGCTGGAGCTATTCGCCATGATACTTAATAACATACTAGACGACTTGCAAGATGTCATCCCGCCTTCTCAGTACTGTAGTACTTGGCCGCAATTGCTTCACCGATGATCGTCCTTGTGAGGTCTTTGCTCATTTTTGCATCTCGGTTGCAGGCTGGAATGGAGCAATCTGGTTCCGGACAGCTCTAGAGGTCAGCAGACGTGTCTTATGGTTTATCAGCGACAGGTGTCGTGGCACCTATCAGAACGAAGAATGGAGCTGTGGTCAATGTGGACGTGAAGCCTTACCGCGAAGACAGGCCCGTGAAGAACGCTTCTTGCTCATTGGTTGTTAATCTCAGCTATGCATCTCGCTGCCGCAAGGCTCTGATCACTGTGAGGAAGCAACTGCAATGCATTGAGGAGTCACATATAGCGTGCTAGCCTGCCTATAGTGCCGCGAGATACTATCCACCGATGATCGCAGATGTCATCCTCAAACATTTCCTTTTCTCAATCGCGCTCAAGGCGGCCTCAAGACGGTTCTTTTTCCGCTCATGCACGAGTGCTGATGTGCTTCGAGTTTACTGTTATATTAGCATTCCCCTCGGCCTTGATGTTCTCCGCTCATGCGCTATCGCCGTGCATCTGAAGATGCGCCTCAACGACACGAACTTAACAATAGCGCAAGAAGCATGGATGCTTTCGGACGTCCCACACGAGAAGCGTGGCATGAGAATACAATGTACAGCATCCGTCTCGCATGTATTATTGGACCTCCTTCCCATGGTAAGTTTGTGGATATCGAGTTGATCGATGCTTGCTTCCCAGCCGTTATGGAACAATCGATGTTTAGAAGGTGTGCCAAACGCTCATCGGTCGCGTGAGAAAAGATTCACAGTCCACGCATCTAGCAAGTCCATTCCGATTCGTCTCAGCGCATATATGACTATCATCACGAGGAAGGACCTTATGATCAGGGACAGGTGTAATTCCGGCAAGCTATCATAGCTCATATCTTCCCCTGAAGAGACCGTTGAGCTGATATAGAATTTACGTTGGTCCCCCCCGGTGATTCATCAGGACAACTTGCTCGCTATGTACACTCTCAACATCGTCCACACGATAGACATCAAGATCACTCAGGCGCTCTCCGTTACCGCCGCCGCAACACCTGCGCCAAATGAATCGTCCAGCCAGGTCAGCTAATTTGCTAGGTCTTCTGACTTGCCACCATCACTCAGTTATGCCCCGATATTATAGCTTTCTCAGGCTGCAGGGCAGACATATGGCGACGTTTCTGCAGCTATCGCGTTACTGCGCGCTTACAGTCCTGTCGCCGGGGATCACTTCTACACGACCGATGCAGTCGAGATGGCAAACGCAACCGCCAACCTAGGCTACTCGTCTGAAGGCACGGCCTGCCATGTTCTTGCGTCCGCTGTTGGCGAGGCCATTCCGCTCTATCGCATGTATAGTCCAAGCTCAAGGGACCACTTCTACACCATGTCCAAGGAGGAGGCGGACAATGCCGCGAAGAACTACAGATATATCAACGAAGGCATCACCGCATATGTCTGGCCTTCACAGAACTATAGCAGCGTCCCGCTCTACCGCATGTACAGTCGCAGAGCTGCCGATCACTTCTATACAACGTCGAAGAGCGAGCGAGACAATGCCATCACTAACTTGGGATATGTGGACGAAGGCATTGTGTGCTACGTAAATTTATGAATGAGTCCTAGGTGAGAAGTCTTGGTGATGCCATTCAAGGCTAATAGAGACTAACCTGTATATGTATAGGCACGCTACAAATTTCGTACTTCACAATACTTTTCTTTCGAGTCTTTTGGTCTGCTGTTCCGGCAGTTGTTCGGTTCTTAATTTGGTTCCTGCAATGAATCATGGCACGCTTGCGTCATCTTTGCATAAACTTAGTTATCAGTTACTAATTCTAAGATTCAGGAATCAGCAGTCACAAAAAGCTGTGCCGGACATGACGATCTTTTCTCCCGGTACAATGTGTACACGCTGCCGCAACTCCTATATTGCAGCTTGTGATGCAGAACTCCACTGCATCGGAGGTTACCTGATTCCGATGACATTTCTACCTAGTACGGTCGATATCATTCGTTTCCTGGGCGCTCCCTCAAATCAGCGGGAATGGAAAGATGCGACTGGACTCGCTCAAGGCGGAACATTTTTTCTGCCTGACATATGCTATTCTGGGTTGAACGTTCAAGGCTCGACGGAAGGACGCTGTCATGATTCAATATAATATTGTGGTCATGGTGGTCATGCCAAGCAAGCTTTCCTCTCTTCTCGCCGGGTCTCATAATGGAGACAAGTGTACGCAGACTCTGAAACGCCTTCAGTGTGTGTTGGTATCTTCCATGAACACTGTCGTGACTCAAAAGCGGTCTTCGATCACCGACAGGAGGAGCCGCAGACGCATCGGTGAAGACACATCGGTGCTATCCTGCCTAGAATTTCGGTCCGAAACTCCGCAATGTCGGTGATGTGTCACAGATGCCACAGCGGCTCTATAGGCCATCAAATATGGCTTCCCTGCCTGCACGGAAATCGAAGTATCATCTTGTGGCCATCATGATTTTCAGGATTTTCTTCGCACGCTGGTCTACCTGCCGGTGCCGCACTGTAGAAATTGATAAAGATGCATAAAGCTAGTCTACAATCAAAGACGTGAACCATCTGTGAGTAGCATGCGCATATGATCTAACTGAGTCGACAGTATAGGAAGAAACCCCATGTTGTATTCCTGGTTTGCGGTAAGCTCGACCACATTGACAGGTGTTCGCTGCTTCTGATGTTTAATCCACACTAGATTGCTTCCCTGCCTTATCGTACCACCACGGCGTGTCGGAGGTATGCAGTGAGCCACTACAGGAATACCTGTCAGCCACCGGAGTATATCGCCCCATTACGCTCTAGCAACTAGGCGTGATGCCAGGTCATCGACTCGATTACTACTCGATTAGGGAGAATGTTTGACATTGGGCAGCTGAACAAGCGCGCCATTATGTATAAAAAGCACTAATGAGGTGTCCCACGAACATTACCCTTTCCTCTCCACATCGTTTCCATCGCCATGCTCACTCGCAACGTCGCTAGCATTTTCTCCTTGGTTTTCGCTGCGCTTTCTATTACCGCAAATGCCGTACCCACACCAGAGGAGCCATTGAATGAGGTATGCCACTCTGCATGACGAGACCTCTCTCCGGAGATTGACATATTGTTGTTGCATCACAGGAGGTCTTGGCGAGACAGTATGACTGTGGCGAGGTCTCTGTATCCGTCGCACTCCTTCGGGGTTATAGCCCCAGCGCCGAGGATCACTTCTACACGACTAACGCCATCGAGATGGAGAAGGCAGTCTCCAAGCTGGGCTATAAGTCCGAGGGCGATCCCGGCCGTGTATTTTCTTCCCAAGTTGGGGTGACGATCCCTCTCTACCGCATGTACAGCGCGACAGCGACGGACCACTTCTACACCACGTCCAAGTCGGAGGCAGACAATGCAGTAGACAAACTAGGCTACACCGCAGAGGGCACCACTGCCTTCGTCTATTCCGACCAAATCTGTGGCAGCATCCCATTCTACCGCATGTACAGCCCTACCGCGACCGACCACTTCTACACGACGTCGGAGAGCGAGAGAGACAATGCCATCGCCAACCTCGGATATGTCGATGAGGGTATCCAGTGCTACATTCTCCCTACCGATGACTAATCTTGGGTGAGTCTTTCATCGTGCTTAACTTCACCTTGTACACCATCTGATTTACTATTAGATTCACATGTTTCGATTCAACACTGCATTTTGATATCTTGATCTCTGTGGTTCATTGGCATGGGCTTTTCTTACAGTACTTATGTTGGTCCCTACAAGGTTCCGTCTGAATAAGCGTAATCCCTTTCTTTCGAATCCGGTCACTAGTATCTGCTTGATGTATTACAATGAGCATGCTTGGATCTGTAATGTGAGAAGAAGCCCTGCCGACTCGCGGAAGTCCCGGACGAATATCCAGGTCTTGGTAGCTACAATCGTCCGATGAGAGCATCCAGATTGAACACTGAATCGTGATTAGAGTTAGTCTATGTAAAGCGACCAGCTCCGCATAACATCCGAGACAATATCATCTCCAATCCGTGGCGGATCTCGAGTCTTACTGCCGTATGCTCTCTATATAACCGTGGCGAGTGAGCTGTGCATTGTAATTCTTACGCTGTCAAACTGGTGAACAGTGCTTCTCTGTATGGGCGGAACAAGTTTTGCGTTAACTCTGAGTTTGTTCCTTGCTCGCTGGTCCTGGGTCTATCACATTCGTTTCTCCCCCTTGAACAACACATACTTATAAATGTTCTAATTATGGAACGATGGCGAGGTAAGTCAGAAATGATCAGTCGACAATATGAGCTCGTTGCAGCGGTGTCTCGATAAGCCCTGTAAGTAGTTGTTATCAAGGCTGACATGCGGATGGCCAGCTCGAATAGTGCAATAAGAGAAGGTGGGTCGCAGAACGTCGGTTAGCACTAGAGGAATACGAGGCGTGATGGTAAGTCAATCTCGGGTTCGAAAGTGCCAACTAACTGACCACCGTATCGTGAAAGCGTCGCTAGATCCAGAACCACGCATATACACGCTCGTCTAGTAGCGGGCCGACCAACAAGGTGCATCATTGTGTTATGAGAATTCCTGTAGCTGTCGGTTCGGCTGAGGTGATAGAACATCACAAAGAAGTTGAAATATATGGTTGTTTCGATGCATAAAGAAATACCGTACTGATCCTCGGCCATGATTGCCATCTTTGTATTAACATCGCATGAAGATAGCTCAAATAGTCGCACATAGGAGAGAAACCAGGAAACGCTAACAGCTAATGCGGCCTACAAGCAACCCGCAACATCCTGCGATGTTCATTATAGCCGTTGATGCATACTATGCAAACGAAACTCACAGCAACAAAGAAAGTCAGGCACGTCGACTTCTTACATGCGAGGGATATTGGGAAGCATGTTCCGTACGACATCAATCTCGGCGTCGTCGAGCTTTTCCAACACAGGGGGGGCGCCCTCCGGACGAGAAACGACCCGGAACCACGGGTGACTATCACAATTCATGTTGCAAATGAACGGCAGCAGCTCTTCATGGCCCACATACTCCAGCGTTGGTATACTCATTGCGATCTTGACTGCAAAATCAGCGGACAGAGGGCCGAAGTCATCGACGCTAACTTTGTGAACAAGAGCGCGCAGCGGTAGATCTTTGAGTCGTGAAATGCCGATTGGCTACCGAGCAAAGATATTCAGTGAATCATACTGCTTGCAAAAACCTCTGCACGTACAGTCCAAGACTCCATATCCTTTCTGAGGTTAAATGGCAGGGAGATCTCTAGGAACTTCAAGCTCCTGCACTTTGCAGCTACCAGGGACAAGCTCTCTGCATCGAAACAGCAACTCAACACGACTGGATCCATCGTCTCCAGGGCTTCCATGTCGTGCGGTCCCGGTACTTCACAATTCATGATGTGGACTCTGCGAACAGATCCCGACGTGGACACCACTTTCGAGAAAGATACACGATCTAGCAGGGGGAGACGGGGAAGTGGTGGATCGGTGATCTGGCATTTTATGAGGCAGAGACTGCGCAGGTTGGGACATGCAGTTGCTATAGCCTTGAGGCTGACCGACATACACTCAAGGGTCAGCTCTTGCAATGCGGGCCATTCACCTTCCATCTTGAGAGTAGGGGAAGGATTAAACATTTCGCACAGACGAAGAACAGTCAGCGAGTCGACGAATGGAAGTAGGAACCCGCAGTTGACTTCAAGGGGACCTCGACGAGCATCTTCACCATCGGACGGTGATGAAAATTTTAAATGAATGCTTCGGAAGCGGCTTTTCATCTGTGATAACGTGTCGAATACTCTGGTATCCGGGTCTTCAATTTCGATGACGTCAAGACATTGTTGCGCTATAATAGCATCCGCAAGACGTGGAATGGAAGGGAACCACAATCTTCCAACTTCGGGGCCATACGATCGGACTTTGATCGCCTTTAACTGAGCGAGTCGCATGACTCGGGTGAAAGAGGCCACCACAGTATCATCTAAGTATGAATCTCGGCATTCGGGGGAATAGAGGTAAAAATCATCATAATCATCCTGATCGTCGGCGATGCCTGAGTCCGAGTTGAAGTTGAATGCGAAAGTCCCAAGTATGAGGCTCCTGAAGTGAGGTATCCGGCTCGAAGCGTCCGCTAGCACGAAGTCGCAGAACCGCCGAGTGTCCCGGCCTTTCCTCAGCTCGACCTTGGATAAACATCTCTGCAGTGCAATTTTCCGTGCTGTGTGGCACGTCATGTAGAATCTCCAAGCAACGCGGATTGGAAGATATGACATGAGAACATGGAGGACGTCCGTATTGAGGTTCAGAATATTCATGTTGAGTAGATCGGTGGGGATACAGACGGAGGTCGCCGAATTAGTGGGTGCAATCTAATAGTACAAAGTAGCAAAGCTGTCATACCTCCGCACATACGCGATGATCTCAAACAAGGAACTTACATTAGCGCGATGCCGCAGTGAGCGAAATCCGGAGCAAACAAGCACTCGGTCCAGGTCACGTCTTCTCAATGATAGTCTGCCTTATGTTGAATAAGCTTGATTTTCGATCACAATGTTGACGAGAGGCATCGGCTCGTACCGTACGTACTGTAGCTCGTAGCCAGCACAGCGACTCGGTGGCCACCAGCAGCGACGAAACTCAACCGCACGTTTTTCCCGAGACGCCCGCACGTGACCGCGACGTGTCGGTGGCTTCGAAGTAAAGCTTCGAAGGGCTGAAGACGTGTATGCATCGGAGCAGTTCTTTGTCCGATATCGCATCTATTCGCAGAAAGAACTTATCATATTATACTGCTTTTCTGCAGGTTTTTCGTCGGTACCCTAGGTAGACGCACTGAAAATGCGGTGATGGAGTTCACTGCCAAGTGGTGCAGATACTCTATCCAGTGACAAAGTTGACTAACGACCGGGGCCTTCGATACAATGTATTCACAAATCCAGAAGATCATAATAATGTTATTGTGAGTGCATATGCCAAGTAATGGGTTGCTGGCTGAGGAGATATCTTCCCGCTCTTCAGATACGCGATCCCGACAGTTTTGCACGGTTCAAAAATACAGAGGCTATGTCCTCGATTTTACATAATATGAGACAGACGACTCTGAAGCGAATCCCTTCATCGCTCATCTATTTGAGTCAATATCCAGTCATGAAACCTTATTCCCGAACCTGCGCACCCTCGAAATCCTCCGACTCCCTAGATATGTTCATTCACCTTCTCGGTCCGTAGGTGGTGGATGTGCATATCAAACGCCCGCTTAAAAACGTCGGAAGGGTGCATCAATATTGTCAAGCAAAGTGCGCCTGACCCTCTGCGGTTGGAAATAGATTTGCAGTACGGTGACTATCTGAAGCCTCTTGTGGAGCAGGAGCAGGAGCTGAAGTTAGAGCTGGAACTGGATGGAATGGGCATGAACGAATTCAAAACCAACTGAACGCTATCCGAGAAGACATTCCTCACATTGGCCACCATGACCCATCTTACCAGTCTTAAGCTCGCCGTTCCCGAGAAAGGTCATAAACAAGTTGCCGGCACGTCCTGCTTACCTGCGCTGCAATCTCTCAGCCTAGAGCCGGAAAGGCTTGATGAGCACTGCCTGGCTCTCGTCAAACTGGCCACCTCTGGGAGTCTCGACAATATCTCCATCGACATCGTACTAGGCAATGTCACGACAGACATGCTCAAGTCCTTCGTGCGCGAGCTTGTAAGCTACCCGCCGCGTGCATTCTCTGTCACGGGAACTCTTTCGAACATAAGCTACGATGGCCGCTTGAACATCTCCGAGGCGGCTCTGCACGCTCTGCAGCCACTACTGCTCCACCGCAAAATGGCATCACTGAAGATCAGTATGGGCAATCTGAGAATCACCCCGAACCTCCTCTCCGCGCTGGGCAGCGCCTACCCCGCACTGTAGATGCTGCTCTTGAACACTGACGCTCTGCACTGGCCGGAACTCGACGTCTTGTTCACCCTCGCCGATAGCTTCCCCGGTCTCAAGCCTCCTTAGGTCGATATATCTGTCACTAAGCCGTCGAACTCTTCCTTTGGACTGGCAGTCCCCTTCCAAGCTGCTTCGTGTTGAAGTTGACATAGATCGATCTTGGGCATCTGTGAAGGGTTCTGCCTACTAGCATCACTTGAAGCTGTTTTCCCTCATACAGATATCGATATTGCACAGTAGTCATCTAGACAAGGCATAGCCAGAGCTCTCCAGTTCCTCGCATGCTACGCGCTGTGCTCTGTGGTCGTTCTATCTGCGCCGATGAAGGCCCTTTTATTCGCCATTGCGTGACTATACGTATGCATACGACTGAGGAACTTATATATATCCGAGTATTCGTGGCGATGGTTAAATGATTGAACGGACGAAAAGGTGTAATTACTTATGGGATCCATGGTAAGCTACGGGTATCTATCTGACGGCTCATCAACGGCGACAACGACAGTGAGGCAAAGCAAGACATATCGAAAAAAAGAGAGATGAATAAGGATACATGCCGTCAACTTGGGTATTGATTATAGAAAGAGTGTCACTTATTCAGAACGAAGCAATGCGCGACGAGACCTGCAAGGATACATGCCAGTCAACCTAGTACTCGTGGACTTCCTCCTCTTCCTCCTCCTCCAGAACATCGGAGTTGTCCCAGCGACTATAAGAGGACGTAAACGTCTCCTTACGGTAATCATATCCCACAAACTTCATCACGCTGCACGAACAACAACACGTCAGCCCACAGACTCACAGGACGAACCTAGCTCAACTTACTAAATCGTGCCATCAGCACATCCCACCACCACCTCTTCATGACTCAGCTGCATACTCATTGGATTCTTCTCCGGCGTCGCAAGGCCCTGGAACCTCGGCGGGACCTGGCCCAACAAACCCTTCATTCCCACAAACGCCGCCGCATCTCCCTCGGCGAGCGCGGACCATGCGCCCGTCAACGGGACAATATCCGTATCAAAGTCAACTCCCGGGCTCGGCGCGCGCACTTCATCAGAGGACTGCCCTTGCTCCTCATTCTCGCTGCCGTCCGCGTTCTGCGCCGCCTGCCCCTTCTCGCGATGCGTCGACATGAAGATCGCTCGGCTCGCTCCCGCCCGCGAGCTGAACCGCGTGGCCGTTACGACCCGCCGCTTCCGTGGATCCACCGCGCCCACCGCGATGTCGGGCGTCTCCACCACGGCAACGAGCCTCGGAGGCGCAGTCAGTACCGCTGCCCTGCCGAAGCGCATCGCGAAGCCGTTCGAGTCGGGCGATATTGGAGACAACGTGCGCAGTCCAGACAACGGGCTGACCGGGGTGATGGAGGGACGGCTGCTGCCCATACTCGCCAGCGCTGTCCCCAGGGACAGCCTCGCCTTCACGCTTCGCGGAGTGGGGGGAGTAAGAGCCACATTAGAAGAAATTGGAGAGAGGGTTGCACGTCGCTTGGGCAGGGACATCGACGACGGTGTACGGCGTAATGTAGGAGCCTTGTTCTGTCGAGGTGTGGACACTGCTGGGCTAGCGGGACTCAGCGCCCCCGGACGCGTGGGGGAGAACGAGTCAAGGGGACGCGTCGTGCCCGTCGAGAAAGTTGACTCGTCCTCTTCTCTCCACTCCAGATGGAGGATGACGGATTTGGTCGCACACTGTGGTAACCCAAGTGTTCAGTTAAGACCTCTATGACAACAACGTTTGATAGCAGATGCTCACCGTCATCTGCGTGCCCTTGGCAGCGAACCACCTGCGGACATGAAATCGTGAGAGAACGGACACGATCAAAGACATTGAACTTACTGCAGCATATTATCGGGAGCCTTGCCGATGTTCAACAGCTTCGCATTGAGGACAGGATCACTGCCGCCAAGCTCTGCCAGCTTAAACTGCGATACCATCTCGCGACGTTCTGATGGAAGTACGAACCATGCCAGTCAGCATCATCGCACGGCGGCTTGCTCAACGTCATCAGTGAACAGAATACGACAGAAATGAGGAGGAAATGATGGATTCAAAGCGGCGCGCAGACAACTCACTGATCGAGAACACCCTCACGATGCCATCGATCGTCACGCTGACCACGCGCTCGCCTTCCTGCGGGATGCCGCCGCCGATGATCTGCACACCGATGTTGACGGTGGTCTGCTGGCCGAAGCGCACGATCTTCGTGCCCGTGCGCCAGTCCCAGCACACGAGCGCCTTGTCAGCGCCCGCGGACACGAGATTCTTGGAGGACAGTGCAACGGCGCGAATGCCGTTGAGATGGCCGGCCAGTTGCTGAAGCGGCTGAAAGGTCAGCGAAGAGAAAAGGTGGACGCGGCTGTGGTGGTCCGGTCAACCTAGACGGCTGGAGTAATATGCTGACGACGGACGTACCCAACGTCGTGGAAACCGACAACAAAGACCTCTGCGAAGGGAGTCATAAGAATTACACTCCTTATTCGACGTGACTCATAGAATTGCACACCTTCCTCGGCCAGGAAGTCAACACAGCTCACCGGCTTCTTCACCTGCAAACACTTCTTCATCTCGCCGGTCTCGATATCCCAAAAGCGGATCGTCTCATCGTATGAGCCACTAATGAGACGCTTGCCTGCAATGGACCATTGTATCATAACCACCCCACCAGAACAGCCTCAGCCTGCTCACCTCGAAGAAGTAGCGTCGTGCAGTAGTTCGTGTGTCCTTGCAGGAAGCGCACGCTTTGCGGCAATGCATTCTTGAAATTGGATTCGCGATGGTGCAATGAACGGTACAATGGTTCCCTTGTATATATTGATCACATGAGCAGCAATACAGGCACTACGACGCCCCACTAACCAGCCTTCCGGTGTCGTGGGTGGACGCATGGGCAAAGGGTCGGTAGCGGTGATGCGCAAGCAATGGTATTTCCATAGCACTGGAAGGTGCACCATCTCTTGCCACTTTCGGGAGACCTAAGAACATTTCATGAATTCGATTCTAGGAGTCATCAAGACTAGAAAACAGAAACATACGGATTCGACACCAAGCAACTCCGACACGCTTAGGAACCTGAAGACTTTGAAGACAAGATCGGCGGCAAGATTACCGATGATATCAAACGTCGACTTCGCGTACTTTTCCAGCAGCAGAACTTGTAGACGGATATCGCCAGGCATGCAGGAGTCAAGAATTGCACTGACCCTGCGAACAGTGCCCTCGCTCAGTCGTGAATAGTCTTTCATAAAAGAACCAACAGCACTCACAGTCTCATCCTATCATCTCGTCCTAGCGCCCTCACCACCCTTCGCACCTCGAACTCGTTGAAATTCCCTCCAGTGTCGCCCTTCAGGACGGTTGCCAGATCCACCTCCCCGCCGACCCCATCGTCCTCGTGTCCCCTGTACCCGCTCCAGTAGTCCTTCCGGTTCTTTCCGCCACAAGTGCAATAGGCGCCGCTCCCCCCGGCCATGTTCATCTGCCCCGCGTTGCCCTCGAGCCGCTCACGTTCACGCTCTCGCTCGCGGAGCAGAGCGACCTCGGCCTGTAGCGCATGCAACTGCGCAGCCGTGGACGCCTGTGCGCGCTCGAGCAGCCGTTTGTAGTGTAGTAGCTTGCGCGTGTGGAGGGTGAGCACTCCCTGCACCGCATTCTCCATCTACCACGTAGAAAGCGCGGTCAGAGCAGCATCAGCACATCAGTGACATACATGATACACACATCCTCGTCCACGTCGCCGTCGTTCACATCCGTCACCATGTCCAGCGTCATGTCGTCTCCGTCCCAGACTGAGAACGGCTCGTCTTCACCTCCGCTCGACAGCAACGCCAGCGCAGACAGCGGTGTCTCGCTGAGCATGATCTTCCTGTCTCCCGGCTTCTCGGACGGAGACACACTTTTGCTGGGCGTCATCCTCTGCAGGGACGGCTTGCGCTGGAGCTTCGTCGGCGGCGTGCCCTGTGGTGAGTTGACGTACGTCTTCGTCTGCGCAATTGTCGGCGATGTGAGCGTAATTGACGGAGAAGACTGGTGCGGAGCCTTGGACTGCAACGCCATCTGCAAGAGCCGCGATGCGGTGTTGATCCTGCGCGGAGTCATCGGTGTCTTCTGCGATGTGGGGTTTGTGTCCATGTTCAAGACAGACATGGATGGAGACCGCGCGGTATGTCTAGACGGTGTGACGGAGGGAGAGACGAGGCTGATGTGCCGGCTGCGCGAGGGCGGAGTCGGTGGCGGGAAGTTGGGCGTCGACACACCCGGATCGACGAACGATGAAGGTGGTACTGCCATCGAGGATCTACGAGAAGTCATCCCAGCGGGTGTCATGGTCATGCCCTTGCCCCTCCTGGTCGGTGTCGACGGCAACGAGACTGACGTTTCGTCGGGTAGTCCCAAATCGACGTCGCCGTTTCTTCCGGTTGGCACGACAGTGCTAGTGTTGCTGGAAAGCGAGGCAGTAGAGAAGGCACGAGGTTTCTTCGAGGTAGTGCGCCGCGTCGGAGCCTCTGAGGGAGCCGAGCTGCGAGGAGGCATCTGAAGTGTGTGTATGCTCACCGTGAGAGACAGCGAGCACGAGCGCAAATCATGGTTTAGACGCCCATGTTCGGGTAGTGTCTAAGCGCCCGTTCCTGCCGCTCAGGCCGACGTGTCAGATCTCAACTTGAGTATTTGTATGGTCAATTTCGCTTTGCATCGCTGTCGATGTTGCATCTGTAATCGAAGTCAGTCCAGTAATATCGAATTGAGAAGTGAGCATTGCGCACTGAGCATGGACCCATATACTGAAACTGAGCTCTTCAGACGAATCATGGCAGCTTCTTCCTTTTCGGCTTGAAACGTGGTCATGACAACGAGAGTGTTACCCACCGGGAAGACGCTGCTTGACCCTTCTGTGCGATTTTCTGGAGGTCTTCATGTAGTCGTTGCGATGTACGATTACTGATTCTCATCGGGATTATGGATTTACGGCGGCACCGCATTGCCTTCTGCGTTGTCGGGGTATTCGCAGTCTCCTCTCAGTGGCCAAGAACATCTGCGCGCCGAGCTATTTATGATATCGCGGAACAGATGGAACGTTCACTCACCATCATGCGACTGACCAGCATGTGTCCTCCATCCTTAAGGGACCCGGCCGTGTTAGTCCTGGGTCTACCTGTTGGAATTTTTGCTGCTACGCGCTGTGTCTCATAATTATGATACCGTTATCAGCATATATTCACTGGTAGAACAGCACGGAAGGATTACCATATTCTGAGACGTATATACGGTACCGGACAACAGGTGCCAATATATCAAACACGCGTCGCGACGCGCACTTGTTTGACGCGCTCAGTCACAGATCACGTGTAGAATGTCACGTCAAGAATATCCGCCGTGTACAGACTCTCATTGAACGCGCTGTAGTCTCTCTTCTGGCCGCCGATGAGCTTGAACATGCGGGCAGCATATGCTTCTGTGATTTGAACCTATTGATGCTCAGTTTTGGTTAACATCTCTACAGTTTGCTCCGCGCTTCTAGTCTCGTGTCTTGGCAAGCTGCGAGACTTTAACAACTTGAATCTAGTGAATCTCGCAATTCGTTCCAACTCATCAAGCAATGATATGTCCACCAGAACTGCTCGGACTCATTCAATAAGTAGAGGTTCTAGACACGCTGCTTACATTGAGCGGCCCAGCACCATGTCAGCCTCCAAGTCAACCTCCTGATGCGCAGTCGTCTCGCTCGGTTACTGCACCCACGTACCGGGACACCAAGCCGTAGTTCTACAAGTCTGCTCTTAGTGCTCTCCTATTTGCTCTTGCTATCGACTCTGCTCTCCGTCCTTCGGCTCATCAAGTTCGTTCCGCTGTCAGCACCGCGCTCCATCCGCTCAACAGCCCTATTGTTCACTGATAGAAGACAGTCCGCTGAAAATCCCTCTTTGCCAATATTTACTCGTTGTAATTTCTGGCTCAAGGAACTGCACCCACAAAGAGGATGATGAAGTCATTGGCATCCGCCCGGAACATACGTATACATGGCCGAGGAGCTACACATAAGTCACTTGGCACCGGCAAGGATACAATCATCGCGGGCGTTGTCCAGATTGTTTCCACCACGGTACCAGACACCCGCCTCGATCCTGACACTTTTCATGAGGACGCTGTTTACGCGCAGCCAGCACCATTCAAGGACCTGCGTCAAGAATCGGCGACTATCGGACTCCCGAAAGACATGATGGAAATGCTGGACAGCTTGGAGGCTATCGCTGCTGTGATCAATGCATTGCCACGACCTCCCATCCCGGAGCGAATCAGTCGCACAGCTCTTCAGGCAGGATCATGGCCTCAGCTGGAAATGACAGAAGGCGACATTCCGTCGACACTGTGCGATGACTCTTCCGCATCTTACAGTTTAGAGCCGACAAGAAAAGACGACGGTTCCCTAACAAAGGTGAGACAGTATCGTCGACACGTTCATTTTTGGGACGGCAAATGAATGATATTCTCCTCAGTGCCAGACAAGACGACCACATCCCAGTGCCATATGCTACCCCTCATCAGCTGAATCTCACTGGGCGACACCTCTCCGCTCTCTACCTTCTCGCCGACGCCTCAAAAGTGACCCGACCGTCCCTGCCGCCCTCACTCCAAGTCGTTCCTGCTCGACTCCAAAGCTGCCAAAGCTCTGGCGCACTAACGCTGCGCGAGCTGCCTCCCCTCCTGTTCCTGTTTCCAGCCCGGACGAGATGCTGATCGAAGGCGACCGGAAAGCAGCGAACTTGCAGGGCCGCATTCTGAGGTCAATGAGGTCCCTGGGTGGTGGAGGCTCTGCATCGGATGTGGATGTGGCGAGCGCTTCTGCAGCGTCACCGAAGCGGTTTGTGCTCAGATCCATACTGCGACCTCGCCTTTCGGAGCCACTTCCTCAAGTTCAGAGAAGCGAGGAATCTCCTGTGTCCCGTCCACCCTCCTGCCAGTGATATCGCCCGCCTTGGCCTTTTACATGTCGCCCACGCCGCTCGTCTGTGTTGAAGTCCTCGTCTCAGCTACTGTCCTGCTCTCTCGTCCTCGCTTTCGTCTCATGCAGTATCCCTCTCTCCGTGCGATCAATACATAGTTGTTTTTGTGCCTGCTTCCAGACCTTGCCTGCCAAGTTGGACAAGCGCTTCACTTGGCGGACCGTCACGTGACACATTGCTCCTAAACTTGTCGTAATTCCTCATGTTGCTGCTGTTATTAGAGCGAATATCTTCCCATGCACGAACGGGCCCGTGAGTGGTGATAACCAAGCCTTCCCTCAAGCCACCACCGCAGCGCGATAGCGACAGGCTGACTGAGCGTGCTCTTTGTCCCAAACCGCCCATAATCTACATACCACGCACAGCGCTCACCCTGAGATGCCTTGGGACCTCATTCAGCTGAACAACGGTCAGTGAATACGCCATTCCATTGGCTGGATTGCAGTGTCTTTCCGCGGAATCGCGGATCGCCATCTGTGAAAGGGGCACGCTGATCCACTCGAGACAGGGACGAGCATCCCGAGCATTGCATTCGGGACGTGGACGCTGGGTGGCGGACAGCAGGCCACGAACCATGTCGACCAAGCCATCTCCGTCGGATTCAGTCATATCGGTATGTCGCGGCTCCGCAGTCAAGGTCAGTTCAGGACGCACTCACTGTGCGCTTTAGATACGGCGCAGGCCTACCGCAATGAAGCCGAAGCGGGTGTTGCCATTCACGAAAGCGGGCTCTCGCGCGAAGAGATATACATCACCACGAAGTACTCTGGCGTGGACGGGCTGGATATCGACACGTCCATCCAGAACAGCTTGAAAAACGTGCGTGTTTTCATCCGTGGTGGTGCTGCTGCTGGTGTGATTCCGAGCTTCGATCGCTGACAATGCGCGTTCACCTGTCTAGCTGGGTGTCGAATATGTGGATTTGTATTTAATCCACAACCCGCGTCTGGCCGTGCCAGACATACCCACAGCCTGGGCCAGGATGGAGAAGGTGCAGACCGACGGCTACGCTAAGTGGGTGTTTGGGCTATTCGTCGATGGCCCCGATATTGAACGGCATTGCGACGGGCAGGAGCATCGGAGTCAGCAACTTCAACGTGCCGCAGCTGGAGACCCTCCTCGCTTCCGCGAAGATCAAGCCGGTGGCCAATCAGGCAGGACTTGCTCCGCGATCTTGTCCAAAACGCGGCTTCGCTGACCAGATTATCCAGATCCTATTCCATCCGTATGTGCTCGAGTCGCAAGCACCCATCGTCGAGTATGGGAACGAAAACGGCATCGTGAGCGAGGCGTACAGCGTGTTGGTGTGAGTCCACCGAGGTGAATTATCAAGCTGTGCATGGCGCTCATCTTCGTTCTTGTAACAGTCCTCTCACGCGGCAGCCCGGAGGGCCTGTCGACGCTCCTGTGAGGGAGATCGCTTCCCGCTTGAAGGTCCAACCTGAACAGGTTCTCCTGGCATGGGCAAAGGCGAAGGGCGTCGTCGTCGTCACGTACGTTACTATGGTGTTCATCGACGGGCGTATCAGTGGCAGACTGAAGGATCACTATGATAGGTCGAGCACGAAGAAGGAGCGTCTCGAGGGCTACTTGGCTGCCGGTGACCTAGGTGCGCCAACTACATCTGCTTTTCAGCTTCCGTGATCTCACTCGATGCCTCGTTCGCTTGTTCTTCACGTTCATCGCAAGCAGAGCTCACCGATGATGACATCGCTGCGATCGACGCGGCAGGTGTTATTGGTACCCGTCGGATTACCGCGCGCACGTTCCTGCGGCGTGCTGCGGCTGTTGCGCTGGTCGGTGCTGCTGTCCTCGGTGCTTGCAGCTACTTGGGCATCAACGTCATCTAAGAACATTTGTATTCCTTGAACACTACTTTTCGACGTCCTTGTTTTACCAGATTGTTGTTTTATTGTTGTACTTTGCTCTGAGTCTTACAAACTGGGTGACGATGACTTGCTAGCTCGATGTATATCATGATCTCTCTATGTACCAGTACAACAGTGGACTTTGAATGCTATTTGTGCCGTGTTGAAGGGGTCATTTATCGCGATCACGCGACGTCCGAGACTCGGGACGATCAACACTGTACGATCGCTCGATCTTCTCGATCAAGCTTTCAAGTCGGGTACTCCCTTTGCTCTGAACCATCACCGCGACTCAAGCCGACGACTGCACCACTTCGCATTCCGCACTTGTCCCCAGTCGTGACACTCGGTGATGGCCCCCGTATTGCGCAGTATGACACCCATCGTCGAGGTCGTTATCAAAATCCAATTCAAAGGCGAGAGAGCGGGCAAGATGGGCATTCAGAAGAACGGAGAGCCTCCAACAGCGCAGTTCGCCCGAGAATTGCACGTGGACTTTGAAGACGCGTCCATCCCTCTGCCGGAATCTTTCAGGACGTATTGGCAATCGGGACAAATCCAATGTGTCTGGCTTACCACTAAAAACAGCGTGCGTCTACTGGATCGCTTGGGCATCAGCAAGTTGGACTGGTCTATGAGGGGATATATAGCGCTCTGTAGCATGAAGTATCGCTTCGTGGGCGCCTTACTACCAGTCCAACTTGCAGATGTTCATCGTCATTGCGAGCCACCGCGATGATACTGGTGTGGTAGCTGATGAGTTTCTGAACCTAGAAAAAATATTGCAGCGTTCTGCAGGGATTCGACAACTACACGGGCGATTCACACAAAATCGAAGCAAACAGCATGTATGTGTATCGCTCACTCAGACCGTTTCTCAATAAGTGCTGAAGTGTCCAACAAACATGTTATTAGATCGTGGATGTCCGTTAGCGTTGAGTAAGTCCACAAAGGCTCAAATTTGCTTGCGTGTTCACCGATAGGTGGCAGTGGCGATTGCATCTCTCAGTTCTCAACTTCAAAGTTTCCAACACAGTCCACCGGGAAGGCGCCTCGGCCTCAAACTCTTATAAACGCGGCCAGAATGTCGACTTCGGTTCTCACTCGACCGAACCGGCCTCAGCCCCATCATACCTCCTCGTCTTCTAGTCTTCCGGTGAAACCTGAGCCCGCTGGAAGCCCCACGTGTCCATCGCCTATAAGCGCGTCTTCTACCAGTACGATAGGCCAGCAAGAACCATCCATGCAAAAGCTGTTTAAAGCGGTCAATGTCAGTGAACCGCTGAACGTACCTTACATGTTGCATCCTTAACCGGTTAATATCATTTTGGCAGCCCAGAATCAGAGTGAGAATGGGGGACGATACATGCCTGTCTTCTCCTTTTGGCTCCATCTCTCCGACTCTTACCCTGCTTCCAGCATCGAATCCAACGCCCGCAAAAGGCGACGTCCCTTCCGCTCCGAAGCAGATGCTGCTTCATGCCATCCATTTACCGCGCGACTGGAATACTAGTTCCGATGTCAGGAACATCCCTGGAACGCGAGAGGGCGAAGTGCATGCCCTTACGCGTGAGCTGTGGGACGTCAGGCGGCAGATAACTGCTCTAAAGGCGCGAGAAGACTTCATTGACCAGAGGCTGAAGTACCTTGGAGCACCTGCTCTCACGTATGGAGAAGCGTCCAAGAGCAACTCGCCCGAGCATAAGCTGAAAACTGAGAACGACGGTGCGTTGACCAGCATCAGATTCGTTCGGTGGCTTGATTATGCAGCTTACTCTCTGTTACCGCTCATTGTATATCAGAGCTCCGTACCCAATTCGAACAGGAGGCATCAGCACGAAAGGCGCTTGAAAATGCGTTGCAGGAGGAACAGAGCCGGCGGCTGCACGCCGAAGGCATAGTTGACGACGTACGGCGGGAATGCACCGCGCCATTCGTGGTCCCCTCGCTCGTCGATGCGTTCATGCGATTGTCGCAGATGACTGGAAAGGTCCTGGAGGGTGGTCTGGGATCTTGAGAGATACCTCGCTTCCCCACAACCACCCATCCACTATGTTGTTATTGAGTGCTATCGCTTGGCAGGGCCAGGGCCATGTAAACAGTATTGTTTGTATACCAATGGAAGCATGCAGTCATTTTAACAGGGTTCGTCGTGCGTGACATCGGGGGCGTAGGTCGCTAGTTCGCTCGCCCTCACTGTCGCCGCTGCTCATGAACATACGACTACACGGTTGTCACAATGCACATGACTGCATGAGACACGCATGTCACGCTCGCATTCCCGAGTTAGATCTCAACTTCAACCATGCAGCAACACCTCATTCCTTTGTCCTAGCCCATACATCCTTATTTTTTTCTCTGTGTGTTTTTAATTAGTAAAACTCTTTACAGCAAGCCATTGGCACTACCGGTATCACCCTGATCCCACGATGTCAACCACTCGAAGCCCAGCAGCTGTTGCTATTGCAATGCAATGCCAAATAGTCCTGCGCATCCAATACAGAGGCGAAAGAGCGCTCTACCTCAAAGAAGGAGCGAACAATCTGAACCAAGGCGAATTTCTACGGTTCGTCGAAGATGATCTACGATGTCTTGGGTTCCCACATCCATGGTGCAAGCAACCGAGTCACCAATCTGGTGACGTGAAGTGCGGCTGGCTCTCACTGGACACGCCTCAGAACGCCCATGCGATGGTTGGCTCACTACTGCACGAACAATAAAGATTTCTGACCGGCGGATAATTGTTACGTTCTTAGAGATTGCGGGAACGTATACTGCAGGCTTTCTCGAACGTCGAAAATCGCAAATACATCCCGCTTCTAGAGAGAAAACTGATGTATGTCGCGATCCCGATATCTCCCCTATACTGCTACGTGCTCACAACTCGCTTATCGTAGCGCTGACCTACGGCTGTACGACGGGTGGGTCTTCCTGACTGTCGGGTCATTGCCGTCAGCGATGGCTGATAGTATGGCAGCAACGGGGAGCAAATGATTCGAGTGCCTAAAAATCAGATGACCAATCCTACGGCTTCCAACATAGGCAAGGCCTCTCCGCCTGTAAAGTCAACGCTCAAAGCTAGGATGTCCGCATCACCTGTTGCTCGCCCCCCTTACAGACGTGCCAGATCTATGTGCGCGAAAATGAGCGTCATTGCTGCCGCAAGTGCGTCTAAGTCGTCTGACGTGAAGCAGGAAGCGTCAAGGCAATCGAGTCTCTGTTCGACTGCCGCTCGTCCGAATTCAAGTTGGTGTTGCGTGAAGGTGTGTTCTTTTTCCTTTCGAATGCTTGTGAGACTAACGGACAGTACATACACCAGTCTGTTGATGCTATTACTGCTCACCACTCGCAAGATGCAGTCAACGAGTCTCGTCGGCCTCTCCAGCCCTCGAACAATTCCGCACGGCGAACAGATACGGAGTCAACTCTCACAACGTTACGCTCCCCTCCAATGCGACATGACCCGGCCCATGGTCCGGAACGACGCCATATTACCATGACTTCAGCACACTGCGGCACCATCTTGACAAACTCTACGCTTGTGCCATTGCCTGCTTGGACACTCCTTCGCGAGATATCACCGTCACTTCCTCCTTCTGTACCGGCACGATTGTCTGAGGCGTCGTCGTGTTTTCTGGATGGGTCCCTGTCTCACAGTTCGTTCAGTTCTCCTTCTCCACCGGGCCCTCCTCTGCGTCGAGTGGCTACGACCAGAGACTCTGATCAGGAATATCCAGCAATCAATGTCATGTCAACTGAGTTGACCCTATCAGGTCTAGCAGCAGCACCTTCTCCTGTCCGAGGCACTAGCATTCTTGAGTCTTCCTGCGAAGAGTCTCTCCCCCTTTTTCTGCCATCAGCGTCCACATCAGCGTCCAGCGATTATTCCAAACCATTCGCAGATCAATGTAACGGTCGAGACCCTTCCCCTCCTGCAGCACCCGCTACGGCCACGGCGGCACCGTCCGGCTTTTCCGAGTCCCCGGTGTCTGTATCTGAGAACCTGCCTGCAGCCTCTGACGACGAGTCTAAATCGCCTCATCTCCAGGGAAACGCGCCCATTCGCGAATCTGCATCTGCACACACGCTCACGCAATCTAGCGCAGGATCTGAGGTACGCGAGTCCGCGCCCGATCTGCTGGACCAACTGTGGAGGGCCAACGCCGAGCTGCAAGACGAGATAACCGGTACGTGCCAATCCATACGCCCGCGAAGATCCTGCACTGCGCATCCGTAAATTTTTTGCTGATCGTCGTTCTTCGTTTCGTCGGTGGACGCAGCGCTCCGAACCCAGCTCGCGCAGGAGTCTGGTGCGCGGTACACCGCGGAGATGGCGTTGCGCGTGGAGGGCGAGCGGCGCATTCATGCGGAAGACGCCTTGGAAGATATCCGGCGCGAATGCAGGGAACCGTTCGTCGTGCCTGCGCTGATGGACTCGTTCGTGAAACTGGCTCAACTCACTGGAAATGTCCTTTTCGAGACTGGATCTTGAGAAGTCTACTAGAGCGGTGCCTGGACAGTCGCACTACACATCCTAATTTATGTGTAGATTATTCGCTTTGTGGAGGCACCCTTATAGCCTATGGGTTCGTTCGTATTGATCCTTGGAATGTATTGGTATTGCAATACCTGTCTGTGTCACCGTTGCCTCCGTTCTCGTGGCCAGCAGTTCAACGAGAGCTTCTGCAAACACCATATATAAAGTGGGCAAATGTGCACATCCATTGCAAACTTGCCGGATGGGTAGTCCTGAGGTACGCAGCGCCCGCGACAAACCCAGTCCCCGTCGCTCGTCCGGATACAGCATTATCATTAAGTCATATAGCGTGGCCATGCTGCAGCCATACATTCTCGTGCGTGCAAAGGAATGGAATGGAATAATATCACAGCAGAGCGACGAGAACAAGAATCGAACGGGAAGCGTGTGCTCAACGGCCGCCCTTGCCGCCCTTCATCTGCTGCTTCGACACCCGGGGCCCGCCCGCCGCCGGTGCCCGTGTTGCAGGCTAACACAACTCGTCAACACTACCCCCCAAAACAAAGGAAAAATCAATTGGTATGCGCTACGCACCTTGGTCTTCTCCTTCTTCGACTCTTTCTCCTTCTTCTCCGCCTTGGCCTTCTGGATGGCCTTTGTCCTCTGGTCAATACGGGCCTGCGCGGTCTGGTTTCGCATGGCGGCGATGGCGGTGAGGTCTGCGCCGACGATGCCGCGATGGTGCTTCACCGTCTTTCGAGAGCGCTTCTTGGCGACCTCCTCCTGGAGGCCCTTCTTGTGCATCCGGCGGTAGACCACCGTCCATGCGATCTTGCGCGGGTTCTTGCGCTGCTTGAAGAGCGATTCGGTCTTTCCGGTGGAGAAGCGGAAGATCTATGGAGAGGAGTACGGGTGAGGAGGGTGATGGAGTGACTTTGTCGGGGCGATGTAGTGCAGACCTTGTTGTCGGTACGGACAAAGAGCCTGCCCTTGCTAGGGTAGATACGGTACCCGGAAAACGAATCGATCTCGGCCTTCTATACTCCAACAACAAGTGTGGTCAATTCAAGCGAGCGTTGACGTGAAATCCGCAAACGTACCATCTAAGCAGACCAAACCATCCAACGAAGCAGCAATCAGCAAGCGGTCCCCCCTCCAAATTACAGACGAGAAAATCCAGAGCCTGGCGTCATCAGCCACCCAAGTTTGCCATCCATCCCTTCCCTGCAAAGTTCCCCTTCTTGCCCTGCCTCTTTCGACAGCCCAAGCAACCAGCATTCCACCTCGCATATCTGAACACCATTCAAGCAAAGATTCGTGCTCACCTTGAGGAATTACCGGCAACGTTGTCTGACGGCAGGTGGCCACGCCTTCCCAGCTCGGTATCCAGGGCCAAATATTTGGATTTGGTGGCGCATTGTTTTACCCTGCGCGCCAACGCGCATCGCGTGTTAGCGCCCGTCGCCACGATGTACTTTTCGCGTTCACAGGCTTGCTCTTCGCCATCTTGTCACAATTTTCTGACGGAAGACCGTGTCATGCGGAGCGAGGTTCTCGCTCCCTTGATGTTCTCAACGTCGCGCTTCGCAGCAGAGGGCCATCAGTGCGCCGGTCTCAGGATTTCCTGACACTTACCCATGGAGTGCCCATCTCTTCGATCATATCCGCGCCGAGGTCGGATGAGGATTGCTCAGAGATGCAGTTAATAGGCCCAGATACGGAGTGCTACCTTTGCCCCGTAAGGACATCGCTTTGTCCTCTTCCGTATCGCAAGTCCATACTCTATCTTCTTCAATTCTGTTTCAACCGCTTCCGCGATCTTCCCAGAACATCGCGCGCCGGCTGGGGATCTCGACGTCGTCTTTGGCTCAGCTGGTCACTTGAGCGTATCTCGTGCTCGTTCATAGAACGCTTCTCGCGATGCTCTGGTCCAAGGACTACAAATCCCCTTTTCAAAATTCAAAATGCGGCCGAATGGGATGCGTACAGCCTGCTCCACTGAATGAATCCTTCCACGCGCATCTCGGCAGCGCATTTCAAAACGGTAAACCCCACAGCGCAGTCATGGGCCAAGTGCCTATCGAGCTCGAAGAGACTGGCCTTCGGCGAACGGTGCGAATTCGAACATCAAGTAATGCTTCCTACCGTGCTGACGGAATGTGGATAGGAACATGCGGGCTGGAACCGCGCTAAGACCTGTCCACACTGAGGTAAGTGGTACGGCAGGGCTGCTTGGAGTTTAGTCGGTGATAACCAGAACTCACTTCTGACATGACCGAGCAGGACGGCCCATATTGTAAGAGACACACGTTCCAGAAGTCGTCAGAAGGAAGCAGTCGCGAATCTATGCAAGGGCCGCGAAGCTGATTGTCGCCCGCAACATCAGAGTTTGCAACCCCAGTGGACGTTCTGGTACCAGAAGGTGCGAAGAAGGGTCAAAGCGGCAAAAGCCACATATTGTTCTGGCGTACGATAGGACCATCTTCATCCTCATCACGGACCCTCTGCCATCCGAGAAGCGATGTATTCTCAGTCGGGCGCCATCAGACCTTGTCGTGGATGCCGCCGATTGTCTCGTTGGTGGATATGGCAACGCGAAGCGATCCGAACTATCGCGACCGAAGAAAAAAGGTTATAGACTCGCCATAATTGCAGAGGAGATCTGTGCCTTTGGTTCGGTCGATGACCCGAACAGGACAGCGCCGCCCAAGAAGCGGCCAACGAATCGGAGTCGGTCGGAGATTGGAGCCGGCCCTGAATTTCCTAATCGGGAATACGCTGTGTGGGCCAACGCCGCCACAGATTTTGGTCCATCGTCGCCGTGATTTCTCATCGCTTCGCCCGCCGAATTTGACGTACTCTTCTGTTCGACCCAGACACCGTGGAATCAGCCATGCCCAAACATTGAAAAAGGCTGCGTCCGTCCCTCCCTTTCCTCCCGACCATCCCCCCCTCGTCCGCTGCTCGCATCGTGCCCTCGCGCTAGCACATTGTTCGTCGTCAAGCCCCTGAGCCGTCTCCCGGGCCCAACCCTCAGCCATAGTTGTGCCGAGAACTGAGCTCTTCGTGCTAGTACTTATTCAGTACGCTGCAAGTTTCGTCGGAGCTTTAGGCGGCACCTTCTCCAAGGCGCGATCGAGCGAGCGTCGTGCGCATATATAGAACCCTCCGGTGAGCGTTACTTGCCTGTGGCGTCCCGGCTAGGCGCTGAAACATTGACTTTGCATAGCGCCTCTCTGTGTTTCAGTTTAGTTGTGCCTTGACCTATATAATATCGAGCTGGTCTCTACCTCGGTCCTCTAGGCCCCCTACATACTCTCGACGACATCCATCATGCCGCTCACCATCTCATGCATGCCCGAGGAGATCCTCGAGCACATTTTACAATTCGCTGTCGTCACGTCATCTCCCTCTGCCGGCTACCGCCCTTCCTGGCATTCAATGAAAGGCTATGTTCCCTCCGGCAACAGCACTCGTGTCCCCGCACACATCGCGCCGCTGCTCGTCTCCCGCACATGGCGGCGCATCGCGACTCCTCTGCACTACCGCCATGTCGTGCTACGCACTGCCCGGAACACAGCACTCCTAGCGGGCACCCTGCGCACGAGCCCGGAGCTCGGCGAGCTCGTGCGGAGCATCCGGATTGAAGGCACGTTCGACGCGCTCGTGGACGTCGTGTGCTCCTGCCGCAACCTGGAGGCTTTCGATATGACTGTCGACAACGGCTCCGCTCCTCCGGTCGCGCCGGGCATGATATCCAGCGCGCAGGCTGACCCACACGAGGCGGATGCGAAGGTGTTCAAGTTCTGCAGCAGCTTTGCGAAGATGCGCAAAATCAGGCACCTCGTCATTCGCAAGAACGCTTATCTGACGCAGCCGGGGCCTACGCTTATTTTCGAGCAGCTCGGGAAGGCTATCACCTCCTGGAAGCACCTCGTGAGTATCTTCTTTCATTGTTGCTGTCGTCCCATGCACCATCCGCGCTCGGAATCGTATGATGCGTCACGCCCATAAAGGCGCATATATATGCTGCTGAATGCTGCCTGCTAAGTGCGCTTAAAGAGAGTCGAATGCAATGCTTCATTTCGCTTACTGATCCCGACTTAACCGTTCAGGAAACCGTCAACATTGCATTCCGCTTCTCGCCCTCTCCAGCATCCGCATCGTTCGCAGCATCTCTGGCCATCGCACCGAAATTGCGTGACGTGAGCGCGCTCCTGCCAGCGGTCTGGAACACCACCCTTCTGGAGGTACGTCCTGTCTCGACGTCATCGCATCCCTCTCCTCAATAACAATCTGACACTTTGGCGCCTCAGATTTCTGCAAACCCGTCGCTGGAGCGGATCCATCTGACACCCGACACGGAGCTAATGGGCGCACATCTCTTCCTCGCCGAGGCTCGTAAGCACTCGCGGCTCATCGAGCTCATCCGCGCCGGGACGCCGATCATGCGCATGCGCGCGCGCACTACCACGGCGATCCCGCTCCCCACGCAAGCCATCGAGTCCCCCAATAAGCTCAGACCCGGGTTCAGCAGCCAGGCTCTGCCAGCGCGCTCAAAGCCGGAGCACTTGACGCGCCGCGGGGCGCTGCCAATGCTCGTTACGCCGCCGGTGCGTAATGCCCCTGCCGGGCGCAGAATGAGCGCCGTCTAAGCATGGAGACATTCACGCTGCGGTCCAAAATCCGTATTCCGACATGGCGCGATGCGCCCCCTATGTGAGGCCTCATTACTGCCTCGCCGCTGCCTCCTTGAATCCATGTACTTCATATGTGGATACCCCATACCCTTTTGCATGTCATACCCGGAGCGTATTCCAAGCGCCGCCCCTTGAGATTGCCTTTTTTTTGCCGTGTTTCATCTGACACGCGGATGCCAGTTTGGCTTTCATCTCCAACTTGGTCCCTGCTCTTGCCTCATCGCTCTGTCCCGGACCCTCGTGGCTGAACTCTAGGTTCTCCTTTAGTCGCCGTTGTTGTTGCATTTGTCATTTCACTTTCCCCGCATGTATTTTACCGTCAATACTCGTTCCCCGAGCTTCTCTTCTATCACGCCGAGTAGATCTTTCCAGACTGGTGCGCAATCACGAATAACGTACATCACTTGCTGTTTCGGCGGGATATTCTAAACGTGTAATTGTCTCGCCGCTTCGGCGGGGCAACGATACTTCTGCATCCACGAAGGCGTGTACGAAGCGCAAGGTGTTCGGCCACGGTTGACTTTCACTGGAACAGGAGCAGGACGCTGGACGCACCAAAGTCAGAACTGAAACAGGTAAATCAAGCTCCGAGGTGGCCGGTGGCGGATCTGTCACGAATTCACGACCAAATCACCGGTTTGACGATAGATAGCATCGTCGTGATGTTTGTCGTGTAGCAATTTCACAATCACAGATCGTGGCCTCGACATCAATCTGCCACCGGGCAGAGTGGCGACGCTCAGGCTCTTGATGAATCAGCGCTCACTGGCAACAGCCTCTTTGGCCGTCACACTAAGTGTTGGGGTGGCGGATCAGGGAATGGGGATGCCATACTATGTGGCGTGGCCCTGGGAGGCGTCCATGCGGACTGGAGTACGCAGACCTTCGGTGGAGGAAACGGTGGCAGGTGGTGTGCACGACACAACTCCGAAGCTGGGAGGTCCACTGGCGTGAACACACGGACCCATGGAACTCCGAGTGCGAGGTGAACCCGGTGAACGTTGGCTTCGGCAGGAAGTTGGCAGTCCAGCTCCGATCGAAGTCTTGATGGGAGGTACCGCAACCGTGGCGCTGTCAATCAAGGCAACTTGAAGGCAGTCCGGATCGCGAGCAGCGCGTGCGTGCGTGTGCCGCCGGCTCGCGAGAAGTTGCGGAAACGTGGTGGGTGCGGAGATATTCTTGATGTCGAGGCGAGATTCGCGGTGGAGGCGGCGTGGCGTCGACGTGAAGGGAGCCGAAGAACGGAGCGAGCATGTCGCACGGAGCTCGGGAGCCATCATTTGTTTTTCGCAAGAGAGGCTTGTGCGAGTACATGGCGCAGAAATGTACGCCATGCGGGACGAGCACTGTGCTGTGATCCTGTGCCGTCAAATGACGCTGTCGTAGCACTTGCGCGCAGTCATTAGCAAGTTCTGCATATGCTGTCCAGAGCCCAGAGGCGCCAATTGGAGGCTCTGCAGTCGTCACTCGCATTGCCGATCAGACATTCCACTCGAACGAGATGATTGGAGGAAACACGTTGACGACAAGTTCCTGAAACACAGATGAAGCGAATAAAAAGTTCGAAGCATCAGCGGGGTTGGAGTCGAGAAATGAAGCATACAACCTCGCGTGATATGATATATGATCGGCCGCTCTGGACGCGCAAACACCTCACCTCGGTTCGTTGATGCATGGTGTGAAGCTACGGGTTTGGACGTATGTGATGACAATGGCATGGGCCGGCTGTGACGAGAACACGGTTATTTTGCAGCGTGGAATTGAAGACCGGTCGATCGAACCGTCGCTTGTTTCGTGGTACGAAGGAGCGTGACATCGCTTGATAGCAGCAGCCACAGCATTGGAGAGTAGAAAATGAGCGGCATTGATACGAGCTAGGCAAATTGTAGAGCGACTCGAGCGTGCGCACTCTCCCAGAGTGACTTCCATTCAATGTAGGTACACTCAGAACTTGTAGAATAGAAACAAGACCCACCTGACTGAGTGGTTAGGATGCCCGCTTGCAGGAATTACGAGCTGTGCTTGAATTACGTCGAGTCAGTTCGTTCGAGTGAGTCCACTGAGAAGCTCTCCTGCACCGTCAGCATACGCGTCCCGATCTCCCCGGGACGCACATGATGACGGTGAAGGAGAGTCTGCGCCTTGTCACCGATATCCTCCGATTGTGGGCTGAGCTCAATTTTCAATGGAGCGCGTTTCGACCCTCACAAGGCGAGCTCAATTATCGTGAGCTTGACACAGGCCTTCGCTAGTAGAGTGCCATAAGGCTCACGTTCGTACCTCGATGCCTTCGAACAAATGCTGAGGAGGTGAACGGAGATGAGAATTCGATGAGTTACCACCTCACCACGCAGGCGAGATCGGTTGATTGATCGAGCTTGGTTATTGCACTTGTACGCCCATTTCACCTCAATGACCTCGACGTGGTCGCAACAAGCTTTTGAGAAAGGAAAAAATGTCATCGCGGCGTAGTTGCATGCAATGAGCGTTTCATGCCGACTTTAGAGATCTTCATCCCGGAAAAGATAGAATAAACCACCTTACGCGAGGCGTCGGGCGGTGAACAGCTACAGGATCGCCTATGCTGACAGCTGGATGCAACGTTCTAGCGACATCGAGGGTTAAATTCGTGCGGCCTTGAGCCAGCTTTTGTGGAGCAGCCGACCTCGGAACACCAAGGCTCCAGGCCCAACTCACAAGCACACTGGCAACTGTAAACTTTACGCCAGTAGCAATGAGATTGTGTCAGCACGAGACGTGGGGTTCACGTTTCCGAGATGAACCTGGATTGTCGCCGTTGAGAACGAATGTGCGAATGCCGCATTGGAGGGTCTGCTGTCCCCATCGGAACATGACATATTATCGAAATACACCGTCAAAGACCAGCAAAGCGGCTCTGGCGATACGAGCGACCCTATGTACGAGACAGTGAAGATAGATAGGTGAACTTCATTTTGACCATGCAGCCCATGCGGTGGTTCGGTTGACGGTTACATGTATGCGCGTGAACTGAGCACCGAACGCCAGAAATATTTGACGAGCCTTGACGCAATGAGCTGTCATCAGGGATTGGTCGCTTCGTTTTTGACGGCAGCAATATCCATATAATGTTGGTGCATGATAAAACATATGCGAGGTCTTCAAAGGAGTCCGACTCAGAACACGAATGAACCCGAATCAACTCACCATAAAGAATATTCCATATCCTGATGTCCAGTGATTTGAGCGACCTCAACTCTCATACATCCCTACAACCAATTCGACCTAAAGAAACTCTGCAGAAAGGGCGCACCGCAGCATGAGATTTGATTTAGGCTCGATGAGTCCACAACCACATCTCACTGATCGCGATCCATCCACATGCCCATAAGCGTCCTCATAGACAATGTAGCTTATTTGACAATGTGTTTGAATGAAAGGCCAGTGTGGCCAGTGATTCAAGCCTTGCGAGCGCGTATTGACGTTCCAAGCTCAAGGGCAGCGCCATCAAAATTTGACGTTCCCGGGAAGCACATCCGGACATCCCGCCATGGCGAACAGACGCATGGCTCCTGCACTGACGTTCGCCTAAAAGCGTTCAACGTCAGTGTACTCTTGATGGGCGTCGCTGAAGCCAGAAGTCCTGTTCCGAAGCATGCTGGCGATTACACCGATAAGCAATTGGTCGTATTCGACTTGAACCAGATGCTTCCGGCTGGTTGGAACCCCAGTCGACGATTTCGAGGAATTTTGAATCGGCCATTGGTGAGTACGGGTCCTCATGCCAGCAAAAGCACAGTATTTTGCCACCGCACACCATCCCGACCGTATCGGCAGTAACAGAGAGCTAATGAGAGCTTGAGCGGCGATTATCGCTTTTTTCCTGGCTTCTTGCGGTTCATAGTCCAACTGCCTTTGCTACTGGGGAAGGGAAGAAAAACGAGAGCTCGTATCGCAGAGAGAGGTGGTAGCTGATAAAGTCCCGGTTTCGCCGAGTTGGGCTCGCTTGCGAGGCCTGGGGCGCTCGTGCCGCCTCGTGGCACAGATGCTCTCAGACTTTGACCATCTCCGTCCATCTCTCTGCTCGGCCGCTACCATCATTCCTGCAACTCGACTCTACTTGCGCTCTGTGGATCTGCTATACCCAACGTCACAGTCGACGGCCATGAGCGGGCGCTATATATATCTATGCCAAAACACCGAGCATCTTTGCTGAAGTTACGGTCTGAAAAACCTGCTTTTGCTCTGCGCAGGTGCTGGAGCTCTGTTTCATTTATCGGACGGCTCGGATTCCACGGATACGCCGCAGTCTTGTCGAGAAAGCCTGGTCATTGGTCTTCCACGATAATAGTCAAATGAACTGCCTGATCAGTGAGCGACTTTCGACGGTTCTGACTGCTGAGTCGCAGGAAAACGCGCTCAGTAAAAAAAGACCCATCGTTCCCAATATATCTGATGCCGGTCTCTGCCGTGGACCATGGAGTCTCCAAATGCTCGCCCGTTCGCTGAGAGGTAAGCCGATTGCCATCTTTCATCTCTGGAAGGAAGCAAGGCAGCAGCCTGGGGCTGCTTTGCGAATTCTTCTCGCCATGCCTCTCGAGCTGCCTGCCCGTCGAGGAATTCAAGCAACAGGATCCGGCGAATGATAGCCCGTGATCTGATATGAACCTACCGGCATCCGCTTGCGTCTGCCTTTGCGCTAGTCCGCACATCCTGCTGGACTGTTGCAAATCGCTATCGCACGCGTGCAGTAGCGGTTCGCCAGTCCTGAGCACGTTGTTATCCATCTGTCTCCTAAAAGACTAAAAGATTACGAGCGTGACATATCGTGACTATGTCACGTCACGCCGATAGTCACGGTAGTCTCGAGGATGCCACCGACACCTGAGGGCACCATACTCACGTCCTGCCCAAAGGGCCGCAGTATTAATTTCGTCGTGCGGGAGACCGGTGGATCAGCTACGTGGCCACAGAGGCTGGCCATTTAGCTGTAATGTCCTTTTTCCGATCCATATCCGTGAATATACCGTTTATGCACTCACTGCATTCCCGCACATTCTGGATGGATGACTGAAACATAAATGGCATTGCTGATGGCCTGGCCTCCAACTCGTACTTGACGATTACCTGTTGTCATTCTTGTTCAATAAGGCCAAGTCCTTTCATTGTCGTGTTCATTTCTTACCTTTTTCTGCTCGTTGCAATTTATGAGGAGTAAGCTGATATGTTACGGGCAGCTATTTTCTTGCTCAGATTATGATTTTCCCCACGAAAGACTATCAAGGTTCTAGGGGTCACGAACTAAGTTGAATAATATAGTGAAAATGACTTTGTGGATTTGTGGTCTCATGGCCCGTCAATTCCTTGGTCCAGAATTTTTCGACGTTCCTTCAGGAACGGCATTCCTCACATAATCTCTCTCTTACTCCTTGTGTTCGTCCATCTCCGTCCTTCGCCTCCGAGCTCTGCAGCTTGGAGCACTAGCCGCTTACACAACCCGTGCCCCGCAAAATCCGTCCGTGCGTCTCAGCCGTCGACGGACAGCCGCACGTCATGTCTCGGCCTTCGCCTACCTCTCGTTTACCCAGCTATAGAGAGAGCCACCTCCGCCGCTTCCACCCGTACCCGCGCGTCCAGCGTCGCCATGATCAATATACGTATCAACCAGCGACAGACGTCGTCCTTCCCGCGGTTGCGGCGCAAGGTTTGGGTGCGTCATCGAGCATCCGAACGACCGCTAGTGCTGCCTCGACGGAGGAAAGTGTTCTCGAGGTCCCGCCTGCTGTAACTCTCGTGCGTCGGCACCACTGTCGAGTCCACGAGCGGCTGATGGAGAACGTCGAGCAGCGCCCGGAGGTACACGTCAACGGCAGCGCTGACGAGGACGTGTCGACGTTGAATCTTTCTGTGGATGCTGCGCCGGATGTGCGTCGACGAGGGTGGAAGTCGTATTTCCTCAGAATCGTCTCAGTCTTAAAGGTGAGCCAGGCCACCAGCTGGCATGTTACATGCATAATGGAACGGTTTGTGGGCGCAGAACATCATGAGCACCGTCCTCGACGCAATCATGAAGCTGAACGGGCAGTGTCCAGCAGAGCCTCTATCACGCTCCAGCCCTGCTTAGAAGATGTTTCGCGTCGTATAAAACCTTTCCATCAAGTTCATCTGGCCCAATTTCCCGCTCACAATACCGCGTCTATCTGTCTCAAAAGCATATTCTACGGATATTTTTTTGTAATATCTTGCTTGCTGTCGATTGCTCTGCTGCTTTATTTTCACGAATTCGCGGATGGAAAGGATTCACGGAATGGGCTCTTACTTGCTTCATTTTAGGTTCTAGATTCTAGCATGATTGTTCATCGGCCTAAACGTTCACATTCAATGCATGCACAGTTGACATTAATTCCATTTTGTCCCAATGGTCAGGGCATCTTGTCGTGGTCTCGACCGTGCATGTCACCAGATAATCGCGGCAGGGATACCACATCGCATGGGAATGCGAAGATTATTTGTTATGAAGCTATGGTCTACGTCCTGCACACGCGCAGTAGAAATGCGTATAGATGCGCAGAGCGAACATTGCGAGGAACTGGCAAGTCCTATAGTGTAGAGGGACAAGCTGATAATTATAATACCACAGAACGAACGTTATGACGGGAGTCCACGCGTAAGAACCACTGGAAATGAACTCGTTAGGTCTCCAACCAGCGGGTAGTAATGTCAAAGCTTAAGAAGAGAGGTCTAGGTACGTGCATAGGCCGCCCATGCATACAGCACATGCCAAACGAGCGCATATACGCGATAAAGTATGGCACAAGAAAACCTAGGGCACGACAGTAGCCAATGCAATTCTCGAATTGCTCCACAACCAACTTCCGATTTCCCATGAACTTGCGAGGCCACGAAGACTTCGGGATCAGGGCATATGGCACCGTTCTACAATTATTTGGCACCCTCAGAAGGCAACTTCCATTGCGGCGGTCGTGTGAGTTGAGGACTCTGACCAAGTAGGGGTGTGCACGTTCAGGTACACACCGCCATCTGTTTCTTAGCCGCTGAGACTTGTCTTCCTGACCTTCTCGGCTGCCTCCTTCCATGCGAAGCCATTGAAGCTTTCGTTCCCTCCACCCTATTGAAACGAATCGCAACTAGTACGCTTAAGTGCTGATCGCGTCTGACAGAGTACCAAAATCACGGTCACGTGAACCATATAACGTTCATTAGTACGCGTTCTGCAGTGCCAGTGCTGCTCGAGGCTCTCTCCGTACATTCGAGATACCCGGCTGCGATGTCTCTCTAAGAATCATTTCAGACTGAGCGCCACCCTCCCTTCCTCCGATAAAGCTCGAAAAGTTTATGCGTCCGCAAAAGCTCTTGTGAAGGCCATTCTCGCGGATCGCGAAGCATAAGCGTGCCCTGTGACTGACGGCAACGACGCTTCGCGCCAGTCGCTCGTTGAGCTCGCGCAATGTGTGAAGAATTCGGAGGAGGGGATCGGCGCGTCAGGGAGTAAGACGACGGTGAGTGCAATAGCATGGTTCTCCGTGGCTGCATTGAATAATCCAGAGCTTGTACAAGGGGGTACTTTAAAATCAGTAATGCCTGCAAAAGATGACGAATTAGTGCGTTGCAAGTGAAGCCCACGAGAACGGCAGCAAATGAGTCGACAGAAATGAAAGCACCCCATCGCAATGTTCTGTAGCACGTCATATAGTACCACCTTCACGCTTTATGAATCAAGATATTGCCGAGCTTCTGCACGAGGCCAAGTACGGCCATCCCACACGATGGACCGCTGACGATCGACCACTGCGACTCAGAAGGCGCTAGCGCAGTGGAGAAGCGAATATATCTGTTGCGACTTTATAGCATTGTGCTGTCAGACAAGGCTGGTGGACGTGCAACGTCCATTCGAGGCAGGCGGATCTGTACGAATGATGAGTCTCACTGAGGGCGCAGCTCATTTAGCCCTTGAAAGCACAATCACTTACCTCAAGGTATTCCCCCCTCCCCCCGGGTTTCTTTGTCGAACTCAAAACAATCTGATACGTACAAATCATCAACTGACTGCACAAAAACTACGACTGACCAGCCTTTAGTTCATTATTACGCACAAGGCAACTTCTGCATGCCGCTCATGCGCGGCGAAGCCGTACACGCTATCAAGATCCTGGCTGCAATTCATGGATTAATCGATTACTTGTGCAAGTAAATCAGACCAGACGTCGTGACAAGATCGCTATGCCGCACAATGCTGGAACAACTTCGCGGGACAGAGGAATCATAGGATATCTACCTCCGAATGAACACTTAAAAGAATGATATAGTACAGACGAGAACATGAGATGTATGCGACGAAGAAGCACCGGGGGACAAACATTAAGACAGAGAGAGAGGATCCGTGGAGGTATGGCCGTATACATCAAGTGGGAGACGGCTACACAATATGTGCGAAAAGTGAGCGTGCATGCGTGAGATGGGAGATCTGTGCGTGGAGAAGAGACAGATATGCCGATCGTTAATCGAGAACAGAGAGCTGCCAGGACGAGCGAGCAACACGAGCAGGGAGATCTACGGCTGGATCGGAGGAACACGGTGCGTTCCGGCTTGGGATGGAGAGAGGGAGTCCCTTGAGGTGCGCCAGGCATCACTAACCGAATGTAGACAGAAATATTGTGCGGCGGGCTCACCGCTTGCGCTTCCCGTGAGCTGCATCTCCGACGTCTCCGCTCCCACTAGCCTCGTCGCTCATACCTTCACCGCTCCCGTCACCCTCGAATTCCGAGACATCGCCCATTGCAACGTTCGGTGCAGACATGGGTACCGGAGAAACGGACGCGTCCCTCGCTACCACATGTTCGACCTCACTCCACTGCTGTGGCATCATGAGCGGAGAGCCCTCCGGCAGGGGCGGCAGGGCGGCCACATCCTCCATTTCTACATCGTCGACCACGCTCATTGCATCCTGCGGCATCAGAAACATATTGCCATTCGCACCCGTAGATGGTCGCCGTCCACGCGACATCATACCAAGCCGCGTGTCAACCTCCACCTCCGTCTCCGCACCGGCGTCTCTATCGCGCTCGCGCTCACGCTCCCGGCTGCCGCTGTCGCCTGTGTTAGGGCGCTCCGGCAGCGGAGCTATTGCGGCAGAGGAGGGAAGTGCCGCCGAGATACCTTCCACGGAATCGGTGTCGACTTCTCCTTCGATTTCAACCTCGACATCCTCCTCGAGATTGGCAAATGTCCGGCAGAGCGGGCAGGAGAAAGCAGGATGATGGGTTTCGAGCAATGGCCGAATGCATTTGTAGTGGAAAGCATGCGAGCATGGGGCAATAAAAAGCGCCTGGTTGATGGTCACGGCAAACAAACCTACACGAGCTCAATTAGAGTAGTTGGAAAAAGTCCTGGGGAAGGACACTCACATATACAACAGTCTGGAAGGGCCGATTTCGGGGCAACCTTCTTCTCCGTCAGTCCCTGAGGGACTGCGATCGCCTTGAGCTGCTTGAGGGCATTCGCGCTAGGACCGTTGATCAACATGCGATCGCAGCAATCGCTCTCCATCGCGCACTCACTTGAATGGGTTCGCATGCGCCTGCCACTCCCGGCCCATCTCGATCTTGATCTTAACGCACTTGTATATATCCTCGTTCCCGCCCTGGTAGTCGACGCCGAGTTGAAGCAGGTCACCATCGCGCAGCTCGTTCGGGCGCGACTCGGTGCCTGCGGGCGAGAGCCGGACGTGGTTGAGAAACGTGCCGGAGCTTGACTTGGTATCCTTGATTAAGAACCGGCCGCCTCCCTCAACCCAGATCTCGGCATGGGCGCGCGAGACGACCTTGCTCTTGAATGCGAGCTTGTTCGACCCAAGCGCATTGGCGGCTGCGAGCCCTAGCCCTGAACGGTCGGTGAAGCGGCCAATGCGGAGCGGCGGGTCGCCCTCACGAACATCACGGCAGATAGGGTCGAATCTGAGCGAGGTGCGAGATGCGAGGTGAGGGACGAGGCGGATGCGGTGAGTCTGGAATGCTGGCGCTGGCACACCCGGTGCTGAGACGGATGCGCCCCCTGTCGTGCGTGCGGCGGCCACTGCAGGTGCCTGGGGCGTGGCGGTGGTGGCCAAGGTGCCTGCCGATCGTCGTCTTCGGAGCATTTGGGTGAAAGCGGGGGCGATGTTGGACTGCGAGGTGGACGTCTGTATGTTGGGTGCTGCGGCTCGTCGTCGGTGGCCTGAAGATGGGTCGGAAGAAGGTAGAGCAGGTGGTGGAGAGTCTCGTGGTGCGGCTGACTCGCCGAAAGCTGGAGGTGATGGATGAGACTGCGATGCTCCTCGAGGCCTGGATCGGAGAAAGCTGCCTAAAATCGACTGCCTTGCTGCGATGGCCTCGTTGCCTATCGACAATGGGTCCATCGATGTCGACGTTGTCGTGGTTGTCGACAGAAAAAGCGGCTGCACCTTAGCGCCGCGATGGGCTGGCGGAAGGCTACTTAAATTGAGCACCACCGTCGATGCCCCGCGCTTCGAGGCACCCCTGCGAGCGTTGAAACAGCAACTTTGCCGAAGACGGTCGAGAGGAGAGATGCACAGATACGGTGCAATGACAAGGCACCGTTTCGCAAACTCAAGGACTGGAAGATCCCAAATGTGGGCTTATCATAGACTTACCTAGTACATAAACAGTTGTTTCATTAAATAAAGGCTATGCAATGCGATACAGTATGCACAGGAATAGAGGTACAGTAATGAAGAAAGCAAGCAAGGTCGACAGCAGTGTGATTGCGTAACAGAGGATAAACGATGAGGGAGAGTAGTAGGTGATGGTATGTGTACACTGGAGACAAGCGGGATGCAAATGATCAAATGAGTTGACGATAGACAACGTCGTCGAAGAACTCCAAGACGGAAGGCTGTTTTCCAGAGGGTCAGAAAGAGCAGCATGTGGCATACTGTCGCCAGCGAGTCAGGAAGCAGTGGGATGGTAGTGGGTGGAGAACGGCTCCCACTCGCAGCCCAATATACAGCCTAATAATATCAAGTCTATACGAGTACACGAGTGGTACAGAGCAAAGAGATCTAATTTAGTTCCCAAGAACATATTTACGGTAGACGATAATGCACCACACCTCGGTATAGGTCTTCCTTCCATCCTGAATCCACCAGACAGACTGACAGGCGCTATGCGTCGACGTAGAGGAGAATGGGCTCTCCCACGCCGTCAATCTCGGGTATCACGCATTTAAGGTCGAACGCCTTCGCAAGGACGATCTTGAAGATCTTCTGCACGTTAATGGAGGCTGATGTTGAGCAGAAAATTAGCGAGGCGTGCATGGCTTTCGCGAACCGCTTTGCCTAAGAGGTACTAAATAAGCATCCGCCGGACGAGTGGCAGGGCCGTAGCACGAGGTCACTGACCTGCTTCGTGATTTCCTCTTGTTCGTCTCGAGGGAAAGTCGAGAAGGTATCAAATTTGGTTCCGACTAGGAAAGGTATAGCAGTCTGCCAAATGCAGGTTAGCTAGTTGCGGAGACCAACCCTAACAATGTAGGAAGGGAAGAAGGCACACAATATGGTAAGAGCCTCATTATACATACAGTCCGCGCTATCGTAAAGAGATTAGGACTTTGCACCCACCTTGTTGAATCCGCGAGCTTGCCGGTACCATTCCTTCACGGAGTTCAATGTCGACTTTCGTGAAAGGTCAAACATGAACAGAATGGCAACAGCATCATTGCAAACGAGCGGCAACATATTCACGAACTCCCGCTGTCCACCAAGGTCCCATAACGAGAACGTGATTGATGTCCGCCGCACTGTGATGGTCTTCTCCATGAAGTTCACACCTATTTCGGCGTAAGGGCTACCGGGAAACGGTTGAGACTTGAGAGGATGCTCACCTAATGTCTGGATATAATCCTCATCAAAGTGGCCCTCCACGTACTTCACCATCAAACTCGTCTTTCCGATCTGCGAGTCCCCCAACATGCCTACTTTGATCACCACACTGCATCACATCCAAGCCGTACGTTCAATCTACTGATCAGCGAACGCGCCGTTACTTGAACTTCACCTGTTCTGCTCAGCACCGTTGTCCATTGAGGACCGCGAGCCCTGCGCGCTAGGTCCCGCACCAGTCGACGATGACCCTGGCGATGACGCCGCCGCCGATGCCGACATGTCTCTCGCAGACGGATAAGGCACGCGAGAACCCGTGTAACCGCGTTCAGACGCGACGAAGGCTGGAATGGCCCGGCCGACGTAATTGAGAACGCAGAACTCGCGAAGGCTGAAGGAGATGTGAGAACGACGAACGCGTTTTAGATGATGGAGGGCGCAGGTTGAGGGCGAAGACTGGGAAGAAATGGTCTTCGGTCCCCGAGACAAAGCGGTCCAACAATGGATGGGTCGTCGACCGTCGTCGACCGGGTTGTACAAGGAAAATAAGCGTCCGGAGAGGCGAGCTCAGGCGTGGATATCAGCCAGCGACTATTCCGACTTAGACGCTCGAGGGTACCTGCTCCGGGCGCAGCAAGGTTGGTCTTTTGACCGTGACACTCTCCTGCATTAGCGCATATAAGAAGGCACATCATATGGATCTTTACGGCATGAAGTCCTCTCCCTCTTTATTGACTATCAACATATGCACGACAACGAAATAGGAAAGAAAAAGCGAACACTAACATTGTGCGGCCACTACATTTTGGACGATCATGTCGTAGGCCACTCAAATGGTCGGTTGCTTCGAGCGTTCTGGTTTCACTAGAAATGATTCTCCCAAGCATGCATCATCCTGTAAAAGCCTGATGTTGCCGCTCAGGCTTGACAGGTGATCAGATATATACAATTTTCATCTCAAGTCTTGTCTCCCCTAGACAGACCTATAAAATCGCCTTTTCTGAGGAAGCGACGACAGGATATCTCAAGTCTCAGTGAGCTCTACTATGTCTGCACAGCCTCGAAAGAGGTGAGTATACGATTTGAATCAGAATTTCTACCTTCTGCTAAAACATTCTCACATCATAGTTGAGCCCTCGGAACTACGCTGTTCTTGCTGGCCCAGTAGTGCTTCCGAATGCAACCTATAAACGCCAGAAGTTGAAGAAACAGGCTTTAGACAACACACGCATAGAATTACAGAATCTTATCCGGATGTTCCGATCTGCAATGACTAGCAGCGAGGTACCATGAGGTATGTACATCGGTTTTCAATCTAACGTGATGTCCGGTCTGAGTGATTGATTTCGACCAAGGCAATGTCCACTTGCCAGGATGGTCCGGAGCCATAACGAGATTTTTGACGCTCTCGCATTCAACAGTTCCCATAAAATCTCAAAGGCCACAGCAAGCGAGAACAACGAGATCCTCCAAATCCGAGTTGTTTAGACTCGCAAGCTTCGCCCGATCAGCTACGACAACGAGTAAGAAGGCAGGATTATAGGATCTCTAGATCTTCAGCTACGCCGCGGTCGTAACATGACTTGCAATGCTAGAGCTTGGACCGTCGGTTTTCGGTGCGAATAACGTGACTCGATACTCGACTCCGAGCTATCTCATGTAGGTCGCCCCGCTCAAGCAAAATCGAGCTTGCGGTCAGTGCTCACGACTCCCTGGTCTGAGTGAAGAGCCGAAATGCTCAATAGAAGTTATCTACTGCAGAGCACCATGAAGAAACAATCGATCAAGCTCAAGTGGAGAGACTTTCTCGCGCTCCATCATCTCTACAAAGGCTCATGGGTGACAACACGCGAATGGCATTTTTCATCATCTCGTGCGCACATAATGGTGAAGATCTGTGCGTCTCAGCGCGACAGCCATGGCGCTGAGGACTCTGTTTTAAGTCACTCTAGCATATACTTCAACCAAAGTTGTCCTTGTTCTGCGGCGGCTCAAAGTTATTGGGCTTAAACACCGCGGCTTAACGATGACAAAACCCTCCGCCTCTATCGTATTCCTTTCGTGAACTGAGCTGTTGCAGTTGCTAACATGATGCGACCATGAATACTGCACGTCCAACAATCGTGCATCGAAAGAACCCTGCTGCCATCGTACCCCGCAACAAATATGAAATCCGAAGATCGTTGCTCCGTGTACGGTCGACGAGCTTCCTTCGTTCCTTTCCATTTATCGAGAATCCTCGTACCTGTTCGCGCATGCAGGGAAGACTCGCTAATCGTGATGCGTGGGAAGAATTTGCCCAGGGTGGCATGCCATACGTGATCCCCAGGTGCGCTCGTGCTGCATATGGTACACACCCATGTTCTCCTGCAACGACCATGCTGTCCGACTTCATATCACGCTCATCATCTGATAGAGACAGTGGGCTGGACGGTGGCTGTCGTAGTTGGATCCGCGCGTCCTTGTACTTATGCTCCGGCCTTCCGGTGTTTAGCAAGATCGTTTGATACGCAGGATGGAAGTCGAGTTTATCGCTGTGCCGCACAGTGGCGGACATCAATTTCGCATGAAGTCCTCGATGCTACAAGCTTCGCAGTTCTCATGCACAAGACTCGAATAGCGATTAGTTGCAATGTACGTCACATTCTATGCTGTTTATTGGCCAAAGCTGAGTGGACACAGAGCATGTCTCTGTGTGAATGCTCGGCGATAGGTACCAATAGTGTGAAGATCGTCTCTCATAGTTCACAAAGATGGATTCCTCACATGGCACACTATCAGGTACCGGCCCTTCAGCATGAGAGTAAGACATTCCGCTGACTGGTATCTCAACATATGCACTTCCCGGTATCACGGCGGTCGCAACTGCCGTACGCATGTTCGACCTGCATGGTGCCGTCTTTCAAGGTCACAACGCCCAATCCCGGCTCTCGTGCGCACCGTTGCTACGAGCTCGTTCACATCCTCGATACACAACATTCCTGTCACCGGTCTTATCGGCGAATCTTTCTGTGTTACTCGCTTCACAGAGCTCTCTATGGCATTTGATAACCTCTGGTATGCCATACATCAATTTTACGTTATCGAGGGGTCCCAATCAGTAATCTCGTTTGCCAAACAATCCGACCTCGCTTACAGCTTCCACGTGTCCTCCGTATAGACACCTGCGTTCATGCTCAACCGTTTTCGCCAAGACCGAAAGGGCGCATGGATCCATTTTTGTATCTCAGCCGTGCGATGCCAGCCTTCTCTGTGTCATGTTGCTCGACCATGCAGTTCAGGAGCCACAGTGGACGTGATATAAAAGGGCTCGCTGCATTCATAGCGGCTCTCCGACGTCTCTGTTCGCCAAGGTTCTCACCTGCTCGCACGTAGTGGTCGCTATTGTTTTCAGTGCTCCTTCCCTGCTATGGCGTGTTCGAAGGCATTCAATCGTCTCGTGTTCACTGCGACCATCGCGTTCGCTGCCCTCACTTGCGTGAGCGCGACGCAGGTCATGCAGCGTCCAGCGGATTATATGGATCCCCCAAGGGAGTATACAACAGGGGATCCTACTCCACAGGTAGTGAAGAAGAGGTCCAACGATGGTTACGTTCAAGCCGCGTACTTCACGAACTGGTCAGTCACGCCAGTCCTGCAGTATCCATACATTTCTTCCTTATCGTTTCACTCTCCCAGGGGCATATACGGCGCTAACTTCCGTGAGTACTTAATGAGTTGTGCAGGGACATATACTGAAACAATTAACAGAGCCGTCGAACATTACGCCGTCTGATCTGACGCATATATTATACGCATTCGCGGATGTTTCTCCCGATACAGGAAACATCTCGCTTACGGATACGTATGCCGATGAACAGGTTAGCATTGTACGATGCTTTCTCGGATGACTGGAACTGACATGGACACATCCAGAAACATTTTACTGGAGACTCATGGAACCAGCCTGGCAATAACCTGTATGGTTGTTTGAAACAGGTTGGCTGCTCTCGCGCACACTATGGCTAGGTTGCACCATGTTAACTTCTGGCCAGATGTACCTCTTCAAGTTGGCAAACAGGTGAGTCGACATTGGATTTTCACTTGGGCATCAATTGACGCCCAGCAGGAACCTGAAGGTCCTCCTCTCTGTCGGTGGATACACGTACTCGCAGGACGGCCATTTTTCGTTTGTCACCGACTCCGGTCTCCGCGCGAACTTTGTCACCAGTGCCGTCAGCTTCGTGGAGAACTTCGGCTTCGATGGTATCGATATCGATTTCGAGTATGCGAACACGCCTGCACTCGCGGAGGGATTCGCTGATCTTCTGACGGAACTGCGCGCCGGATTCGATGCGCTGGCGACGAAGAAGGGCGACACTGTGCCATACCAGATCACGGTGTGTAAACGCGTGAATAAGAAAGAATCCAAGGCATGCTGAGAGCGCTTTTCACAGGCTGCATCGCCTGCAGGTTACGATAATTACCAATACTTCAACGTGCCGCAAATGGATGCCGCGCTCACATACTGGAATCTAATGGTAAATGAATTTGTCTTATGTGACTTGACGGCCATTTTCTGACCGTTCGATCAGGCATATGATTATGCTGGTTCCTGGCTGAACATCGTAAGTGTCTTTCACCGCTGAGAATGCCGTCGCCACTGACTACTACCGTCTTCGGTTAGACGGCCAATCAAGGTAAGGGGCCCGTGGTTCTGAGATCCTGCGTATGGCTAAGACGTCGTCCAGCCAACCTGTATGACCATCAACTCACTAATGTCTCCACTCACTTGGCACTCGAATGGTACATAGCAAATGGCGCTACTCCCAGCAAAATCACGATGGGTGCGCAGCTTTCATATCTAGATCAGTCTATCATCCTCAGATGCCGCAGGTATTCCCTTGTATGGACGCTCATTCGAGAAAACGGCTGGCATCGGCGCTGCGTACAATGGGGTGGGTCTTCTATTCAACTGAGTCGACATGACATACAGTTACTAAAAAGCGCTGTAGGTTGGTCCCGGAACACTGCAGGCAGGCATCTATTCCTACAGTGATCTTCCACTTGCCGGCGCAACGGTTCGTCCAAGCAGTCCCCTATCTGAGGCCATCTACTGAGAGAATTGCTCTAGGTGTACGAGAACTACACGGACGTCGCCAGCTATTCCTATGATTCCAGCAGCATGGAGCTCGTGTCGTATGACACTCCGAGCATCGTCACGAAGAAAGCTCAATATGTCATGGATAACGGGCTAGCCGGATCGATGTTCTGGGAAGTCAGTAACGTGCCTGAATTTTCATGTTCAGGCTCACAAATTTGTGGTTCTAGTTGTCCACCGACAAGGTTGGCTCTGAGTCATTGGTCTACACGGCATCGCAGGTCTATGGCACGTTGGATCAGACAGCGGTAAGCTGGAATCGATTGTTCCAGGCGGCATTGAGGCTGACGCGTCCCGTATGATCCAAGAACCACATCGAGTAAGTGGTATGAGCTGCATGAATCACTCAGATCGGCTCATATTACTCCGCAGCTACTCCGATAGCGAGTGGACTAATATCGCCAACAACATGGGTGAATCAACTACTTCTTCTAGCGTTGCTCCATCTTCAACCGCACCCACGCCGACATCGTCGGCTGCTTCGTCGGCTGCTCCTACCACGACTGCTTCTAGTCAATGCAGTGGTGTCGGAGCATGGAGTGCAACGGTAAGACTTCGCATTGCTATATTGCATACTTTGGACAGTGATTGACTGCAATCGCAGGCTACATACACCGGAGGAGATACCGCAACATACGGCGAGTGTCTCGAGCAGATTACAGACTAAATACTCACGGAAGTTGAATTTGTAACAGATGGTGACTTGTGGACGGCGAAGTGGTGGACCTCTGGAGACACGCCGGGGGGTTCAGGTGAATGACATTGCTTTCTGACATAGATTAAAGGCTAATTCATCTCAATGCAAAAACAGCGGGTGTCTGGACCGATGATGGTGCATGCTGAGGACTCTTAATACCCGTCTATAGCTTTACGAATTTTTTATGGGGGCCTCATTTGCGTGGTTGAAGCTTGCGCTCGAGTTGCGCGAGGTGTGCGTGTCAGCGATTACAATGTACAACAATACAAGCAGGGTTTCCAAAGATGATCTCCATAAAAGCCGGCAAGCACACGAGAAGGACCGACAAAGCTGCAACTACAGGTATAACGATGAGCAGAATATGACTGAATTCGGCCGTTCAAGCATTTCCGATGCCTTGTCGAACTTTTGCTGCAACTCGTCGTTGCCGATCACTTTTGCTGCTTGGCTCATCTGTCGGATGAGCTCCTGCAGTCTCCGAAAAACGCGGATTATGTTGCCTTCGAACTGGTCCGTGAGCTGTTGGGATCACAGCAACTGTTGTCAGCTCGATCGGCCGTTCTGGATCGCGGAAAACGAACCTTGCAGATGTCGGAAAACGACGCGCCTCTACACCATTGCACGACAGCATCCATAAGTTCTACCTTGAAAGACTGGACATATTCGTCCTCGTTGACAGGTAGCTTCGACTCCTTCGAAACCTTGGCTATTCGTCGTGCCATCTCTTGCATCGCGCGTAACGGCGCCGCGAGCTCTTCTTTGAGCTTGGTGACTTGTTCACTCTGCGTGAGATGGTTGACTTCATCGCCGATACATATGTAAGCGTATGATATCGCTGACCTTCTCTGTGAAGACGAAACAACTGAGCAGTCCTGCACATTGTTCAGGTGAGAGCGGGTTGAAGACGCCGTTGAAGATCAACTCGGTCAGCAGCAATTCGTCGCCAGTGCTGATCTCGCATGCCACCCGTCCCTTCATGTCAACAATATCCGCCGATGTCGTGAAGCCCAGTCGTCGGAGGACACGTTTCCTGCACTTCAGCTCCTCCATCTGCAGCACATCGTTCGTTGCTTGTACCCGCTTCTTCAACTCTCGGATATGCGCCTGACATTCCTGCTTGCGTGCATACAATGTGTACAACTCGGGCAAGCGGGGATCCTTGTGTAATGGACTTGAATACAATTTGCCTTCCATGATGCTAATTTTCTACGCAGATAAGTTAGACAGGGTCTCAATATGCACGCAAATGAAGCTGTACCTTCACAAGTGCCTTGAACTTTTCGTCCTTTATATCCATGTCCGTGACGGGGTCAAGCAGAGGGATACCATCTGGAAAGCGACGCTGAATCTCTTGTATACTCTTCAAAGCGGTTTCTCGAGCAGATAACGGTCGAATATCCTTGGGCAGGTATATGCGTAATCGGCTGATAGACTCGACGGTAGACAAAAGCGCGGGAATCACAAGAGGTATCCCTGGCATGCCTGGAGGGCAAGGCCGGACCCCTCCTGGAGTTGGAGTAGTGATGTTGCGGTCCTTTGGTAACGTAGACGAGGCGTCGCAATTGATCAAGACGTTCAGGATGTATTGTTCATGAGGAGGGATGTCATCCAACCCAGCCACAGGTACGTTCTGTGGAATTGGTTCATCAGCGATCTACCCCGTGAGTGGCAATGGCAATCATTCTGACCTTCGGAGGGAGTCGTTTGTGATAGTCTATGACAGTTCCCCAGCCCCAATCATCTGTCTTTGTCTTAATCCTCACCAAACGGCCAGGCTGAAGGAACGGAAGACTATAATGTGGATGCGTGACCACTTCTTTGAAGTCGGCAGCCATCTGATCGAGCTGTTGCCGGTACTCGTAATATTCGGCTACCAGCTCCTCATCAGGTACCGCCATCGATTGCTTCCGCTCTTCTTCACGTCGCAGCTCTAACATCATTAGAGGAGGGAAAGGATGTATTGAATAGGCACGCTTACCATCTTCGAGGACCGGTATGCCTGCGCTGGCTTGGAACTGGAAGAAACAACGCTCGAGCATATACTCCGGGCTTATACCCTCCACCTTCATCAGGTTGAGGATCATGTTGTAGCCCAGATGGAACGCAGAGTCGAGGCGGTCTGCCTCTCCCTTGATCATCTCCTTCGCTGAGCTCGGCTCGAGCTTCTCGTCGCACATCATGATGACGACACCGCGGTCATCAAGACCACGACGTCCCGCACGCCCAGACATCTGGATGTATTCACCAGACGACAGGTTGCGAAACTCGCGGCCGTCAAACTTGCGCGCTGCGGTGAAGACGACTGTCTTCGCGGGCATGTTCAAACCGATGGAGAATGTCTCGGTCGCAAACAGGACCTTAATGAGACCCTCTTGGAAGAGGATCTCGATGACTTCTTTCAGGATCGGTAGGAGACCACCGTGGTGAATGCCGATGCCACGCTTGAGCAGAGGGAGCAGGTTCGATATTTGGGGGAGTTTGCGGTCGTCGGGAGAAAGATTGTCGATGGCGTTATTGAAGATGTTGGTCACGAGGTCTTGCTCGTCCGTCGTATTGAACTCGAACTTCGACATAGTGAGTGCCAGCGCTTCGCATTCGCGCTTGCTGAAAGCGAAAATGATCACTGGATTGTAATTCTTCAGCATGATCATCTTGACGATCTTCTGAATGTCTGAAGGGCCTGCGATACTTTCAACGTGCATTCGAGACCGCTGGAAAATGAACGCTACATACCCTTTTTCTCTCCTCCTTTCTTTGACTTGCCCTTTCGACCCTTGCCGCTCTTCGGATCAGCGGGGTCATCGCCCATTCTATCCTGCAGCATACCCATGGCTTTGCTGAAGTTGTCCTCTCGGAATTCACCCTTCTCGTTGAGCACCAAGAAAATGCCTTCGCCGCCAGCAGGAAACAGATAGTGCTGCAGAGGCGTTGGGCGGAAATCCGTATAGACAACATGACAGGGCTGCTCGTGTGATTTGCATATCCATTCTGCAAACTGCATCGCGTTTGGGATCGTAGCAGACAAGAAGACATAGCGGACGGAGTGCGGGAGGAGAATAATTGTTTCCTCCCACACGACTCCTCGCTCCTTGTCCCGCATGTAATGTATCTCATCGAATATGACCCATGCAACTTCACGCATGATCTCGGAACCGCGGTACAGCATAGATCGCAGAATCTATGGACTCAGTCAGCGTTTGAAGAGTTCAAGACATTGTGGCTCACGCACTTCCGTGGTCATCACGAGACATGTCGCCGATGGATTGATGGTTACGTCTCCGGTCATCAATCCGACGTCGCCAAATTCAGCCAGTAGCTCGCGATACTTTTGGTTACTCAATGCCTATGATATTATTCTATAACTGGTGCAGCGGTTCAAAGAGTGCGAATACTAGCCTTGATGGGACTTGTGTAGATGACACGCTGCTTGTTCTGAAGACATTGAGCGATGGCATACTCGGCTACGACCGTCTTCCCTGCACTGGTATGCGCGGACACCAGCACACTCTCATTACGTTGAATTGCATGGACAGATACTTCCTGGAAGGGATCAAGGGTAAACTTGTACTCTTTTGCAGGCTGTTGTGGTGGAATGTGCTGCGATATTGGTACATATGGGTAACCAGGCGGAACGGCTACTTGATGTCGGACCTGTGGTTAGACTTTAATAATGCAGCACGCTCAGATCGAGTTCAACATGACGCACCTGATGCCTGAGTTCCAAGCGGCTTCCAGTTTCCGTTGCACCAGTAAGACCAGCGCTCGCTGCAACCTCTCTCTTCGCCTCGATCTCAACGTCGTCGACTACCAGGAACTTGGGTTCCGACGTCCGCTGCTTTTTTGATGCAGGTTCCGTTGCTCGATTTTCGTCGGCCTGCGCCCGAGTGACATCTCCGTCAAGTGACTGCGGTGTTCCAGCCGATGAAGTGGACACCGCTTTCCGTTTGTTTGGAGACACAGCCTGTCGATTCGATGTATTATCATCAACAGTTACGTCCGCTGTCCCGACACCTTGCGGTTTTCGAGATACTACCTCGGGCTCGGGCGGTGCATCATCCAAGAACGAGAACAGATCATTCGAGCTCATGTTATCGTTGGCGCCAGAGTGCCCAGGAGGTATGGACCAGATCGTCAAAGTAGAGAGAGGAAGGGAAGCTGCGACGGCAAGAGTACGAGCTGAGAGGCCTTGCGCGAAGTTGTGGCCCTCAACGAAAATCCGTACAAGGTATTGTCACGTGACTACTGCTCGAATCAGACGCCCGTCGGTATACATGGTGATTTAGGGACTCGATTCATCATCGTGCATCATCATGATAGACTTTTGTACAAATCATCACCATTCAATATTCAGTGCTCAGTGCTCCGATGCCCCGCTCCGCTTTATTTTGATAGAAACCTTGGCTCCTAGCGCGATGAACAACTACGGCAAAGCCGTATCGTTTTTACAACCGTAGCCGCTGGCAAATCTTGGCCAGTAGTAGTATTTTCAAGGTCTTGCAAACTCGACGATTACTGACCTCGAGATTGAAAAAAAATTCTTCGGAGCACTTCTCCAACTACATTGCGCATGATGATCTAGACCATCATGCGTTGGGCCAATATTTTGAGGTACGTCTTACTCGACGCATTGGAATGAGGCGGCTCAGCTTCCGAATACTCTTCTAGGCAGGTTGTCGCGCGAGTGACGGTCGAAAATCCTCCGTTAATTCATGCGCATGCGGATCAACGATTGATAGCATAGGCACCTTCCCAGGGGACTCGGCGGAACAAGGTTGAATCCTGCAAGTATCACACTAACCCAGTAGAAAAGGAGAAACCGCTCACTACGGCGGAATGTCCCCAACATAGTTCTCATGAGACGGGAGGCCAGCAACTCCGGCCGCTGTCATGTAGTGATAACGAACATGCCAAAGAATGGTCCCATATGTCGTAACCGGTGCAAAAGCCTGCCTTCCGAAGTGAACCTTTGTCATAGCGGATAATCAGGCTCAACCGTCACAATCAACGTTCTAGACGCTAGCCTTCATCAGGCGGCCGGAGCCCAGAAACAAAAGACTGCAAACCGGACGCTTTGAAATCGGCCGCCATTTTGGTATCTGGTCGCAGCGCTCCATCACGAGCGGTCTGACAGGCACTGTTATCAAATATCTCCGCATGTCCTCACGCCGCAGGGTCTGACATTGTCTCACAGCGTTAGTTGTGGGAAAGATATGATAGCAAACATGCTTACCGATCTCGAGCTCCTCGGCCTCGAAGAAAGCTTGCGATTGGAGGAATCATCACTTGAGCATTGGCATGCGCCCAAGTTGACCTTTCCTGTTCGCGTTAGTGCAGGATGATTGTTCCCCTGGTGGAATGCAGAACATATTGGTAATTATCTCGTTGGCAGCGCCGGGCATGTCACAACAATTCCACTGTGATCCGTTCTGAGTCGGCTGGTAAGTATGAACACATGAGCGTTCCCACCCTGAAGACTAGCAACGGGCATGCATTGCACCTCCATGAACATTTTCGCTATCAGATCTTCATGGTCTGAGTGGGCAGGTAGTTGCCCTGAGGACTGCGAGAAAGAGGCCGACAATCCTCCCAAGGTGCCTGGTAGTAGTTGCAGTTATGCAGAGTAGTATGTGCGAGCACACAATACGAGTCTCACCATGATCGAACCAAGTGCTGTCTTTCATGGACGAGAAGGCTTGCAAAAATGAAAGTCGACTCAGTCTCGTATTCCATAGCACATCAATGCTAGAACCGTTAAAAACGGAAGCTCCGAACTTTGTTTTGAATTTCAGGAAAAGCTCGAAGGAGAACGACTGATCATCGCCCACGATGCACCGTGATCGAAATGTTTTCTATGACAAGGAAGCGGGCATTGTGTCAAGGTCAGAGAATTCAATCTTATAGCAGGAATTGTTTTTGCAATGATAGTTATAATGCAAGTACGCAACGAACCTCGAGATAGCAAGTTCTGGATACTAGACGCTCATCATGGGCGTCTATTGATCGCATGAGTCGTCCACGTCGCATTCGCTTCTCCTCGACTTCCATCTCCTGCTTGTCGAGCGTTGAGATCTTAGGGGTTTCTCAGCGGAACCATTCACCTTCCGCAAGAGAGCAATTGTTCATGCTGATAGAGATTCCAGTATTCCTCAAAAGCCATGTCAGCGTGGAATTTGGGCACACCGTGGATGCTCAAGCTCACCAACACCGGGACGACGCGTTGGAGTGTACTTTCTCCTATCGGTGTCAAAAATAGGCTGACAATCTGTTATCAGATATGGCAAGACGCGGTTGCACGACATCTAAGTTTGGCCTGAAATATGTTCGGATACCTCGATGAGACAATCAGAACTGTAACATGCTTCGCGCAACGAAGATTCTGCCTTATGTGGTCTTGCTCTATAGCTTAGAGGCCCTGAGAAATGTAGAGGAGGACTCTACTTGCTGTAGCTTCGCAAGCCATCTTATAGCACCTCTTTCGCATCGGGGTGTTCTTTGTGCATTCTCACATTCCGACGTTCCTCGAGCTTGGCTGCGTGGATTACTCCTTTTCCGGTTCCGGCATCGTGAGTGCCAGGGTCCCCGTCCGAATCATCCAGAGAGGAATCCGCTGCTATTGAGCTTTTCATGCGTCTCTCCCTCACGCTGTCAACTTCTCTTCTCACCAACGTATTTCTGCCTCGACTGTTCGCGCTGCTCCTGGGGAAGTTCTGCCACAAGCCTGCACTCCGTAATACATCGACGTCGTCGGCATTCATCGCTTGCAAGACTGAGGTCTCATGATGTCAATCATATGCTGATGCGGTGAGTCTTGTGCTTCTGCCGGCTTCGTGTGACAGATCTCCATCATCATCTGAATGCTGATGAACGGGTCAAAAACAAATTCCGTAGGTCGCGATCGCTGCGGGGGGCCGTTCGCAGACTGCAGGATTGCTGGCCTAGATCTGCCATTCCTACGGTATCGATGAAACGTGCCGTGCTTCGCCCCATTGATCTTTCCATGAAGGCTCCCTCGTGGATCCGCCGGTTTCTATTGAAAATTGGGTGGATGGCCTGCGCGTTCCGGCTATCTGGAATGGCAGAGTCTCATGACCAGAATAGCGCCTCAACCCCACGCTACAGCTCTCATCACCAACAATGTCCTTTGTGCGTTCTTGCCAGTCCAATCGGGGTGTCTACGCAGTACAGCCATGCATGGTCAACGTGAGTAAGGAATACGAAGTGTCCTTCGATCGGGCAACGATGCGAGCTGTGCGGAGTGCTCTTTTAGCTCTGATTCTCTGATGATACGGGTAAGTGTTCGCGACATCCGTAGCGTCAATGGCGACTGAGAATGACGAGCTTCTTAGATACGGAACTTTCAATGTAATTGATGCTTGCAATGTAATTGATGCTTGCAGCACGGAACGAGGACCCGTGAAGTCGTTTGCGCGGACAACTGTGGCTCATTATTCATCATGGCTCTGTGGGGTTGAGAGAGGCCTTCCTGTTGGAGCTGCGGACTGGAATACGCGCCCTGCTCAGGTAAGAGGCGTGATTCACGTCGTCCGACATGAGCATACCATCCGTTACTTCGGGTGTGATGGCCACCGGCACATGCGAGGTCACGAAGACTCTGAAACAAAGGGATCTTGATTTCGTGCGTCTTTACAATTCCTGCTCAGGCGACAGGCTGCTGAATCAGGGTCACGTGGTAAAAAGGCCATGGTCACAGATGCTAATTAGTAAATGCGCACAAGTGAGCGAGAATGCGCTCCTAGACCAGCTGACAATTGTACTTGGCCGGAGGCACTCAGAAGATCACGCCGCTGCGAAAGAAGAGGGGCGAAGGCCGCCGCAATTTAAAGGCATGCCATTTCACTCCCACCCCTCCCTCAGCTCTCCCCGTTTTGACCTCCCCCTCAACCTCACCGCGAAGAGAGAACCTAGGTGATGCCTTCCAAGCAGGTCTTTGCCTCCCAGGATAACGCTGTCTATACTACTTCAACGGGTGCACCGGTAGCTGAGCCCTATGCGGTAGAGCGCATTGGCACCATCGGTCCCCTGCTTCTCCAGGGTACGGACGGTCAAGGTTTCATTAGAATATCTTCTAATCCTCCTATGCTCAGACTTCCACCACATTGATCTGATCGCCCACTTCGATCGCGAGCGTATTCCGGGTATGTCAGAATCTCCGATCATGGTAATCCACTCGCTGATATCCCTACGCATACGCAGAGCGTGTCGTGCACGCCAAGGGCGCTGGTGCACACGGGTACTTCGAGGTGACCCATGATATTACAGATTTGACGTGTGCGGCGTTGTTCTCGAAGGTTGGCAAGAAGGCGAAGGCCACCGTTCGGTTCTCTACAGTTGGTGGTGAATCAGGGTCAGCAGATACTGCCCGTGATCCTCGAGGTCGGTCGCATGCTAGTTGTCCTCTGAATGCATATACTGATGATCGATTCATCTTGCAGGTTTCGCGATCAAGCTCAAGACAGAGGAGGGCAACCTTGACTGGGTGTTCAACAACACTCCCGTCTTCTTCATCAGAGACCCGTCGAAGTTCCCCCACTTCATTCATACTCAGAAGCGTGATCCGCAGACCCATCTCAAGGATGCCGACATGTTCTGGGTGAGCGCACTACGAGTTGGTTTCATGGACATACAACCTAACAGACGTACCATAGGACTACCTCTCTCTTAACCCGGAGTCGATCCACCAGGTTATGATCCTCTTCTCCGATCGCGGGCATCCCGATGGTTTCCACAACATGCACGGTTACTCCGGCCATACATACAAATTCGTGAACAAGGAGGGCAAGTTCCACTACGTCCAGATCCACGTCAGAAAGGACGGTGGTGCAAAGTCGCTTACCGAGCCCGAGGCTGGCAGGCTCGCGGGAGAAAACCCCGACTACGGCATCCAGTCTCTGTTTGAGGCCATCGAGGATGGCAAGTACCCGTCGTGGACTGTCTACGTCGTAGGTGCATTCTCCGTTACGGTGTGATGCTTTGATTGATGTGTGCTTTTCTTCGTGCAGCAAACGATGACGGCCGAGCAGGCAGAGAAGTTCCGCTACAACATTCTTGACCTCACCAAGGTCTGGCCACACAAGGAGTATCCGCTCCGTCCGATCGGCAAGCTCGTGCTCAACGAGAACCCGCAGAACTACTTCGCCGAGATCGAACAGGTGAGGCGCAGCATCTGTTATGTACTTCATAGCCGTCATTGACGGTGCCTTCTACAGGCTGCTTTCTCTCCATCGCACTCGGTGTCGGGCATTGAGGCCTCTGCCGACCCGGTCCTCCAGTCGCGTCTTTTCTCCTACCCTGACACCCACAGGCAAGTCGGATTTAGAATTCGCTGTGACATTTGCATGGGGTTATTGACTGGAGATTCAGGCATCGTCTCGGTGTTAACTACAATCAGCTGCCAGTCAACGCTCCAATTGCGCCGGTCGCCAACTTCCAGCGCGACGGATCGATGACGTTCGTCAGCCAGGGAGCTCGCCCCAACTACCAGAGCAGCTTGGTGCCGCTCAAGTACGTACCGCTCACTCCGCGCGGGAAGCCGTCGCTGACGAATCGTCCCATTGCAGATACAAGGCTAAGCCGTACCAGGATATCAAGCACGAGATCTGGCTCGGCCAGGCCGCTGCTGACCTCAGCTTTATCACGGAGCGTAAGTTCATCATACGCTGCGGTCGGTGTGGAATCTCATCTGACCTATTGCGCAGTCGATTTCGAGCAGCCACGTGCCCTTTGGCTCAAGGTGTGGAACGATACTGACCGGGAGCACTTTGTCCACAACGTCAAGGTCCACCTCAGGAATGCGAAGAGCGCCGAGGTCAAGAACAGGACGCGTATGTCATTTCCCCAACAACGTCGCTATCATTGGCACTGACCCCCTTCTTAGTCGCGGTGTTCGCCGCCGTCGACCAAACGTTGTCGGACCGCATCGCAAAGGCGATAGGCTCGGCCCCCGTCAAGCCCTTGAAGGTCGCACCGGCTTCGGAGGCCATCCGCTTCAAGGCGTTCGCTGTTCCACCATCCAGCCTTTAGCGTGTTCAAGAGCGACCAGGAATTGTGTGATTTGAGCGAAGCTGTCTGACGTGTACAATGTGTTAGCAACGTGTTTCGATATCTGTGTAGAGCTAGGTCAACCAATTATAACGTGTCCAATATCACTGAGAAGTGGTAATGAAGTTTAATTGAGATGTTTGCAGGACTCGTTGGAATGAACCGTTATGTGATATTTAGCACTGACATGGGGACAGACTAATGCAGCCGGAGTTTATGTTCAACTAACAACAATACGCTTTCCCCTCTTTCAAAGAGGGGGGGCTTCGGGACCTGATGATCCGGAAGATGTGTCTGCCCCATTCTCAGTGAACTTATCACAGTAAGTCAGCAATGAGAACGGGTCGCACAGGTACGGTAAATGCGAGACACGACTGGACCAGAGTGTGGTGTACTCCATGGTAATAGCCGCGGAAGGGGACCGCTCCAGCTTGAAGGAGGTGCAGCTATCAGGACTCCGTTCTGCCACGCTGAAGTTGCTCCTGTGTTCCGACCGATGATGGACCGTAGGATACTCATGCCAGCATGATACAGGAGCCGATCATAATATCTTTCTGCACAGATACAAAAATGAACCGAACGGAAGGGTCAGCTGAACTTATATATCGATATGTTGCAGGAGTGCCGTCAAGGAGCATCACAAATAGAGACGAAGCAAATATTAGCATTGCGCAGGCCATCCTGAGAAATTACATATGCGCACAACATACGGAATGCATGTTGATACTGCCAATAAGTAGATCGGCCATATCCAGGGACCAGAACGAGCAGCGCACCGGCAATATTTGCGACAATCCAGTTAAAATGCATCTTTCACAATGGCTGGATTCACCAGTATTATCGGGTCAGCAAAGACAACACCCATATATGACACGACCTGGCTGGAAAGATTCGCTGGTCCACATCATCGCCGACGCTGGGAACAGTAGTTCGCCATCTGCGAGGTTTCTGGTCGACTTCGCACAGACAAAGTTATCAAGCCAAAGCAGAGAATTCAGGAGCTGCACATTGGAGCAAACGACAGTAAAATGCGAACGGATATCAGACCCCATAAACGGTACAGACCAGAGACACAGGCCACAACGCTTGCAGGAAGCGCCCAGTGAGATCGTTATCTGCGGCAGACACCGATAAACTGTATAGTGGCTCTCGGCATGTCTCGGCAAAGAACTTTGCCACAACTGGTATTGGCGCACAGGCAGAAGCGCCAGCGACTTCAGCAAATCCTCCAGCAAGATGTCCAAGCGAGGTGAGTGCTGCCTGACCGCATAAATCCTATGAGCTAGGCGAGCGTGCATGCTGACTATTCGTCGGAAACGCTGCTTTGAAAATGGGCGCGATATCTAGGTGCGTAGTACCCGTTTATGTGGCTGGGTAGGATGCTGAACTTGAGATGGGAACGAACAGGTGCGGGTGCATCAGGAAACAAGTTCCGCCTGACCATGGGTCTGCCTACTGGCGCCGTGCTCAACTGCGCGGACAACAGCGGCGCAAAGTCGCTCTACGTGATTGAGGCGTACGGCACCGGCTCGCACCTGAATCGTCTGCCCGACGCGGGTGTCGGCGACATGGTTGTTGCTTCGGTGAAGAAGGGCAAGCCAGAACTGAGGAAGAAGAGTGAGTGCCGCGCTTTGTGACTCGTGATGGGTGGTAGGCTAGTGGGGGAACTGGTGGCTGACTTGGGCGACTGCAGCAATGCCCGTGGTCGTTGTCCGACAGCGCAAGTCGTGGCGTCGGAAAGAGGGTCTCGTGCTGTACTTTGAGGTGCGTGCAATGAACTATCGAACGGATGCAGAGCGGCTTATCATCATACAAGGACAATGCCGGCGTGATCGTCAACCCGAAGGGCGAGATGAAGGGTTCCGCCATCACAGGGCCAGTCGCAAAAGAATGCGTGCGTCACTGTACTTCATGTTATCCGTTCATTCTCCTCACATATGGTTGGCAGGCGGATCTCTGGCCGCGTATCGCGGCCAACGCGGGTACCGTCGTATGATGCTGTTCCTACTAGTTTCGCCCCTCTGTATCGCATATTATGGCTATGACTGCAATCCGGCTTCACGCTTTCTCATTGTCTTCTCTGGTTGCCTCTCGCTAAGAACTCGGCACCTGCTCTAATGACATGTCCTGCAAAATCCGATAGAGTGCTACGCTTTCGTTTCCATGCTCTGCGTGTCTGCCTCGCTTGCGCAGCGAGTTTGAGATGCGAGCTCACCGCGAATATTTTCTTCTACGCGCTTGTGTTCGATCATCGGTAATTCGCTCTCTTCCTTGACATGTCTGCGAAGCTTCTGGCTCGTCGGCTGGTGGAGCGCCGGTGGCTGAGGGCGCCTTACGCTGACCCTGCCAGGGATATGATGATGGCTTCAATGGCGGTCCAGAGTACTCCATGGGATGCGAACTTCGCGTCCCGCTTACGTGCACATCACGGTCTCCCTTTGTCCGCGCACTTCAATCAGCAAAAATTGCACAAACGTGCACACCAGCAGCCTTTGCTGTTACAAAACAAATGTGCTGCGCGGTGAGCACTGTCACGGTTTTAAATCCTGGGTGAAACAGGCAAGAGTCAGGAAGCTTGGCCCTCACATGTCTCCGCCCTATCGGATCGTCTTTGTGGGTCCTTGTGTGCGCCCTTCCGCCTCGAGGTTGCAGCCTTGCACAGTACACTGCCACTTGACGTCCATGTGCCCACACAATGCTGTACTTATCGATTACTGCAGCCGTCCAGCCTGCAGCGCCGGTTGGTGCTAGTCACATCGTTTCCCTAGACGCACGTAGATCCACCTTCGAGACCATCAAGGACTCCAATTCACTCGAAGAACCACACATCGGACCACTCCTCTCAACCCAAGCTGCAACGATTGCATCGGACCGGATGGCCTAGAACGTTGTGACCCTACTAGCAGCGCGAAGCACGGCCTCACTCCGCCCCCGCTCGCGTTCGACACCGGCGACGGATTGCCCCTCTTGAGCGACATCCCCGCTGGCAGCATCGGGCGCTGCAGACGATGGACGCCACCACAGGCTCCGTCATCGCTGTGCCCGCGCTGCAGCCGGTCGTCTGGGAGGTAGTTGAGCCCGTGCAGACCATTGATGTATGCCGCCCACTCTCATCGTAATTCAAGTGCTATATGCTGATAAGATGATCGCAGCAGATGCGAAAGGCAGGAACTGCGGCGTGCTTCTCGTGCTAGACGCAGTGCGGCGCACGATGGTGAGCAAACAGCTCGTACTCGGCGGACCCCGACGCCGTCGACGCGCGGCTTGAAGAGCAGCGGTGGGGAGTTTCCGCCAGCGCGTTCCTCCTCTTTTGCCCGTTTCGCGCCTGGTGTGGGCTCACGATACATAGAACGCTTATGAAGATTGAGAAAGCCCTCGAGAAAGAGCTTCGGAAGAAGGCGTATAGGCATTTCTGTCGAGTTGGAAGCTCGGCGGTGTGTTGGACGAGCAGAGAGATGCGTTGAGGAACCAGTGGTGGTAGTTCCAGGTAGGCATCGTCCTTCTTTTGGTGTTTTACGCGGTCAGGGTGCGGGTCCTAATGCAAGTATGGCAGATGGTCTCCGAAATCATGATCAACCAGAAGCAAATGCAGCATGAGCAGCGGCAGGCGGAGTGAGACGGGCTCATGAGTCTGTCCTTCTACACTCTATGCTGAGCCCTGATCCCGATTGAGGGTACCAGTACCACGTTCTCCCCTTCCCTTCCATGATCTCAGCCTGACGGGAAAGAGGCGTGAGCTATGGGTCGAGAATGAGCATGTGATCGGCGAGGTACTTATGGACGGCCATTTGGGAGCACAGGCCCGTCATTGTGCACGGGTTATGCTCAATTCTAAAAGGAGGGCGAAGCTCGCCGTTCGTCTCCTCACGGTAGTTAATGGGTGTGATTTGTAGAAGAGGTCAATTGCCACCGCTGTCCTCAAAGAGTTTGGAAGACCTGGAGATGCGTCAATGACATTTCACTGCACGCTCGAGCGAGTTGACCTGTGTTTGGCGATGATACGCTGCAGCCAGGCCGTGCCTCGTTTCCTCAGCCTACCTGCACGACCTCCTCGAACCGCAGTTTTATGTCGTCCAGTTCGACGAGGAGGTTCCGGCACACGACGCAGTCCAGCTCTCTTTCCGGTTGACAACTTTACAACTCGGACATGTCGCTCCATTTCAACTTGGTCCTCACAGACACCCCCGTGCATATCGTTTGTTCTTCTCGTAGGAGTAGTTGCTGCTTTTTCCAAGTTGAATCATTCCAACCAGAATTGCACCGGTACGACGTTCATGCCAACATCCTCATACTATCGCGTTCTTGCTGGCTGTTAGGCATTGAGAGGAACGTCCACCGTGCGCTCCAGCGCAACGTCTCACAAGCAAACATACGGCAAACATACGGCGACACCTGTCAATTGGAGGCTCGTGGCCAGCCACGGCCATGTCCACACTGCCCGGGTCTCACCTAACATGTACTGTAGTCCACTACAATGAATCACAGAGATCAAGAAATAAGAATGCCAATTTGCATCGAAAAATGTTTGTCTAAGAGCAAATCAGTCGGTGTACAAGATATTAAAATAATCACGATGGGACGCTCACCCAAGATTAGTCATCGGTAGGGAGGACGTAGCACTGGATACCTTCATCAACGTATCCGAGGTTGGTGATGGCATTGTCTCTCTCGCTCTCCGACGTCGTGTAGAAGTGATCGGTCGCGGTAGGACTGTACATGCGGTACAATGGGATGCTGCCGCAGTTTTGGTCCTGATAGACGAAGGCAACAGTGCCATATGCGGTGTAGCCTAGCTTGTCTACTGCATTGTCTGCCTCCGACTTGGACGTGGTGTAGAAGCTGTCCAGCCGCCCGTTGCTCCACAGGCCGTAGAGCGGGATGGTCACCCCAACTTGAGCAGAGAAAACATGGCCGACATCGCCCTCGGATATGTAGTCCTGATTGGTGATCAAGCCCTCCATCGATGCGGCGTCGTCTCCGTAGAAGTGATTCTCAAAGCTGGGGCTATAGGCCTGCAGAAATGCGACGGATTCAGAGACCTCGCCACAGTCATCCAGCCTCGCCAAGAGTCGCTGTGATGCAACAACGATACGTTAATCTCCGGAGAGCGGGTCTCGTTATGCAGAGGGCATACCTCATTCAATGGCTTCTCCGGCTTGGGCACAGCATTTGCGGCCATAGAAAGTGCAGCGAGAACCAAGGGGAGAATGCGGAGGACATTGCGAGTGAACATGGCTATGGAAACGATGTGGAGAGGAAAGGATAATGTTCGTGGTTCACCTCGTTAGTGCTCTTTATACAGCATGGCGCGCTTGTTCAGCTGCCTGATTTTGCATTCTCTCTGATCAAGTAGTAATTGAGTCGCTGATTTGTGATCATACCTAGCTGCTACAGTGTAGCGAAATGCTAGAAATCGGTGACCGACAGGCATTCCTGTAGTCGCTCCCTGCATGCCTCCGACACGCCGCGGTGGTATGAAACGTCAGGGAAGCAACCTTGCTCGGATCAGATGGAGTAGACACTTGTCAATGTGGTCGGGCTTACCGCAAACAACATAGAGTTTATTCCTATACTGTCAACTCAGTCCGATCATATGGGCGTGCTACTCACAGGTTCTGATTCATGTCTTTGATTGTAAACTGGCTTGGTGCATCTTCAATCGTTTCTACAGCGCCGCACCAGCAGGTATATCAGCATGCGAAGAAGATCCTGAAAATGATGATGGATGCAGAATGATACATCGATGTTCTTTGTAGGCAAAAAAGCATAATTTGATGACCTATAGAGCCTCTGTGCCAGCATCTGTGGCGCACTGCTGGCGTTGCGGAGATTTTCATCGAATGTTTAGGTGGGATAGCACCAGATGTGTCTACTGAAACCGATACGCCTGGGGCTCGTCCTCTCGGTGATTGAAGACCGCTTTGAGTGACGAGAGATTCCAACGAAGAGGCCAGGACGCACTGAAGAAATTTATGAGTCTACATATGCTTGTCTGCATTGTGTGACTCGGGCAGAAGAGAGGAAGGCTTGCCTGCCATGATAATCCTGAAAACAACATTGCATTGGATCATGGTGGCGTCCTTCCATCGAGCCCTCAATACAGAGCGGCATGTGTCCGGCAGCAAAAATGTTTCGCCTTGAGCGAGTCTTGAGCTTAAGGCCTTGAATGTCGGCGCAGATCCTCGCCATGGGACTTGAGCCGTCGTAACTGATACCTCTCTGGCAATATGTCCAGTCACGAGTCTGGCACGCCTAACATAAGATTGGGAGCTCCGAATGTTATCGACCATACGAGGTAAAAGTGTCATCGGATTCAAGCAACCTCCGATGCAGTGAAGTCTGCATCACAAGACGCGATAAACGAGTTGTGGCGACGTCCAAACGTCCTAGAAAAGAAGATGGCCATTTCTGGCACAGCGTTTCTTGACTGCTGAGCGCTGAATCTAAGCATTAGTAACCGTTAGCTACGTCTACAAGGATGGCGCAAGGATACTATGATTCGTTGCATATACAAAATTCAGAGCATAACGACCATCGTGACAGCAAAACAAAAAATTCTTCTGAAAGGAGTATCGTGCAGTACAAAATATGTAGCATGCCTATACATTGACAGCTTAGTCCCTGTGAGCATTTGATGACATTAAGACTTCTCACCTTGGATTCAATCATAAATTTACGTAACAAGCAATGCCTTGTCCATGTACCACAAATTGGTGATGGCATTGTCTCGCTCGCTCTTCGACGTTGTGTAGAAAGACCGGCAGCTCTGGGACTGGTCCCGCTGTACCCGATCTGCGAAGGACAGATATATGGGGTGATGCCTTCGTTGGCATATCCGTAGTTGTTCGCAGCATTGTCCGCCTTCTCCTTGGACATGGTGTAGAAGTGGTCCCTTGAGCTTGGACTATACATGCGACAGAGTGGGATAGTCTCACCAATAGCAGATGCAAGAACGTGGCAGGTGGTGCCGTCAAATGAGTAGCCTAGGTTGGCGCAGGCGTTCCGCATTGAGTTCGGCGCTTACAAAGCATTTACATATCCTTGCGTCTTCGTGACATCCGCGATTGCTCGGGCAGTTTGAGAAGTAAAATGAGAAAGTTGACAACGGAAACGCGTTCCCCACCCTCAGCGAGCCTGGAAAAGTTGTTGGACGAGCGAAAGAGCAAAAGCTACTCCCTGGCGGGGAGTCGAACCCCGCTTTCGCGCGTCCTCGGAGAAATGACAGACTGATGACAGGCGCGTGTACTAACCGATATACTACCAGGGACTTATTAGCCAGTAAATCCAGCTTATGATAATGTGATAACCTATCGAGACCCGCATGCGCAAGAAACACTACGCTTGTAACACTACTATAGCAGCTGCGCAAGAAGTGGACAGGCTGCTTCGTTACCCATGTCCCTTAACTTATTAAAACAATGCAGCCCGCAAAAGAAGCAAAAGCCTTCGTCACCGATCCTTCTTCTTCACTATCCGCACGCCGGTAAGAGGCGTCGCAGCTTTCTTCGCAGGCTCCACACGAGGCGGTGTAGCTGCGCTGGGGAACAGGGGAGTCGACGGTGTGCTTTTCGTCGGATTGGGCATAGGGAGAGAGGGAAGCGTCTGATGTATCCTCTTGCGCGCAGACATACTTGGGAGGGATTGTCGCGCCCCGGCGGGAGGCACATCCATGGTCGACGCGACGATGGATGCCATTGTCGGTTTGGATGGGAGGGATGGGTGGAGACGTGAGGAGGACCCGGACGAAGACTGCTCCATTTGCCGCAGCTTCGCCTCCATCTTCGCTATCTTCGTTCCGGTCCTGCAGCCGTCATAGAGGTTTTAGCTTACGAGTATGATGCCATCGGTCGTTGCGACGTACGCTTCCTGACGACCTGTAGACGCGCTCTTCAGCAGGCTGAGCGTTGTGGGCTTTGAGGCCTCTGACTGCATCCGCTTGTACCTCGATCCAGCACCGGTCTGGTCTTGCGGTGCTTGGTGTGCATACGTGATAAAGAGCTTTCGACCTCGGAGTAGCTTGTTGTTAGCGCTCTCGAGTGCATTCTGGGCATCCTATAATATCGAACGGGTGATTGCAAGGTCAGTTCATGTTCTGCAGACACTAGCGCCGTGCCCTGTCCCTGTCTCTTCCCCGGGTCACTGATTCGGACAATGTCGTTGAGGAGGTCATACGGACAGTCATGCAGGAGAAACCCGGGATGAGCAAGCGGGCCTAGCGAGGAGATACCACGGACATACCTCCACGCTGGAGTACTCCACAAATGCGTAACCACGCGGCTTGCCCTTCATCGGGCCAGTCTTGTGGAAGAGAAAGTCGAGCTTGGACACCTTTCCATACTTGTTGAACACTTGCAGCAGGGTATACCTAATGGGAAACCATGGCAAGTGAGATAGGCTCAACCGCATTTGGGACAGTTGACTCACTCGTCGACGGTCGGGTGCAAGTTGCCGACATATAGTCGTTCTCTGACGAGAGGCCGTGATTGTTGAGTCGATGAAGCGGCTCGAGTCTCCGGGGCTGTTGGACTGGGATAAGACAAAAGACTGTCTATGGAGACCGCTGGCGTGTCCTTCGTCGCCGTCGAAGAGCTCGAGGCCGTTGGCGATGCCGTCTGCGATGGGGAGGACATGGTTGTGAACTGACCGCTCGGGCTCAGAGCGCGATGACGATCAGTGCTGCGGCAACCACCGAACAGCGTGGCATCTCGATTGAGAATTTACTGAACTCTTTCTCCGTCCCTCTCGTTAATTCCCTCGTGTCCCTCGGAACTCCCCGCTCATGCGACCTGTGAATATTGCCTTGTGGGACGGCTGGGATTGGGATACTTGGTCTCTGCGCTGCAATCTGGAATTGGTCTACAGCGATCTCGCGATTGGAGGACCATTACGTGCTTGTTTAGTACAGCATGAGAAACCGGTGTAATCAAGGCAGAAATGAACGCTAGAAAAGCCGGTCTTCGACCTTCTGGCCTATCGCTTGTCGACCCCGGAGCGCTCAATCCAAGCATCGTTCGCGTTTCTCGGTCCTCCCGCACTTGCCTGCTTCGTCTGCATCATTTTAGCTTCATTGCCTCGAGGCTCGGACCAAGTACAGCAGATCTGCCTTCATGATTATCGCTACTGGATCCGCAGCAGCGTTCATGGCGATCACCACTGACCTCCACGTGTAACATTGTCGACGATGCGACACCAACAGATGCTAGGACGCTCAAGCTGCCGTGTGTGTACTCTATCAGCACCAGCACGCCGCGTTCCGCATACGAGAGCGCTGCTCGCACTCTTGCCTGTTATGAACATCCTGTTCCGGTGCAAAATTGTTATAACTCGCCGAGCTCCTCATTCTAGATTCGTAGGAAGAATGCCAATGTGGCAGCGCCCACAGCCCTCTCGAAGCTGTCAAGTACCCCAGTGCTCTCGTCCAGGGCATCATAGGATTACCCAGCAATTAATCTATCTTGGCCAATCTTCCATTGCTATCAACACATGCCTGCCCACCAGGAACAAGGGTGCAGAACCGATTCCACATTGCACTGGGCCACTGCCAGCGAGGTAATGGGCGTCAACCCGATTTGGACGACTTGACTCATAGTGAGACGAACGGCGCTTAACGGACGCGATTTTCAATATACCAACTCCGCAATGCGCATGCGTGATGGCGGTGTGGTCAGGTAAGCGCGCGTTCCGACTTTTCCGGAAGGTTGTTTCACCAAGTACGCCTACAGAGGAAGCATAGCTGAGGTTGCAGCTGGCTACACCTTGACCCTCCGGACGGATCATCGGCAGGCTATCACTGAGCGTCTTGTGGTCGAAAGGCTCATGGTAGACGATGATAGGATGGAGAACATTTCGCGTTCTCATGCGCCCACTCAGGAGAGCTCTGGATTCCAATGCAATGCGCATTGCTGCAAGCAACGTGCTCAAGTATGCACAAGTACAATGCAACTATATACAACGAATATGAAGCCAGTGTCCGGACCATAATGCAAAGTAATAAGTTAGTGCCTGCAAGACAGTCCTGCAGTCCGGATATCGACGTACAGATGGTATCGGTAGCAAGATGAAGTGTACAGTATCCAAATATACAAGATAAAAACCTGGTCAGCGGTGGACGGAGTGCACGTGTCGCTTCAGAGCGTCCTTGCGCCTGAAGCGGCTCGAGCATTGGTCGCTGTCGCAAGCGAACCAGACGTCCACTCTCGCACACGAGCTCGACTTTTGGTGTCGTGTGAGGTCGGTGCGTCGAACGAAGGTCTGCTTGCACTCCGGGCAAGTCGCCTTCTTCGCCTTTGAGGATGTGCGCCGCCGACCCCTAGTCTTCCGCGGTCTCGTTGCCGTCGACGTCGACGTGGATGGGGAGCAACGTGCTCGCTTCGCAGGTGGTGCACTGACCTCGTCGTCGACGTACTCGTCATCGTCATCATCCGCGAGCTGGTCTTCAAAGTCGTCATCGTCACTGCAGGTCATCATGTCGTCGACGTATTCATCGTCCCCGTCCCCGTCTTCGGCGTCCAGGCCGCTACTGTCCTCCTCGAACTGCGATCGCTTCGACTTCTGCCCAACCATTCTAGCTTCGGACAAGGAGCCATGCGTATGTGCAGGACTCTCCTCATGCACGGTGGGAGACGACATCGAGTGTCGCCTGCTGCTGCTCGGGACGGAGGGTCGCCCAGGAAGAGGATGCAGGTTGGCGGTCGCTGGCTTTAACAGACGGAGAGTTGGTGGGAGAGGGGCCGAGCTGGAGCGTGCCGGACGGCCACGCCTCTTACGAAGTGGGGTAGGCTGGCTACTTGCAGGCCTCTCGACTTCGATGGGGGCAGAAGGTGTCGGCAAAAGCTGCAATGTCGCAGCATGCGATGCACAGGCATCCGTATTGTTGGACTGTTCGTCGTCAGACTCGCCGTCGGCATCCATATTGAAGTCGACGCTATCGTCGGACTCATCATCGGACTCGCCATCTGCGTCCTCGTCCACGTCGATGTCCTCCAGACGAGTGGGAGGAGTGTAGTATGGGGTCGCCTCGCCATGGACTGGAGAGCCGGAAGTATTCGTCAAGGTGGGGGAGATGGTCAACGATGGCGAGATGGTCAACATGGGGGACACCGCCATATTCGGAGACTCGGACATTGTAGCGAGGATCGCCTGGTCCGGGGCGAAGCCGACGAAGGGCGACGTCAACTTCCTGCTCGCCGCGGAGGATGAACTCCAGATGGTAGACGAAGGACTGGCCTCGCTATATGGCGACAACTGATCGCTACTGAAGGACGCCGGGCTCTACCACGGCACAAGCAGTTGTCAGCTAAGCCCTCGAAGGATCCGCCAAACTACTTACTTGAGACATGCTCATGTCGGAGGTGGCGAAAGACGGCTCAGCCAATTCGACTGAATATCCGTCGGACGTGTTGTAGAGGAACTCTTCCGCGAGGGACTGCCCGCCCTCTATGTTATGCAAGGTGTCGAAATCCTCAAGTGGCGCGAGCCCGTCGCCGAGGCCGCTCAAGTCGAATCGGTCCACGTCGAAGGCGGGCAACAGCAGTCCGAAGCTGCCGCCACGAGAGATGGATGACCCTGGCTGTCTACCGCAGTGGCACAGTCGAGCTTTGTGCCTAAACCGATGTTCCAAGTCATTATAAGCAGCCAGTGCGGCCTCGGAGGACTCGGCCCATACGACTAGAGCAACCTCCTCGCGCTGCGAAGGTATCAGCCACGATCAATCGGTCAGACATACATCAGTATCGACTTACGATGAGCGCTGCCGATAATGATGATGATGTTGACGCGTCGGGGAGAGACGTTACAGAACTGATGATCGGTACCACGTCGTCGTTCAGTACGATCTGGCGTGCTCCGTAGCCGCTATGAAAACGCGTCAAACCAGAGCGGATCTCGTTTACAACAATCGACTCACGCGTCATCCAGCACCGCCTGCACGGCCGAGGTGCGTGCCTTGATTGCCACAGTGGGACCGATTTTTGAGACCGCGTTTTGGAAGGCCTTGTTCCAGGAGTTGTCGGGGTAGACATCGAAGTGCTCCGTCTCGAGACATCGACTCACGACGGTGGTGATACCGAGATCGGAGGCGGGTTCTACCCGGAGGTAGAGGTCGCGGAGGGGGCTATCTTGGGAGCTGGAGGACATTACAATAACGCGGGGAGTTAACGATGAGGCTGAGGGCGCTCAGCTTCACCGGTTAAATCACTTCGTTTTGTGGGTCCACAGCGTCTGTTGGGCGTCTGTTTGTTTCCCCTGCGAATTCGCGCTCGAAGGAAGGGTGCCATTTCGAGTCTGAACATAAGCGCATGCCGGGCCGACGAATCTTTGGTGTGAGATGAGATCTGTTGCCTACTGGGCTGATAATGATGCGCTGGCGACGGATTTCCGAGGAGTTGGAATCAAGCCCTGGCAGCGCCTGGACAACAAGGAGGGCCCGAAATGGAGCTGCCTGAATAAACCATAAATCAGAGACCTTGGCTAAACCCTAAACTTACGCTCAGCATCTGCTGGCCGACTCCCGAGTGGGGGGTGGTAAGAGAAGTCCAGCGCGGTCAACCGGTGCGTGCAGTTCTGGCATCCTGCGAATTGAGTCCCAAATCAAGCGCTATTCCTATTCCACACCTACAGAAATTGGGAACATCGGGAGCGGCAGTGACTCACAGCCCGCGTGCTCTGGATCCAGCTGAGATCGAAGGCAGGGTGGAGGGTTCGCGATATCTGGCGAGCACAAGTTGTGGAAGTGCGAGTGGAAGGCGCTAAGAGTGGCTGCAATGCCGAGGCCGAGGCACACTAGGAGGGCGTGGGAGCATTCTTTTTCCAGGTATGGATTACTCCGCCGGCTTTTGTGTTGCAGGTAAATCGTTGGATCCAACACCATTCCCTTGCAATCAAAACGTTCGCGGAAACATAAACTGTTTCCTGATTCAACTCCGTTGTCGACCTGTTGGTGGTTCAGAACTCACCTCGCACCGCCAACGCAGGCTGTGAGGCACAGCTCTGCAGCTGTCCGCAAATGTACTAGTCGCTACTGGCCGGCATGGGTCGCGATGTTTTTCATGTTCCATTTGATTGACTGACCGAACGAGACGTAATAGCGGTGGTGAACCGCCCAGCGCGAAAAGGTTGCCGCCGGTGGCGCTAATCTGCAGTCACATGCCTATCTTGATTAACGATCTCGAGGACATCGCAATCGTTTGGTACGCACATCTTCCTCCTTCTCCGAGTGAGATCGACTGCAGGGCATCAGAGGTTGTCGAGAGGTGATGAGACTCCGCAGAATATGCTCGCTCAACACCGTTGTCTGGTGCATTGTCAACCACGGACAGGCGATTAGGGCGTGGCATCTGCTGAGGACCCACAAGGACCCTCCTTACGCTATATCAGACGCATCTTTCACATTCATCAAGGTTCTCGCCCGCTAGCCTTTGCACTATGGGCGTCTTGATCACTATCTATCAGCGAACCACACGGCTGACCGCGCGGCACGGAATTTCAGGTGATTTTCGGTGCGGGTATCGGCTGCTGCACGGAATTGCTTTCACTTCTCCGCCATGGTGGCCCTCCTGACTGCGAATTCAAGCGCTCAATATAGATGACATGCGAGCTCCAGCGTTCATCTCATGTGCGCCTCGCAGCTCGTGCATAGCATAGCCGTACTTTCACAAGTCACACGGTGATTTGAGTGCCGACTACGTCGCTCCGGAAGATTATAGCTGATGGGCATGCTGAAGGCTTTTCATGTAGAACTTCGACTGTTACAGTGGTGCTCCGCTTCAATTGTGCGCAGCTGGGCCGAATGCCAGTCGCGTTACTTCAGTTCGGCAAATCCGGATTACCTCTTCACATGCGAAAGGCTTGAAGGTTTGCTATAACATCCGCTGATGCGTTCATCTTGGCCACCCCCGCACTCAACCAGGAAGATCAGCAGCGAAACAGTTTCACTGTCGGCTCTCGGGTTCGTCTCCCCGACCCAATCAGAAGGTATATCCTTGATAATCATATTCTATTGTTAACCTTCCTGGTCATTCAATCTGGTTGCGAGGGGAACCGGCCTCCATTCGAGTGTCAGAAATATATCATTTCAACGGACATGCACACACAAACATCCCTAGAGATAGATCGTTTCACTAACCGAGGCCCATCTCGTAGTGTTTCATGCGATCACGGCAGCGCAACAGCTATTGAACGGAGGAACAACGGAAAGAAACGCAAACAGTCGAGTTGCCGAGACAGTATCATACGTGCGCGCTAATGAAATGTAGCGGAGCAACAACGGAAAGAAACGCAAACAGCCAAGTTGCCGAGACAGTATCATGCGCGCTAATGAAACATAGCGGAGGTAAAGAAGGCAGCTCAGACAGGTGATGTAAATGCCCAGGTACGCGCATCGCTTGATGTTGTTCGAAGTCCTCGTTCATCTGCTTCTCCTCGGGCGGCGATGCGAACATCCTGGGCGCTGCTTCTCGTGTGTCAGTTTCACAGGTTGGTGCTTTGCCTGCCTTCCCAGTGCCCTCTGCACCCGCTCAATCAGCCTCGCCTGTCGACAGTGTATTGCGCAGCTTGTCATTCAGTTCAGTAGGCTTCGAGATGCCTCCCGGACTATTCTGCGTCACCATCCCTCTCGACAAATTCATCCCCTTCTCTCTCGTCAGAGAACTTTCACCATAGCGCTACCATGCTCTTCACCATCTTGAGCCGCCCCCTCATATCGGCAGTTGTTCGATGCCGTGAATCTGTTCAAGTCAATCAAGCTTTGATTATGTCCAGCACTCCGTCTGCACTGTGTCCTGTTACACGAGGTTGCTCCACTCGATCCTTGCCCCGGGCGGTGGCCTAGTACTTCATTGTCATCTCCGTCTCTCCCAGGATCACATTGATCTATGATCGTCAGCCTCTCATCGGGGAACCGCATGGCTCTGCGGCGCTAGACAGCCACCATTCATGGTAATGGGGTGCCAAAACGCTGGCCATCTACTTACTGCCTCCTCGTCCCTAGACGCGGATCGTTCCGGTCGTCCATGTCTCCGATGGGCTATTGTCATTTGTCAACGCATGCCTGCATGCTGCATAGAAACCGCCTGTCGATCTGCGACTGTCCCCCCGCGGGGAGATCGGTGTGTCTATTCGTCATGCGACCGACATAGATCCCGGTATCGCTCGTCTCGCGATCAAGGTTGCTCGTATCTCCTCGATGCGCACAACGGCGATGGGCAAAGAGTCAAAAGGAGGGCGTCAGAATGAGCTGGGAGGCGCCGGTGATGAAGTGGAGCGTTTCTGAGCGGACTTATCCGATCTTGTCTTCTCAAGTACAGCAATCCGGAAAGAGATGCTGAATTTCTTTGTACACTATCGCACGATTGCACCTTCTTTTAACGCTGCACAGACGCTTTTCTTGAACGGCGTACTTGCGATCTTTGACACTTCAACGTGCCGCTGTTGTTAACCCAGAAGTTCTGATAATATCTGCCATCCGTGATCGTGACATCGACCACTGGTAAACGCGACTAGGAAGGCCCGGAACTTGAGGCCTTTTCGCTCAGTCAGCCATGTCGTCATGAATGATGTGAGGCGTGGAGGCTAGCACGGGCGCAGAAACAGATACAACTCATCTCACTTGCGCTTCGACGCTCTTCTCAGCCAAGCTGCATTATACACGTCTGCAAAGAAATCAACGATCAATAGTCAACTCCTAACTCTATCATCAGACGATGCCGAACACGACGACAATTCGAGTGCTTGCTCTGGACATCTACGGAACGATACTGAACACGAGTAGCATCACCTCGGGCATCAAGCAGCATGTGGATATTTCAGCTGAGAAAGCCGGTCAGTTGAGTCAATTATGGAGACGGTACCAACTCGAGTGCGTTTTTTCGAGGCGCCGTCGATCGGGCGCGTATTAACGCTAGCACTCCGCAGATACACGTGGAGGCTCAATTCCATGGGTGAGCGGACACTCTTCTTTGCAAATGTAGTCTTGCAGCTCTGTGATCCTCAATTACTATCCATCTTTAGGCCTATATGAACCATTCGATGTCGTGACGAGAAACAGCCTGAAACATGCTGCGGCCGAGCTGCAAGTGAAACTCAGCGACGATAACATTGCCGCTCTCATGGACGCCTATAACCAACTTGTTCCGTAAGTAATTCACCGGCACGGCCTAACGCTGCACAGCTCTGCGCTCGGCCATTCTCGCGGGTAGTCTAATAGCGCTGGCCTACTGCAGTCCGTCGAACACGGAGCACTTATTGTCTGGGCGCCTTGTCGAGCGATGTTCGCGGCAAAGTGCATCATCGGAGAACGAGGTAGTTGATCATCCGCGCCTCGCCAGAACTGCAGCTCGACGATGTGTGTGGGGGCTGACACATGATGACTGCCAATGTGTTCAGGCCATTCAATAGCTTGGCGAAGGGCTTCAAAGAACGTTTTTGCTCTCTTCCACACCTTCCGAGGCGTCTAGGCAGGCGGACGCGTCGGATGACTATGCCGGGCTATGGCGATGACATGCATGCTGACAGATAACCTGCAGGTTTGAGGATGCTGTGCCTGCGCTCACAGAGCTGAAGAGGATCCCTGTCGTGGAGCTCATCATATTCAGCAACGGTGAGTACTCTCAGGGTGTCACATACGAGGATCTCACATTGCAATCTCCCGGTGTGGTACGCACTCTGATCCGCGATTTCGTGCTCCAGGTACGACAGAGGTAGGTCCGCATACTAACAATCGTTCTATATACTCATCCTTCCATCCCAATGACTCGAGATGGTGTCCACCGCGCTCCATTCTTCACTCCCCGAGTCACTTCTCCCGATCCCTCTCCATCTCGTTGACTCAGTCAAGATGTATAAACCCGCTTCAGTCGTCTACCAGAGCCTCCTGGAGCGCGTCCGAGAGGCGCCCGAGACCAAGCGCGATGCTCCCGATGTCTGGCTCGTCAGTGGGTGAGTCCTGCGTTGCTCCTCATCTGCGCTGGCTCCTGTTGACCAGCGTGTCATCATACCCGAAAACTATAACTGTAACTGATGCTGTCGCGCAACTTTCAACAGGAATCCCTTTGACGTGACTGGAGCGCGTGCTGCAGGTCTCGGGGCGTTCTGGGTCGACAGATCCGGGAAGGGTTGGACTGATCAGCTCCCGCTGCCAGAGAACATCGGCCCAATGCGAATCGTACGCGATCTGGGCGAAGTCGTTGAGATTGTACGCGCCTCACAGTAGACGTTGGATGCTGGCGAGGTCACGTGCAAAACATGTCCTGTCATCTTGAGGAACTTTCGAATATATCAGTTTAACATTGAGATTGATATTCGCACATCCACGAGATACTCATCAAGCATCATGATCAGTGGGCTAAATTTCATACGTACTCGTACGTTACATGTGGTGGGGCCAATAAAGTGTGCCATTCCACAATGCCCGACCGGGGATTTCGCACAAATGCATCGAGTTCTGTGAGTTTTCATTTACACGCTCGTACACGCACATGCAACCCAAGATCTTGATGACAGAACTTTATAGAGACACCCAAGTCTGACGGCGCGAATCGCGAGCAAGTGAGCCTCGAGCTCCTCTCAGCGCAGCCTCGAGACGGGGAGTGTCACATGTACTCACTAAAGCAGATCCCACTCCGACCCTGAGTCAGACGTATACCCTTCGCCTGAAATTGCACCACGAGTAGTACTGCGGAAGGTGGGCTCCGTGTTTCTCTGGTTCTCCACTGGCATCGGAGAACCAGGAAGCGAAAGCTCAAACTCGCCCCACAAGTATACCGTTGATGGCGGTGGTGAAGAACTAATGCTTTCTGTGGGATCAATGGACGAGCTAGCGGAGGAGACACTGCTCCGCTCGTCATCTGTAAAAACAAGGGACGCCGAGGGGTCATATCCCGCTTCCCTGACGGTCTCCATGCTAGCCGTCCTGCGCAACCGCCGCAGCCGCTCATCCGCCACCAGCAGCTCCTCGCACTCGCCCTGGTGCCGCGCAATCATCTCGTCCCACGCGCTCGGCGGCTTGACCACCTTGCCCTTGCGCAGGGCCCACTCGGTGTCGAGCATACCCATGTACGTCACGTCGCGCCAGCCGTTCAGCGCGGGGCTCATGATCGCCCGCCGGCGCGTGCCCTCGTGCGCGAGGCCGAGCTTGACAAAGATGGCACGTGCGGCATCGCGCGAGGGCCCGTCGATGAGCGCCGCCTGCAGGCGGTGGCAGGCGAAGCGGTCGAAGGCGATCTCGATGACTTGTGCGAGTGTCTGTGCGGCCAGGCCCATCCCACGCCATTGCGGGAGCAGAGAGATGCCCACGCTCACTTCGTTCTGCATGTTCGTCGTCGCGAGATAGACGAGGCCGATGGTAGTTAGAGAAGGAGGTTCGGGGGACTCCGGGGGAACCGGAGGTGGTGCGGTGGTGTCATTTGAGATGGGCAGGCTGAACCTCGGCGGTGAGCTCGGAACCCACGTATCGGAGTCATCATCGTCGATGAACGGTTCATCAGTTGCCATGGGCGCTGCACCGCTGCTATCGCTGCGCCCTAGATGTGTGTGGATTATCGCGTTGTCAGCGTTCTCCGAAAGGATTTGAGCAGCCGCGGCCTGAAAGCTCTCAGAGCGACGGACCGCGGCGAACTCACTTTGCTCATCACCGTCATCTCCGCTGTTGCTTACAGGGTCCTCCCGCTGCACGACCGCGAAGTAAAGACACTGCTGTGAAGCGAAATCAAAGGGATCTGAGCAGCGCGCGACGACGGCTTCAACCGAGACCTCTGAGATCTCGTGCCATGCTTCGAGCAGAGCGTCGAAGTCCACAGTCTCAGCCTCGATGTTGGCTTGGAGGATGATGCGCGAGTCGGAGGGCGAAGACATGGAGGGCAGATGCGCGAGGCGGGGTAGCACGGATAGCGAGCTTATATGGGAGGCCACGAGGACAGACCGCAGTGATGCATTGTGCCCATCAGATTGACTTCCCATTGATGGAGTCACCATTTTGTGAGAAGCGGGATTTCTGATTCCGGGAGTCGTCGCCGTGAGTCAACTATCGGGTCCGTTGGCGCTTGAGTGATGTGCCAGTTCCTCCGACGATGTGGTTTTCTTGTGATTGATGCGTGGTCGAGAACATTGTCGTGATACGCAGCATGACAGCCGTCAGGAGACTTAGTTGTCCTGCAGAACAACTGAGCAAAAGATTGAGTTCAAGCAGTTCACATAGCAAGACGGGAGAAGATAGCGCAGAAGTTCGATAACGATACTGGCTCCGCGTCCGCAAGAAGGTAACAATCAGTACGAAGCGTACGGGAAACAGTAAACCAGTACGTCGAACCTGACTTCATACTGATGTTCACGCGCTATGGCGGCGCATGATGCATCTCGTCCGTGCAAGGGACTGGTGATAATCCGAGAGCGTCGTGCATTCGACTGTACGACGTTGTCGCGAACTTGGCACCCATCCACGTTGCGGCCTTAAACGATTAGCGAATGCGTCACGTCGGCTTCATTGGCATAAAAGAATGGTTTCAGCGGTGACATGCATCCGTTCGAACTCTGCTCAAGCTCAAGCTCGAGCCTCATAGAATACTGGAAAGCAGTTCAATCGACGTTGACGATGCGTATGCCGCCAGCACACGGTGGTTGAGCCTTCGAGGTAGCAGATATTGAGGAATCCTCGCATACATAACAGAGTCAGGCGAAATCATTATGCTGCGGTAAGTAGCGGGAGAGCATTGCGGAGAGAGTTGACGCCGGAAAAGCCCAACTAATGAGAGACGTATATGCGGAGACCACCTAGAAGCAGTAAAGTTGCTTTACATAAACTAACGCTTTCTGCGGACGTCTCACGGCTTCCTCTCTAGGCAAAAAGCATACAAGAGATTTCAAGTCCTTATAATGCTCTAAGTGGGAGTCCTGAGCAAACGGCGGCACACAGCGATGCCCCCGAACGAAAGTCCTACGCTTCTATAGGACAGTTTCTTTTCTGGCCACATCTCGTCCCCTTTTGTACCGCATCAGCAAGCTGGTATTCCCAGCAGCTGTTGAGCTCTGAATGTCCGAATGTCTGTCAGACCGTCCTAGGCTATTTCGCAATGCCAAGCACTCAAGCACCGATACCCGCATCGTGACCATGGTTTAATTGAAGAACTGAAGCCTTTATTCGACATCAACATCGCAATGCGATATGTTCACAAGCATGTCTTTCTTAGCCCGCCGTTTCCGCGACTAAATTACCTGGCTCAAACTGTCACAGTCCTTGATGACTATACTCAGCTGATGCAGAGATTTCCCATTTCTACCGTGTATGAACGCGGGCAAATAAACGTTGAGCTTTTTACACTCGTAATCAACTGTGGTGCGACTCACGTCAACGCGTTCATGCTTAGTTTCATTCAGTCTCTCGGACATCGCGTCGGCATCGAGGCCACATTCTCTCGAGTTGGAGTCGTCCATGCCGCGCTCTGAAGCCAAAAATTGAGGCTGCTTGAATATTGGGCAGACATCATACAGTTTGTGCAGTGTTGATCTGCAGTCGCACTGACACGCCTGACAATTTTGCCACAGATGCGTCTGGTTCTCTGATGGTTACGCTTCAAATTGAGCACTGACGTCTTAAGTTCAGGATCGCAGCGACTGTAATGATCAAACAGCCGCCAAGCCATGCCATCTCTCCATTTGATAGTCTCAGATCGCTATCTCATAGATCGCTCGGCCGATCAATAAGCATATGAAACACCAAATGACCCTCTCTTTAAACAAGAATGGAGGACGAGATCCCGGTTGAAGACTCGATGCAAAAGTTTAAACGGTAACCTCAGTCTCATCACCTCATCACCTGGCCTGGAGACGTTCTTGAGACTGACACAATCGTTTTCAATAAGCATGTCTCAGATAACAATCGTGATCGCAACTCACAAGCCATTACGTACGCGTTTCAAAGGCCGCCACCCATACATCCATGGTCCTGACCTGTTCTCCCTTCTCCTTGAGTATCTCCTTCGCCGCCTGGACACTATCTCTCATAGCCATGACTAGAGCTCTTTCTCTGCTATCTTGAACACTCTCCACGACCTCCCTTTCGAAGTCCTCCGAAAGCACTGTACCCACTTCCCATCGTCCGTCCAGCATGCCCTCAGACGGGACGATTATGTCCTCTCGCACGAGCACGAGCCCCGCAGAACTCGCAGCCATCGTGATGGCTGCCGGAGACAGGACCGTCCTAATGTTGCTCGTTGACGTCAGCTTGCGACATTCTAGGGACGCTAGTGTCAAGGCGGCGAGGACGTGCGGCATGGCACGGGGATCTGTGGCGCGCAATGCATATTCTGCGATGCAGATGCGGCGCGTATGGGGGATGAGCGCGGAGAGGATGTCACGTAGTGTGTCTGCTGAAGAGAAGTACCAGATGCAGTGCGCAAGGATAGCCGTGATATAGGTGTCCGTGGTACGCGCGAGGAAATCCAGCGGGTCTGCTTGGACGAAGGATATACGTGGGCCAAGCGTGGATGCTCGGATGTGCTTCTGACCTTGGCCCAGCGTGTATGGCGAGCCTGTAGAAAATGTCACTCGATAGCGGGGTTCCGACGACGGCGAGCGCCACCAACCATAGTCGAGGCTCGCTGGGTCTACAGCAGTTACATGTCCAGCCTCGCCTATCGCCGCTGCTAGTGCAACTGTGCAGTCTCCCTGTCCACATCCAATTTCCAGAATATTCTCTCCAGGCTGTATATCAAGTCTCCACCAACTGCACGCGTTCCTCGATTTGTCCGAGAACGATATGGAATTGATTGGGAGCATGAGGATAAATCGCGGCGGTAGAGGATGGGGAATCAATAGTCGGCAGTACTTTAGACATCGGTCGTTGTTACGATACAATCTGCGAAGCGCGGCTACTACATAGTGACACTCAGAGACATAGTGACACTCAGAGTCACCGTCACCGAATGCGGGACACGATCACGTGCCTGGGTGCTACGCGTCGCGCTTGTGGCGTGTGCCGCGCTTGAGAGTAAGAGCATTTGGCGCCGCGCGCATCTTGTCTTTACTTACATAGAATGTCATTAAGATGCTCCAACCCATAGAGAGGGTGAAGCTTCAGGATACAATACGTAGCGTGAAGGCAACGACAGTCACATCAACAACGTGACACACAGACAATATGACTCGGTAATCCTCGCAAGAGCAGCAAATAAGGGACACTGGATACACTTCCAATTTCGGGAGTAACCAAAGGACACCAAGACATGCTGATAGGCAGAGTAAGTCAGTACAACCAAACTGAGAATGCTGTGCTACCTGTCGTTCAGTCATCGTCCGGCAGCACGTAGCATGCGATCCCCTGGTCGACATATCCATCATCATCGATAGCGTGGTTTCGCTCAGTCTCGTCCGTTGTGTAGAAGTGATCAGTGATCTTCGGGTTGTACACTTGGTACAGCGGAATGCTTCCGCAGATCTGATCCTCATACACATACGCCGCGATGCCCTGCCTCTTCCACCCTCCACCGTTGCTCACGACCTTCTCTGCCTGCTCCTCCGACGTGGTGTAGAAGTTGTCGGTCGTCTTCGCGGTGTAGAGCTGGTACAGAGGGGACGTGTTCACGACCTCGGAGGTGAAGACGTGACCGGCATCGCCTTGCGATTTATAACCGTCCTTACTGACCGCCTTGTCCATCGCTGACACGCTGGTCGTGTAGTAGTGGTCGGTTTGTTTCACGTTATATGCACGGAGGAACGCGACAGACGAGGATGAATCATAGCAGACCTGCCTGGCTGCCAGCTGCGGTGTGATAGACGGTTAGCAGTGTAGAAGAGCACATCATGGTATCCACTGACATCATTCAATGGATTCTCCAGCGTGGGTGCGGCACCGGTGATTGTAAGGAGCGCAGCAAGCAAGACAAATGAGGTGCGGAGAGAGAACATAGTGGCGCAGATGCTTTGAACTCAAGAGGATGAGGGGCGATGTTGCTTAGATTCACCTCCTTTTATAGGCACCATGAAGCACTGATGCAGATTCGGGCATCGTATGCTCCTTAGTCAGCCATTCGTCATGTCGTCTAGAGATGACCATATGCGGCTGCTAGGACAGACCAGCATAGATGAGCTAGTTGACAGTGATCAACAGATAGCCTCCGCAAGATCGTACTTCTTCTAGCTTCGGCACATCGAGTCAATCCAGAAGCCAGCTGAAGTCTGATCGAGACTAAATATAACTTCCATGTGGTCGTGTTCTCGGCGTAAGGAATGCACCATAATTAAGACATACCCATATGGTATCCTCGACTCCAAGTCGACTTGTTTCAGCCGCACGATCATGCCGTCCATTCACCGCGTGAAGGACAAAATCTGCAGTCACGAACATCAGACGTTGCACAGAAAACAAACACTCGAAGGAGAGCGCCCAAAAATGCCAGCCTTCCCGCAGTGTCTCACCGCACATACGACGGCATTTCGCGCCAGTAAAAAGACATTGCATGACTGAACAATCATCTGGAATGCAGGAGAATGGCGCAACGAGGCAATACGGAAGAGACACTGACAGTGTGGCGCTAGCTTGTCCCAAACAGCTCTGTACAGAGAAGCATCACGCAGATAATCCTTCAGTTGATGCATCAGCGCCTCGCCCTTTCGGTGATTGACGATGAGACCGATACTACGAGACGATCGGCGGTCCGTCAATGTGGTCAAGAAGTCTGCATGGATCGTTAAAACCGTGATTAGGACCGATAGGGTATATCATGACGTGCCGACGTTGTCCACACCGCTCCTGGTTCTGACAGCTTCCATCCAGTCTTTTTCCGACAGTCGCGGTGAATACGCTGCATCGAAGGCCCCGATCGCTAGTCAAGGCGTCACTCGACAGAGCATCTTCACTGTTAGTGAGCTCCATCGCCGCATTTTCGGTGCGTCTATCTAGGGCGCCGACGAGGAGCCCGTAAAAAAGCATATTGGTAAGTTCTTTCCGCGAATAGATGCAACATCGGACATAGAACTGCTCCGATGCATACTGCTCACCATGTTTACTTCGTTCTGATAGAAACTTCCAAAGTTTGAACGGGAGTCAGGCATCTTGCGGGCTTTGTGGGCAGATTTTCACCTGGGGGAAACTCAGCGGATCGAAGAGCAACACATCCATGAAGGAGGACCGAGTCATCGACGCTTTTGTGCGCTCATTTTCCCAGGAAAAGGAAATGGAAGAAAACCGCACCTATACTTGGGCAAGACTTTACGCCGTCAACCACAATTTCCTGAGAGAAGTGGGTCTTTGAGCGCAATAGTCTAGTCACAGTAGCTACCCTGCCCTTGATGCATGGCCTTTGTCGGCTGTGGCAGAGAGTATCCACGGGTGCCGAATGGCTATGAGGACAGGTCTGCTATTTTGAGTTAACCTGGGACACCAGAAAAAGATTCGCCGTCAGCAATCTGAGAAACTGCCATTAGGCAAAGTGGTGTGGTATTTACATCCTAGGCCAGGCGCAATATAGTTGCACATTCCATTCGTCTGTCAGGCTACCCTTCACTGTGTGACTTACCGCCAAAAGTGGTGGTGAAGCCCAAACCACATGCCTGTTCTGGTAAATTCCATCCACTTCGCTTCCAGTCTTCCAGTACGCAGTGACGCACGCACCTGTCTGAATGAACAAAAGGAAGGATTAATGCGTCAGCCGACTCGCTCGCATCTCTAACGCTTTCTCCGAGCGGTTGGTTCAACTAATGTGAAAGATTCTGCACGTTCAAAGTGGCCGTAAGCATCCACATGACTCCCAGAGCATCAAGAACCCCGAATATGGCATAACATAAGGCGGGGATAACAAGCGTCCCGGTGAATACCATATAGGGCATCCTCAACAAGGCCTGTGGAGACGAAGAAGCATGTGCCAAATGTCTCTCGCTCTAAGATGAAAAAAATGGTAAGCAGTGATTTGCACTCACCACACGAGAATAAGTCTAAATGGTCAGAAACAGGTCAGAATTGTTGGAGATAGTGGCTATACTAGCCTGCTAGTCTCCTCGTTTCGGATGATATGCGGCAGCCTTTGACTTTGATGAAGTTTCAGTCAGAATTATTCAAGAATTCCGCGGAAAGGACGTCCCAAAAAACAAATCTCACTGCAGAGCATCTACGTCGTCCTGAATATCCGTTGAAAATACAGGGCAGAGGAGAATCTTGCAAATTGCGGATAACATGGCTGACCTGCTGGCTAAAAACAGCAGTTGGTCATGCAGTCAGGACTTTGTTCAGCGTATTCTGCCGGGTATGTCATGGCCGGCGAGGCTTCCCATCATGAAATAATATGCACAACTTCGACCTTGCTTGCTCAACTTGCAGCTTGAATGATAAGCTTGCCACATTGAAACTGATAGAGCACTCTACTTGAAGAGCGGGCCCGTTCCAGAGCATCCAGGTAAACAATCATGAACCGGCGAAGACATGTTATCGTTCAAGAAAGAATTCCACTCAGTTGTAGCACGCAGTCTAGATAGATTGGCTAAAGCAGCAATGTTTTTCAGGAGCCAATGGATTGGGAAACGGCGCTCGACAAAGACGGGAGTGCGGCGTGAGAATCAGTTTCATGTTCACGTTTGTGGCTGCCAGACATCGCTCAGCGAGCGCAGCTCTTTGAATTGCTGGGCGAAACGTGCCTAATTCAACTTCTCGGAGTGCTAGGCTGTAAATAACCTCAAGAAGTTTCTCCAGCTGAAGTTTGTGGATTTCAAAGAGCCTTACTACAATTATGTACTGGCAAAAGGGCCCCTTTGGCCGGGGAGCCACCGACGCGTCGCAGTCACGTGCGGGAGTCGGGAAAATGTCCGGTTTCGGAGTTGACTTTCGTCCGACTGCTGCTCGCCACCTCGTTGTGCTGGCTACGAGCTACAGTACGGTACGAGCTGGTGCTTCTACATTGTAATCGCAACTCAAACCTGTCCAGCATAAGACAGACTATCATTGAGGAGGTGTGACCGGGCCGAGTCCTTGTTTGCTTAGGATTTCGCTCACTGCAACTAAGGCTCCAACTATTTATACTATTTACACTCCTGAGGTGTAAATAAATAGTATATAGTAAACAGTTGGTATATATGTAGTATAAACAGTTTATATAAAGATTATATAGTTTTTTTGTCCCATCTCTTAGTGGAGTTCTACTCAACTGTGAGCAGCCCCTGTGATTGTTGGGACCCTTTAGGAGCTGGGTGCATCAACACACACATGATAGTGAGCAGAAAACAAGCATTCAACTTCAACACTTGCACCACGAATGACAAGAAAATCTCATGTCATACAAAAAATAACAAGAAACTCATGTTCATGAGTCTATATGTTGATCAACTGTCAGTGGTGGCTTCTATCAAACACGATGACTTTCAATTGGCTCACTATTGCACTGTCAAATCTATCAATTGTGCACTCAATAGTCTTATGTCATCACAAAACTATTTATACTATATATAAACATCTATTTACTATATACAGCCCAACCTGTAAATAAACAGATATAGTAAACAGTTAAAACTATTTAACATAGTATATAGATAGAAATGTTGGAGCCTTAACTGCAACTCGTTAATGTAAGTTTTTTCTTTGTGGTAATCCCGTATGTTCGCAGGAATGAGAGTCATGGTACTTGTTTTAGATCACATTCATTAGCTTTGCGACCTCCATCTGTATCCCCACCAATTCATTCAGCATGAATATCTTGACTCTCAACAAGGACGTCCTCCATGTCCTCATGTCGCATCTTCCAATCCCCAATGCTTGGAGATTCTACATGACGTGCCACACAGCACGGAAAATTGCACTGCAGAGATGTTTGTCGAAGGTCGAGCTGAGGAAAGGCAGGGAGACTCGGTGGTTCTGCGACTTTATGCTAGCGGACGCCTCGCGCCGAATACTTCACTTCAGGAACCTCATACTTTGGATTTCAGCATTCAACTTCAACTCAGGCATCGCCAACGACGAGGATGATTATGATGTTTTTTATTACTATTCTCCCGAATGCTCAGGCTCATACTTAGATGATGCTGTGGTGGCCTCTTTCACTCGAGTCATGCGACTCGCTCAGTTAAAGGCGATCAAGATCTGATCGTATGGCCATGGAGGTGCAAGATTGTGGTTCCCTTCCATTCCGTGTCTTGTGGATGCTATTATAGCGCAACAATGTCTTGATGTCATTGAAATTGAAGACGCGGATACTAGAGTATTCGACACGTTATCACAGATGAAAAGCCGCTTCCGAAGCATTCATTTATATTGTTCATCACTGTCTGACGGCGAAGATGTTCGTTGAGGTCCCCTTGAAGTCAACTGCCGGTTCCTACTTCCGTTCGTTGACTCGCTTACTGTTCTTCGTCTCATCGGAATATATAATACTTTTGCTCTCAAGATGGAAGGCAAATGGCCCGCATTGCAGGAGCTGACCGTTAAGTATATGTCGGTCAGCCTTGAGACTATAGCAACTGCATGTCCCAATCTGCGCAGTCTCTGCCTCATAAAATGCCAGATCACCGATCCACCACTCACCCGTCTCCTCCTACTAGATCGTGTATCTTTCTCGAAAGTGGTGTCCATGTCAGGATCTGTTCGCAGAGTCCACATCATGAAACACGAAGTACCGGGACGGCTGGACATGGGAGCGCTGGAGACGATGGATCCAATCGTGTTGAGTTGCTGTTTCGATGCAGAGAGCTTGTCCCTGGTAGCTGCAAAGTGTAGGAGCTTGAAGTTCCTAGAAATCTCCGTGCCATATGGCTTCAGTGTACGTGCAGAGGTCTTTGCAAGCAGTATGATTCATTGAACATCTTTGCTCGGTAGTCAATCGACACTTCGCGACTCAAAGATCTACAGACTACCGCTGCGCACTCTTGTTCACAAAGTTAGGCAGATGACTTCGGCCCTCTGTCCGCTGATTTTGCGGTCAAGATCACAATGAGTATACCAACTCTGGAGTATGTGGGCCATGAAGAGCTGCTGCCATTCATTTGGAACATGACTTGTGATAGTCATCCGTGGTTCCGGGTCATTTCTCGTCTGGAGGGTGCCCTCCCTGTGTTGGAAAAGCTCAATAACGCCGAGATCGAGGTCATATGGAACATGCTTCTCAATACTCCCCACATGTAAGAAGTTGACGGGCCTGACTTTCTTTGTTGCTGTGGGTTTCGTTTGCATAGTATGCATCAACGGCTCTAATGAACATCGCAGGATGTTGCGGGTTGCTTGTAGGCCACATTAGCTGTTTGCGTTTCCTGGTTTCTCTCCTGCATGTGACTCTTTGAACTATCTTTGTGCGAGATAAATACAAAATGGCCGAGGATCAGTACGATATTTCTTTATGCATCGAAACATCCATATATTTCAACTTCTTTGTGATGTCCTATCACCTCAGCCGAAACGACAGCTACGGGAATTCTCATAAGACAATGATGCACCTTGTTGGTCGGCCCACTGCTAGATGAGCATGCGCATGCGTGGTTCTGAATCTAACGATGCTTTCACGATATGGTGGTCAGTCAGTTGGCACTTTCGAACCCGAGATTGACTTACCATCACGCATCGTATTCCTCTAGTACCAATGTTCTGCGGCCCATCTCCTCCCATTGCACTATGCGAGCTGGCCATCCACACATATGAGCCTTCATAACGACTACTTACAGGGCTTGTCGAGACACTGTCGCGACGAGCTCATGTTGTCGACTGATCATTTCTGACTTACCTCGCCATTGTTCCATAATTAAAACATTTATAAGTATGTGTTGTTCAAGGGGGAGAAATGAATGTGATAGACCTAAAATCAGCGAGCAAGGAACAAACTCAGAGTCAATACAAAACGTGTTCCGCCCATGCCGAGAAGCACTATCCACCAGCATAACCTCCGAATTCGATTGCGGCAGGTCGATCATGTAAGAATTACAATGTACAGCTCACTCGCCACGGTAGAGAGTGTATGGTAGTAAGACTCGAGATCCGTAACACGTTGGTGATAATGCTATCCCGGACGTTATATAGAGCTGGTCGCTTTACGCAGACTAAGTCTAATCACGATTCAGCATTCAATATGGATGCTCCCAGGTGATTGCAGCTAATTAATGTGCGCGTGCTCATCAGCCAAGGTCTGGATATTCGTCCGGGACTTTTGAGTCGGTGGAATTGTCACATTGCAGACCCAAGCACACTCATTGTAAAACTTCAAGCAGATAATAGTAACTGGCCTCGAAAGAAAAGGGCTACATTTATTCAGACAGACAAAAACCCTTCTTGTCTCTTTACCACCATGTCCTCATCAAGCGCCCAACCGGCAACTGCAACTGACGTCGAGATGGAGACCGCCACTGTAGAGCGTGCCCCCCCGGGGGAGTCTCCTTTGGCCAGTGAAAGTAATGTCAAACCGTTACCTGTCTCAGCCCCGCCGGGAACTGCATTCCTAAGGGACTTACTCACCGACCTAGAGCACGTCCTCCAACGGCCCTTATGCATGGTCACCCTGGCCAAAGACCCAGTTATCACGGAGGATCTCAGTGAGGGCATCATCGACATCGTCGACGCCCTTGCGGACACCTTCGCGGACGTCCAGAATCGACTCCTCAACAACGAGGAGGTCATGAAAACGAGAGTCAGCAAAGGGGCATCCGCCATCTTTGCCGCCATCATCTGACAGTGCGCTGGCGATATGGACCTCCTGGGAATGTCCACGCATGCTAACCCTGTGCCTGAGCACATACAGTCCACCATCGTGAAGGGCATTGAGGCGAGCGTCCGTGCGGCAACCGTCACCATCGATGCACGCCTATCTGCCATCAAAGCCACCTTGGCCCAATCCCGTCCGCTGCTGGCACCCCCGGGTCCCCCCGCGGGTCTGCGCAAACAAACTGCAAAGTCCTTCTCGGACGCCGCCTGAGCCACGCACGGGGACAACATGTCCGCTGAGCCAGCCACCAAGAAGGCGGCCGCCAAGGTGCCGCCACCGCCACTGCCACCGACTGACAAAACCTACCACACTTTGCTCACTCCAGAGCAGGTAACCCGCATTCGCGCAACCACCCCTGCCATCTGGTATCAGCGCATCACCCAGCGAATCCAGGAAGCGGAAGCCTGGTCGAAGGTAACCTTTCGTGGCATGCGCCTTGCCCCAAACAAGGTGCTCCTAACTTTCTCTCATGACTCTCCAGACATGCTTATCCGAGATGCTCTGTGGGCCATCTGCGTCATCCTCGATCTTGAGCCCTGCGCTGCCTCTCCGGCCCCAGCGGGCGCACACACCGTCGTGCTGCCCCAGGGTTTTCGTCCCGTTTTGCCCACTGTAAAGCTTTTCGTTCTGGCGTGCCCGCGGCGCCACCCCGTGAGCGGCTCTCTGCTCACCGGGGAAGAAATCATGACCGAGCTCCGTACCAATCCCATTTTCGTGGATGTATATTTCAATGGCATACCTGCTTTCACCACTTTTGCGGGGCCGGAGGACACGCGGGAGCGCGCGCCCCTGATTTTCTCCATCGAAGACTCCAAGCGAGACTTCTGTTCGCATTTCCTGATTGGCTGTGACAACCGTGGTGAGCCCTCCATGTCCGTTTGGTTCATGGGAGCTCGGCTCCTCGTGAAGCGCTCTAAGGACAAACCTGTCCTGTGCCAATGCAAACGCTGCTGGGCTCTGACCCACACTGAGCACTTCTGCAAGTGCAAACTGCCCCTCTGCCGCTTCTGCGGCAAGGACACCCATACTACCGATCAGCACCGTGCCGCTTGCAGTGCCTGTGCCCTTAAAAACAATCCCGCTACCGTCCCGTGTCCGTCCACACATTTCTTCTGCCGTGTCTGTGGAATCCATGGTGAGCACCATGCGGCTGACCCATCTTGCACAGCGCATGCTCAGTACTGCATTCCTTCGCTGCCCACCACCGCTGCATCATGAATCTTACAACCGCACAACTGAATGTAGCCCGTTCGAATCCACAGCTCCATAGCCTTTTGGCCAATTCTTCGTTTGATTTGTATTTTATCCAAGAACCTTGGTGGGGGCGCATTGGGTCTGACACCCCTCACGGGGTGGAATCCGGTGCCCCTGTCTTCGGCACTGTCAATGCAGTGCCCTTTAACCTTACCACTTTCCACCTCCCTCATTCCAACCCAACCCCCAGGTCGCGCATCAGCTGCCTGGTGCGGAAACATCTCTTTGATTCCTTTCATATTACGCTCCGTTCGGATATCTCCTCCCATCCTGACATGCTTGTCCTCTTTTTCGTATCTCGTGCGTCGAACGGTGAACAGTTTCTGGTTGTTAATGTCTATAACGATGCACCCGTGACTGGCCAGTCCGGCCTTCGACACCTTCTTTCTTCTTCGTTTCTGCCTAATGTCCCGATCCTGCTATGCGGGGACTTTAACATGCACCATCCCCTCTGGGCATGGGAGCATCGCGCTCTCCGTACCATAACTAGAGGTGCGGACGACCTGGTCCAGTGGACCGTCGACCATCACCTACAGCTATTCACTGAGCCTCACCTCCCCACCCATACCATCAGAGGAAATCCCTCCACAGGCGCCATCATCGATCTGGTGTGGGCCTTGAGCAGCCCCCAGTTGGCTCTCTCCCAATATGCAGTCGAGGATTCCCCTTGGGCCTCAGACCATTCACTCATTACTTATACCATCTGCACCGAGGCCACTCCCGCGGAAGTTGACCTTGGCTTCCGTGTGGACCCCTCCCTGCGAAGCGAATGGCTCGACGCCATTGAAATTGCCCTCCTAACCAACCCTCCTTCCCCTAGCTACTCCTCCACCCTTGACCTCGATCAGGGTGCTGCGGCGCTCTTGCGTGCCATTGCGGCTGCCAATGTTACCACCTTCCCGCCACGCACCCACGCCCACTGACCATCACAACTATGGTGAAATGACGGCTGTGACTTCGCTCGCTGGTGAGTCCAGAATGCCGCCGACCCTGAGGAGCGTCGGCGCGTCAAGCGCGACCTCCAACAAGCTATTCGCATGGCACGCAAGGAGTGGGCCATTGCGGCAGCCTCCCAACTACAACACACCAATCCCTGGCAACTTTTCTCGTGGACCAAGGGGCAACGTACCCCGGTGCTGTCCATCATTTGAGCACGTAATGAGTCTTTCAGTCTGCCTGACGACATCGGGCAGGTGCTCACTGAGCATTATTTTCCTCCTTCTCCGTCTCTTCCTTCTTTGAACCTCATTGTTTCCCCTCCATACCCATCACTGCGAGCACCCCACCCTCTTCTCGAGAGTGAGGTGTCCACGGCGCTGACGTCTACTTCCCTCCTGTCAGCTCCGGGTCCCTCCGGAACCTCCTGGAGGCTCGTTCGGTGGCTCTGGCAGTCCACCGCGCACCACGCTCTTTATGAGTTCGTAGCTGCATCCCTTTCGCTGGGGCACCTTCCCTCTTCATTGAAGGTAGCAGCGCTTGTTTTCATTTCCAAACCGGGCAAGCCTGACTATACGGCACCGAGCGCGTACCGGCCCATCGCCCTGCTCGAAACTCTGAGCAAGCTCTTAGAGAAAGTGGTAGCTGCACGCCTAAATTGGCAGATCAGCGCCCTGCACCTCATCCCGGGCACACAGTTCGGCAGCCGCTCACAGCACTCTGTTATTGATGTGGGCATGCATCTGACCCACACCATTCGCACCGCTTGGGTGAACAGTTTTTCTGCCTCGCTTCTCTGCATGGACATCGAGGGGTACTACAATAACATCCATCACGATGTCCTGCATTCTATTCTTCTCTCCCTCGGTTTCCCCACCAATGAAGTCCGGTGGATCTCATCATTCCTTGCTGACCGCTCCATTTCACCCAAACTACAAGGGGAGCTCAGCTCTTCCTACCCCGTCACCGCTCTTGGCATTCTCCAGGGCTCGCCCCTCTCACCTGTGCTATCCACCATATACTCTTCTCCCCTTTATCACGCACTTGATCCCTTTCTCTATCTGCAGCAAACTGTTGCAGGATATGTAGACGACTTCACGCTCCTTATAGTTTCCCCATCGCTTAGACACAACATCACCCTCCTGCGGGACACCCTTCCCACCATCGCTCGATCCCTGGGCATGCTCGGCCTCACTGTCGGCATGCCCAAGACGGAGCTCATTCACTTCTGTTCATCGGCCGCTGGCCTATCCTCTAACCCCCCTTTGATTTTTCAGTGGGACGGGCACCAAGAACGTCTGGAGCTGAAGCCCTACCTCAGGTGGCTCGGCCTCTGGCTTGATCGCACCCTGTCATTTGAGCATCACATTCGTGTCATGGCAGCGCGTGCTCAGTCCCGGGTCATCGCCCTGCACCAACTCGCAAACACCCAGCGAGGCATCTCGGTCGCCCAAGCCCGCCTTCTCTATCTCTCTACCGTTTTGCCCGTGCTCACCTTTGGCAGCCCCATCTGGTACAATCCCCGTGCGCTGCGTGCCCTTTTCTACCCGCTCGAATGCATTCAAACCATGGCGCTGCGGTGGTTCCTCGGAGCGTGGAAGTCCACTCCGCAGGTCGCTCTGAACCTCATTGCCAGCGTGCTCCCGATGAAGCAGCAGCTGCAGCGCCTATCAAACCTCGCGGCCGTGTGACTGCTCACCCTCCCACGGCATCACCCTGTCGCCACCTGCTTGAGCGATCAGGCCCACCTATACCCGCCCCAGTTCACCCTCCTCAACCCCTCCGTTCGCCATCGCCGTGCGGAACACACCCCGATCACTACCCTGGAGGAAGAGCTACTGCGCGACTCCATGCGCACTGATCCTTTCCTCCAGCCACCATGGGAGGTGCCGCACCCGTGGGGAACGTGGGTCATCACACTCATTCCTGCTCCCACTAAGGAAGCATCCACCCATCATGTAGACTCTGTTCTTGCCCCGCTTTTATCTGCTCACTTCTCAGACCCCACAGCCCTCTGGGTGTTCACCGACGGCTCCCAAACCTCTCACCCACTTCCGGCCCCCCGTCATCGTGCAGCAGGAGCAGGTGTGTGCATCTATCATCACTCCGCCCTTAAATTTCAACGTGCATGGGGAATGGGACATCGAGCCGAGGTCTTCGACGCAGAGCTCTTTGCCATCACGACCGTGTCTTCATTTTTTCGTGGCTTTCTTAACGCCTATTCCACCATTTCAACTATTTACATCTGCACAGACAATCACGCCGCCCTGTCTCTCCTCTTTTCCCTGAGCCCCCATCCGGGGCAACCTTTCTCTTTCACTTTCCGGAAACACCTCTCGCCACTCATGAGCGATTTCCCTAATTTAACCATCACATTGGTTTGGGTACCGGGTCACCGTGGAGTACTGGGCAACGAAGTCGCCGACCGCCTCGCCAAGGCGGCTGTGTCCCAACCCGAAACCATCTGCCCCACAATTGCATGGGTGCGGAGGTGGGCACGTGAGTGAGCGACCTCCTCTTGGCAGGAGGAATATGCAGTGACTGATCGTCCCACTGCACTGCGTGAAGCCTGGCCCTGGGCCCCCTCCACCACCCTTCACTCTGTTTTCTGCTCCGGCGGTTATTCTCGGAACACCGAGGGTCGATTTGTCCAGGCCGTAGTTGGTCATGGCCACATCGGCACTTTCTTTGACTCACGTTACCACCGTAGTTTTCGCGGATGCATTTGCAACCATGCGCTCCTTAACTCACGCACACACACACTACTTAGCTGCCCGCTGCACGATGATGCCTGGCACATCCTATTCGGCATTGCCAATCCCACCCGCACCCACCTCCGCCGCCTATGGAAACACCCAGAGGGCTTGGACCGTCTCGCATATTTCATAGCCACCACTCCTGCTTTCACCTCAGCGAGCCTCACGCCATTTGACCCAGGCTAATCGCCCCACCCACGGCTCTGCTGCCCTTTCATTTTCCCCTTAATTATGCCCACCCTGAGTTGCACCGCACCGTAGTGTACGCCCGTGCCTGTACATCCTCCCTTTAAATGCCGCACATAGTGCGAGATAGAAATAAATGCCAAAAAAAAAAAAAAAAATTCAGACGGAACCTTGTAAAAGTCAGGGAAGCAACCTTACTCAGATCAGATGGAGTAGACACTTGTCAATGTGGTCGGGTGTACCGCAAACGAGGAACACAACAGATAGTTTCTTCCTAATTGTCGACTCATTTCGATCATATGGGCGTGCTACTCACAGGTTCTGGTTCATGTCTTTGCTTGTAAATTGGCTTTGTGCATCTTCAATCGTTTCTACAGCACCATACCAGCAGGTATATCAGCATGTGAAGAAGATCTTGAAAATGATGCAGGATGCAGAATGATACATCGATATTCTCTGTAGGCAAGAAAGCATAATTTGATGGCCTACAGAGCCTGCGTGCCAGCATCTATGGCGCATTGCTGACATTGCGGAGATTCTCATCGAACTTTAGGTGGGATAGCATCAGATGTGTCTACTGAAACCGACACGCCTGTGGCTCTTCCTCTCGGTGATCAAAGAGTGCTTTGAGTAATGAGAGATTCCAATGAAGAGGACAAAATGCACTCAAGGAATTTACGAGTCTACGTAGGCTTGTCCCCATTGTGTGACTCGACGAGAAGAGAGGACTTGCTAGGCATGATAACAACATTGCATTGAATCATGGTGGTGTCCTTCCATCGAGCCCTCAATACAGAGCGGCATGTGTCCGGCAGCAAAAATTTTCCACCTTGACTCTTGAGCGAGTCCTGAACTTGAGCCTGGAAGGTCAGCACAGATCCTCGCCATGGGACTTGAGTGCTAGCTTGAGCCGTCATAAGTGATATCTCTCTGGCAGCATGTCCAATCATGAGTCTGGCATGCCTAACTGTCACGGTAACACCGGACAAGAGATCAAAAAGACTAAAAAGGGACAGTCACATGGAACGTGCTGCCCTGATCCCTCTGATCCCAAAAGTATCCCCCTGAACCTTATGTGATGCAAGAGCCTGTTGACTTACTGGTCGATGTGGCAGGCACAGGAAAGGGTGAGAGATATATGAAGGAGCTGGTGAGCTCAGTGAGTGCTACAGGTAGTAGACGAGGAGAAACAATCTGAGGGTTCGTCCTCTACATGGCTGGTCTTATATACATGTACAGCGGGCTATCTTACCTAAGCTACCTATCAACGGGTATAAGCTAATGGCCATACATGAAACAATAGGATGTTCGGAAGTAGAACAATAAGTGGGAAGATCGATGGTTGCCGCAGTAATGCGTGTGCTCATCATGCCTATCTTGGTTTCCCTTTTGTTCTCTGATGTGAACATCGTGCCTATCTAGGCTTCTGGCTAAACTAATAGGAAGCAGAAGGCCGATGCATAACAATAGTTTTTGTTCCTTTTGTTCCCAAACGGGTGGCCCTATTGTATCCTGGAATAGACAGGTCCGACCGTATCATCCGCGGTTCTGGACCATAATATGTGATGTGGACTATCACCTGATCTCTACGCATCGCGTCTGTGGCTGAGTGGCATGAGATATTGGTGAAGCACGTGATCTGTGGTGTGAGAAAAGTCACGTGCGGACTTTGTGGTGAAAATCTGTGACACTACCCCCCTTTCAAGGCTCATTGTCCCGAGGAGCCAAAACCTTTATTACCCCTTCTAGTTGCTCGCAACGGTTGGTAGCTTCGGTAGGGAAGCCCTTCTGCATAATACTCGAAGATTATTTGGGCTATTCTGTCTCCCGGCTTGACCGAAAATACGAAATCCGTTGTGTTGATTAGTACGACCTTGAGTTCTCCAGTGTAATCTGGATCGACGACTCCTGCGCCCACGTCAATTCCTTGTGCAGCCAGTTCACTGCATGGAGCTATTCGTGTATAGGTATGTTTGAGAGGGTCAATCGCAACTCCCGTTCCTACCACAGCTCGTGAATGCGGGGGGATTTCATGCGTTTCTGCTGCATAAATATCCCATCCTGCTGCTTCATTTGAGGATTTTTTTGGTGATTTGGCGAGATCTGTCATCTTATGATATAGGAAGAACTCGTCTGGAGGTCGGATATGTCGATTCGGTGTGTGGAGATCGGTGCAACTTCATATGAGGATAATTCAAAGCGTTTTTCACCAAAAGTGACGACCCTGATTGGTGCTTTTGCTGCATCTGGGTGTTGCTGGTGGAATTCTTGAAGAAGCTCATCGGTGTTGGTAAGATTTGTTCGGGGTTCCCATGTATCGTCAGAATGGTCATAGCCTTTCCATTTGACGAGGTATTGGACCCTTCCCCTTACGACCTTAGAGTCTAGTATTTCTTCAACTTCGAATTCTGGTTCTCCTTCGATTTCTATAGCTGGGGGCTTTGGGGGTTTGCGGTTTGCGACCGTGTCTTGATGGTACATGATCAACTTGCTAGCGTGGAAGACCGGGTGGACCTTCATTTGCTTAGGCAGTTCCAGTTTGAATGTGACTGGGCCCAGCTTCTGAAGTACTTTGTAAGGTCCGAAGTTTTGTGTGCCTAGCTTTGCGGACTTGACTTTTACTCTGAAATCCTTTCCCTTGAGTAGTACCAGGTCTCCGACTTTGAATGGGACTTCTCCCTTTTTCTCGTCAAAGTACCATTTCATCCGTGAAGCTGAAACTTCCAATGCTGCCTTTGCCTGTTCTTGTGCCTCAGATCGGTGAGCGAATAGATATTCCAATGAAGGGTGACATATTGATTCATGCACGTCTGGTGCCATCTTTGGATGCCGGCCATATTCGACAAAGAATGGGGAAAGTGCGGTGGACTCATGGGTCTGGTTATTGTATGAAAATTCTGCCATTGGCAGGTAATAGACCCAATCATTCTGTCTGTGGTTACAGTACATACGTAGGTACTGTTCCAACACCTGATTAACCCTTTCTGTCTGACTGTCTGTTTGGGGGTGATATGCTGTAGACATTGTAGACTTTATACCGAGTTTCTGGCAGAACTCCTGGAACAGTTTGCTCACAAATTGAGTACCTCTGTCTGAGATAATCTGGCGCGGCAATCCGTGGAGTTTGAAGACTTCTTTATAGAATACGTTTGCGACTTGCGACGATGTGACTGTGTCGTCCGTTGCATAAAAGTGCGCTCGCTTTGTGAGTCTGTCTACGACGACAAGTATTGCCATCTTCTTTTCTCCCCTAAAGTCCATGGCTGGAGGAAGTTGAGTGATGAGATCGACTGTGATGATTTTCCATGGTCCTGCTGGTACCTGGTTTGGTTGTAGTAGTCCGTATGGTTTTTCTCTTGAGTACTTGTTACGCTGACAACTGTCGCAACCTTGTACATATTGTTTAACCATTACAGACATTCCTGGTCACCAATAGTTCCGAGTGATAAGCTCCAATGTCTTGAACCTGCCGGGGTGTCCGGCTGGTAAGGTGTCATGATGGAGTTTTATTAGGTCAAGGCGTAGCTGTTGATCCTTGGGGACGTAAACCTTTCCGTGAT